CATGTTCCTTTGACAGTGAAACACATATTGATTGAGTGCAAACATCTCAAGTATATTAGATCTAAATACTACCGTTGCCAGTCAGTACGTCAGCTATTTGCTCAACTGGAGCTATATGATAAAGTGCTAACATTTTTAAGAGACAAAATTTTATTTTCAATTTTAATTGTATATATTTAATCATGTATATCGTTTTAAATATTTATATATGTAAAAGATTTGTTTTTTTTAAATTAATATATTTGTTTTTATTTACATATATAAATTCATTTATGTGATAATTTGTTTCGTTAGATTCACCATATGTTTGGCGCAATATAGCCCGGTTGGAGCTGACCTGTCATTAAACAACATTTTATTTCATTTCTTCGGAATCCAGGTTAGCCAAAGTTATTTGCCTACAAACTTGATCCCCCTTATCTGATACACCCTTCCTATGAATGGAAAAACCTGACACCAACATCCCATGAATATTATAAGAACCTAACTGACTCGAATCATCCTCCCAATCCGAGAATAAACCTCGTGGAGATATTCTATTTACGACCGGTTCCTTCTAGATAACAACAATGGGCAACCGAAAATGGATTTCGTTTTTCGAAATCCAAGACTGTCTGCATGCATTTCTGTCAGAAAGGAGGTTTGCATCCAGATCCAGAACTTTATTTGGATGGCAACCGCCTTCCAGTTGTGGATGAAACCAAATTTCTGGGGCTGATATTTGATAAGAAATTATCATTTATCCCCCAAATTAAAAGCCTAAAAAAGAAATGTCTGAAAGCCCTCAACATATTGAGAGTCTTATCAAATACTGACTGGGGAGCAGATCGTAAGGTCTTGCTCCGATTATATCGAGCTTTAATAAGATCAAAACTCGATTATGGGTGTATTGTGTATAGGTCTGCCCGCGAGTCTTATCTCAAAGAGCTCGACACCATACACAACCAAGGACTTAGTCTCTACGTCATCTATTTGCCCAACCGGGTTTATATTGTAACATACTAGACTTTTTAAAAGAGACATGTTTTTATCATAAATTTTAATTGTATATTTATCACTTCATTTTTGTATTTTAAATATTAATATGCATACAAGGTTTATTTCATTTTTAATTTTAGTTACTGTGATATTGTTTTTATTTATGCATATAATACTTTTTCTGTGATATTTATTTAACTTGTCTCGCATAAATCACCATATGTTTGGCGCAATATAGCCCGGTTGAAGCTGAAGTGCCATTAAACAACATTTCATTTCATTTCCAAGGACTTTGAATCAGTTTAGGAGCATTTCGTACATCTCCAGTGGACAGTTTATACGTCGAGGCGCATGAGCCCTCACTGCACAACAGACGGGATAAACTGGCCCTGCAGTATTCTACGAAAATAGCATCTTTACCAAACCATATTTCATTTAACACCATATTTAGACCCTTACCCCCCCCCCCCCGGGGTGTAGGGGGTGATAAGAATATACCCTTCGTATGTCCTGCGTGTCGTAAAAGGCGACTAAAAGGATCCCTGTAATGGGGCAACGTGTTTGCCGTGCGTTGCGACCCGTGTCGGTGGAGAGTGGGATCCTGGTAATTGAGTGGGGATTTGGCTTGCGAGCCCTTTCTCTCCAACACATTACTTTGGCCCATGGTTCACTTAGACGGGAGGTCAGAGTGGCCCACTCTGATCAATCGGCTTTGGTCCTTTTTAGCTCTGTAGAATGTACGTTTTTTTTCCAATTTCATTGCTTTGTTTTCACTCAGCAAGTTTACCTTTGTGCCCTGAGTACATTCCACAGAGCGGCGGCTTGGGTCAATCAGGTTGGCTAAGTATTTATACTTTCTGGCTTGAGTATACCCCTCGTCGAGCCCTGAGGCAATGCACTGGTAGTCCGTGCTAGTCCTCCCCCTGGTAGGCAGGAAAGTAACCTGGGGGACGACGAGGGGTGAATTTAAAAAAAATATTTCATGGATTCCCCAATCCCCCCCACACCAATAAATAAAAAGAAACAGAAGCGTCCTAATACAGAGGACGTTTCTGATTTATTTAAAAATACATTAAAAATATCAAAGACATGGCCGAGGTTTCTCTTAATTGAACCATACGCCAAGCAAAGAAGTCTTCATGGCAGGGTTATGTCTCAAGGATAAATTCCCGTACCACTTCCAAATCGGTATGGGATAGGATTCGTAGAATTAAAGGTAAAAGTAGTGCTTTATCAGTTAACCATCTAAATGTTGACAATACCACCTTGACAACATTTCCTGATATTGCTAATTCTCTGGCCAGTACAATTTCATTCAATTCATCATCCAATTTCTCCTCTGATGCCTTTCGGAGCATTAAACGTCGAGGCGCATGAGCCCTCACTGCACAACAGACGTGATAAACTGGCCCTGCAGTATGCTACGAAAATAGCATCTTTACCAAACCATATTTCATTTAACACCATATTTAGACCCTATCATGAGCATTTATATACTATTCAAAAAAAGTAGGGGATATTTGATTTTTGAGTGTTATTAAAGTCACCTAATGAAACTGACGAAGAAACAAATGACAAAATGAAATGAAGTTCACATTCATCGATTTATTCCAAATGATCGTTAGACTAAGTAAGGCACAGACTGACCATTATAAGGGTAAAATGATACCCGGGGTCAAACAGCAAAGTTACCACAGCATCACAACCAAGTCAGTAACGGGTAAATCCTCCTCTGTTTGCCAAACAAGCATTGATCCGACGTGGCATACTCCTAATGAGACGTCTAAGGTCATTTTGGTCCAGATTGTCCCATTCCTGTTGCAATGCAGCAGCAAGTTCTTGGACATTGGCAGGACGTTGTTCACGTTGACGTAACCTCTGTCCAAGCATGTCCCAGACATGCTCGATGGGGGAGAGGTCGGGACTCAGTGCTGGCCAAGGTAATGTGGTGATGTTGTTGGAGGTAACCTGTAACGATCCTGGCCCTGTGACATCTTGCGTTGTCATCCTGGAAGATGAAACGGCGGCCATGACGTCGTGCGAACGGCACAACATGGACTGCCAAGATGTTGTCCCGGTAGTACTGGCCTGTAACACGCCCTGCAACAACATGTAAAGCCGTTCTTCCAGCAACAGTGATGCCCCCCCACACCATAACAGAACCACCCCCAAATCGATCATGTCTGATGACGTTAACGTCTTGGAAGCGCTCGTTTCGACGACGCCACACCCTCATACGTCTGTCCAAAAAATCAACAGTGAACCTTGACTCATCTGAAAACATCACATTGCTCCAGCGTCGATTATCCCAGTGTTGACGATCCCTACACCAACGACGTCTTGCCTGAATGTGATGATCTCTCAAACAAGGGATCACGCGAGGACGTCGGGCGCGAAGGTGACCCCTATGCAGTCGATTCCGAATCGTCTGGCCACTCACTCTCACACCAGTGTCTGTTTGAAGACGAGCGCTGATCTGATTTGCTGTGATGACACGATTTCTCAAGGCCAAGGTACGGATAAATCGATCCTGGGCTTGAGTTGTCGCCCTTGGTCGACCTGAGCGTGGTCTGTCCTGTACAGATTGTGTATCACGGTATCTGGACCATAGCCTGCTTATGACAGACTGAGAAACATTCATCGTCCGCGCCACAACCGCCTGTGTTGTGCCGATCTGTAGCATGCCAAGGGCACGTAACCTTTCATTTTGGGTAAGCCGACGCATATCAAAATTTGTTTTCTGGTCACTAAAACAATTAAACTGATGTTTCCACCCTGGAATTCAATGCCACAATGACTGTAACATTCAAAGTCAGAGTCGTGCAAATCATGGGTTGGACCCCCATGATGATCCCAAGCATCACCTGCATTCCATGCGGTAGCTATTGGTGCGTTTGGGCGTCACATGTAACTGGAAATGTTTCTTCTGTTAGGTTCTATAGTGCCTTTTTTCGTAGTCATTTGCATATTTTAGTATTATGCCCCCAAAATCAAATATCCCCTACTTTTTTTGAATAGTATATATGCTCAAGACTAAAGTTATTCTACCATTCGGTATTCGCATACAACCCCTTTTGTCTGAGGCTGGTATCAGCCTTGACAGTATTGCGAATACCCCTTTCTTTGGGACTCCACCGTGGGCTGTGTCTCCCCCAAAGATCGTCTTCGATCTTACACAACATAAAAAGAGAGATACTAGCTCAACGGTTTTTCAGTCTGTATTTCGAGAGCTGAGGTCTAAATATGGTGATTATGCTCAAATTTACACAGATGGTTCGAAAGATGATGTTCGGGTAGCTTCGGCTACCGTGACACCATATCTGTCCGCCTTCCACCTGCTGCTTCCATCTTTACAGCTGAACTCCAGGCCATTCTTCAGGCTTTGGAGTTCATTCAATCATCATCTAACTTAAAGTATATAATTTTTACTGATTCTTTGTCTTCGTTACAAGCAATAAACAATAAACAGCTTGATCACCCATTTATAGTCTGCTATTATCTAACGGGTTGATCAGCAAGGACATTGTCCTTTGCTGGCTCCCCAGTCATATGGATATCAAAGGGAATGATCAAGCAGACTCGGCTGCCAAGTCTGCTTTAGATCTTCCCATATCTGAATTTTTAACTCCATATACAGATTTTAAAACGTCTATTAATCATTTTATTTATGACCGCTGGCAACGGTCTTGGGATCTTGCAGGCACAAACAATCTTCATCACATTAAGCCTCTCTTAGGAGACTGGCCAAGCTCCTACAGGTCTAACAGGAGAGATGAAGTTGTTTTGTGTCGCTCTCGCATTGGTCATACCTTTTTAACGCATATTTTCATATTAAAGCGAGAGCCTCAACCAGAATGTGAGCACTGTCTTGTTCCTTTGACAGTGAAGCACATTTTGATTGAGTGCAAGCATCTCAAGGATATTAGATCGCATTTTTATCATTGTCAATCATTACATCACATGTTTGCCCAACCGGGTTTATATGGGAAAGTGTTAGACTTTTTAAGAGACAGGTTTTTATCATAAATTTTAATTTGTATTTATATATCATTTCATTTTTGTATTTTAGATAGTTATATGCATAAAAGATAGATTTTATTTTTAATGGTACTTACTGTGATATTGTTTTTATTTATGCATGTAATTTGTTCTGTGATATAATTTAGCCTGTCTCCAAATAATCACCATATGTTTGGCGCAATATAGCCCGGTTAGAGCTGACGTGCCATAAAACCACATTTCATTTCATTTCATTTCAGAAATTTCTAGTGTGGTTTCCCCTTTTCAGTGGTACAGGACAGAGGGCCTGACAAGGACAGCTGTCTAGTCATTCGGATGGGACGAAAACCAAGGTTCCTTGTACACATTGGTGTGCATGTAAAAGATCCCTTGGCAGTTCGAATTCGGTATAAGAGTAGGCCGTAGTGCTGCTGTCCACACAAAATTTCCCTCATAGCACAATGTATGGGATATGCCCATCTTCATTAGCCCAGTCGGAGAAGAACAGTAGGACGTTAAACCCCATTTCATTTCATTTATCATTGTTTTCCATGACCGACAGAATAAAATTACATATACACTTTAGATTAAGAACGATAACCTGATTATCTAAAAAAAAAAAGAGAGGGAGAGAAATGGAGTTTAACATCCACTCGACACAATCTAGGTCATTTCGTGACTAACATATGGTTCAATTTTATTTCCATAATTCGCTTGCGCATAGGAGTCTTTTAGCAATGGGAGGAAGCCGGAGGACCTGGAGAAAACCCACGAGATTGGACTGATTATCTAAAAACATAACATAATCTGAACATAACAAATAAATACTTAGAATAAAAAACAAAACAATGTTTACATTACGATCAGTAAAATAATTTTAAAAATCTGATAAACAATTCATCTAAAGCTAAAACTATTTCATCTGAACATCTTAAAGCCGAACATGAGACATCACAGTTTTATTCACTATCAGGTTCTTAAAGGAGAACACAGGGGTTTATTCACTATCAGGTTTAAAGGAGAACATGAGACTTCACAGTTTTATTGCATTATCAGGTTTAAACCACATGTCCGACAAGTTTAATTAGTTCCTGCTTGAATCCAACCAGCGAACTTTCAATGTGGAAGATGTATACACGCTATCCAATCAGTTTTAATGGTGGCCTACTGGCTGAATGTGGTATACATAATATTAACCGGGTTCATTCAGTTATTCACAATATATTTACATTTATACAACCTATCCTGAATGGAATACAAGCCTGCAAGGTACCTGTCACACATAAATTTAAAAATAACTTCACAATGACATCATTGCAGTCATCTTGGAATTATGACATCATAAAAACAAAAAGATGATGTGCAATTGTCCAAGGAACAAGAATGTCAAGTTTTATGTTGATTGTACTTGCATTGGAAGTATCTTAGACTTGTACGAAGACAGTCAAACAAGAAAAAGAAGAACAAGCAGAAGAGTAGAATTAAATCTAAAACAATTCTAAAAATAATAATAAAAAAAGCCCCTTGTAAAACATGTATTAATGTAGTAAGCATCATTAGGCCATTTTCCATATAAAGTAGTCATCATTATTAAGCCTTATGCCATGTGGTCATTGTTTGTTCATCCAATAGTTTGTCGGTATGATGGTTCATGTGGACCAGTTCCCATTTTTTCATCCACGGACCTTGTATGGTTACATCAAATTCATCTTGACCCTTTTGCTGTAATTATAAAACAATAATACATGTACAACATATGATATTCAGTCGGTTATATCTATCTATCTATCTATCTATATGCCACTTTTAGTTTCAAAGGCAGATCAGGGTGGCTAAGTGGGTAAGGTGCTGACTCACTATCCTGGAGGTCGGATGTTCGATCCCTGCATTGGCTGAGAAAGTTCATCTAGATTTCCGGCATGGTTCTCCCTTGTCAGTGATGCAGGACGGAGGACCTGACAAATACAAGGTCCTGAGGTCCCGTGTATACAGTGTGCTATGACGGAAATTTTGCCTGGACAGCGTCACTACGGCCTACTCTTATTTCAAATTCCAACTGTCAAGGGATCTTTTACATGCGCACCAATGTGTACACAGACCATCCGAACAACTATACAATGTACCTTGCCAGGCTTTCCGTCCTACATCACTGACAAGCGGGAACCACTCCGGAAAATCCTGATGAACTTTAATGGCCAACGCAGGGATGGAACACGGGAGCCAATGTCCTACCTACTGGGGAGGTTGGATGGCAGAATGGTTAGCATGTGCACGCTGTATCATAAGGTCTGTCATTGAGTCAACTGGCGTGGGTTTGATTCCCAGGTTGTATGTGACAAGGAATAGGGTCACCTGTACAACCTCATGGGTTTTCTCTGGGTCCTCCAGTTTCCTCCCACTGCTAAAAAAGACCCCTATAAGCGCAAGAGAATTATTGAAATAGAATTGAATCATGTGTTAGTCCCGAAATGACCTAGTTTGTGTCGAGTGGACGTTAAACCCCATTTTCTCTCCTTTCCAACTGAGCCATGGTGGCTCTGTATTAGTAAAAGTCATTTATCTATAAATGCATGACATCAACTTTACGGTCCCATTTTATTTTATTCTTACCCCATCTTCTTTAATTAGTTCAGCTGCTATGATATGACGATCAACACCATCGAATGCTGACCAATCCATTTTAAAGTCTGGGTTTTTAGCTGTACGCATTATAATGCATTCTTTCATATCGTAAAATCCTGGTGAGGGTCCTGTCTGCTGCCAGCGGAAATCTAAACTCCATCTTATTTCATTGGACATATTTGGCAAACTATAAAATAGGAAGAAAAAAATGTAGTGAAATGGGGTCATATGTTAAAGTAGCTAAGTCTCCAAACCAATATCATCTAAAGTCTTTGCACATTATTTGTCAATTTAAATCAATATTGATGTTGTGATCTTACTGAGAAAAGATGGGCTTCTGATATCCGATATTTAAGAAAAAATAAACATTTTAATATTGGTACACGAATCGTGTACCATAATGTGTTTCAGCGCCATTTGTAACAAGGGACTCAAAGAACTAGGCTAGACATATTCCACAAGTCGTGTCAATGTCCTGGGGGTCAAATATTACCAATTTAGCTGCTTGAATCATTGAGTGAACAATCCAACAGTGAGGGTGATGTCCCCAGCTTTAAGTGGTGTATATCTGCAGATAAGTTTCCTATAAAATCAGCTCAAATTATGGCACTACATGAAAATTTCAATTCACCTTCCTAGCAGTCACTGATGGAAATTGGGCTATGACATGGTCATAGTTTACTTCCGTAGCTTATGAAGCAGAATGCTCTTGCTGTCAGTATCTCTCAGCGGCACCTTCTTCAAGTGGCTCGCAGGGCACGTGCCCAAACGTCAGACGGTAGATAAACTACTGACTGCCCTAATCCCAAAATATCTAGATAACACACATTAATTGCTTGCATAATTATGTTTATAAAGGGCATCAAGCACAAATTGCTCACTACCGAACATAGTCAAGGTATGGATGTAATATGAATCTATGGCTAAATCTATTTGTTAAGGCCAGCTCATTTTTTGTCAACATCGCTGAGATATAAATAAGGTTAGGGCTTGTGACTGTTGGCGAGATTGCAAGTTAAAGTTTAGCACTGGGGTTAGGTACAGGGTTAGGATTGGCGCTAGTCCTGTTTACATCTCGTGACCTATGACAAAAAATTGCGCTGGCCTTATCATTTAGCACTAACCATGAATCTATACACAAGGTTTCATCAATCTCCACTCAATGTGTATCTCTGCTTAGCCTTAGACATACACCCAATGAACATTTACACCAACTCTGAACATTCTTCCTCAATTAGTAGTAGATTTACTGTGTCCACAAAAGTGTGACAGGCAAACAGATAACGGATAAACTAATTTTACACTGTGGCCCGGGTATCATTTAGTCTTGTGTATCTAACACTAATTTCTTTCACATTTGTTTAATATCAAATCTTTGTTCCAAAATTTGTAAGAATCATTTAAAATCACCAAAAGTTATCTAATTTGTCCAATTTAAAGCTGACCATTCAATTTTGATGACGACTGACCAATTTACAAGTGTTTAATTTCTCTATGACAGTTAAAGAATAAACAGCAGAATTGATTATTGTTGTATAATGATCAATTTTTGAAAAGTGGTCAGGAAATTTTTCGTACAATCAGGGGCCATAATTCAGGAAGTTACGATCCGATATGCGCGAATATCGAAAGGAACCAAGATCTTTGGGTTATAAACATGCATTTTAAGTTTCATCAAACTCAGAGCAAAATTGTGACCTCTAGAGTGTCCACAAGCTAAAAACGCGATTTTTCGTACAATCAGGGGCCATAATCCATGAAATTATGGTTTGATACATGCAAAAATAGAAAGGAACCGATATCTTAGGGAGATAAAGCTATATTTCAAGTTTCGTTGAAATCGGATAAAAATTGTGACCTGTAGAGTGTCCACAAACAAATTGTGGACGGACGGACGGACAAGGGCGACGACAATATACGTCCACATGAAAATATGGGCGTATAAAAGATTTGACATTAAACAAATGTAAAAGAAATTAGTACTAGATACGTGCACAAGATTAAATGATACCTGAATTACAGTGTTAATAGTCCCCAGCTTTCTTCAAAAGGAGGAGGACCCAAAAATTTGACTAGTTATAGTTGATGACAGCTGATCCCATTTTCTCGTTCTCATTCCAGCTATAATGAATTTGTCACAGTTGACAACAATAAAGGCGCGAATCCAGGGGGGGGGGGGGGGGTCACCTGGCGCACGCCCCCTCTCCCTATTTTTTGCGGTGGGGAACAATTTTTGCTCCATATACTTGGTTGATTGCCCATCAGTCCGCCCACCAAGGGCCGGGCTTCGCACGCCCCCCCCCCCACCTTTCTGAAAATCCTGGATCCGCCCCTGCAATATACATCGACATTCAAAGTACCCTATACAGTTGGTATGCAAGGTGAATTAACAATATGTTAGTCTCAAAATGACAAGAGATAAAATATCATTACCTATGATGTGGTATCATGTTATTCAACAGCAACATTCCCCCATATGGAATTGGACAACATTTTATATCTTTTTCTAAATCAACACCTAAAAACAACATAAAAGAATTAAATTAAAGATACACAGGTATCGTTTAGATTTGATGAAAAAAGGAAAGAAACTGAGCTTACCATCTATAATCTAATACACATATTCATGCAGAAAGTGTTACCATCAAGATTCATCAAAAACCGCCCAGTTTGTGCTACCGTTTAGTTTGACATCCGTTGTCTAGTTTATGAAACTAAATGGACATAAACTGGATGACCAGTATCAAAACTAAACTAAATGGTCATAAACTAGATGACCGATGTCAAAACTAAATGGTGTTTCTTAAACTAAACGGTAGCACAAACTGGGAGTTATTTGATGAATCTTGATGGTATTTAATACTTTCTGGGTGGCAATCTATTAACTGAATATGTGTATTAGATTATAGATGGTAAGCTCAGTTTCTTTCCTTTTTTCATCAAATCTGAATGATACACGGTCCCTAGTGATTATGGAAGATTAGATAAAGATCTGGCAGTTCTCACTATAATAGTTAAAAACTAGATGATGTAAAGAGAATATGCTGAATATTTCAGTCAAAATGCTTCACTCTAAGCCGAGAAAACCTGATTTTAAAATCACTGTAGCCTTGATTGTCATTGTTACAAAGTCTTGATTATCCATTTTTGCATTTAATCATCAATAGACAATGAACAGCAGATCGGATTCAAATCTAATGAAAATCAGAGAGGTACGATGGCATCGAGAGTTGATTATGGTTCGGATAAGTTAATTAATGTATAATTAATAATTTAGATAACATTTCAGGCCTAATTATAAAGACAGACCTGCAATTAGCAGATTTAGCTTTTGCATAATGCATGTTTAAAAGTATGTCCAACGGATAGCAGCCTCCATAACTTTAAGTTCACAACACTTAGCTAAACCTTGTTTAATATCATCTATAATCCAGTCCACAATTTTTCTCTGAATTTTTGTTTTTACAAACTAAATCCACAGAGAAGGTCTTCTCCTTCACGTAGACAAAATAAGAAGAGTAAGTGCATGCTTTACAAATCTCATCTTTAACAATTTATCCGCGATGAAGGCCTATCGAGATCGTGCACCAAGTTTGTGTTGCCGTTACTAAGTGTAACTGTAAATATGAATTTAGCGAAATGTCACAATGTGCAGTTACACTTACATATCTAAATGTAAATGCACATTCTGATGTTTCACTAAGTTTGTGCCACCACCTACTATTGTGATAGTGTGGAATTTTGGTGTTTTAATTATATAATAGGTTTTAGTCTATACTGCACTTCACTGACAGCAGCTTAATAAACAATAACAAACTTTCACTTTCATCTGATCTTTGAACCCTTATATTCATAGTCACTGGATGTTCAGCTTCTGGACTGGTCTTTGTAACAACATCAGTGACTATCACCTCATCATCTCCTTCGATACTTTTCCTAACAAAACCAACTTCCTGGGTTACAGGGGTAACAATTGAAATCAGTCTAACTTAGGAATTTGAATGTGTCAGATGTATAAGATTATCTTCAAATCTTAAACTTGTATTTGGCGCTCAAAGTTTTATAAGTTGTTCCAATTACTGAAGATACTTTTGTTCAAGTCTTCATTGATCAAATTAAGGTATGTGTATTTGAATATCATTGGTATTGTCTGGGGATGTGGTGAATGTAAGATGTGTAAATTAGTTATTTCATATATTATTCTTTACATACACAGTAAAATACATTTATACATATTCAACAGCTCTTAAGCGATATGTATTAACATTTAGTAATTAGGTTTAGTTTAAGTTTAGTTTTAGCATAGAATAATCATAGAATCATTTGATTATATAGGATACCTTCTAGCTGCTAGAGTGTTACATGGTTGTGTTGTTTCAACACAAAGATCTTTAAAACCCCTTCTAGGGTATGTTATTTTATATAGGTATTATCTAATAATTAGAGATATGACAGAAATTATTACTGTAAAGATATGAGTATAGAATTAAATATATAGTATAATTATAATACAGTGTAATGTAATGTTTGATGTGTTTTAAAGTGTATTATATGTATTATAAATTAAATGTTGGTGATGTTAATTCTATGTATGTATATTTTTACAGGATTTTTAATAAAGATTTTAACAGCCTCGTCTTTTGTTTGAATTAGACCCTGTTACACTATACGTGTAACTGTAAGTATGAATTTAGCGAAATGTCACAATGTACAGTTCCACTTATACTTATCTAGAAGTAAATGTAATTGTTAAGTTGCGAAACCTCTCTAATATTGCAAAATTTGCAAGACATTAAACATCCTTCAAATAAAAATCAGTGGTTTCTAATTTTATCGTTTACCCATGATATTTGATCAATCAAATTACCAAGTGTTTTTTTTCATTTCTTCTTCTTCCAGGAATGACATACCAAGTTCCTCTATAGCAACACTGATGTTGGGCAACCTTCCCTAGTTTATGTCCACCTGCTGCAACCTATAACAATATTGTTATATGTAAGAGCTAAAGGCTTTTTTTTATATTTGTTTCAAAGAGAAGAGAACAAGATGGCCAAGAGAACAAGATGGCCACCGAAAGATTGTAGTGTGTCTTGCTCTACATTGTTTTTTAATTTGTACTAGGATTAAATTGTTATATTTGGATAATTTTAGGATATCTTCCTCATAAAGTTATAAAGATTTGATTGGTAGAAAAACTTTACCTAGAAATGTTTTATTTTCGATTGATTTGGACAATTTGTCTATATTTTATATGTTTTCATTTAAAAGAGAACGATTACCCATGATGATCACATACACTAGAGATAAACTTTTCTCACTTAACCTGACAACAACAAAAGATTATGTGAGTGATTTGTTAGATTTGTATCCTGAGCTAAAAGTGAACTTTAAAAGTGTGTCTACTGAGATAAGAACTGTTCAAGTGTTGATTACAACCAAACCAAGAAAACCTCGTGAAAATGAAATGAAATGAAATGAAATGGGGTTTAACGTCCTACTGTTCTGCTCCTAAACTGACTAATGAAGACGGTCATACGCCATACAGTGTGCTATGAGGGAAATTTTGCCCGGGCAGCAGAGCTACGGCCTACTCTTATATCGAATTCCAACTGACAAGGGATCTTTTACGTGCACGCCAATATGTACACGGGACCTCGGTTTTTCGTGCCATCCGAACGACTAGACAGCTGTCCTTGTCAGGCCCTCCGTCCTGCATCACTGACAAGGGGAAACCACGCCGGAAAACCTGGATGAACTTTCTCAGCCAATGCAGGGATCGAACACCCGACCTCCAGGCTAGCGAGCCAGCGTCTTACCCACTTAGCCACGTGATCCCCAGACAACCTCGTAAGAACAGAGGTATTAATCTGGGCAACATTCAAGAACTAACCCAAGTTGAGTCGATCCCTTCGATAATTACTCACAGAAACACCCAAAGCCTCAAAACTGAATCCAAAATTAACCCAAATAATTTAGTGTCAATAAAAAAAATTTCCAAATACAGTGAGCCACAAAATATTCGTTTTGGATTATAGAACGCTCGCTCAATATGCAATAAAGTAGCCACGGTTTGTGCAGAAATTTTGGAAGATAGCAGGGATATTTTTATAGTGTCAGAAACATGGCTGTCGGATGTCAAAGACAAATGTATATCCAGTGAATTTCTTTCCTCTCTCTGGATATAACTTTCATAGTTGTTCACGGAATAGTCGTAAAGGAGGTGGTGTAACAGCTTTCGCCATCAACAGTCTCAATACCAAGGTAAATACAACTAAACACCGTAGATTATTTGAATGCCAAAAAGTATGTATAAATGGTAAATTTTCAAATTCAATAGAACTTAAATATGGTGTACCCCAAGGAAGTGTTTTAGGTCCAATTTTATTTACCCTATATTGCTCCCCACTAGAGGAAATCATTATACACCATGGCCTAGATCTCATGCTCTATGCAGATGACACCCAGTTATACCTCAGGTGCAAACAAGTGGCAAATAGCATATGTAGAATAGAGCAATGTATTACTGAAATTAGGATGTGGATGATGGAGACCAAATTAGCTCTAAATGATAAAAAAACAGAGGTTCTACACTTTTATTCTAAATTTTCAAGAAAAGAAAACTTTAATATTATAGATACACTTATAGTTGGTGATTCATGTGTTAATTCCTGCACAACTGTTCGTAATTTGGGTTTTAATTTCAACTCTGTTTTATCTTTACAAAATCATACTTCTATAGTTTGTAAATCTATATCATACTCGTTATTCCTTATTGGGCGTATAAAATGAAATGAAATGGGGTTTAACGTCCTACTGTTCTGCTCCTATACTGGGCTAATGAAGACGGGCATACGCCATACAGTGTGCTATTATTGGGCGTATAAGAAATTTTTTAAATCGAAAATGCACAGAGTCACTAGTTCACGCTTTAATCACCTATCATCTCGACTTCTGTAACAGCCTTCTCTATAATCTTAAGCCCAAGCACAGCACTCTGGATCGTCTTCAACTTCTTCAAAACTCTGCCGCCCGTTTAGTCACTCGCAGTAGATTGCATGAACATGTCACTCTTATCTTACACGAACTTCATTGGCTTCCTGTCTGTCAACGCATAAAATTCAAAATTCTCATCTTTACTTTTAAATGTCTCCACAACCAAGCACCTCTTTATATTTCAGAACTACTAACAACATGGGTTCCACAGAGGTCCACTCGTCAGGCTACATTTGAAGGGGGAGGGGTTAGACTAAACCTACCAGAGTATACCGGGTACGTGTGACTTCTATGGATCCCATGCTTTCTCTATTGCTGCACCCACTCTTTGAAATGACCTGTCACCCAAAATTCGCACAATAGACACTTTAACTTCTTTTAAAAGAGCCCTTAAGACCTTACTTTTTAAAGAATATTACTCAGTAAATTTTTAACTTTTAAGTATTTTATTCAATGTTGTAAATCATTTTATTTAAATCTCTTATATTGTAGTACTTTTACTACCTTTCCTACTTTTATAATGTTATTTATATATTTCTTATCTTGTATATTTTTGCATTTTATTTGTATTTTACTCTGTAAAGTCCATCGAGATGTATATGTGATTGACTATAATCAATAAATTATTATTATTATCAAATTTTATATAAATGATTATTTAGACATTTATTTACATCACAAGCCCATAATTTAATCTCTAGGCCATTAGATGGTTGAGATTTTAATTGGATTAATTGGTTAAAGCTAAAATGAAAAATAAAGACTTATTACCGTAGCAATGACAATCAAGACTATGCTGTTCTAGTCAAAACTTCAAACATTCATAACTTTGCTCAGTGAAGCAATTTTATTAAAATTTCAACATGATATTTATTATTTATATTTAAACTATTGTAGCAAGAATGTCCAGCTCTTTATCTATTTCTTACATAATGCAACTTGAAGTCACTAGTGTGTACAGGGTATTCACTATGAGAGCAGTTTATAATCAATATCAAAACTTACCCTCATACAACCATTTTGCTCAGTAGCATTTAACAATGGAATCCAAGCTGTTGGTTGAAGTACTTTATAGGAATGATTATCCAGGTACGCAGAATCTATAAAACAAGAGGGATGTGGGGTTTAACATCCACACACAAAAAACTAGGTCATTTATGGTAAATCACTAATACAAATGTATTGATAACATCTTACATCTTATTGTAATTATGATATATAATCTAATTGTAAATATGATATATAATAGGCCTGTAAGAGATGTGACGTCATCCTTGGATGTTAGCGTGCCATTATTTCAAATAATGGTATGTGGCAATGTGCCAAAGCGTACGTTATTTATACTAGTTAAAATTTTGGACCCGTGTGACATATTTCATTGCAAAGCATGTGTGAGTGTCTGTATTTCAAGTTGTTTAATGGTCTCGAGTGTAATGTATTGAAACAACAACTCGTGATTACGTCACTCATGTTGTTTCAATATATTACTTAATATCTCACTCTCGACCATTAAACCACACTTAGTACACATATTTATATTCAAACAGAGTAACGTCCCCTCAGTCATATCAAGACCCCAACATTTTTGTATCTTTGTTCAAACTATTCACCTGCACACGTGTTATTTTTTGTGGGTGGATGGAATGGTGGCACTTCAAGTAGCTACAAAAAAAGCTTAAAAATAACCCCTGAGATCAAACTCATGACTTGCACAGCTGATAGTGATACACAGTGGTGACCTATTGGTCTCCAGCGGGGCATTAATGGGAATGATACAGCATTGGCCAAGTTTTAGCGAAAAAAAACCCACAAGTACCTTGATGCCAAGGAACAGTGGTGGCTTCATTCTGGGGAGTTTTCGTCCGAAGATTCGAAACTGGATGTCCTGATATTTCCGGTCCAATCAGTTGTTCAACCACATTTAATAATCTTTCATTGGTCCATAAATTCTTCAAGGGCTGTGAAATTAAATAGCGTAAAATTGATATAAAACTGAGACAAAATAAGCGTAAAAAAAACAAATAATGCCAGTGATCAAAGTAGCCTGTCTGAGTCACTTTTCTTATTTTGATTTTCATCCACCAGGAGATCTTTAACGTACTGCCAATGGTAAAAATTGGATCTCGGGTTTGACATCCCATCCAAATGACTGGATGCTTTTACTTCCCATCCCCTTTGTTCCCCACAACTGACAAGGGAAGACAAGACTGGAAAATCCCAGAATACATCTTTTAGTTTAAGTCCAGAATAATGGTCTTAATAGAGGCTTCATCAACAATAGTAAAAAAGCTTTAAAATGAAATGAAATGGGGTTTAACGTCCTACTGTTCTGCTCCAACTGGGCTAATGAAGACAGGCATACGCCATACAGTGTGCTATAAAGGAAATTTTGCCTGTATTTTTTATCTCTTCTTGTATAGTTTATCTATGTGAAACAATTTTTGATAAAAAATTTGATTATCATCAGTATGTTATCTTTCCAGCTGTTTTATTAAATAATCTTTTAGTAACTGGATAGAACAATAAACTATAACACAAACCAAGTCATTTCGGGACTTACATATGATGTGTTCACTTATATTTCAATAAATTGTTTGTCTGTGGGGGTGTTTAGCAGTGGAGGAAACAGGAAGACCCAAAGAAAACCCCCAAGGTTGTGATCAAAACCATGCAACTTGACTCAATTACAGACCTCATGGAATTCATTATTGTCCTCGACTACCAAGTTGCCACCTGATTATATGTCTAGCATGAATATATTAAAATGGTACTGTATGCATTACCTGTGTGACGCCCATGATTACCTGTGGCAGTTGGCCTGCTTTATGAAGAAGTATATTGGCACCTGGGAACTCTCTTTCTAAATGGGTCAATCACTCAAATAATCCATATTCATTATATAATTCTGAAAGAAAACCAACCAAATCTTTAAAACACTGTTATACATCAACAATCATTATACATCAATAATTATTGGGGTTGTTTACTTTTTAACAAATTAAAAATTGTGAAATTAAAAGCTAGTAAATTGGATGGACACTCATTATCAAAACTGAATGGTCAGCTTTAAACTGGACACAAGTTCAAATTCAATGTTTTTTAGTGTTTTTTAGAGATTTTAAATGATTTTTACGAATTCTTTAACAAAGATTTGATATTAAACGAATGTGAAAGAAATTAGTGCTAAATACACAAGATTAAATGATACCCAGATTACGGTGTTAGATTAATTTTCACAATATTTTAGTTTGCAAGAGTTTCAAAACTCCTAAAATGACAAGAAGAGTCTAACAGAATCCACACTAACTGTTTATACCAAATTGTAAAAGATTAAAGGAGCTAAATCGTTAAAACTGAATGGTCAGTATTAAATTGGACACATGTACAAATTAGATGCTTTTTGGTGATTTTAAACGATTTTTTACAAATTTTTAAACAAGGCTTTGATATTGAATGAATGTGAAAGAAATTACTGCTAAATACACAAGATTAAATAATACCCGGTTTACAGTGTTATATTCTTTCTAGAGATTATTTTAGTTTGCAATAGATTCAAAACTCCTAAAATGACCAAAAGAGACTATAACAGAATCCACACTAACTGTTTATATCAAATTGTAAAAGATTAAAGGAGCTAAATCACTAAAATTTAGGGCTTAGAAATTGACACAAATGGGTTGCAACACATATAATAATGTAATATGAATGTATATCAACTGATTTACATTCAATCGTTTTCGTTTTCAAATCTCTTATATTCGGCGAAATACACCAGAAGTCTCAATCAAATGGCAATCTCTAGCATCTAGTTATTCCAATCTACACTGATAGTATTTATTGCACAGTATTTATTGCACATGCTTTTCAGATAAGAATATGGCGTCATCATTTGAATGACTTGTGGAATATGTCTAATCTCGTTCTTCGAGTCCCTTGTTACAGATGGAGCTGAAACACATTATGGAACACGATTCGTGTACCAATGTTAAAATGATTATTTTGTCTTAGATATTGGATATCAGAAGCCCATCTTTTCCCGTTAATATCGCAACATCAATGTTGATTTCAATTGACAAATAATTCGTGTTTTCAGTGTCAAAGATTTTAGATGATATTGAGTTAGAGACTTAGCTACTTTAAAAATTTGTGTATTTACGTTTTATTTTTCCAGCCTTATAAAGTTTATTGGCCAAACCATCTACCATATCTTTAATTGCTGCACAACATGGATCCAGTTCTTTTTCACAATCAAAAAATCAATCCACAACAACATAACCCTAGAAAATAATTTAAAATGTACTCATATTTATTGAATAAACAGGTAAGCCTCCGTGCACTCCCCCACCCCTATTGAAGATGTATTATATACTCTTCAAAAAAAGTAGGGGATATTGAATTGCAAATACCTATGCAGGTTGTGATATGATAAATAGTCATGGACACTTGACATGCTTTGAGAGTATGTTCACAGATGAAGAACGTATCACCCCAACAGAACCACTGAGCTGCACATGCGACACGCAATAGTGCCATACACATGGGAGGGGTACATTGTCAAATGTGACACTTCAAGGAAGAGTTGATGAAAACTGCCGCGTGCTGGTTTATCTATCCATGTTTGCTTTGCTATCGGTTCTTGCATAAGATTTACTTTTTAGCATATCTTTGCTTTAGTGTGTTACGTTTAATTTGATCGGGAGACGTGTTCGTCGACGTTAACGTCCACCGACAACACTGCAAGAATTGACCGTGGCACTGCAAGAGGAGTGGGACAGATTGCCCCAAATCGTGATTGGACGGTTGATTACGAGCATACCACGATGAATTGCTGAATGTCTGAGGATTGGTGGAGCAATTATTCATTATTAAGACAAAAATCAAAAACATCCATTTTCCCTTTTGACAGTGTGTCTCTTTGCGAGTGAAGTGGGGCCGTCAGATAAGCTGCCCATATGAACCGTTTATGTTCATGTGTAGGCAATTGGCCTGTTATTAACATACATTGGTTACCTCTAATAAAAACAGCAGTGCATTTCCACAGTTTTGTATTGTTTCTGAATATCCCCTACTTTTTTTGAAGAGTATATAAGAGCTAAATCTGCCTATAGCAGTCTTTCTTCTGGCTACAAATGTTATATAATTTATTATTTAGACATCTATTCACATGACAAGCCTAAAATCAACTCTCTAGAACATTGGATGGCTGAGATTTAAATGGATTTGATTTCCTGGTTGTCCAGTACTGTTGCTACAATAATAAACGATCTATGCTAAATCTTCAAACATCTTCCCCCAGGATAAAGTAATCTGGATGTAATTTTGAATATATTCTTTTTTTGAATTATTATAGCAAGTACGACCAGCTTGTTATTTAAATTATACGTAATGCATCTTTAAAGGTACGGTACAGAAATAATTTGTCAGAAGATGTTACAATCTTGGTGCTATAAAATCGACCCTAACTAAATTGTAAAAAATCTGTAAATAGGCGAACAGCCTTCCCAGATTTCTCTCAGCTACTAGTTTCGTTCTTATTCGAACTCTTCAGCCTTAAATGAGGATGTGCGGTGGCACATGGGATGTCACAGATGGACCGGAGTCGATCTTTGGCACCGGAGTCGATTATTCCGAAAAGTGTGCAAAGATATTCGGCTAAGAATTTGCCGTCATGATTATGATTATTTGCATTGACTCAAGGCTCCTAACCCTTTTGATCTCTAAGTTTAAAGTGCACATAAGATGGTCCCGGAAACTTCGAGATACGTGTAGCCAATGGTTACTATATCCACTTTACGGCAAGTTCACGCCAATCTGGTTGAAATTAATTCAGTTATCTTCACTCAAAGTCGTAAAAATAGACCTTCCGTGAAAACGGCTTTGCCAATTATCGAATGCATATTCGGAATGTTTATTCCTTAATTACCTATATAGAACCGGCGTGTGTATTCTTTAACGCCTGAAGGATTCCTTAATCCCCCTAATTAAATAAAACAATTGACTACGGAATAATTTGTTTTGTAATTCATTTTAATTTAAGATCCAATTTAGAGTGCCTACAACTTTTAAACTTTGAAGTCCTGAACTCTTAATTAATTTTTTACAATATGGAACTTATTGGACAAATACTTTTAATATGTAAGTAATATACGGGTCCAGCGATGTGGTTTTTACTGCGAGCACTTTGCTTTTCCACATAAAGTGTAGTGTCGTTAATATCTGTCATTAATTAATCAATCCGACTATAAAAGTTATACAGGCATGGGTCATAAATTATTTTCAAGTTGGTGTTAACAGTGAGTGTTAGTGGGATTAAGAATGTTGATTAGGTAATTATCTTTTTTTACGCTGGTCAGATCAAAGACATCACTCTAAGTGGAACGTGTGCATAATACCTCACAAACGAACTAATGGTAGAATCATACACACACACATTAATTGTATAAAATAATTAAGTTTTACTAATAAGTTGTTTAAAATTACTATATACCCAATAATTATTGCCCAACAGTGTTTTTGTAATCAAGTAGCCTCGTATTATTTGTTGATTGGCGTTTAAACAACATTTAAGTGATGGATGGATTAACGTTTTTGATACGACTAGGTTATAATGTCTAACATCGGTTATCTTCTTTATAATAAAAGTATTTTACAATTGCATCTCCTATTTTAACTTTCATTATGACAAAGTGAGAAGATGACCCGCCCTCTCTTCCCACGACAACGATTTTAAAACCATTTTTAAAACCGTGTTTTAAAGTGATTTTTAGATATACAAGAACTTTTAATTATTTTAAATCTGTTTTAAAGTGACGTTTAGATATACAAGAACTTTTTATTATTTAGTGTTTTTACCTAACTTTTATTTTTTATTTAAGTAAATAACTTAATTAAATCAATTTGTCCATAATATCATGCATTTTGTATTGGACGTTAAATTTGTAATAAACAACAACAACAACAGCATTGACAGTTTAATCACTCACCAAACGGCACCAGGAACTCCACGAATGATCCCATGCAATTTTTGCGGCGAAGTTTAACCTCATTTACTACACCCGTAGTACATGGAACGGTACATGATAATAAGATACCAAGCGTTGATTGGCAGAGAAATGAGTGCGATCTATTGTACATGTTATGCATAGTCATCGGAAAATTCCATATTCACTGTAGTTGTTCTTTATGTATAGAAATGGTTATTATTATTATATATAGCTAATAATGAATACATGTATATCGACAAATAGATGACACCATTTGTATTTCTGTACTTAAGTTTGGGATATCAATTTATTACGGGGTTATCCAAATTACCGGTAAATGAGCTAATTTCTTGAGTCATCTTCATTTGACACGTGGCCTATTTAAACAAAGGCAGCTTAAATTGATCTACGGCATGATACGGCATTTTAAATTCACTCTAAAATATTCCAATCACAAATGTCTAATCTATACCAATGAATGAAGATAATTCGGTGATTATGATTAGGCCAGTCACGTGGTAATTGGACCGTCAATAGACGCTTGTCCAGTTGCCGTGTGTATTGATAGTGCTATATTGTACATACAGTGAGATATTGTATAGATAATGTATATCCTATGTGTAGTGCCTGTGACGTCACCAGCCAATCAACCGGATTAAGGTCGTAATTGAAAAATTGAAAAGCGTTTTGGCGTGTCGGATACTTAAACGTTAACAGCAGACTTAATTTTAATCAGATTGGTGTGAACTTGCCGTAAAGTTGATATAGTAACCATGGGCTATACATACATACAATTTAGATTTTTGATCTTAAGTGGTCTTTAAAGTTTCGTAAACTAACGAGGGCTTAAAAATAACTCTATTAGGTTATGGGCGTGTATGCACTAATTTTTTATTATTTTTCCAGCCTTATAAAGTTTATTGGCCAAACCATCAACCATATCTTTAATTGCTGCACGACATGGATCCAGTTCTTTTTCACAATCAAAAAATTTGTCCACAACAACATAACCCTAGAAAATAATTTAAAATGTACTCATATGTACTCCGTGCACCCCCCACCCCTATTATTTCTGGGTTCAAATGTTATATAATTTATCATTTAGACATCTATTCACATGACAAGCCTAAAATCAACTCTCTAGACCTTTGGATGGCTGAGATTTATATGGATTTGATTTCCTGGTTGTCCAGTACTGTAGCTACAATAATAAACGATCTATGCTAAATCTTCAAACATCTTCCCCCATGATCAAGTAGTCTGGATGTAATTTTGAATATATTCTATTTTTGAATTATTATAGCAATTACGACCAGCTTGTTATTTAAATCTTACGTAATGCATCTTTAAAGGTACGGTACAGAAATAATTTGTCAGAAGATGTTACAATCTTGGTGCTATAAAATCGACCCTAACTAAATTGGAAAATGGGATCTTTGATACTTTTTACAATATAAACAGACTGATGTCACCATCTTCTTTTGCAGCTAGGACCCAGGGCCATGCAAGGAATAGTATCAAGTTGTTAGGTTGGGGCTAAAAACTTGAGGTCCTAGTACGTAAAAGAGTCCATGTCAGTAGGAGTTTGATGAATTATGGCAGTAATGAGGGTTACAGGCAAAATTTCACGTATTAACACAAACTAACATAAAAAAAATGGTCTCTTTAATTGGGTGGTCCATGGAGTTTATACAGCTGTTCACATTTCCTTTAAAATTACGAGTATGGAGAACCTAAACTTGCCTGCATCAAACCTAGTTACCTATGGTGATCGAATGTTTAGCATTGCTGCTCCAATGGAATGACTTAACACTTAACAGTTCTATCAAAAGTGCCAAAACATTATACTTGCCTTTAGGAAAACGTTAAAAACACACCTGTTTCAATAAGCTTATCCAGAATGACATTCAACGTGCTTAGAGCACACCTCAGCATGGAATAGGTGCTATATAAATAACCTTATTATTATAATTACCGGTAATATCAGTTTATCATATGGAACTTGTATTTTATGACAGTCAGTTACAGTAATATTATGTTTTGGGTTATAATACTTCACATCAACAAATATGATAGGTAGACCTACATATAATATATTTGACTTAATATATCAGCCGAGTACTTTAGTGCATGTTTATATCATTTTACTTGCAAAGATATGCATATCCATGCACAGATAAACAAACATTATCATCTACCGTACCTCTTTGAAAAACTGGTCAATCATATGCTGTGGCAACTGTCCTGGTTTCTTCTCTGTAGGCTGTTTTGGAACAATAGTGAATATTTCGGGGTGTGTTTCGTCACATTCCCCTGGGTATCGCTGTGGTTTGTCTGTCGGCGGCATCGTTGATGTTCTAGCTCCGCCCGGTATACTTGCTTGAGACAATCGCTGTTGATGAATGTTTGGTCATGTGACAGTCACATGATATTATATTTTTCAGGCTTGTTCATCCAGCCATTTCCCACTTTGTTTTTTGTTAACCAGACATTATTCTGGCCCAACCCGGTTCAATTCACTGTTGTTCGAAGCACTCGCCGTGACTCTTCACCTGCAGTATGGAGAAGCAAATCTCTATAATTTTGAGGGTGTTTATTACATACTATTCTCACCACAGATGGCCCCACAATTTGATCTCTACCCTATATTTACGACCATTATCTTTTTTTGTTTCGAATCTTTTATTTTTTTCATTTTTTATGTTTTCTGTGTATACGTGTCCATAGATCTAAAATCAATATTTATTTAAATATTCTCTGTTCAACCCGCCCCCCCCCCCTTTGTTTTTAACGCACTTGTTTTTCTCTCTTAGCCATACGTTTAAAATAGGTGCGTTTTTATAAAAGTAATTTCTAAATTCCCATTTGTTCCGCAAAGCAAGATTGGCATTTGTATGGAAGGGTATCGCTGCCAATATTAAATGCGCTGCTACAATGTCTTTTCCATAATATGTAAAAAGTACAATGTACAAAGTCCTAATACCGGTAATGATAAAGTCAAAATACCTCTAAGGTAAGGGTTAAATGTAAAACGTCAACTGTTGTGGGAAAATACTTTTTTTGACGGGTCTACATTTTACATTAGACACGTCAAAAATAGCATTTTCCCACAAAACATTTGTCATTTAACACTTAACATTAAAATTTGACGTGGAAGGGTATCGCTGCCAATATTAAATGCTCTGCGACAATGTCGTTTCCATTTCCCCTTCACGCATTCTACATATAGCATGTTTCGCACAGCATCAACTTGCATATGCAAATGTAGGATATCACGTGACTTATTAACATATATTATATGGAAACCTGGCAAACTATAAGCCAGAACAAGGATATTCACGACACTATAACAGGAAATCAGCCTGGCACACAATAATTAAAGGGGTGGGTGTGGGAGCTGTGCAATGTCCAAATACGAAATTTCAGGTATCATGTTACATATTAGTGAAAATCACATTCTTTTCTGTTTGTAAATATGTAAATAGTTTTCTGGTACAATCGTATTTTCATAATTTAAATCCAATAAATATCACACTATTAAAGGGTTATTCAAGTAAAAAATACTTGTCTAAATACGAAATTCCAGATACCATGTTAAGTATCACTGATTGCTCTTTTCAAATATGCAAATAATTTTCTGGCACATTCATATTTGCTTAACTTTACAAAATAAGATTAAAGTTGTAGTGAACGAGGGGGGGGGGCTAAACTAAACTAAAATAAAGATACAGGGCTTAATCAAAAAATCTCTATGTCCATACTAAAAGAGGTACATGTATAGTCATTCCTCTCTTTAAATATATTATTTATTTGTTGGGCACAATGCTTATATATTGTTTTTTTTTAATGGATCAAAGTAGGCTACTCAACTTTGTTTATAGAGAGACGGGAAAGAGTGGGGGTATTAATATGAAATTCCAGTTATTGTGTTATAAATTACTGGAAAGTATGTTTCTTTGGCTGCTTGAATCTATCAATTATTTCCTGGCACATTCAAAATTACGCACTGTCGTCTAGATAGTTTCTTATGGTGCGCCAGCTTGATTTCTTTTGTCGTGTGGTGAATATCCTTATAGTGTGCTTGTGCCGGGTTTCCATATATGTTAATAAGTCACGTGATATCCTACATTTGCATATGCAAGTTGATGCTGTGCGAAAGTTGCTATGTAGAATGCGTGAAGGACAAATGGGATGTGGCAGAGCGCAAATGTAAAATGCAATGAGAGAAATGTAAAATGTAGACACGTCAAAAAAAAGCATTTTCCCACAAAACATTTGTCATTTAACACTTAACATTTATTGACGTTTTACATTTAACTCTTGCCTTAGAGGTATTTTGTCTTTATCAATATCGGTATTAGGACTTTGTACATTGTACTTTTTACATATAATCAATGGAAACGACATAGCAGAGCATTTAATATTGGCAGCGATACCCTTTCATACGTGCCATGCATGGTTATGATGAATGAACTCTAACCTTGGCCGAGAATTATCTACAAACTCTGAATGTAAGTCAAGTATTCGCCGTAGTACCCGTGTCCTTGATTTTAAACAAATCATATCTCAATGAAGTTATTTTTGATTTTAAGGTAACAATAAAAAATAGGGCTCTTTTCCTGGGCTGGCTATAGTGGGCATGCCCCCTCCCCCACCCCCTCCTAATTGCTAAATAAAATCCATCCCCTCCTAGCTAAAAACGTCTACGCGCAAGCGAATTATTGAAAAAATTGAACAATATGTTAGTTCCGAAATGACCTTTTATCTCTCTCTTTCTCTCCTGCCCTCCTCTCTCTCTCTCTCTCTCTCCCTAGCATTTTGATGTTTGAAAACAATTAATTATTATTGACAATTAAACTAACTATATATCATTTATGGCCTACAATGAGAGCGGTAGAAAACTAAAATATTCGAGCAATAATTAACAATTATCATTTCACAAAATATGAGTGGTGAACTATACTTGTAACAAATGCCAATCTTGCTTTGCGGAACAAATGGGAATTTAGAAATTACTTTTATAAAAACGCACCTATTTTAAATGTATGACTAAGAGAGAAAACAAGTGCGTTAAAAAGGGGGGTGGGTTGAACAGAGAATATCTAAATAAGATATTGATTTTAGATCTATGGACACGTATATACACAGAAAACATAAAAAATGAAAAAAATAAATGATTCGAAAAAAAAAAGAAAAAGATAATGGTCGTAAATATAGGGTAGAGATCAAATTGTGGGGCCATCTGTGGTGAGAATATTATATAATAAACACCCGCAAAATTATAGAGATTTGTTTCTCCATATTGCAGGGGAAAGACACACGGCGAGTGCTTTGAACAAAAATGAATTGAACCGGGTTGAGCCAGAATGATGTCTGGTTAACAAAAAACAAAGTGGGAAATGGCTGGATGAACAAGCCTGAAAAATATAATATCATGTGACTGTCACATGACCAAACATTCATCAACAGCGATCGTCTCAAGCAGGTCTACCGGAGCTAGAACATCAACGATGCCACCGACAGACAAACCACAGCGATACCCAGGGGAATGTGACGAAACACACCCCGAAATATTCACTGTTGTTCCAAAACAGCCTACAGAGAAGAAACCAGGACAGTTGCCACAGCATATGATTGACCAGTTTTTCAAAGAGGTAGATCGATGTTTGTTTATTTGTGCCCAACACATGGACATGCATATCTTTACAAGTAAAATAATATAGAGGGTGGTACTTTTTACCGCCGACTACCGCCGACCAATACTTTTACCGCCAACCGTCGTGAAATTACCGCCGACCAAATACTTTTTGCCGCCGACCGTGATATATAATTACCGCCGACCAAATACTTGTTAAGTATACCGCCGACCAAATGCTTAATGATTCCTTGTTACCGCCGACTATATAAAATTAATTAAATTATTAGTGACAAATAAATAGATTTGGTTAAATACACAGAGATTGATAAAAATATAGATTTTATTATATATAAATATGGTCGACAACCCTAACACTCGCACTAATAGAAGATAGGCCTAAAATGTTATTTATTTATAACCAATAGCTGAAACAATCTTGATATTTTTTTTATTTGCCCTTCAATATCTAGATTGTAGTTTGTCCTTCCATATTCTTTAAAATATATATGAATGTTTTTCGACAGTTCTACGTGAATTACACCTCAAATAAAAAATAACATTCTTGTATTCTTTTTTATAAAAAAAAAAACAACCGTAAAATAGTCGGCGGTAACAAGGAATCATTAAGCATTTGGTCCGCGGTAACAAGTATTTGGTCGGCGGTATTTATATTACGGTCGAAAATCATTATAACAATGCGGTCGGCAGTAAAAAGTATTTGGTCGGCGGTAATTACACGACGGTCGGCGGTAAAAAGCATTTGGTCGGCGGTAAAAAGTACCACCAGACGTGTCAACCCCCAGGTATGAAAAAACAGGAGACCAGCAATGAAAAAACAGGAGAATCCAGGAGATTTTTTTTTTCATCCAATAACTTCATTTTTATTAATCATAGGCTAATACTTTAGTACTTTTTACACTGTGCACGCGTTTTTAATGCATACAACAATGAACAAATGAAAATTTCATTTGGGTTTCGGGTCAATAATTTAAATGACAGAAAAAAATTTTTTGAAATATTTTGTGAAAATATACATAAAATGCTACCCAAAAGACTTTAATACGTTACTCCAAAATGTGTTTTCAGTCATATCACAATAAATAAGAATCGGTCGTACAAATTTTACAACTCAAATACGCGAATAATAGCCAGTTAGTTGACACGTCTGAGTACCACCGTAATATAGACATGCGTTAAAGTACTCGGCTGATATATTAAAGTAGCTAAGTCTCTAACTCAATATCATCCAAAACCTTCGACAATGAAAACACGAATAATTTTTCAATTTTTATCAACATTGGTGTTGTGATCTTACCGGGAAAAGATGGGCTTCTGATATCCAATATTTAAGACAAAATATTAAATAAACATTTTATGATTGGTACACGAATCGTGTACCATAATACGTTTCAGCACAATTTGTAACATGCAACTCGGAAGAACGAGTTTAGACATATTCCACAAGTCATGTCAAACAGTGACCCCATATTCTTATCTGGAGAGCATGCGCAATAAATACTATCGATGTAGACTGGAATAACCAGACGCTAGAGATTGCCATTTGATTGAGGCTTCGGGCGTATTTCGCCGAACATAACTGCTTTGAAATTAGAGTAAAACGGAAATGATAGAATGTAAATCAGTTTATATACAATCAGATTACATTATTATATGCGTTGCGACCCATTTAATTGTGTCAAATTTTAGGTCCCAAATATTAGCGATTTAGCTCCTTTAAGTAAAATATAATATTTGTAGGTCTACCTATCATATTTGTTGATGTGAAGTATTATAACCCAAAACATAATATTACTGACTGTCATAAAATACAAGTTCCATATAGGATATAGAATTTAATTACGGTATAGTAAACTGATATTAATAATAATAATAAAGTTATTTATATAGTGCCTATTCCATGCTGAGGCGTGCTCTAAGCACATCGAATGTCACTCCGGATATAAGCTTGTTGAAACAGGTGTGTTTTTAACTTTTTCCTAAAGGCAAGTAAATGTTTTGCCACTTTTGATGGAACTGTTTAAGTGTTGTCATTCCATTGGAGCAGCAATGCTAAACATTCGATCACCATAGGTAACTAGGTTACTCGTCGTAATTTTAAAGGAAATGTGAAAAGCTGTCTGTAAACTCCATGGACCGCCGGATTAAAGAGACCATTTTTTTTTTATGTTAGTTTGTGTTAGTACGTGAAATTTTGCCTGTAACACTCATTCCTGCCAACCCTTCATTGCAAACTCCTACTGTCATGGACTCTTTTACATACTAGGACCTCAAGTTTTTCGCGCCATCCTAACAACTTGATACTATTTCTTACATGGCCCTGTGTCTAGCTGCAAAAGAAGATGGTGACATCAGTGTGTTTATATTGTAAAAAGTATCAAAGATCCCATTTTCCAATTTAGTTAGGGTTGATTTTATACCATCAAGATTGTAACATCTTCTGACAAATTATTTCTGTACCGTACCTTTAAAGATGCATTAGATAACAAGCTGGTCGTACTTGCTATAATAATTCAAAAATAGAATAAATTAAAAATTGCATCCAGATTACTTTATCCTAGGGGAAGATGTTTGAAGATGTTTGAAGATTTAGCATAGATCGTTTATTATTGTAGCAACAGTACTGGACAACCAGGTATTTAAATTATAGGCTTGTCATGTGAATAAATGTCTAAATAATAATTAGTATAACATTTAAGACCAAAAAAAGACCTACAATAATGCATCTTTAAATCATGCTGGTGTTCAAATCCATTTAAATCTCTGCCATCCGATGTTCTAGAGAGTTGATTTTAGGCTTGTCATGTGAATAGATGTCTAAATAATAAATTATATAACATTTGAACCCAGAAAAAAGACTGCTATAGGAAGATTTAGCTATTACATAATGCATCTTAATAGGGGTGGGGGTGCACGGCCATGGAGTACATATGAGTACATTTTAGATTCTTATTTTCTAGGGCTATGTTGTTGTGGACAAATTTTTTGATTGTGAAAAAGAACTGGATCCATGTCGTGCAGCAATTAAAGATATGGTTGATGGTTTGGCCAATAAACTTTATAAGGCTGGAAAAATAAAACGTAAATACACAAATTTTCAATCTTTACAATGTGAATTCTGCACCGACCCGGGACTGTACAGTGCAGTGGACGCTTATGGCTGGCCCCCGGTTCTATTCATTTAATTTGATATTTTTTTATTTGGTGCAATATCTATTTTCTGTCTTGTCCGCAGGTTTATCTTGTAGATTTTTGTTTTACGTGTAATGCAGTCCTCCTGCATCTTGTGTATTTAGCATTAATTTCTTTCACATTTATTCGCTATCAAAACCTTATTAAAAATTTTATAAAAATCATTTAACTAACATCACTAAAAAACATTGAATTTTTACCTGTGTCCAGTTTAAAGTTGACCCTTTAATTTTGATAATGAGTGTCCATCCAATTAACAAGCATTTAATTTCACGATCACTGTTAAAATATTTACAACCCCAATGATTATTGATGTATAATGATTGAACAGTGTTTTAAAGATTTGGTTGATTTTCTTTCAGAATTATATGATGAATATGGATTATTTGAGCGATTGACCCATATAGAAAGAGAGTTCCCAGGTGCCAATATACTTCTTCATAAAGCAGGCCAACTGCCACAGGTAATCATGGGTGTCACACATGGGGGGGGGGGGGGGTCCGACCCCCATTTTTTTTTCTGGGGGGGTCTGAATATACTTGGACCCCCCAAAAAATTTACATAGTAGATCCTAACTCCTATTTATTTACAACAATTATTAGGGTTAGTTAAGATTCTATCTGTATAAAACCTGTACATATCCCAATATGGTTTACATTGCGAAACACAGAGAGAATCATCCTTGAAACATGTGTGAAGTGAAAAGTAACTGTTCCATAAAATTGTGTCTAGTTAATTTTTTTCTGCCACTTATGAGAGTGAATCGCATGTAGGTACCCAAAAACATTATCGCCTAAACCAAATATTTATCGCCCGCTCAGCCAGCCATGTAACCATAATACTTTGCACGCGGTGGGCCAATCAGCAAATGAGTTGTGTAGACAGCATGGCCACATGGTGTTTGTTTATATTTTTTAGGGGTTTTAAAATAGGGTTAGGGTTAGGGTTGCGGACCCCCCCAATATATATTTCACGGCTACGCCTCTGCAGGTAATGCATACAGTACCATTTTAATATATTCATGCTAGACATATAATCAGGTGGCAACTTGGTAGTCGAGGACAATAATGAATTCCGTGAGGTCTGTAATTGAGCCAAGAGGCATGGTTTTGATCACAACCTTGGGGGTTTTCTTCGGGTCTTCCTGTTTCCTCCACTGCTAAACACACCCACAGACAAACAATTTATTGAAATATAAGTGTACACATCATATGTTAGTCCCAAAATGACTTAGTTTGTGTTATAGTTTATTGTTCTATCCAGTTACTAAAAGATTATTTAATAAAACATCTGAAAAGATAACATACTGATGATAATCAAATTTTTTATCAAAAATTGTCTCACATAGATAAACCTTACAAGAGATAAAAAATACAGGTAATCATATCGATATGCAGGTAACTCATACCTATAAAGGTATATCCAGCGTGATCATATCGATATACTGATAAATCACACCTGCATGGTGTAATTATATTGATATACAGGTAACTCATACTTATACAGGTCCATGTATATCTAGCATGATCATATTGATATGCTAGTAATTCACTAGGGGACAGACCCTGCAATGCCTGAAAAATTTTGGGTTACAGATGTCAGTGCCAGTTGTTTGTGAGAGGCGAAGTAGCGGATCTTATCGTGTAGCCCCCCCCCCTCCAAAAAAAAGCATTTTCCTTTTCCTGCTGTGAGTCGTGATAGTGGGAACCTAACATTACGACGGTTGTATTAACATCATCTATTTCTATTGTAACACCTCACTGGTTTGCATGAATAAAATGAATAGTCAGACCTTTTATGCTCCTTAACGTCGTCACATGTGTAAAAATAAAATAGATATTTGAATAACGTCCTTGTTGAATAAGTATGCCAATAATAGTACGTGTAAATAATATAAAAAATTGAAATGAAATGAAATGGTGTTTAATGTCCTACTAGCTGTTTTGCTCCGAACCGGGCTAATGAAGATGGGTAATATAAAAAAGACAATGTGTGAAATTGTATATGTATGTATAACATCAACGATAAATATATATGGTTGGTGTAATTCATTATTTATACATTTGGATCATGACGTGACTTTTAAATGTTTTAATAACTGTGCTCCTATAGTTGCTAACCTATTCTTATTATATTTTGGGGAGGCACTTAAGCACAAATGCAACATGGACAAATTAAAGATCGAAGTTAGTGATTTTAAAACAAAAATTCACGATTTTAAGGCTTTTACTAGCACAAATTGCAACATGGAATAATTGAGGTAGAATAAAATGATATAAGGGATCTTAAAGGGAGGCTTCAACTTGCCTTATTTCACCAGCCTTGTAGCCAGTTTGTTGGCCCAACGAGAATCAGATCGGGCCTCAGTAAGCAAAATTGACAATATTTTTCATCAAAACAATGATTGATTATTGTTATTTAAAATATTTCTACCACATCCAACTACAATTAAGCATATAATCCTACCTGAAACGGGTATAAATCATCGTATTTAAAATTGAGGCGTTAAGCCGTTACTATGAGAATAATGAAGGTGGAGCTAAATATAAGGCTTTATAACAGCCAATCAAAAAAGGCAATCGCAAGTGGAGAAAATGTAAACAAACAAATTGACATCCACCTGGTCTAATCTATCCGCGAATCATTTCAGAAAATCAAATCAAATTGCGGCGTTAACGTTGAATTAAAACTCGAACAAGAAATTATTTTGGACCTGATAATAAATGGCAAGAAGGATGTTTTTGCTTTATAGTAAAAGGGGCATGTAGGGTTTGCGCATGTCTAAAGCACCGTAACTATGAATGGACTTTGATGGCAGTGTATGTCAGATAAAAACAACGCTTCATTAATTTAAACGCGAATATTTGGAGTTAAGCGATAATTGTGCCACTACATTGGCCTCTGTAAGTTTAATTAGTCATAATAGTATAAAATTATTTTATTTTTAAGATGTTGCATGCATTAATAAAGAAATTGAATTTGCCACGTGAAACTAAAGGAACCCAATCGTAGCTAAAAACAAGCACGTCAATATATCTCAATGTTTTTAGCTACGTTCTCGTAGCTAGGCCTTTTCATATAACTTATACTCTACTGTGTAGGCTACTGTTAAAGAATATTGTTTTGTTGTAGACAGCAGATTGTTGGCCTTTCTATTGATTACGGTGTATGAGTTATAACTTATAATGCATTAAGTCACAAGTTATTGTATTTAGTTATATCCAATACATCTAATGAAATCTCCCACTTTCCACATTATCCTTGCTATTTTTTTTTTGTCTTACATCTAATATATATAAGGAAATGTCCCAATTTCTACATTATCAGTTGCAATTTTTTGTCTTAGATGTAATATATGATTCGTCATGTCCCAGATATTATCAATGATAATTTTCTGTCTCACTTTTACATAATGTACTTGACCTATATATTTAACAATAAGATTATATTTTGGCCTACGTGACATAAACCACATTAAATTTGATCTAGATACATCGTAAAAAGCAAGAGGAACATATTTTTTATTTCTTATTTTGTTTCTTTAATGATAAAAGTGTTGAAAGGAAATATAAATTTACTAACAAATAAGCATACAACATGTGTGGTATAAGATGTTAAGCCCCATTTCATATCATTTACTTACTTGTGTTGTATTGTGTGTCTATATCAAAGCCTTTTTGGGAGCCACGGTGGTTAAGTGGGTAAGACGCTGGCTCGCTAGCCTGGAGGTCATGTGTTTGATCCCTGCATTGGCCAAGAAAGTTCATCAGGATTTTCTGATGTTGTTTCCCGTTGTCAGTGGTGCAGGACAGAGGGCCCGACAAGAACAGCTGTCTAGTCAGTCAGATGAGACAAAAAATTGAGGTCCTGTGTAGACATTGGTGTGCATGTAAAAGATCCCTTGTCAGTTGGAATTCGATATAAGAGTAGTCCGTAGTGCCGCTGTCTGGGCAAAATTTCCCTCATAGCACACTGTATGGCGTATGCCCGTCTTCATTAGCCCAGTTCGGAGCAAAACAGTAGGACGTTAAACCCCATTTCATTTCATTTCATTTCATACTGTCGGTTAATTGATATGCTTTTTCTCCAATCATGGGGAGGCAGACCACCATTAAATTTCATCATCTCGGTACCCACGAATTGTAGTTCGTCTATTTATAGCAATTCTCTCTCTCTCTCTCTTTTCTCCCCTTTTGCATGCCCATTTGTGTTGATTTTTTGGTCTAGAATGGACGAAGAGGGTTTGAATTAACATTTTCTGCCAGGTTTTGGTAAATATTCATGATTTTGAGGCGGAAGGATAAGAGGGTTATCAGGTTAGCTACGGCGATATGTACGGCAACTAGTTACATGTTTTTAGTATGCTTCTTCAAGTTTGTGTATCTCAAAATTTTGGTGGTCAACCTCATACAAATTTTAGTGCAAAGACATGACCATTTGTTCCTCTGTCTGTAGTGAAAAGCATTCAGCCCAACGAAAATTTGGGGAAAAGTTGGAGGTGGGCAAAAAGGCCAGAATTAACATTGAAGTCAATGGGGAAATTAATGGTGGTCTGCCTCCATGGGGTTTCCAGTCTTGTCTCCCCTTGTCAGTTGTGTGGAACAAAGGGGATTGAATGGAAAAGCGTCAAGTTATTTAAATGTCCTGTTTATACTATAGGCAGTGGGTTAAAGATCTCCTGATGGATGAAAATCAAAATAAGAAAAATGACAGGTTACTTATTTGAACACTGGCATTATTTGTTTTTTTTACGCTTATTTTGTCTCATTTTTATATCAATTTTACAATATTTTATTTCACAGCCCTTGAAGAATTTATGGACCAATGAAAGATTATTAAATGTGGTTGAACAACTGATTGGGCCGGAAATATCAGGACATCCAGTTTGGAATCTTCGGACAAAAACTCCCCAGAATGAAGCCACCACTGTTCCTTGGCATCAAGGTACTGGGGTTTTTTATTCGCTAAGACTTGGCCCATTAATGGCCTCCTGGAGACCAATAGGTCACCACTGTGTATCAATATCAGCCATGCAAGTCATGATTCCATCAAAGGATTTTTTTTGTAGCTATTGAAATGCCACCATTCCATCCACCCACAAAAAATAACATGTGTGCAGGTGAATAGTTTGGACAAAGATACAAAAATGTTGTGGTCTAGATATGACTGAGGGGACGTTACTCTGTATGAATATAAATAGGTATACTAAGTGTGGTTTAATGGTTGAGAGCGAGACATTGCGTAATATGACGTTAGTTATGAGTGTTGTTTCAATATATTACACAATGTCTTAAGCTCGAGACCATTAAACAACTTAAAATACAGACACTCGCACATAGTATAAATAACGTAAGCTTGGCACATTGCCCCATACCATTATTTGAAATAATGTTACGCTAACACTCAAGGATGACGTCACATCTCTTACAGGCCTATTATATATCATATTTACAATTAGATTATATATCATAATTACAATAAGATGTAAGATGTTATCAATACATTTGTATAAGTGATTCACCATAAATGACCTAGTTTTTTGTGTGTGGATGTTAAACCCCACATCCCTCTTGTTTTATAGATTCTGCGTACCTGGATAATCGTTCCTATAAAGTACTTCAACCAACAGCTTGGATTCCATTGTTAAATGCTACTGAGCAAAATGGTTGTATGAGGGTAAGTTTTGATATTGATTATAAACTGCTCTTATAGTGAATACCCTGTACACACTAGTGTCTTCTGAACTTAAAGACTTAAAGATACATTATGTAAGATTTAGATAAAGAGCTGGACATTCTTGCTACAATAGTTTAAAGATACATTATCCAAGATCCAAATCTGCCTGTTACAGGTCTTTCTTTAGCCTTTAAATGTTATATAAATTATTAATTAGACATTAAATGTTATATAAATTATTAATTTGACATTTATTACCATGACAGGAACATATAATCAACTCTTGATGCCATTGGATGCTTGAGATTTCAACTAGATTAGAACGGTTTGGCCATTTAATGGTTTAATTAAAAATGGAGAAGCTATGCTAAGATGAAATTTTCAATATATTCATTTTACATTATCCATTTTTGAACTATTATAGCAAGAATGGCCAGCTCTTTATCTAAATCTTACATAATGTATCTTTAATTATAAATTTTAATAAAAATTGCTTGACTCTGAGCAAAGTTATGAATGTTTGAAGTTTTGACTAGAATAGCATAGTCTTGATTGTCATTGCTGTCTTTATTTTTGTCCCCCGCCTTTCGAAGAAAGCAGGGGACTATTAAAATGGGTTCGTCCGTCTGTCTGTCTGTCCGTCCGTCTGTCTGTCCGTCACACTTTTTGGGACACAATAACTCTCTTCCTAATTGAGCTAGAATGTTCAAACTTGGTGTATGTGTTTATTAGGTCAATGCCTTGATGGAGTTCGAAGATGAGCATTTTCCGCTTAGGGTAAGCAGAGATAAGCAATTTGATTGGTTGATGCTTTGGGACACGATAACTCTCTTCCTAATTGGGCTAGAATGTTCAAACTTGGTGTATGTGTTGATTAGGTCAATGCCTTGATGGAGTTCGAAGATGAGCATTTTCCGCTTAGGGTAAGCAGAGATAAGCAATTTGATTGGTTGATGCTTTGGGACACGATAACTTTTAATTGAGCTAGAATGTTCAAACTTGGTGTATGTGTTTATTAGGTCAATGCCTTGATGGAGTTCGAAGATGAGCATTTTCCGCTTAGGGTAAGCAGAGATAAGCAATTTGATTGGTTGATACTTTGGGGCACGATAACTCTCTTCCTAATTGAGCTAGAATGTTCAAACTTGGTGTATGTGTTGATTAGGTCAATGCCTTGATGGAGTTCGAAGATGAGCATTTTCCGCTTAGGGTAAGCAGAGATAAGCAATTTGATTGGTTGATGCTTTGGGACACGATAACTTTCGTTCTAATTAAGTGAGATTGATGAAACTTGGTGTATAGTTTCATTACAGTAATACCTTGACTAAGTTTGATAATTGAGCATTTTCTGCTCAGGGTAAGCAGAGCGATACGCAATTTGATTGGTCGAGACTTTGGAAAACAATAACTCTCCTACTTTGATTGTCCCCCGCCTTTCGAAGAAAGCAGGGAACTATTAAAATGGGTTCGTCCGTCTGTCTGTTTGTCTGTCTGTCCGTTCCGCTTATGGTAAGCAGAGATAAACAATTTGATTGGTTGATCTTCGAATTGAGTAAATGTTCATGCTTATTGTCCCCCGCCTTTCGAAGAAAGCAGGGAACTATTAAAATGGGTTCGTCCGTCTGTCTGTTTGTCTGTCCGTTCCGCTTAGGGTAAGCAGAGATAAACAATTTGATTGGTTGATGCTTTGGGACACTATAACTTAAGTTCTAATTAAGTAGATAAACAATTTGATTGGTTGATGCTTTGGGACACTATAACTTTAGTTCTAATTAAGTGAGAGTGATGAAACTTGGTGTATAGTTTCATTACAGTAATACCTTGACTAAGATCGATAATGAGCATTTTCTGCTCAGATTAAGCAGAGCGATAAGCAATTTGATTTGCTGAGACTTTGGAACACAATAACTCTCCTTCGAATTGAGTATGTTTTCCCCTTAATATGCTATAATTATTCCATCAAAAACATTGTATGCTTAGACTATAAGTAAAGATATACTGTTTGATTGTTCAATACTTTGTAAAAGATAATTTGTGATAAATTTATATGTGTCCTCTAATTATTTTCCTATTTCGGCGGGGGACATCAGCCTCACTGTTGGCTTGTTCATTTTAGCATTAACCAATTAATCCAATTAAAATCTCAACCATCTAATGGCTTAGAGATTTGATTATGGGCATGTGATGCACATAAATGTCTAAATAATCATTTATATAACATTTGAAACAAGAATAAAAAAAAACCCTTTAGCTCTTACATATAACAATATTGTTGTAGGTTGCAGCAGGTGGACATAAACTAGGGAAGGTTGCCCAACATCAGTGTTGCTATGGAGGAACTTGGTATGTCATGCTGGAAGAAGAAGAAATGAAAAAAACACTTGGTAATTATTTAAAGATACATTAGTTAAGAGTTTAATAAAGAGTTGGTCATTCTTGCTATAATAATTCAAAAATAGATGATAAAAAAAGAAAATATTGAAAATTTCATTCAAATTACTTCATTCTCAGCTAAGTTATCTTTGTTTGTAGTTTTGACAAGATGTGTGCACAGTGGTAACCAGGACACTGGTATAATCAGGACTTAGCCTCGCTTTCCCATTTTTAAATTAAATTTTTAAATGGCGAACTGTTTTAATCTAGTTAAGTGCCATCTAGAGTTGATTATGGTCTTGTTTTGTTAATTAATGTTTAATTAATAGTTTATATAACATTTCAGGCTTAAAGAAAGACCTGCAATAGGCAGATTTAGCTCTTGCATAATGTATGTTTAATAAAAGCCAGTGAGTTTTATTTGAAGGATGTCTAATGTCTTGCAAATTGCAATATAAGAGAGTCATAACTTACAGTTACATTGATATTTAGATATAAAAGTGTAACTGTACATTGTGACGTTTCGCTAAATTCATACTTACTGTTACACATAGTAAGAGGTGGCACAAACTTGGTGCACGATCTCGATAGGCCTTCATCACGGATAGATTGTTAAAGATGAGATTTGTAAAGCATGCACAGCCTCTTCTTATTTTGTCTACGTGAAGGAGAAGACCTTCTCTGTGGATTTAGTTTGTAAAAACAACAATTCAGAGAAAAATTGTGGACTGAATTATAGATATTAAACAAGGTTTAGCTAAGTGTTGTGAACGTAAAGTTATGGAGGCTGGAATCTGTTGGACATACTTTTAAACATGCATTATCCAAGAGGTAAATCTGCCTATCGCAGGTCTTTCTTTAGGCCTGACATGTTATATAAACTATTAATTAGACATTTATTAACATGATAAGACCATAATTAACTCTTGATGCCATCATATCTGTCTGATTTTCATTAGATTTGAATCTGATTTGCTGTTCAATGTCCGTTGATGATTAAATGCAAAAATGAATAATCGAGACTTTGAAACAATGACAATCAAGGCTACAATGATTTTAAAATAAGCTTTTCTCAGCTTAGAGTGAAGCATTTTGACTGACATTTTTAACATATTCCCTTTACATTATCTAGGTTTTCACTATTAAAGTGAGAACTGCCAACTCTAATAGGGAGGTTGGATGGCCGATTGGTTAGTATGTTTAATCAGATTTGGCCATTTCACTCATAGCACTGAATGAACAAACTATGCAATCCCGGGACAAATATAATATGGCAATGCCGCTGTCATTGAGTCAGCTGGCATGGTTTCGATACCCCTGTTGTATGTGACAAGTAGGGTTGTCTGTCCAGCCTCTTGGGTTTTCTCCGGGTCCTCCGGTTTCCTTCCACTGCTAAAGTCCCCTACGCGCAAGCAAATTATTGAAATAAAATTGAACAATGTGTTAGTCCCGAAATGACCTAGTTTGTGTCAAGTGGACATTAAACCCTCTCTCTCTCTCTTTCTCTCTCTCTCTCTCTCATCTTCCATAAAGTATCTTTTACATTATTTCTTTTATGTTGTTTTTAGGTGTTGATTTAGAAAAAGATATAAAATGTTGTCCAATTCCATATGGGGGAATGTTGTTGTTGAATAACATGATACCCCATCATAGGTAAGAATTAAATGATATTTTATCTCTTGCCATTTTGAGACTAACATATGATTAATTCTATGTTTATCATCCCAACTGTAAAGGATAGTTTGTTTCAATATCGATGTATATTGTCATCAACTCTGACAAATTCATTATAGCTGGAAAGAGAAGGAGAAAATGGGATCAGTTGTCATCAACTATAAGTAGTCAATTTTTTGGGTCCGCCTCCTTTTGAAGAAAGCTGGGGACTATTAACGGTTATCATTTAATCTTGTGTATCTAGTACTAATTTCTTTTACATACGTTTAATATCAAATCTTTGTTTAAATATTTGTAAAAATCATCTAATTTGTACTTGTGTCCAGTTTAAAGCTGACTGATTAATTCTGATTATAAGAGTGTCCAATTTACAAGTATTTAATTTCCTGACCACTTTTCAAAAATTAATCATTATACAACAATATTCAATTGGGTTGTTCATTTTTTAACAGTGGTCAAGAAATTAAACACTTGTAAATTGGACACTTATTATCAAAATTAAATGGTTAGCTTTAAACTGGACACAATACAAATTAAATGATTTTTGGTAATTTAAAATAATTTTACGAATATTTGAAAAAAGATTTGATATTAAATGAATGTGAAATAAATTAGTGCTAGATACACAAGATTAAATGATACCTGGGTTACAGTGTAAAATGAGTTTATCCGTCTGCCTGTTTGCCTGTCACACTTATTTGGACACAGTAAATCTACTACTAATTGAGGAAGAATGTTAGAGTTGGTGTAAATGTTCATTGGGTGTATGTCTAAGGCTAAGCAGAGATACACATTGAGTGGAGATTGATGAAACCTTGTGTATAGATTCATGGTTAGTGCTAAATGATAAGGCCAGCGCAATTTTTTGTCATAGGTCACGAGATGTAAACAGGACTAGCGCCAATCCTAACCCTGTACCTAACCCCAGTGCTTAACTCTAACTTGCAATCTCGCCAACAATCACATGCCCTAACCTTATTTATATCTCTGTGACCGTGACAAAAAATGAGCTGGCCTTAACAAATAGATTTAGCCATAGATTCATATTACTTCCATACCTTGACTATGTTCGGTAGTCAGCAATTTCTGCTTGATGCCCTTTATAAACATAAATATGCAAGCAATTAATGTGTGTCATCTAGATATTTGGGGATTAGGGCATTCATTGATTATCAACCGTTTGGCAGGGAAGGCACGTGCCCTGCGAGCCACTAGAAGAAGGCGCCGCTGAGAGATACTGACAGCAAGAGCATTCTGCTTCATAAGCTAGGGAAGTAGTCTAGAAACTGAAAAAAAACCTGACTTTGACCATGTCATAGCCCAATTTCCATCAGTGACTGCTAGGAAGATGAATTGAAATTTTCATGTAGTGCCATAATTTGAGCTGATTTTATAGGAAAGTTATCTGCAGATACACACCACTGAAAGCAGGGGACATCACCCTCACTTTTGGATTATTCTTTCAATGATTCAAGCAGCTAAATTGGTAATATTTGGCCCCAGGACATTGACATGACTTGTGGAATATGTCTTGCCTAGTTCTTTGAGTCCCTTGTTACAAATGGTGCTGAAACACATTATGGTACACGAATCGTGTACCAATGTTAAAATGTTTATTTTTTCTTAAATATCTGATATCAGAAGCCCATCTTTTCTCAGTAAGATCACAACATCAATATTAATTTAAATTGACAAATAATTTGTGTTTTCAATGTGCGAAGACTTTAGATGATATTGGTTTTGAGACTTAGCTACTTTAACATATGACCCCATTTCACTACATTTTTCTCTTCCTATTTTATAGTTTGCCAAATATGTCCAATGAAATAAGATGGAGTTTAGATTTCCGCTGGCAGCAGACAGGGCCCTCACCAGGATTTTATGATATGAAAGAAACCATTCCAATGCATACAGCTAAAAACCCAGACTTTAAAATGGATTGGTCAGCATTCGATGGTGTTGATCGTCATATCATAGCAGCTGAACTAATTAAAGAAGATGGGGTAAGAATAAATAAAATGGGACTGTAAAGTTGATGTCATTTATAGATAAATGACTTTTACTAATACAGAGCCACCATGGCTCAGTTGGAAAGGAGAGCGAGAGAAAATGTGGTTTAACGTCCACTCGACACAAACTAGGTCATTTCGGGACTAACACATGATTCAATTTTATTTCAATAATTCTCTTGCGCTTATAGGGGTCTTTTTTAGCAGTGGGAGGAAACTGGAGGACTCAGATAAAACCCATGAGGTTGTACAGGTGACCCTACTCCTTGTCACGTACAACCTGGGAATCAAAACTACGCCAGTTGACTCAATGACAGACCTTATGATACAGCGTGCACGTGCTAACCATTCTGCCATCCAACCCCCCAGTGGGTAGGACATTGGCTCCCGTGTTCGATCCCTGCGTTGGCCAATAAAGTTCATCAGGATTTTCCGCCATTTTTCCCCCTTGTCAGTGTTGTAGGACGAAGGGCCTTGCAAGGTACAATGTATAGTTGTTCGGATGGATGGGTAGAAAAACCAAGGGCGGTATACATGTAAAAGATCCCTTGACAATTGGAATTCGAAATAAGATTAGGTTGTACATGTAATATTGTTTTATAATTACAGCAAAAGGGTCAAGATGAATTTGATGTAACCATACAAGGTCCATGGATGAAAAAATGGGAACTGGTCCACATGAACCATCATACAGATAAACTATTGGATGAACAAACAATGACCACATGGCATAAGGCTTAATAATGATGACTACTTTATATGGAAAACGGTCTAATGATGCTGACTACATTATTATTTATTTTACGAGGGACTTTTTTTTATTATTTTTAGAATTGTTTTAGATTTAATTCTGTAATGATAGAATATATTAATTAACATTACATGTGTTTTTACTAATCGTTTAATAATTCTACGGACGAGTGCTGAGAGGTTTGTTTTCTAATTGTTTTTGGAGCAGGAACTGGTCCGCAAGGCCTACTCTTCTGCTTGTTCTTCTTTTTCTTGAGTGACTGTCTTCGTACATATCTAAGATACTTCCAATGCAAGTACAATCAACATAAAACTTGACATACTTGTTCCTTGGACAATTGCACATCATTTTTTTGTTTTTATGATGTCATAATTCCAAGATGGCTGCAATGATGTCATTGTAAAGTTATTTTTAAATTTATGTGTGGCAGGTACCTTCCAGGCTTGTATTCCATTCAGGATAGCTTGTATATATGTAAATATATTGTGAATGACTGAATGAACCCGGTTAATATTCTGTATACCACATTCAGCCAGTAGGCCACCATTATAACTGATTGGATAGCGTGTATACGTCTTCCACATTGAAAGTTCGCTGGTTGGATTCAAGCAGGAACTAATTAAACTTGTCGCACATGGTTTAAACCTGATAGTGCAATAAAACTGTGAAGTCTCATGTTCTCCTTTAAACCTGATAGTGAATAAAGTCTTGTGTTCTCCTTTAAGAACCTGATAGTGCAATAAAACTGTGAAGTCTCATGTTCTCCTTTAAACCTGATAGTGAATAAACCCCTGTGTTCTCCTTTAAGAGGGGATCACGTGGCTAAGTGGGTAAGACGCTAGCTCGCTAGCCTGGAGGTCGGGTGTTCGATCCCTGCATTGGCCGAGAAAGTTCATCCAGATTTTCCGGCGTGGTTCTCCCTTGTCAGTGATGCAGGACGGAGGGGCTGACAAGGAAAGCTGTCTAGTCGTTCAGATGGGACGGAAAACCGAGGTCCCATGTACACATTGGCGTGCACGTAAAAGATCCCTTGGCAGTTGGAATTCGATATAAGAGTAGGCTGTAGTGCCGCTGTCCGGGCAAAATTTCCCTCATAGCACACTGTATGGCGTATGCCCGTCTTCATTAGCCCAGGTTACGAGCAGAACAGTAGGACGTTAAACTCCATTTCATTTCATTTCATTTCATTTCTCCTTTAAGAACCTGATAGTGAATAAAACTGTGAAGTCTCATGTTCTCCTTTAAGATGTTCAGATGAAATAGTTTTAGCTTTAGATGAATTGTTTATTTTCATATCAGATTTTTAAAATTATTTTACTGATCGTATTGTAAAATTTGTTTTTTTTATTTTTTATTCTAAGTATTTATTTGTTATGTTCAGAATAGATTAAAGACAATAGGTTATGTTTTTAGATAATCAGTTTATTGTTCTTAATCGAAAGTGTATATGTAATTTTATTTTGTTAATCACAATAAACAATAAACAATGATAAATGAAATGAAATGAAATGAAATTTAATGTTTTACTGTTGTTCTCTGGCTCGGCATATAGTGTGATATGAGGGAAAATTTGCCTGGACAGCAGTGGTACGACCTACTCTTATACTGAATTCCAACTGCCAAGGAATCTTTAACGTGCACGTCTAATCCGAACGACTAGACAGCTGTCCTTGTCAGGCCCTCCGTCCTATACCGGAAATTCCTGATGAACTCTTAGGCCAAAACTGGGATCGCCCTATCTCCCACGACCTCAAGGCTAGTGATCTGGAGCCAGCGCCTTTCTCACTTAAGACACCGTGGCTCCTACTCTCTGTAAAGAAATGTTATTCAACTAACTTAAGAAACAAAATATGCAATATTTGAAAAAGAAAGCCCTGATATAAAATGTACATGTATGCACAGATAAGAACATTTATAATAGTTGTTCCCTTTTTTTTTTTAGGTTTGTTGAATTATTTGTAATATTTATATGGGTAATACAATTTGATAATATATTTCAAAAATAAAAAAATTTGGAAACAATATCACTTATTCAATGTTTTTGTTACATTTATAATAGTTGTTCCATTTTTTTTTAGGTTTGTTGAATTATTTGTAATATTTATATGGGTAATACAAATTATTGATTTGATAATATATTTCAAAAATAAAAAATTTGGAAACAATATCACTTATTCAATGTTTTTGTTCTTCCATGTATAATATAGCTTATAATTCAATGGCGTAGGCAAGTGTCCACAGGTGAAATTTAAGAAGGTCCATGATAAAAAAAGGTTTTGATAGGATGGCTATTAAATGGGTTGGCCCATCTTTATCCCTAATGTGGAATATCTAACTGAATAGAAGCAATGCAGAGGGGCGCTCCTCAGGGATTTGTTAAATGTCCCAACTGCCAAGGGGTTTGTCAATGCAAAACATTTAGAAATCACTGGTGTGATCTAATTAAGCATTATTGCAAACTAATAAGAGAATTGTGCAGGCCTGTAGACATTGGGAGCAGGGTTTGCTGATAATGCACTGAATAATATGAATCTTTAGCATTCAAATCCTCCAACAACTCAACCCCTAACATCACCTTCGTGATTCAAGATAAACTTTTTTGGACTTGCAATTTGTCAATATCTGAGCAGTATGTTATTTCAAAATCCGTGGAAGACACATTGGCTTAGGGGGTAAGGGGTTTCATACCTGTGTTAGTCAAGTAAGTTTCTGATCAATGTGGTTTCCCCATGTAAGTTATGTAGGATAGATTGCTTGGCAAGGAACAGTGACTAGTCATTCAGATGGGACAAAGCAACATTTATGGTCCTGTGAAATCGGTGCTGTGTTAGTGAAAGAACCTTTGGCAGTTGGAATTAGACGAATAGTAGGCCTAGGTGGAAATGCTACTCTCTGGGCAAAAAACTCCCTCATAGGGATTTTCTAGCGTTGATTAAATCCATTTGGTAGTGGTGCAGTGATTGGCCACCACTTGCTGTCAGGCATAATTTTCCTCATAGCATGGTGTAGGCCTGTGCCTGTCTTCATTAGCACGGATGGAACAGAAAAATTGGGCGTAAAACCTAATTTGGTTGTATTTCATTTCAACGTGACTATGTCAGGATCCAGTAATGTAGTCAGGAAAATAATTGTGGTCCGATCCCTGATGCAAATATAGTTGTCTCCCATTAAACATAATATTCAAAGCTCTTCTCTGAAAAAGTCAAATATGGGGTTTGTTTATATTGCTCAACGAAATGTAAACTGTTAATGATGATGACAATATATTATTTAAAGTTTTAAACCATGACAAAATAAAACGAGATATTGTTAACGTCACAGAACGGATTCTATTTAGATTATATTTACAATGGCAGGAAGCGGACGGAGAGTGGTAAGAAATTAATATATCAAATTATTAGTAGTATCGTCTAGAACTAGAGAGAGAGAACGTCGTAGATTTTTAAAAAAACAAAAACATTTTCATTACAAGTGGAGAGAAAAATGTGTTATAACGTCAATAGTAGCTAAGTATCCAAACTAGTAGGCCTACCGTAAATGAAATGAAATGTTCTGCTCTGACTTGGCGAATAACATACATAAGCCAAAGACCTACTGGGAATTAATTTGGCCCAGACAGCAGAGCTACATGTATGGCTCTTAAGTTATAAATAATATCAAATTCCTACTACGAGGGGTTCTTTTTATGTGCACGCCAATGTGTAGCCTATACGGTAGGCTGCCTCGGTTTTTCGTACCACTGGAACGTCTATACCATGGACGTATATGCCAGTCAGGACCGAAGCGCTTTTGAAAATGACTGAAACTGGATCAGGCCCGTAGGACATTTTGCACGCCGGAAAAGTAACATTTTGTGCTAAATCATAAAATCCCCGGACGCGACAAAATTCTGGGCCCTCAGTTCTAGTACACCACTGATTAGGGGAAACCACATCTGAAAATCCTGATGAACTTGCTCGACCAACACCGAGATAGAACACGGGACATCAGCAGCTAGCCTAACTACAAAATTTTCAGGCTAACATTTCATATTATGGTACAATTTTATTTCAATAATTTGCTTGCACGTAGTGGTCTTATGAATAGCATAGTTCTAATTTGGTATTATCCATATAATTGAAATTAAGAACACGAATCCATTCAATTAGAATAGAATACGTGCATAACCAAGTATATTTTTGTTAAAGGGCCAATCCCGATAATATTTTGGAGAATAAAACTGCTTAATTTTGTGTTAAAATCCCTTAACATCCTCTAACTTAGGGTAGAGCAACTAATAACTCAATATGTGATATATTTTCAAACAATTTAAACCCGTCAGTCTTAATCTGGAAATGGAGACCGATGTCCCAAGCTGTATTATTCGGTGTCTGGATAAAAACACAAGTACAGCACATGGGTCATTCACTGTATAAACCTTTAAAGAAAACGGAATCAATTATCAGGTCACCCAACGAAAAAATTGACCCAAAATCTTAAAAGGGTTATGTGTCCGGATTTAAGCAATTTTGAAGTTCACGTCCAAATGACTCAATATTTTGAGCTGAAGTTTTGAGACGGGGTAAATACACCATTTCTCTATATTTTGACCCTTAAATTTCATACGTACTCAGACTTTTATTTTTGAGACTCTGTTCAAATCGGGATAGTCCCTTTAAGTATTTTTTACCCAAGACATTGGAGATGTTCCTGATAAAAAAAATTCCAAATTGTTGTTCTGACTCATTACATATATATTTCACTTTCAGTAAGTAACATAACGTCGTCGTGGGTTTTCTCTGGGTCCTCCGGTTTCCGCCCACTGCTAAAGACCCCTACGCGCAAGCGAATTATTGAAATAAAATTGAACCATGTGTTAGTCCCGAAATGACCTAGTTTGTGTCGAGTGGACGTTAAACTCCATTTCCCTCTCTCTCCTACCCACGGTACGATTGATATATCCTACATTATTCAAGGCTTTGTTCAAGCAAAATCACAGTTTGCATGGAAATAAGTAATTCTGTTACAAAAAGTGAAGAGTGGACCACTCAAATAGTTGCCGAACAGTTTTTCTTCTATGTTTTTGAGATGACGTTTAATTACATGTATGCGTGTTCTAATTCTAATAAATTAGTTTATTATATGTTGAGCTATGTGCAATAGACTGTCGGTTTAATTGAAAAGTAAGGTAGTTATAGCCATGTAGGCCATTAACTTTTTTATAATCAAAACTGGCACAAAGGAAGTCATTAGAATCATCCACTACTGTGGCTGTAGGCAAGATGGAAGACATCAATAGTGGAACCATTTTTACCCCTTACCGTAGTCACAGGCTATCAGCCTACATATTTCTGTGACTAATATAATATTAGTTGTCTTGTTACATATTTTATTATACCATAAGTGACCGTTTATTACAGGGACGGGACGTCAAGTTATCCAAATCATTATCCTGGTTATTGAGACATGGAGCAGAAAAAGCAGGACTTCATTTCTCGCCAGGTAAAATTTTAATTCCCCAGGTGTTTGTCCAGAGGAGGGGGACTGTATACTCTGCCCCCACATCCCTTCCTTGTCACGCAGAGCATTATTTATCTCCTACTTTCCCTAGGAAAGAAACAGACAGAATAGACTAGGCTTTCAATGATAAAATTCAGATTAAAAGAAATGGTAGGGGTGGGGGAAGGATTACAATGTACTTGTAGATGCTGGTTCATTACATGTCAATGCAAACCCATTCCTTGCAGATACAGACTTAATTCACACCGATTGCAGGCCCAATACCCATTACTTGTCAATGTCGGCTCATTACATGTTGGGGGAGGGTGGATGGCCGAATGGTTAGAAAGTGCGTGCTGTATCCTAAGGTCTGTCATTGAGTCAACTGGCGTGGTTTCGATTCTCCGGTTGTACGTGACAAGGAGTAGGGTTGCCTGTCCAACCTCGTGGGTTTTCTCCAGTTTCCACCCACTGCTAAAGGGAGCAGGTCGTTTCATCCCACTACCGGTTCATCCCGGGCTGTTTCATCTGGGCTGTTTCATCCCATATTTACACGGGTCCTTTCATCCCACTTATATCGGGTCCTTTCATCCCACAAATTTAAAAACCGGTATTACATGAATTTTTAATATTTTATTTATACATTAATACCAATAACCAATGCAATTTTATCATGAATAATGTCCAACTCCTTCTTTTGCATACGCCTTAGCTTATTTTCCGAATATTTTATTTATACAATGTCAATGAATAGTGTCCAACTTCTTCCTTTGCCTACGCTTTAGTTTATTTTCCGAATCCACACCACTTCTCGACATCAATTTCACTAAAATTACATCGCTTACAATCGAGCGATGCTCATAGCAAAACACTCAACTCATAATACACTGTATAGTCATTTTCATGCTTAACAGGATTGCCAGTGATAGAACAGTCTATCAAAGAATAAAATTACACATAGTCACTATTTCGACACGTGTTATCTTTAGATGTTCAGACTACCTGGCACCTCAAATAACCCAACTTTAAAGGGGGGTTGGATTGCTGAATGGTTAGCAATGGTATCATAATGTCTGTCATTGAGTCGACTGCCGTGGTTTCGAATCCCCAGTTGTATGTGACAAGGAGTAGGGTCACCTGTCCAACCTCGTGGGTTTTCTCAGGGTCCTCCGGTTTCCTCCCACTGCTAAAGACCCCTACGTGCAAGCGAATTATTAACATAAAATTAAACCATATGTTAGTCCCGAAATGACCTAGTTTGTGTCGAGTGGACGTTAAACCCCATTTCTCTCTCTCTCTCCCAACTTTAAAAGAAAGCATGCAGTGTCCACCTTACAACGGGTTCCATTGGTTTACGATTTATTTTATAATTTATCACACAGTTTAGACCACAATATGTTACGATTCGCATTTTGGTATTCTAAATGAATTCTTATACGGAATTCTTATATTTGGAGTTGTTTGGTTTCATTTCGTGTACGGAAATTAAATCTACGATCAGTTTTAAAATTAATTATGGTTTCGAAATAATATCAATCTAATTTATTTTATTTAAAAGGCGCTTCTGCGCAATTTAATTGATTATTTAATAATACGTATAAAATCCATGATGTATTTTGGCGAGTGATTAAGCTGTCAATATGTAATTATAAAATACCTTTTTATAAAGAAAATAAATGATGTTAGACATCATAAACTAACAAACAATACGCGTATACTTTATTACAAAACCATCGGTAAACTAATCTAAAATCATAACGGCAATCAACAAAAATCGACGAGTAAAACTTATTTATTCCATACATTATTGTTTATTTAACAATAAGTAAGTCTTTAACAGTTTATTTAACAATAAGTACAACTCAGTTAATTGACTGCTATTATAATAACAAGGGGGTGAAACAGTCCAATAAAAAATTAGGTTGGGATGAAACAGCCCGGGGTGAAACGGTTGTGGGATGAACTGACCCGCATCCCTGCTAAAGACCCCTACGCGCAAGCAAATTATTGAAATAAAATTGAACCATATGTTAGCTCTCTCTCTCTCTCTCAATACTTGTTAGTGTTAGTTTGTGCTAGCTCATTACTTCTTAATGCTCATTACTTGCTGATGCAAAGTATAATTTTTCCAGTTTTTTTGGACCATTTTTGGACAGAAAGTCATACTAGAGATTCAACTTTTACGAGGGATTCCTCAATGCCATAAATGACGATCAGCCACTTTGCATTGTAAATGTACACAGAGTCGATACAAGTTGCGTTAACTTCCTACTTTTCTGCACAGACTGGGTTCATTAAGACGGACAGTCCAAAAACCTGCACTAAGGCATACTGTTATTTCGCTTTCCAACTGTCCAGGGTTCTATTTATATGTATGCCAATGTGTACAGGAGACCTAAGGTTTTCCGTTCCATCCGAACTGCTTGACACTTCCCTCCGTTGGAAAATGCAGAGTATCTTTCTCGACCAACACCAGGAGCAAACCTGAGACTTCGTGGTTAGCCGGCTGCAGTGTCTGATTCACTAAGCCACTGCGACTCTCTTTCTATCAGAATTATCTATGTTAAACCCCATTCAATCTTGCACGTCCCCCGCCCCTCTCATTTCCATGAGTGTAAACTGTACAATAAAAAAAAATAAGTTTAATTATTAATTTAATGTTTTTAGGTGGATTTTTATACGTAGAGGAGATATTAAATAAACCACAGTTTAAAAGTTTTACAGAAGCTGATATAAGACAAGTTGTGGAAACCAATGATAAGAAACGGTTTGCTCTTCAGACAGATGACGAGGGCAAACTACAAGTCCGTGCCAATCAGGGTCACACTTTACAGGTAAACACAACTTATCTAGATTATCAGATCGTTTAGTTTCTAACATTTAGCCATCGAAGAACCTCCCTAAATTTTATACCCTGCCACTTGACTGACTCGGTGACAGACCTTATGATCTAAAGTGCTGACACCCCCAACTTGTACATGGGACCTTGGTGTTCGTCCAATCCAAATGAATGACGGGACAGTGATCCTAGCCCAGCACTCCATCCTGCATCACTGACAAAGTGAAACCATCCTGAAAATCCCAAGGAATTTCATGGCCAAACACCAGGATAGTGGGGGGGGGGGGGGAATGGCCGAATGGTTAGCATGTAAGTGCTGTATCATAAGGCCTGCCATTGAGTCAACTGGCGTGGTTTCAAATCCCCGTTTGTATGTGACAAGGAGTAGGGTTGCCGGTCCAACCTCGTGGGTTTTCTCCGGGTACTCCGGTTTCCCCTTACTGCTAAAGAAACCTACGCGCAAGCGAATTACTGAAATAAAATTAAAACCATATGTTAGTTACGAAATGACCTAGTCTGTACCGAGTGGATGTTCAACCCCATCTCTCTCTCTCTCTCGCTCTCTTCTCTCTCTCTCTCTCTCTCTCTCTCTCCTGGTTAGTGAGCCCGCACTATACTCAATAAGTCACCAAGTGGAGTGAAATCCAGATATCTGTGAAAATCTTATTTGTGAAAGGGGGAGTTGGTGGCCGAATGGTTAATGCTGTGCGTTGGATCAGAATGTCTGTCATTGAATCAAATGGCAAAGTTTCGATTCCCCCTGTTGTACATGACAAGAAGTAGGGTCGGCTGTCCAACCTCATGGGTTTTCTTCGGGTCGTCCGGTTTCCACCCACTGCTAAAGACCCCTACACGCAAGCAAATAATTGAAATAAAATTGAACCCAATGTTAGTCCCGAAATGAACTAGTTTGTGTCGAGTGGACGTTAAACCCCATTTCTCTTTCTCTTATTTGTGAAAATCTTATGTTTGAATCATTTATTTATGAATCATTTGAATGTGAATCCTTTATTTTAAATGGCGAATTTTGAAACCATATATGTGCAAAACAAATACATTATATAATCTTATATTGATCACAAGATTACATTCCATAGAAGATAAATTTATTTGAATGATTGTATAAATATCTGTATTTTGTAGGTGGATGATTTAGAGCTAACACCAGTAACGAGTCCTGCTAACTATCCTATAGTGATACATGGAACTAATATGACCGCTTGGAATTCCATTAAAACACAGGTTTGTTATATAATACATAGGAAGAGTTTAAATGCAAAAAGGAGGGGGGGGGTGCTGGTCGAGTGGACTAATGCATTTGTTTTAATATCATAGGGACTGTCATTGAGTCAAGTTGCGTGGTTTCTATCCAGATCTCCTAAGTGACAAAGGGTAGTGTTGCCTCTGGTTTCTTACCGCGGATAAAGACACCACACACACAAAATAATTATTGACATAAAACTATACCATTTCTCAACCTATCTAAACGCAAAAACAATCTATTTCTGTCAAATAATTGCTCTGAGAAATATGTTAGATCTGTATAAGATAATTGTTATTTTATATAGGGATTAAGTCGAATGAGGAGAACTCATATACATTTTGCTACTGGTGAACCTGGTGATAGTGGTGTTATAAGTGGTAAGTATATGATGACTATGTATACCAGGGAAGCAGGTGGAGGTATGGGGGGGGGGGGGGGAACATGACGGGGAACAGAGAGAGGAGTTTTCACAAAACTATTTTACAAGAACGAGGGGGGAACATGATGGGGAACAGGGAGAGGAGTTTTCACAAAACTTCTAATGAGAGAGAGGAAGATATTTTACGAACTGAAAAAGGTTATATATTTGAATTATCATTTTATTTCTGTTTAATATGTCTATTTATCTTGTAATTATTGCTGTTGATGGGAGTTATCAGATATAAGCTACATATGGTAACTATGGAGATACCGGTATCTTAATTCCTTTCATGTGCCCAGGTATAATTATTTGTAATGAATGCAATTGGTGTGATTATTGAGATCCCAAGCTGCATTCATAAGTATGAGTTAACCTGTTAATTGTATTATAGGTATGAAATCTTCCTGTGATGTACTGATATATTTAAATCTACACAAAATGTTACAAGGTAAAGCATTTCAAATATTAGAAATATAATGGTCTGGTCTTTCTGGTTATTCCTCTACCATAGAGCTATCATCCCTCATTGTGCACTGTAGTAGTGTCTTCCCTCATAGCATACTGTAGCGCTATCGTCCCTTATGGTACACTGTAATACTATCATCCCTCATAGCACAATGTAGTGCTGTCATCCCTCATCACGCACTGTAGTGCTATCATCTCTCATAACACACTGTAGTGCTATCATCCCTTATACCACATCATTGTAGTACTATCGTCCCTCATCACACACTGTTGTGCTATCATCTCTCATAACACACTGTAGTGCTATCATCCCTTATACCACATCATTGTAGTACTATCGTCCCTCATCACACACTGTAGTGCTATCATCTCTCATAACACACTGTAGTGCTATCATCTCTCATAACACACTGTAGTGCTATCATCCCTTATACCACATCATTGTAGTACTATCGTCCCTCATCACACACTGTAGTGCTATCATCTCTCATAACACACTGTAGTGCTATCATCTCTCATAACACACTGTAGTGCTATCATCCCTCATAGTAAACTGTAGTGCTATCATCCCTCATAGTACACTGTAGTGCTGTCATCCCTCATTACACATTGTAATGCTATTGTCCCTCATAGTACTGTAGTGCTATCATCTCTCATAGTACACTGTAGTAAGGTCTTTGATGTTTCTTAAGTTCCCACCTAAGTTAATCAGACATGTATTGACTTGGAAATTAGCCACAAGTTTTGTTCTATGATGGCAACACCATCGTTCATGGCATAAAAACGGGGACAGGCAGTAATCATTTGTATTAGCCAAATTCACAAGTTCCCAATTTATGTTGTTAGTGTTTGTCAGTTTATTTAGTTTATAATGAAATATTTAATAGAAGTATATTAAAATTGTACCTGTATGTTGCAGATAATTTACCTGTATGTTGTACAAAATGTACCTATTATTTGTAGTTACATCCTCTGGCAACCTTTGATAAAACTGTCCTGTTTATTTTCAATACAGCTTAAAGGTATTCGTGTATCAGAAATATACAGAAAGAGTACTGTTCATTTCTGATACACGGATACTTTTATACTGTTTTAGATACCTATCAAGCAATAAGTAGCAGACGTTTAGTCCCACCCAGATCGCAATTGATAACGATGGCTCTATACAATGCACAAGGATAATGTACATGAAACAACTAGTCAAAATCATAGTAACAAAACAAACCGGGGGGAACTACATGGTAGTTCAAAAACATATACAATGACATTAAATTAACATAACAAAATATTACAAAAATCAATTATTATACATATCAATTGGCATCTATTTCATAATTTGGTTTGATTTATATTAATATGCAAAATATATAAATTAGAATATTGAATAATTATTTTAATTAATTGTGATGATAGAAGGTGCAGTTCTCTTGCTGGACACTTCACAGGCATTGAAAATAAGCAGGATGAAAAAAAAACGCCTAGAAAAACATAAACTTTATTACAAATAAATTTCAACGGAAGAACCATCTGCCGATGCATACTTTCACCCTTGAATGACCCACGTTTCACATTTCCTTTACACTACATTTAATAATATCACAGTCCTCTACGCCATAGACAAGTTGTTTTGACGATGTGGTCTGAACAAACACGTGATTGTTTTACGCTCAGAGTATCATAGCAAGATGCACGTGTAAATACTACTCAGGTCGTCTCTCCACTGCGAAATCATTCTATCATGAAATGTAACGTGAGGCTCAGAAAGGGATAAATGAAAGAGCAGAAAGTATTTGTCATTTTTCGGTTGAAACGACTCGATAATCTATATATTTGAGACTGTCGTTTGTCTGTCTGTCTGTCTGTCTGTCTGTTCGGGGTCTGCCCCGAGTCTGAAATTTGGGGTATATGGGTAACTCGGATCGGGGAGTAACATAGGCCAGGTGGCGTTAGTCTACCACTTCCGGTTTCGGAGTTATGACCCCCGAGCGACGCCAGTCTGTTTGGGGTTGGCGGCTACACTAGGTCTGCCCTGAGTCTGAAATTTGGGGTATAGGGGTAACTCGGACCGGGGAGTAACATAGGCCAGGTGGCGTTAGTCTACCACTTCCGGAGTTATGACCCCCGAGCGAAATCTGTCTGTTCGGGGTTGGCGGCTACATCTGCCCCGAGTCTGAAATTTGGGGTATAGGGGTAGCTCGGACCGAGGAGTAACATAGGCCAGGTGGCGTTAGTCTACCACTTCCGGTTTTGAACTTATGACCCCCGAGCGAAGCCGGGTATCCTGCTAGTAAATACTATTTTTCACATTTTGCTTCACAATACTCGATAGAAATGTGATGTAAGTAACTTATTAGCACCTTTTCTCGGTGTATCGGTGAATATCAGGACAGTTTTGGTCGGGAGCCAACTCGGCTGGGGCCCTCGACCAAAACTGTCCTGATATTCACCGATACACCTCAGAAAGTGTGCTAATAACTATTACATAATATACATGTACAAGCGCTGAAATAAGCGTCCGGACACGGACAATGTCCGGGCGAATTGACCCCTTTTGACAGGCCAAATTGTCTTTCGTCCGGACATAATTGTCCGACCGTGTTTTTGTAAAACATTATGTCAAAAATATTTGAGTCGATCGCTATTTATTATTAGACTCGAAAGTCCAAAACCAAAAATATCAATGACCCGAGTCATAGTGAAAATGTTACTATTTATATCTCGGCCGCGTGCAGATAAAATCTTCAATAATTTTTAGAATCGACTCTTTTACGCTGGTTATATCAACGACCCGAGTCATAGTAAAAATATTACTATTTATACATGTATCTCTCTCGGCCACGTGAAGAAAAAATAATGAATAATATTGAGAATCGGCTCTTTTACACTGGTTATTCGAGTCTCGTAGCTAGCTTTGCGTTACTTTCGTATATGATTAGCTCTAAATCACACCTAACATGACATGTAATTATATAAATTATTAGTAATAAAAGTAATAATATTTTAAAATTAGTTTACAAGAAAATGTCCAAGTTGACTATGGATGTAATTAGGGACAGATTTTTTATACGAAAATATCTCACTTTGTTGGACACTTCCAATGTGAATGTAAATAGAAGAGCCGTGAAAACATGTCGAATAAAATAACTTCTTACTTTTCCCAACCCTCGGACACGGATATCCCGGCTAGTGGGACCGTTCCAGAAAATTCAAAGACTGGTACTGTGTCTTAATCTTATGTCTCTCATAAAGACACTTCTAAACGGGGGGCGTCGCCGTCACCAGTTGGAAAATTACAAAAACGAGCCGTAGAACTAGAAAAGTGGATCAAAAATGACTTGGCAGATTCTGAACCATTTACGACAACTCAAGATGTCTATTCTTTAGTTAAATTTGAATCTTAATCAGAGTTTTTAGGATTTAGTCCCCAGCCCCACCAAAGAGATTAATGACATTATTATATGAACTATAAAGTTGTATTCCATATACATATAAAAACTTAAAACTCCAGGTTGTATGTGAGTCATCAATTTATTTTATTAATAAATGTATGTATAATAATATATATAAACATAGTAAATTTCAACAGTTTTTTGGTTTAATATACTTTATAAAGTATTTGTCAGGCTGAAAATCTGAAATGTCCGGCCGAAAATCAGTTCAGCCTGACATGATGTCAGGCTGAACCTTAGCAGTTATTTCAAGGCTTGTACATGTACCTGTATTTTATAAATAATATGTCTGTATTTTGTATTACCTGTATTTGATAAATACCTGTATTTTGTAGATAATCAATCTGTATTTATATCAGCTAATGGTGTGATATTATCACCAGGTGATCAACAAGGGATTATACAACCTGTATATTTTAAACAAGTTATTAACAGAAGAACAAGTAAGCTGTGACAATTTTAACAAATAGCATATATTCCATTTTATCTTTTATTCTACTTCAGCCCTTGTATTTCACTTGACCCAGCATTCCGAACTGGATGGCTGAATGGTTAACATGTGCTCGTTGTATTATAAGGTCTGTCATTGAGTCAAATGGCGTGGTTTCGATTCCCCAGTTGTACGTGACAAGGAGTAGGGTCGCCTGTCTAACCTCGTGGATTTCCCCCCACTGCTAAAGACCCCTACGTGCAAGCGAATTATTTAAATAAAATTGAACCATGTGTTAGTCCAGAAATGACATGGTTTGTGTCAAGTGGACATTAAACCCCATTTCTCTCTCTCTCTCCCTGTGTTCAGAGGATATAGTTGTTGTGATCATATGTTTCTTAGCCTGGCAACTTATTTCTTTTTTTTTTTTGCAGGAGAGGTTATTCAATGAACAATGCATACAAATCTTCAGGAAATAAAATGGTGCTGAAGGGAAACTAGGTTTAATAGCATGTTAGTACCAAAATAAATGTACTGAAAAGGAAGGAGCGAGCCTTGAAAAAGCAATACATTGAGATATCCATTTCGATATAAAATATATTTTTATCTTGTTTGTTATTTTAAGTCATTTCTGTGATATGAAGAAATATACAAAGTATAATTTATGTGTCTAAACAATTAATTTAAATATTTAATAAATTTTAAATTTTTAAAAATAAAAATAAATTTTTGATATTTGTCTACCAGTAATCAAAAGTTATTTAAATTCCATTTAAAGACCCTGGTATTCCAGAATAAATGGCAAATGTAGAAAATCATAATAATCGATTCACAAAGCAAATAGGTCTAAAATATATTAAACTTGATTATTTCTAACTCAGTTATTGCCACTTAAAGTTTACATTAGTTTCTAGTGCTTTTACACCATCCTTTTTATTTCTCAGTAATCATCTGTTGACAACCGTAACGACAACTCATTGCTATCCACGAATGTCAAGCCAAAATGTTATAAAACCTTTTGTCAGTTGTTATTTTTCTTAAATTAAATTACGGAAAATGTTATTGTGTGCCGAGAATAAGACACCTGTCACAGACATTGTCGAGCAAAAATCCTCTGCTACCTGGGGTTTTTTTTTTCAGATCATTTTAATATATGTCCAGCGCGAAGTCAAAAATAATAGACACCAGCTCATCATTGCCTGACATTTTGTCAGATCCTCCTAAAATAATTATTTTTAGGCCTGGTTTATTGCCTTCTGTGATACACTTGAGATACTTCACCTGTATTAACTTTATTTACGTGACAAGGAGATGGGTCACCTGTCCAACCTTGTGGGTTTTCTCCGGGTCCTCTGGTTTCCTCCCACTGCTAAAGACCCCTACGCACAAGCGAATTATTGAAATAAAATTGTACCATGTGTTAATCCCGAAATGACCTAGTTTGTGGCGAGTGGAGGTTAAACCCTCTCTCTCTCTCTCATTTAAAGGTAGGCATTCTTTCCACAATGGCTGCTGTATGATAATATGAACAGGAAACCTGTAAAACTTTATATTTTAATAATTCTTCTACTATTTTAGGAGTGTCTGATCTAAATAAATATCTGTGACCTTTGCCCTCTGGATGCCCTAAACGGCCATCACTACCACAACCCCAGGTAAAAACGTGACCTTCAGAACTTAAAGCACAGCTATGTATACCGCCAGAAGCAACCTGGATAATGCAATCTCCATCAAACCAAGCTGGATCTATCTTTGTGGGTAAAAATCGTGAACCCTGATCTCCATGCCCAAGTTTGCCTTTATACCCGTCCCCCCATGAATAGACTCCACCCTCAGATGATGTAGCTAGGGTATGGCCATGATGCTCTCCGACACTGCAACTTACAGTTTTAAAACAAATACTGTCATTGGCTACTTCAACAGCTTCCATTTTATTTTCACGATTTTCCTCACCAAGTCCTAAAGCCCCATCAGCACCTTTACCAAACATAAAAAGTTTTCCATCTTGAGTTATGGCCCCTGAATGGCTATATCCGGCAGACATTGACACAATATTATATTTGCTTAAACTCGCTATCAACCTGGGTGAAGAAACATTATCCAGTGATCCATGTCCTAAAACACCAAAATGTCCACTTCCAAATGAATAGGCTTGACCTTCCAGTGACCAAGCAAGAGTGAAATTGAAACCACAAGAAACTCCTGTGACTCTGATGGAGGGTGAAATAGTCGGGGGTATGGATGTTTTTTGGTTGATACCACTTGCTTTACCATGACCCCAAACACATAAATTATTATCACTGGTTACAGTAGCTCCATGCCATATTCCACTTGATATCTGAAAAGATATTAACACTCTACAATGATTTTCCATATTTCCTTCCTTCATTTGAAATGAAATGGGGTTTAACATCCTACTGTTCTGCTCCTAAACTGGGCTAATGAAGACGGGTATAAGCCATACAGTGTGCTATGAGGGATATTTTGCCCAGGCAGCAGCACTATCGCCTACACTTATATCGAATTCCAACTGCCAAGGGATCTTTAACGTGCATTCCAATGTATTCACGGGACCTCGATTTTCTGTCTCATCCAAAGGACTAGACAACTGTCCTTGTCAGGCCCTCCACTCTGCACCACTGACAAGGGGAAACCACGTCTGAAAATTCCGATGAACTTTCTCGGCCAATGCTGGTATCAAACACCTGACCTCCAGGCTAGCGAGCCAGTGTCTTAACCATAATTGATCCGGACTTTTCAGCATAGCTAGTTTACCCTTGTCAGTCGTGCAGGTTGACAGATCGCCGGGCAAGGAACAGCGCTTAGTTGTCCAGATGGAACGGAAATTGGAATGCATATATAAAAGAGCAGGGACAGTGTTGCCATCAAATCATTTGACAAAGAAATCATGGTTCCAAAAGGATTTTCAGTGGAAATGGCATTAGCAAAACATTTAACCGAATCAATCCTGGTCAGATCACATACGCAGGAGTTATAGTGTTAAAAAATTGCTGTTTAACTACCGGTAAAATAAATCCATATTCACATTTGCCGTATATATTTGGAATACTTTCTTTTTTTTTTACATTTATGAACTTTTTTGTTTTACCTGCTTATGCTGTTTCCCCAGAGGTTTCACTTCTTTAAATACGACTTCGTCTTCGACCTGAACGTTACCAAGGCGACCATATTTACAACACCCAGATGTAAAAACTCGACCGTCGTCAGTTAAAATAGACGTAAACAAACCACCGCAGGATATCAGTCGACAATTTGGCGTTTCTTTAGCAAAAAACTTCACTGAGACTGGAATATGTTGGGTTAATTTATCGCCAGAACCTAGTTGTCCAGAGACACCGAGGCCCCAGGTCAAGACAGACATTCTGTTTTAAATATTGAGTTTGGCCAAAATGTAAAAATCAGAATTTTCGGCGAGAGTTTTGTACTGTAAGAAATCTATATCGCACCGTTCTGTTCATATATTGTTACTAAATTTAGATATTTGTCACTATCAAGGGAAATAACTCCTGCAATATGTACATCGATCGTCCAGGCGTACAAAATAATTATATTTTTAGAGAGAGAGCGAGAAAAATGGTGTTTAACGTCCACTCGACACAAACTAGGTCAATTCGGGACTAAATTTATTTAATACAACATGTACGAAACATTAATTAAGATATGGAATGACAAAGGTAAAAAAACCTTTTGGAAATATTTCAGTGTTTAACATTTGGAAATATTTCAGTGCTATAAACATCTGAAATTATTAAAAGTGAAAAAACATTCTGTTCAAACTGTTTTAAACTTTATATAAGATCAAAAAATAAAGTGGAAAAAAGTAGGCCCTAATTACAACAGAGTTTTAAAAAGTTATCTGAAATATTGTATTCACACATGATAGATTTACACCTATAATGTAGAGCATCAAGCCCCCCCCCCCAAACCCCACCACACGGCGTTGTTTGGGCAAGATGTCCCCCATAGCACAATGCTATAGCACAACGTTAAACCCTATTTCATTTCATTGTCCTTTGGGAGCCACGGTGGCTAGGTGGGTTAGACGCTGGCTCGCTATAGCCTGGAGGTCACGTGTTCGATCCCAACATTGGCCGAGAAAGTTCATCGGTATTTTCCGACGTGGTTTCCTCTTGTCAGTGGTGCAGAACAGCTGGCAAGGACAGCTGTCTAGTCCTTCGGATGATACGAAAAACTGAGGTCCCGTGTATACATTGGAATGCACGTAAAAGGTCCCTTGGAAGTTGGAATTCGATATAAAAGTAGGCGATAATGCCGCTGCCCGGGCAAAATTTTCCTCATAGCACACTGTATGGAGTATGCCCGTCTTTATTAGCCCAGTATAGGAGCAGATCAGTAGGACATTAAACCCCATTTCATTTCATTGTCCTTTAAGGGCAAGGTAAAATGACGCCACTGTTTTATATTTCGTGATAGTCGAGTCTATTTTCGCAGAATTTGAAAGTAAAGTAGCTGATCGGCTCACAATTTTAAGAAGGAATTTTATTTGGGTGAGTAAGATAATGTCATTGTCTATTAACTATAGGAATAACTTTTATAAGTTAATGACGTATTAGGGGCGGGCGCTTGATCATAATCTTCCATCCCCCTTGGATTGTCAAAAGGTTAATATTTTTATAAATAGGTTGGGATTCTATTTTTAACAGACGCGCTCATTTTGAATTAAATATTGTCTATCACGACACCGAAGATAGTTTCAATGTCTGGAGGAGAGTTTTGTTCATGTTTTTAATTTGTGATATGATAGCATACTTCACGACGCATGTCAGTCCTTATTAGACATGTTGCAGCACAAGGTGACTTTAAACCAGTCATGTTATTTATGACGTCAAATAAACGAGATAAGAGGTGTCTAGCTTCCTGAGGATTTGTTTAAACGGGTCAAATATTACCTTCACGCACAAAGGAAACATCTCTGACAAAATGAGCCACCATATGAACCTGGCGACATTTGAACTGAAACCAACGGTATTGTAACTGATCTATCCATATTATAAATGAAACTAGTAGTGATACTGTAAATGAAATAGCTTTATTTAACGTCCGGTTCCACCGAGGTGATATCGCAGACAATCAACACTGTAATGAAGTTGCATTGTAAATGTAACCAGCGGTGCTGTAAATGAAACTAGCGATGCTGTAACTGAACAATGTTGTGGCCCTTGTTTCACTTTGTTGAACGTTGTAAATTTCCGTTAAGTACTTCTGGAGTTATGGCCCTTGTTTCACGCTCTAATGACAAAAGTCATCATCCTATCTTTATTTAATTTAAATGCATTATTGAGATTAGTAAAACGAAGAAGCCTATTCAATTTTAGCAATTTATGTTGATAACGTTTACAGAAATGAAATGAAATGGGGTTTAACGTCCTACTCTTCTGCACCTAACCTGGGCTAATTGAAGACGGGCATACGCCATACAGTGTGCTATGAGGGAATTTTTGCCCGGGCAGCGGCGCTATGGCCTACTCTTATATCGAATTCCAACTGCCAAGGAATCTTTTACGTGCACGCCAATGTGTACACGGGACCTCGGTTTTTCGTCCCATCTGAACGACTAGGCAGCTGTCCTTGTCAGGCCCTCCTTTCTGCATCACTGACAAGGGGAAACCACGCCGGAAAATCGAGATGAACTTTCTCGGCCAATGCAGGGATCGAACACCCGACCTCCAGACTAGCGAGCCAGCGCCTTACCCACTAAGCCACGGATAACGTTTACAGATATGACCCTTGTCAATTTGTTGAACCGTGTGAACATTCGATCTATAGTGGCCTGTATATCTTCCTATTATCCTATAAAGCATAAATATGTAACAAGCCTTGTCGAGTGCTTGGACGATTTAGCTGCAGTGGGTGTATGCTTTGTTGCCTGGCAAGTTATATTAAATTTTTATGTCGTCACGGCAGATTCTTTTCAAATTTGTTGTGAAGTAGTGTTGTCATGGGAGGATGAACCTTATCGATTTTCAGCTTTCCATGACTTTCTGTTCCTAAGTTATACCCACTATGCTGAAAACCTTGTGAACGCGATGTAAGCTATAGCATGATATTATGGACAGGCTGGTTTAATTAAACTATCTACATATGAAGGAATAATAAATGGTAAAAAATGGGTAAAATCATATAAAATGTCACTTTCAAACACGATTTAAAAAAAAAATCGCTGCTGTGTGAAAAAAAGGGTGGGAATCTTCTCCCTTCGTCATAATAAAGCCAAGTTAGTGTGTTGATTTAAAATACACTTTCATCGGCCTCTAGACGTGAGTATTGGGGATTGGGAAGAGGCTCCATAAGTGTAATAGCCTAGGGCCTCACTTAATTTAATTCCGACATTAATGGTCTGCTTAGAGGTCTTACACAGGGTAGGCTTATGTTTTGTTGTCTGACAAACTATTTTTATACGCCCACATTTTCATGTGGACGTATATTGTCGTCGCCCCTGTCCGTCCGTCCACAATTTGTTTGTGGACACTCTACAGGTCACAATTCTTATCCGATTTTGACGAAACTTGAAATATAGTTTTATCTCCAAAAGATCTCGGTTTCTTTCGATATTGGCGCATATCGCACCGTAACTTTATGAATTATGGCCCCTGATTGTACGAAAAATCCCGTTTTTAGCTTGTGGACCCTATAGACTAGGTCATAATGTTTATCCGATTTAAAAAAAAACGTATTATATCACCGTTACACCCTAAGGACGGCTGAGTTCGAATTTCGGGAAAATCGGTTCAAAACTGACAGACAAAATGGCTGGATCCTGCCTGACAGCCGCTGGTTACACCTATTCATAAAATTGTTCATTTAATAACCCAGTGGTAGATTAATGTTAATTGTTTGTTTTCAAGCTACAAGATTCAAACATGACTGGTAAAACTGAGTTGTCAAAACTTTGCCGAGACCAATTTTGTAAATGGATAGGTCGATCAGTGGATTTTAAACTGGTATACAGAGCTTCAACAGATGGAATGTCTCCTACGATATTTCATCAGAAATGTGACAACAAGGGACCGACCGTTGTCATTGGTTACAATACAGATGGATGTGTATTCGGTGGATATACGTCAGTAGATTGGAAACCATGCATCTGTGGTACTGCCCAAACCAGGCGGGACGAAAAAGCTTTTCTTTTTAGTTTGAAATACATGAATAAATACTCTCCAAGAATCTTCCCAGTAAAGGATCCTGAATTGGCCATAACAATCTGTTCAAATTATACTGCTGTATTTGGATCTGCTGGTACTCCAGATATGATGATTCTACCTAGCCAAGTTGTAAATAAAGATACCAACGGAAATTACGCTACTAATTTTAATCAACAGGGTTTTAAATTCGGTACAGTATATGACAGTGGAGGTGTAACTATGCAACAAGTTACTAAAGACAATTATATATTCAAGGACGTGGAAATCTACCAAGTTATGGGTATGTAAATGAAAAGAACATTTTTACAACCACAGACCAAAAACAATTATCAAAACATTGCTAAGTAAACAGCGCTACCTCGCGTAGAGATAGAGGGGACTGTGAGGAAATGTTTGGAAAATTCTTTTCTTTTTCTAATTCCAATATCTTTTGGAACTCTTCAGGTGACATAAAGGAGTCTGAGAAGAAATTTATGAAAAAAAAAATAGATTTTTTTTCTCAGTCCAATATCTTGTGTAACATTTGTAGTGAAAAACACCACAGGCAACAAACACTTGTGAAAATTATTCTAAATTGAAAATCTTGTAGGATGTGATACCACACAGGGAAACAGGGGGGTCTTAGAAGAAATGTATGAAAAACATCGATTTTGTTTCGATGCGCAATATCTTGTGGAACTCTTGTGGTGAAAAATGCAACACAAAAGCTCCGACACCTGCGATAATAATACCGCATTGCCTTGTATTAAAACATTGCTTTTGTATTTAAATCATTATTGTTTGTAATGTAACATCTTTGTTTTAAAGATCCAGGACGTCTAGACAAACCATGGCGAGATGAAGAAAAAGATAACAAGGTATGTAAAATTGGTTGCCACTCTACGATTGTACTTCGCGGGGGGGGGGGGGGGGTACATCAGAACCTCTTGGCAAACTCACACCACCAAGAACGACACAAGACTTCCTTGGATTTGTAGCTAAAAATGGCCAATATAGATATATATATAACCATTATTAAAACAACAAATCCACAAGAGAATTCGAATGTGTGTAGCACCATGGGTCTTTTGTCCGACGTGGAGAACGGCCCAGGTACTAATACCGGTCGCCACATCCTACGTATGACCCATGCATCTTTTCTTACTACATATCTTAGTAGCCTTGTGATAGTCTAGTATTTTTACTTGCCTTCCTTACTTCCGCTCCACGTTGTACATCTCGTCTTCTTATCTATCTCAGTTACGACGTTTGTCTTCTCAGTAGTTAGACATTTGTCATACCAGGAATTACAATGCATCAGATCGTTTTTACTGGATACACATAAGCATACGTTACAATAGATTGCAATAATAAAATCATTCTCTCAAACCCTATCCAGCCAGACTCGCTGGGGCGAGTCTGCTGATAGAAATTACTACATCTTTTCCCTTCCAGAATCAAGCTGCTGTCTGACGATTGTCCAAAGATAAGATGGTCTTCTAGCTTTGGGTTTTGGACGTTCAATTATCTAATTGTTCAAATACATATGACGTAAACAAGTATAATGATTGGTTACTCAAGCCACATGATGCAATTAGTAAATTCCCAATCACGTGTCAAACATGATATTCTCATTCCCACGGAACCAGTTAATGTTTACCAAATTTATTCCTTTTTATATAACAATCTGTCACTTATTATCTTTCAATCTGATTTAAGTGTATGTTAGAAAATATTAATTAATATAATGCTAGTAGCTAACAAAAAATCTACAAAAGCTTTACATGTGTCGCAATTAGAAAGCTTTCTTTGACAAGAAGATCCGTCCTAGATGGTCGTAATAAAATAAACTGTTCAGCGCAAGGTGCATGTTAGCCGAATGGACTCGTCCATTATATAGAATGGGTAAAAATATCTTTTCCTCTTATTTAAATTTCCGAACACGAATGCAAAGCATATGATTCAATTCTAGGCTACACTGAAGGAGATGGTAGAGGATTACTGTCCAGTAGAAGACGCAGGAGTGAAACAATCTCGAATCCTATTGGTTGGATCAGTTGGCGCTGGGAAATCAAGCTATTTTAATACCATTAATTCCATATTTAGAGGTCATGTGACTTCCCAAGCTAATACCGGAAGTGCTGAGCACAGTTTAACTACAAAAGTAAGCAAAGTTTTGTTGTCATTTTAACGGTGCATTGATCAATTTTACCATGAAAATAAATGTAATTATTTTAAACAATAAAAACCACCGGTGTTAACTGGAATAATCAGACGTTAGAAATTGCCATTCGATTGAGATTTCTCGCGTATTTCGTTGAACATATCTGATTTGAAATTGAGTGTAAATACGTCTATATACATTCATATTACTGTAGGGGTTATTCAGAAACAATACAAAACTGCGGAAACGCACTGATGTTTTTATTAGAGGTAAACAGTGTATGTTTAATAACCGGCCAATTGCCTACACATGAACATAAACAATTCAGATGGGAGGCTTATCTGACGGCCCCATTTCACTCGCAAAGAGATACACTGTCAAAAGTGAAAATGAACGTTTTTGATTTTTGTCTTAATAATGAGTAATTGCTCCACAAATCCTCAGGCATTCAGCAATTCGTCGTGGCATGCTCCTAATCAACCGTCCAATCACGATTTGGGGCAATCTGACCCACTCCTCTTGCAGTCCCACGGCCAATTCTTGCAGTTTTTTCCGTTGACGTCGACGAACACGTCTCCCGATCAAATTAACACACTAAAGCAAAGATACGCTAAACAGTAAATCTTATACAAGAACCGATAGGAAAGCAAACATGGATAGGATAAACCAGCAAGCGACAGTTTTCATCATCCCTTCCTTGAAGTGTCGAATTTGACAATGAGCCCCTTCCACGTGTATGGCGATAAGTTCTTCATTTGTGAACATATTTTCAAAGCATGTCAAGTGTCCATGACTATTTATCATATCACAACCTACATAGGTATTCGCATTTTAATATCCCCTACTTTTTTTGAAAGGTATATTTCCGCTGCAACCCGTTTGTGTCAATTTCTAGGTCCCAAATATTAACGATTTATCTCCTTTAATTGTTTCTGATAATTACTTATTGGGTTGTTACTCTTGATAAAATTTTCGAGTCTAGTGGACTGGCCCAAATACCTCGCTGCCGTGAGCGTATGTCTCGTTGCCTGGTAACCTATGTTTCATACACTATCGAAAAGCCGGGGTGGCTCAGTGTGTACGTCTTGCAAGATACTACGTATAAACTTTCGGGTAGGACAAAAAAAAATACCGAGGTCCCATGTACACATTGTAAAAGTATTCTTGATCTTTGGAATTCGAAATAATAGTAGGTCGTACCACCGCTTTCCATGCAAAATTTATATCATAGCACATTACATGGCGTATGCCTGATAGGTGCAGAACAATACAACGTTAAACCCCAATTCATTTAATTTTGCTAATCCGGGTGCAGAACAAAAGACCTGGCAAGAAACAGCGTCTAGTCGTTTAGATGTTGCAAACCTAGATCCTGTGTACTGCACCATGGCATGCACGTAAAATAACCTTTGACAGTTGGAATTTACTAGCTGTCCAGGCACATTGACCCCCAAAGCACATTTCATTTCATTCATTCATTTAATTCTTGTTGGTGATAGTTTTATATTGTTTAGTTATTAGTATTGCTGCCTTCAACTTCTTATTGACTCCATATATGGGAGAGAGGGAGAGAGAGAAGAGATGAGATGGGGTTTAACGTCCACTTGACACAAACTAGGTGATTTCGGGACTAACATATGGTTTCAATTTTATTTCCAAAATTCGCTTGCGCGTAGGGGTCTTTAGCAGTGGGAGGAAACCGGAGGACCCGGAGAAAACTCACGAGGTTGGACAAGCGACCCTACTCCTTGTCACGTTTAACCGGGGAATCGAAACCACGCCAGTTGACTCAATGACAGACTTTATGATACAGCGCACACGTGCTAATTAACCATTCAGCTGCATGCAATAAACAGATTCAGCTCTTGTATATTGCATCTTTAAGAGTGTTGTTGTTAGTAATGGTTTTAAATATCTTGCTTAATTTGTAGTATCGCTGCCATCAACTTCGTAACAACTCCACGTATTTGAGCATTCGTGTCTGTGACACACGAGGGATGGAAGAAACCCAAGGAATAGATCCTTGTGATTGGACCGCCTTGTTGGATGGTCACGTTCCTGATCGTTATACGGTAGGTCGATCACTTTAACTTAATTTCAACAATAAACAACTGTAACACATACTTATGGCAAAAACATCTACTGATTTATTTGGGCGACGTTTCGAAGAGCTTTCTCTCAACGTTATCAAGCTAATAGAGTAATACAATTATCATGAGGCCAATTTATACAGAAAAACTATAACAACAAGTCCTGAAACCACACAAAACAACAACAAGATTGGAGATGTGGCAGTATCCTCTATCAATGCAGTAAACAGATTGGAGGGAAAATTTGTAAAGACTAAGTGCAACTTTACTTTCCTGATGCGATGCAGGGACAACAAAGTAGCTGTTTTTTCCATAAGTATTTGTTATAGTTTATTGCTCTATCCAGTTACTAAATGCCTCTCAAAGATTACTATTTTCAACAGTTTGAGGCATTTAGCTGCTGATCATGGGCCTGTTAGCTATCCAAGTCGTAGTGTTGTCTGGTCATATCAGTTTCCTTATACCTTTTACATCTATCCCAGTGATTGTACAATTTCATGACAATGTTCCAAAATATCAATGTTAACTTTGCATATTTTATTTAAAATTCAATGACCGTATCAAGTTGACTTTGTGCATTTGATAAATTCTCATCTGCAAATATATAATCAGCCTCTGCAATCTGAATGGTCGATATCAGAGCAACGAGGGGGCGGGAAGTGTTCTCAAGGGGTGCTGTAAAATTGACGGACAATGTATATCTATTGTTTTTATGGTCGACAATTTTTTCACAGGGATTTGAGGGGTGGGGGGTCGATATTAACTACTGATTTAGCTTCACAGTAAGTAAGTCTGTAGTCCAATACCAATGTCATTGGAGAGTGGGTCAATAGGCTTCTGCCTGTTCTCCAATCCAGTTTCTGTGAATAAGTATTGTTTAGAAAATAAATGTCATCTACACGTATATGGGAGACCACAGGTAACTCTGTCTATCTTTAATTTTACAGTTTGAACCATGTTCTCCTATCACACCAGATAGTCCGGGATATATTAAAACACCAACAGTAAACGATAAAATTCACTGCGTAGCTTTTGTTATTGACAGTACTTCGGTTGATGTTATGAATGAATCAATTCTTTCTAAATTTAAATTGGTGCAGAAACTAGCAAATGAAAGAGGTAAGAATTTTAAAGTGTAGCCGAAACTAGTCAATAAGATATTACGAAATTTAAACTGGTATAGAAAATAGCCAATGAAAGAAGTAAGAATTATTTTAATCTGCAGCCGAACATGTACGAATTTAAACTAGCCAGTCAAAGAAATACGAATTTTAGACTTGTACAGAAACAAACCAATCAACGAGGTAAGAATTTAAATTGATGTCGAAATTTGATGAATCAATTAGATAATCAGAGAGGCAGAAAAGTTTCTATGAAGTTCAAAGAAATTATGCACGTTATTCCATCGATACGCTATGATATGACGACCTTGGAATAACAGGTGGTTGTGTCAAATGTCCACAGCGATAAGGTATCAAAAGGGATTTGTATTTTAGAAACTTCCATATGGCTGTATAGTGGATTGATAAATGTTTATTAGATCAAATTGACTCAGGTTTGACATAAAAGTGGATGTTTATTGTTTAATCGTTTGGAGTTACTATGGTTCTATATCCGGGCCAGTTTTAGCCTCGAAGACTGTTCAGTCGTATGGGGTTGCCATAGCCCTATATGCGACCAGGTTTTAGAATAAAATGTATCTGTTCAGTCGTATGGATGTCAGGTTTTAGCATAGAAATGTATGTTTATTGGTATGGCGGTTGCATGGATCTATATGAGGTCCAATTGTAACATAGAAATAGGGTTTAACGTCCACTCGACACAAACTAGGTCATTTCGGGACCAACACATGGTTCAATTTTTTATTTCAATAATTCGCGTGCGCCTAGGGGTCTTTACCAGTGGGAGGAAACCGGAGGACCCGGAGAAAACCCACGAGATTGGTCAGGCGACCCTACTCCTTGTCATGTACAACCGGGTAATCGAAACCACGCCTGCTGACCCAATGCCTGATCTCATGATTCAGCGCGCACGTGCTAACCATTCGACCATCAGATAATTTGTATAAAAGTGTGTTGTGATAATCTAGTCTATTAGTAACAAAGAAGTCGATAAGAAGTTCTTTAGATTCAGGAGAAAAACACTGAAAGTGACCTGAAGAACATATTGTTGTTATGTGAGATTTAAAACTTAGGTGCAAATCAAGAATAGCACCTATATTAGGCTATATTCTTTGCTTCTTCTGAAGGGTAGATGATCTGTTGTTGGAAGGTCTTTGTCATAGAGAGTTAAATTGTTGGGGGGTTTTTCCAAGTGAGGGAAGCTCTGTTTTTTCGGGATTTCATTTAAGAAAATGGCACGTCATCCAGTTATGAATATCCGAAACACATTCTTCTAGATTAGTTACTGTTTCAGTTTCGTTAGCAGGGCTAATAGATATGTAGGTTTGGGTATCGTCTGCATATAAATGCATATTAAGTTCATATTTGTCTGCAATTTTCGTGATGGGTTTTGTGAAAATGATAAATAAAACCGGACCCAAGACAGAACCCTGTGAAACACCACAGCACATAGGGAGTGAGTCTGATTTTACATTTACTATTTTGACAGTTTATTTACGATTTGCTAGTACCACGAAGACCTGTAAGTAAATCTGTGGTGTCCAGAGTATCAAATGCGGCTGATAGGTCCAATAAGATCAATATCATACAATTTTGTTTCTCCATGGCACAGTAAATGTCGTTATTAAAGCTGTGTCGGTGCTATGGCATCATTTTGCATGCTGACTGTAATGGATTGTTTAATTTATGTTTTGCTATATGGGATTCAAGTTGGATAAGAACACCTTTTCTACCAGTTTACATAAGAAACTGTGCTTGCCGACAGGTCTGTAATTTTTCAAGATGTCTTCGTCCAATCCAGGCTTCTTAATCAAGTACTTCTGGGAATGTCCACTAGTTAGTTATTTGTTGACTATCTGACAAAGCATGGGTAGAAGCATCTTCACTTGAAGCCTTAACTACGTACATCTTATCAAGCTAGATGTTGTAAAACTCGCTGGGGTATAAGTAGATCTATGTTCGCCTTCAAAATAGTTGTTATATATATATGATATATTTTCAGGTATTCCACAAGTTATTGTGTTGACTAAAGTTGATCAAATCGAATTAGATGTAGAAGAAGATCTGACCCAACTACTTTACTCACCTCGAGTCGCTTATGTCGTGGATCAAGTTGCCCAGTTGATTGGTTTACCTAGAGGTCATGTTTTACCTGTTAAAAATTACGAGAAAGAAACAGAATTAAATGAAACAGTTGATAGATTTGCCTTGTTGTCATTACAACAAATGTTAAGATTTGCTGATGATTATATGTATGAATTACTCGATGTACTGAATACACGCGATACGTGCGATACACGCGATACACGCGATACATGCGATACATGCGATACACGCAATACACGTCAACCGTCACGAAAATTGTCCAGTTATTCTTTACTATGGCTGTGGGTAATAGTAATAACTTTCCTGATGTTTTCAATGTATTATTTACAATTACTAACCGACGCCTATACTTTTACTGATATTTTCAGTTTTTTCGGCACTATTGATATCAAACGCCTATAACTTTGCTGATACTTTCAATTCATTATTAAATAACTGCTAGAGTTATGGCCCTTGTTTCGACAAAAGTTATCATCCGATATGTATGGAATTTTTATGCATTATTTAGATCACTAAAACCGTAGATGCCTGCTGAATTTCTGGATGAAATTTATGTGCATTATTGAGATCAGTAAAATAAAGAATCCTACTGAATTTCAACAATTACTTCCAGAGTTAAGGCTTTTGTTTCACTTTGTTGAACCCTGTGAACGCTCTATAATAAACATAGACAGGATTACGACATCAGAACTCAACCCTATCTTCCCTCTTTGGTCTACTGACCCGTCACTTAGCGAAGACTGTAGAGTATTTGTGAAGGTCTGTGGATTGAAGATCCAACATCGCTGGATATATTACTGTAGAAACATTGTGCCTTATTTCTTACTGTAATCCTTGTTATGCTATTGTTGACTGTGCAAATTAAGAAATAAAATGAAATGAAATGGGGTTTAACGTCCTACTGTTCTGTTCCGTCTGGGCTAATGAAGACGGGCATACGCCATACAGTGTTTAAGGGGCAGTGTGAAGTTGAATGGTTTCACCAATAACGAATAATGAGGGATACGTTACCTCGTTATTCGTTATTCAACTTCTAGCATGAAGCTAGCCATCACTACAATCATGGTGGATGCCAAGTATCTCCCAGCAGCATTAAACACAGCAAAACGACTTCTAGCCGAAAAAAAATCCAAATCGTTATTCAAGCAGCCAATAACGAGTTGTTTGTTATTCGTTTTTCACCTCGTTATTAGTGATTCCCATATGAATAGGGATATTTCAGGATTTAATTAGAAACGATAACTAGACAACAACAGAATAATTAAATGCAAATATCCCCTAGCAGTATAAAATTGGTTAAATCGGTAAATAAACCAGATTGTTATTCAAGCAGTGAATAACGAGGTGGACTGGCTCGTTATTGGGTCAGAAAATTGAGGTTTAATCATTTACTTTCACTTTCGAATTCTGAGAAAATACACACGACAATCATGCAGCATAAACATCTTCATATTTCTATTTTTCCAAGAGGGCATATTTTAGAAATATTCTCAAAATAGGCCCACCCTAAATTCACACCATAGTCTTCAAAATTATCAAGTTCTTCTTAACTTTTGGGAAACAATTCAACGACGATTTTTCGAAAATTAGCAATTACAGATGTAATTACATAGATAACTTCATAAACTGCCCAGAACGATTGCAGGGTCCTGTCGCAACTGAAAGTGAAAGTTGCGGTAATTGACCACGCAGCTAAAGTCTAAAAAAAATTCGATCCGACCTCACCAAGAAATGCCCAAGTACTTGAACCCCTCTTTCCCAGCCCTGCAATGCTGACAAAACACATACCTTTTGTTTGGCAAACTTACAAACACCGGTAGTTTAAAGATAGGCAATCCGGGGGGGGGGGGGGCGTATTCATGAAATTGAATATGCCGAAGGTCAAAATGGTCCTCGAGCACAGCCCCCACACCCCACCCCCACACAGATTCCTACGGTGGCCTCTTTGTTTTGAAGACAATTGTTAGAGCTCGCTGATATGAAGGTGGGCTTATTTTGAGAAATGTTCTAAATTATCTCGTCTTGTAAAAACAGAAATAGGTCGCAACATTGTTTTCATTAGCCCAGTTCGGAGCAAAACAGTAGGGCGTTAAACCCCATTTCATTTCTTTTCACGTTGTTCTTTCATATGAAACAGGAAGATGTTTATGTTGCTGGATGGTCGAGTCTATTGTCTAAGAATACGAAAGTGAAAGTAGATCTTTTTTCAGAAGAGAACGTGTGGAGGTGAGTTATCTATTTTAACAGTCATTGGATTTTATATTGACTATTGCTATAGATTTTTTATACTTTTAAAATCTGAATGAGAGTGGAGAAATGGGGTACAGGGGCACCCTCCATTCCCTTTTCATTGGGTCTCCAAAAAACAAGATTTATTGAAATAACAAATATTGCTTAAATCTACATTTAAGAGACCTTCAATGTCTGACGAAAGGGTTTAGGTTCTAGGGCAATTTTTGTTGAATCTGAAGCTCCAAGGCATGGGAAGATCGGATCGAAAAAAAAAAATGTTTTACTTTGGCATGGTCGAGTCTCGAACGAAAGTGAAGATTAACGCAACTTTCACTTTCACTTTCGACAAGACATTAGTCCAAATATTGAAATTTAAGCACCAAATGTGGTCGTTTGTTGTATTTTGTACGAGCACATCGTTCTGGGCAATTTATGTAGTTATCTATGATATGACTAATCGAAAGCTTACCACCATGTAACAAAGCGTATGCATGTATCTAACTGGTAGTCATTGTTTCAGTTTAGGATGAGAGCGCTATATGTACTTTGTTTTGTTTACCTCAATATGCTACTCCCCCACTCTCAAAAAGTACCAAAAGCGCGGGCGATTTACTTGATATCATCGATATTGCCCCAATTGCTTCTTTGTTTCTTTCGAAAGCACTATATTTTCATACACCCACATTTCATGTGGACGTAGGTTGTCGTCGCCTCTATCCGTTCGGCGTCGGTTTGCAATTTGGTTTGGTCACAATTTTTATCCGATTTTGCCGAAACTTGAAATATATAGGTGTCTAGCCCAAAGATCTCGGTTACTGTCGATATTGACATGAATATGATCGGACCGTAACTTCATAGATTATTGGTATCTTATTTGTCTGTATACTTATATTTTAATTCACTTAACTTTTAACTCTTGTAAAGTGTTTCTGAAAGGAATGTTTAGAACTCTACATAAAAAATAAATTATTATTGTTGTTATTATTATTAAACTGAAAACGTATGTTTATAACCCAATGATCTCGATTCCTGTCGATACTGGCGCATTAATTCCTGGATTATGGCCCTGGATTGTACGACAAATTATGTTTTTAGTTCTGGACCTCTCTAGAGGTCACAATTTTCATACGATATTGATGAAACTTACAATATATATTTATGTCCCATAGATTTCGTTGTCTGGCAACTCATTAATGGGGCCTCTTCATATACTCTTCAAAAAAAGTAGGGGATATTCAGAAACAATACAAAACTGCGGAAATGCACTGCTGTTTTTATTAGAGGTATCCAGTGTATCAATCTGAACGACAGACTTACCCTACCTGCAGAGAAGTGACTCTGACACAGTGAATAGCCATGATATCCATATGACGTTATCTAAACGTCACAGGTCATGAGGTCACATCAACAAACAAATGTAAACACCATCATTATGATCATTATCAACATTACAATGTTACATTGTATAAAGAATAGCCTTCTTGCAGCCTTTAGGACTGTATAATCCGTACAGGACGTCTTATCGCTTCTTTCAATGATTTTTCACAAAAATAACATCATCTACAACTCTAGATTTGACGTCGGCATATTGGCACTATTTTGTGCTTCGGTCGTGTCTATTTCAGATACACACAATCAATTCTGTTAATGTTTTTAGCGTGGGGATTGACTAAAAGTTAATTTATTTCAGTTCTAAACAAAAATTTAAAACTTTAACGCAATTTTTAAATAATAGCCAAATTCTGGCTGGGATTACTGAGCAAAATGGCCATTCACTGTATACGTGCGAAAAAAAAAGCCAGCTACCCTTTAATTTTCGTACGTTAGTTACGTACGCCAGTGTATGTTAATAACAGGCCAATTGCCTACACATCAACATAAACAGTTCATATAGGTGGCTTATCAGACGACCCCATTTCACTCGCAAAGAGATACACTGTCAAAAGTGAAAATGGACGTTTTTGTTTTTTGTCTTAATAATGAGTAATTGCTCCACCAATCCTCAGACATTCAGCAGTTCGTCGTGGCATGCTCCTAATCAACCGTCCAATCACGATTTGGGGCAATCTGACCCACTCCTCTCTTGCAGTGTTGTCGGTTGACGTTGACGTCGAAGAACACGTCTCCCGATCAAATTAAACGTAGCACACTGAAGCAAAGATACGCTAAATAGTAAATCGTATGCAAGTACAGGTAAGAAAGCTAACATGGATAGCATAAACCAGCAAGCGGCAGTTTTTATCAACCCTTATTTGAAGTGTCAAATTTGACAATGAACCCCTCCCACCAGGGCTGGGGTAATGGGTAATGGTAATGGAATGTAATCATTACATTTTTTAAGTAATGGCCATGTAATGAGTAATGGAATATTTCAAAAGTAGTGAGTAATGGCAATGTAATTAATTACATTCCAAAAATCATGTAATGGTCAATTACATTTCAATTACTTTTCAATTACATTTTATGGCATATATAAATATTTCCAATATGGCAAGCCTCAAATTTTATAGCACCAAAGAAGTAATTAAGTGTATCTGACACAAATCCAATTCATTATAATTCTAAAAAAAAAAGAAAGAATTAAATCAGTTTTAACAAATTATAAAAAAAATAAGAAGGCATTAAACATTTTCTTTTATTACTTTTTTATGTAGGAACTTTTTTAGACATGCAACCTAAGAAGTGGATTTCTGATAAGATGTATATTATAATCAAAGATTAGTACTAATTTGCAGCCAATCACTCAGTCAATCAATCAATCAATCAGCCAGTTAGATTAAAAGACAATAAATAGTCTTACTGCACTTTAATCTTAATCTCAAGGTAACGAGTGACAAACCAAACAATGACCTTCAAGTATCTCATCATTTATGATTACTTAAAACTAATATATATTTTGTTTTAGAGTCATGCTGAATAATTTACCAGTTATTATACAATATATTATAGAAAAACTATTTGGACTGATTAAATTTTTTAAAAAGTTACTTAATAGGAAATACAGTTAATTAACTATAGTTTTGATTCATTTTTCAAGTCATACATGTGAAAATGTCAGTTTTTGTCACCACTGCCCGTCACAATGAAATTTGCCTTGATGTTATGATTGCTAGAAATAATAATTCATAAACAAATATCTATTAAACATGCATTATGCAAGAGCTCAATCTGCCTATTGCAGGCCTTTCGTTAGGCCTGAAATGTTTTCTAAGGTATTAATTAGACATTAATTAACTGATCCAGGCCTTAATCAACTCTCGATGGCATCAGACTTCTCCGATATTAAATAGATTAGAATGGTTCAGCGATAATTTGATTTAATCAAATATGGAGGACCGAGACTTAGCTTCGATCAACCAGTACGGTGGTTGAAATTATTGCACACGTCTGTCAAACCTTCAAAGGCTAATATCTTCGCTTGCAATAGAGTAATTTGAATGAAATTTTCAAATTATTCATTTTACATCATCGACTTTCGAACTATTATAGCAAGAATGGCTAGTTCTTTATCTAAATCTGACATAATGTATCTTTAAGTGAATCAAGGATTATTTTGAGTTTGGTTTTGTAGGTACTTCATGGCAGAAAAATAAGGTTGTCTTTTTAATTTCTATGAAAAATGTTTTTTTATTTATATAGTCATAAAGTAATGGGTAATGGTAATTAATTACTTTCAATGTAATGGGTAATGGTAATTAATTACATTGCTAAAAATGAGAAAGTAATTGTAATGATTACATTTAAAAAGTAATGGTAATGGTAATGTAACTAATTACATTGGCAATGTAATGGCCCCAGCCCTGCCTCCCACGTGTATGGCGTTATTGCGTTTCGCATGTGCAGCTCAGTGGTTCTGTTGGGGCGATAAGTTCTTCATCTTTGAACATACTCTTAAAGCATGTTCATGACTATTTGTCATATGACAACCTGCATAGGTATTTGCATTTCAATATCCCCTACTTTTTTTTTTTGAAGAGTATATAATTGGTAATTAATAACTCAGTGGTACATTAATGTTAATTCTGTTTTGCTAGCAAGAAGATTAAAAGATGGCTGGTACAGAAGAGTTAGAAAAACGTTTCAGAGAGCAGTTTTGTAAATGGATGGGTCGATCTGTTGATTTTAAACTTGTATATAGCGCTTCAAGGGATGGGATGTCTCCGGAGATATTTCACCAGAAATGCGACAACAAGGGGCCGACCGTTGTCATTGGGTACAATACAGATGGTTGTGTATTTGGTGGATATACGTCAGTGGAATGGAAAGCATGCACCTGTGGTACTGCCCAAACCAGGCGGGACGAAAAAGCTTTTCTTTTTAGTTTGAAATTCATGAATACATACTCTCCAAGAATCTTCCCAGTAAAAAATCCAGAGCTGGCCATAACAACGTGTTCAACACATTCCCCTGTATTTGGAGTTGCTGCCACCCCAGATATGGTTATTATACCCAATAAAGAGGTAAATAAAGATATCAACAGAAATTTCGATACTGGTCTGACCCGAGAGGATATTAAATTCGGTACAGTATACGATAATGGGTATTTTACCATGCAACAAGTTACCAGTAACAACTATATATTCAAGAACGTGGAAATCTACCAAATTATGGGTATGTAAAGGAAAAGATCAAAAATACTTATCAGAAATTTTGTGGAATGCGGTACCACGTGGAGAGATAAGGGGTCCCTTGTGGTGAAAAACAGGGTCCGTATATATTCAAACGTTTTCTTAAAGTTAAGTAAAAATACTTATTTTTCCCACTTAAAGGAGCTAAATCGCTAATATTTTGGACCTAGAAATTGGCACAAATGGGTCGCAACCCATATAATAATGTAATATGAATTTATATAAATTGTTTTACATTCAATCGTTTCCGTTTTACTGTGAATTGTCTTCAGTTATGTTCGGCGAAATACGCCAGAAGTCTCAACCGCAATTCAGTTTCTAGCGTCTGGTTATTCCAGTCAACACCGATATTATTTATTGCGCATGCTCTCCAAATAAGAATATGATATCACCGTTTGACATGACTTATAAAATATGTCTAGCCTCATTCTTTGGGTACCTTGTTACAAATGGCGCTGAAACGCATTATGGTACACGATTCGTGTACCAATGGTAAAATGTTTATTTTGTCTTAAATATTGGATATCAGAAGCCCATCTTTTCCAGGTAAGATCACAACACCAATGCTGATTTAAATTGCGAAAAAATATTCGTGTTTTCAATGTCGAAGATTTTGGATGATATTGAGTTACGGACTTAGCTACTTTAACCAAATGCCTTAACTTAAATCGGTATTCACAGCCTCTATTTTACATATACTTTAATATGTGTAAAACTAAATTGCACACTTAAAATATGGAATGCCCACATTAACCAAAAAGCATGAATTTTTAACTTATGGAATAACCGGTGCTGCCAAAAATCACGAATTACTCACGTCGCACGCAAGTTATGTCCACTTCTGAGCACCACTATACTCTATTAAATCTTAGTCGTCATTGCTAGGTAAATGTTTGTCGAAATGTCATTACTAAAATAATGTTTGTCGAAATATTGTATTGTAAAGCATGAAAATAGTAATATGACTATAATTTTTGGCCTAAAGTTAGACTGGACAAATCATTCGGTGTTATTTATCATTATAATTTGAAAAATTCATAGAAATTGTGTCAGCGCCTAGACTTTAGAAGCCCAAAGGTCTGGCCATGGTTGTACATTGCGTGTAGGAAAGATGCACGTGGCGTTATTCCCTACCTGAATAAATACTACCGATTAAAACGCAATAATTAACACAAGAAATTAATTGTAAATCATTGGTGGCACGCTTAAGAAAAGAAAAAAGGCAATCAAAACTTCAAATATGTATCTGGAAATGAATTGTAACAAATAAATCATGCCTTGCTTGTCGGAAGTATAAACATTTGCTGAAATCTACAATGGAATGTCATCGCACTGTCAAATTTTACAAATGACTTTAACTCATCAAATTTTGGTTCTCAACCATTTTTGCCAACGGCACACTTTGGAACACATAAAAAAAATAGCAGCACACCTGGCTAAATATATATGAAAAATTTTGCAAGATAAAAACATGGCAAGTCATAGACGGCATACAACCGTAGACACAGACTAGTTATATAGACACATAGAGCGACTCCAACTAAATAAAGAAAAACACAGCCATGAACTTACCAGAATACAACATTATTAAGCGATACGAACATGATAAATAACCGGGAAAAAACCTTGACCATCCCAGTAGTAGTAATCTTAAACACTGTTATGGCACTACAAAATCAAAGCTGATGATGAAATTTGAGGCCAGCTGCGCTCTGCAACATTGTCCTTGTTTTAATCTCAACCCCCTTACTTTTAAAATCGCCATTACGGGCCTGAAGCTACACTGTGTACTCCGGTTAAAAGAAGTCATTACAACCTCACTTAACTTTAAGATAGTCCCTTAAAGTTAAGTGGATTTTTCTCACTTAAACTGGCCTTTGAATACCACTAAAAGACTAAACACTTAAATTTAATTCTTAACATCTTACCCTTAACTTACATGAAGGTGCCTATATTTAAGTGAAATCTAGTAGTTAAGTGACTATCTTAGATTTAAGATAATATCCTTTGAATTACGGACCCAGACCATAAACATCTTGTGGGGTGGATACCACACAGGCATAAGAGGGTATGGAACTCTTGTGATGAAGAACACCACAGACCATATTCTAAGTGGTGACATACACAAAACCCCAGAAACTTGCCGTAGACGCCATATTGTATTGTGTTGTATTGTTACATTACTTTTTTTTTTAAATCATTGTTTTAAAGATCCAGTACGTCTAGACAAACCTTGGCGAGATGATAACAAATATAACACGGTATGTAAAACATGTTGTTACTCTGGGATTGCACTAAACGGAGTCTAGATTTTTGCAAGGGAGCACATTATAACCTTTAAGTAAACTCACTCAAACCAGAAAGGCAAGAGACTTCCATGGATTTGGATTTTGAAAATGACAAACAACGATTATTAATACAACAAATACAGCCAGAACAGAGAAGATAAGAGAATTCGAGTTGGTCTTGATTAAAAAACAAATTCTTTAACAAGAAGATCCATCACAAACGGTCGTAGCAAATTGTTCAGCGCCGGCTGCATGTTGGCCAAATAGCCTCTTACGTGAAAATGTATAGAATGATTTAAATTTTGTAGGCTACACTAAGGAAAATGGTGGAGGATTATTGTCCGGTAGGGGACGCAGGGGTGACACAATCGCGAATCCTATTGATCGGATCAGTTGGAGCTGGGAAATCGAGCTATTTTAATACCATTAATTCCATATTTAGAGGTCACGTGACTTGTCAAGCTAGTACCGGAAGTGCTGAATTCAGTTTGACTACAAAGGTAAGCTAATTTATTATATTTTATTGTGTGTTTTAACGGTGCATTTATCACTTTCACCGTCAAATTGTTTTTAAATTAACTTTGAACGATAAACTATTATAATAAATTGGCATTTGGCTTAAAATTCCCTCTCATTTTGTCTGTACCGTAGTTGAAAATGACCATTGTGTGCTATTTTCTTAAACAATATAGAACTTTTCTGAGCTTAGGCACTGGCTTTCAAACCTGGGAGTTCTGGGTTCGACCCTGGTGATCGCCGAGAAATTGGATCGGGATTTTCCAGCTTGGTTTCCCCTTGTCATTGTGTAGGGGCTGGGGACCTGCAAGGAAAAACGCCTAGACACTGCACGTTGGCGTACATGATTTTTGTCCAGGCACAATTTTCCTCATAGCACACTGTATGGCGTATGCCCTTCTTCATTAGCACAGTCGGTGCAGAAAAGTTGGACGTTAAACCCCATTTTATTTGTTTAATTCTTGTTAGTAATATATGTGGTTTAATTTTTAGTATCGCTGCCATCAATTTCGTAACGACTCCACGTATTTGAAGTTTCTACTGTGTGACACTCGAGGAATGGAAAACGGTCGAGGGATAGATGAATATTATTTGACCGGCTTGTTGGATGGTCACGTTCCTGATGGTTATATGGTAGGTTAACAACATTGTGATGGTCACTTTTATGGAAGGGCATCGCTGCCAATATTAAATGTTCTGCTACAATGTCTTTTCCATTGATCCTAATAGAGCAGGAGCCCAGGGGGTTAACCTAGCTGAAAAGTGTACCAATTTTCTCCTATATGGTATCAATGTATGTATATCTGGCTGGTATCATCAGGTATTACAAAAACACTCTGACAGACATTTCTAGTGGCGGGGTACCCTGACAGAGCTATGTAATCGCCAGACATTTGTAGTGATGGAGTATCCCTGACAAGAGTTATCTAATTTCCAGACCAAAGCTAGGCTAGATTAGCTCAAATCTGTACCACCTAAAACAGCTTTGGAGTTGTTCAGTACCACCACAGGAATCATGAATGACCACTGCCAGACAGTTTGTGCGGTGGGTTGCCCCTAACAGACACGCCCAAAATAACACGACCCCCAACTAGGATAGATTAGTCGGCACTGTTCCTGTGGTCCAAAAGATTAAAAATTGTGTCAGGATGCGTAGAATACTAATACCTAGCACACATGGAAGAGGCGATAAACTGCGGTTGTAGGAACAATTTTATTTTTCAAAAACGCATTTTTAGCCCCATAAAATGTTTTTTTGCCCAAAAATCAATTTCTTGCAACCGCAGTTTATCGCCTCTTCCATACGTTCTAGGTATTAGTATCCTACGTATCCTGGCTAAAAATCTAATTTTTTAGTACACGGGGACAGTGCCTGCGAAGCTAGCCTAGTTGGGGGCGTGGCATTTTGGGGCGTGTCTGTTAGGGGTAACCCACCGCACAAACTGTCTGGCAGTGGTCATTCATGACTCCTGTGGTGGTAATGAACAACTCCAAAGCTGTTTTAGGTGGTACAGATTTCAGCTAATCTAGCCTACCTTTGTTTTAAATATTAGATAACTCTTGTCAGGGATACTCCACCACTACAAATGTCTGGCAATTACATAGCTCTGTCAGGGGTACCCCACCACTACAAATGTCGGTCAGAGTGTTTTTGTAATACCTGAAGATGTACGGGACACTGCAATAAGATTTTCATGTGGTACACTTTTGAGCTAATCTAGCCTAGTTGGGGATCATGGCATTTAGGGCGTGGAATACCACACCCACTACCAGAAACCCGACAGACTTACATTCTGATGATACCAGATATACATACATTGGTACCATATAGGAGAAAATTGGGCTCCCGGTCTATAACACCGATAATGATAAAGTCAAAATACCTCTAAGCCAAGAGTAAAATGTAAATTCAAATGTTAAGTGTTAAATGACAAATGTTTTGTGGGAAAATGCTTTTTTTGACGTGTCTACATGTTACATTTCCTCATTACATTTTACATAGCATCTTTCGCACAGCATTAACTTTCATATGCAAATGTAGGATATCACGTGACTTATAAACATATACGGAAACCCGGCATATTATCGGTATTAGGACTTGTACTATTTACATATAATCAATGGAAACGACATTGTCGCAGAACAGTTAATATTGGCAGCGATACCCTTCCATTCATTTTAACTTGATGTATTCCTGTAATCAGTCGAAGGAGGATAGGCGGACCCAACTTATTATAGGGTACTATATGTTTTTCTGACGATGTCTACCCTAATATAAATGCTAAGTTGCCAACTGCACATATTTATTGATTTAATACAATTAGATTGAAAAACTGTTTCAATGGCATTTAGTAATTGAACTAGAGTATACAGGTCACAATTCTATGGAATACAATTACTGCTTATTACTGAGCGACGTTTCGACTAGGCTTCTCAGTCATTATCAAAGAGAAGCCTAGTCGAAACGTCGCTCAGTAATAAGCAGTAATTGTATTCCATAGAATTGTGACCTGTATACAAATAAATTGGTTGACTATTTGAAATGCGGTTCCCCCTGGTCAGTGATGCAGGGCGGGGGGGGGGGGTTCTGACATGGACAACTGTCTAGTCGTTCGGATTGGACTAAAAACCGAGGTCCCGTGTACACATTGGCGTGCACGTAAAAGATCCCTTGACAGTTGAAATTCGATATAAGAGTAGGCCGTAGTGCCGCTGTCAGGGCATAATTCCCCTCATAGCACACTGTATGGCGTATGTCCGCCTTCATTAGCCCAGTTCAGAGCAGGACAGTAGGACATTAAACCCCATTTCATTTCATTTATTTGAAATGCAATGACCGTACTATAGTTGACTGAGTGCATTTGATAAATACTCCTCTTCACAGATATAATTAGCCACGGCTGATTGGTTGAAAAGGAGGTCTCTGTTTCTCGAAATCTTAACTAAAGATAAAATCCAAATTGTAGTAGATACTTCAATTTTGTTTGGTTAAGCACTAAAATCAATCTAATATTATCCAATCAAATTACTAAAATTTGGATTTTATCTTAGTTAAAACTTCGTGAAACAGGCCCCTGATATCTCTAGTCCAATATCAAAGTTATTTACACAAACATGCACTTCACTGATTCGAGAATCTATCGTTCCTGTCGGCAACATTTGGGCACCACGGCTAATTCAGTCTGTCTTTATATTTACAGTCTGATAAGTTTTCACCTATCGACATATTATTATCCTATATTAAAACGCCAACAGTAAACAGTAAAATTCACTGCGTAGCTTTTGTTATTGACAGTGGTTCGGTTGATGTTATGAATAAATCAATTCTCTCTAAATTTAAACTGGTACAGAATCTAGCCAATCAAAGAGGTAAGCATTTAAACTGGTACGAACGTTAGCCTATCAAAGAGGTAAGAATGTAAACTGGTATATGAAACCAGCCAATCAGATAAGCTTTAAAGCTGATACCGAAATTTGCTAAATCAATTTAACTGGGAAATAACAGTACTAACATGTTTCGGTAAAATGTGTCAACGCTAGCGTCATAAAAATAGTGATGGGTTAGGGTAAAGGTTTCTCTGGTCTTTGAAGTGTAAACATAAAAAATAAAAATTCAAGTACTATCAAACTACTTCACCATGGCATGACATCACATAATATCGAGTCATGCCACGACGTGTCACGTCATGTCATATATTGGCACGTTGAGGGTATGTCAACCAACAATAAAGATATAATCTTTAAGTGGCATGTAGCGATTGAGGAGCACATTAAACAGAACACAATGGGGTATCAATCACTGGTTTTATTATACGCCCACATTTTCATGTGGACGTATTATGCCGTCGCCCCTGTCCGTCCGGACGTCCGTCCGTCCGTCCACAATTGTTTGTGGACTCTCTACAGGTCACAATTCTTATCCGATTTCGACGAAACTTGAAATATAGGTTTATCCCCAAAAGATCTCGACTGCTTTCGATATTGGCATGTATCGGATCGAAACTTCATGGATTATGGCCCCTGTTTGTACGAAAAATCACGTTTTTAGCTTGTTGACCCTATAGAGGTCACAATGTTTATCCGATTTTGTTGAAACTTGAAATGTAAGTTTATAACCCAAAGATCTCAGTTCCTTTCGATATTTGCGCATATCGGACATTAACTTCCTAAATTATGGCCCCTGATTGTACGAAAAATCACGTTTTTAGCTTGTGGACCCTATAGAAGTCATAATTTTTATCCGATTTAAAAAACCGTTCTATTATATCACCGTTACACCCTAAGGATGACTGAGTTCGAATTTCGTGAAAATCGGCTCAAAATTGACAGACAAAATGGCCGCCGTTCGTTCCCAAATAGCGTAAGAATATGGTATATCAAGGTTGTGGACCCTATAGGGGTCACAATTTTTATCCGATTTTGTTGAAATTTGAAATGTAAGTTTATAACCCAAAGATCTCGGTTCCTTTCAATATTTGCCCATATCGGGCCGTAACTTCCTGAATTATGGCCCCTGATTGTACGAAAAATCATGTTTTTAGCTTGTGGACCCATTAGAGGTCATAATTTTTATCCGATTTAAAAAAACCGTATTATTGTATTACCGTTCCACCCTAAGGACAGTTGAGTTTGAATTTTGTGAAAATCGCCCCAAAATTGACAGACAAAATGGCCGCCGTTCGTTTTTAACTAGCGTAAAAATATGGTATATCAAGGTTGTAGACCCTATAGAGGTCACAATTTTTATCCGATTTTGTTGAAACTTGAAAAGTAAGTTTATAACCCAAAGATCTTGGTTCCTTTCGATATATGCGCAATCACTTTCTTTTTAGCTTGTTCTCTATCCATCTCTCGAAAATGTTGGCGTATCCTGCCTGGCAGCCGCTGGTTTTCTTTACGTTTCTTTTTATCTTTTATAGTTGTGATATCGTCTGTATGTTGGAATAATTTAGTTTCTAGTTTTATGTTTGGTATTTTAATTCCTGAGATGTATTAATTTTGTTTTATTCTGGATGCAAGTGGGTGTATTGCTACTGTATACAACAACATTGAGAGAAGATCTCCTTGGCGTATCGAGAGCTTAATGGATATGTTGTCGATAAAGGCACCATTTACAAGAACTTTGCTAAGATATAAGATATTTAGCCAGTTTAGAAGTTTGGAAAATTAAGCTTTTTAAGTAGAATTTGTAAATAGTTTAGCTCTATGCGGCCAAGAGCTATCTCTTGATCATAGGCTACTACCACGTCCCCTATATGTTTATATTTCATGCAGTCTAAAATAAATTTAATTGATAATGAATTATCTTGTATAGTCTTATTGCCCTCGGTTCCAGTCTGGGTAGGGTATATGATTTTATCATGAAATGGTTTGATTCTATTAGTGAGAAAGTATCCTCTTATCGTTATCAAGCACAATGGCATGTAGTAAGCTTGGGGTCAATGTATATGATATCCATAATGAAACCATTTACAGAGATAAATACTAATAACAACTAAAACTCCAGAGGAATACTGACGTGTTTCGGTACGTCAGGTCACGTCAGGTCACGCCTTGTCACGTCAACAATCAAGTTACACCATGAACTATTGAGTATAGTAACACCGCATGTTAAAATGGAAATAAAATGTTATTTTGAACTCTTAATAAAATCGGAAGTTATACTTCAAGACAAACCTTTTTAATATTAGTTGTTAGTAGACGTCAGGGTCATCATATATACAAAGGTCAAGGGTCATTGAACGGCTAGGTCACCCGTTAGTAGGTCAAAAGTCGAAACAATTTCAAAGTTAAACCGGAAGTAAAAAAAATTGAAATTTAAAAACCGGCTCCCTAAGAATTGTTGCCTTTGGAGTAGGTTTCAAAACAAAAAGAAGTTTTTGAAAATTGGAATGAAAATGGCGACCAAATGGTTGAAAATGTTATCGAACAAGGTCTCTGAAAATGAAAGATAATATATGGCGCTAACACCACCATATGCCAGTTTTGGTCTATTTTTAAAATGGAGAGAACTATTCATGTTCGGAAAAAATCTGAAGGCCTCGGTAATTTCCGGAAGTTTCCGGAAGCGGTCACAAAATTTTTCAATATGCCATATTGAAGGCATCGATGTGTTCCTTATTCCTACTAAGTTTCAACTTGACACCTCAAATAGTGACGGAGATACGCCATCTTGAATGTCGAAAAATGATGAAGAAAACTTTAGCAAATCTTTGGTGATAAATCTAATTGAGCGAACTTTCGAATTTCGAAAAGCCGTCAGTCAGAGCCCATGTGGGATTCGTCCAAAGAATCCAAAAATGAAAACCCAAAAACGATCCGTTGAGATACAGGCAATCTGGGATTAGTTTTTGTCCCATCCGTAAAACACTTCCTGTTTGTCAAAAATGACCCAATTTATATTTAATAAATAGATCCACGGAGGCCAACCGCATCTACGTTGGCAGAATGTTTGCACCATGTATTTTTTGTTACAGATAATTCTATACTTTTCCCGGGGCTGCGTATTTAAATGTTTGCTATATATATATATGTGTGTGTTTTTCTGTGATTTTTTCTTATTTGTCCTACAGCCTAAATCGAGGTTATATATATATATATATTTTATAGTACATACTAAAATAGAAGTTATATTTTCAGGTATTCCCCAAGTTATTCTTTTGACTAAAGTTGATCAGATCGAATTAGATGTAGATAAAGATCTAACCCAATTACTTCACTCGTCTCGAGTCGCTTATGTCGTGGATCAAGTTGCCCAGTTGATTGGTTTACCTAGAGGTCATGTTTTACCTGTTAAAAATTACGAGAAAGAAACAGAATTAAATGAAACAGTTGATAGATTTGCCTTGTTGTCATTACAAAAGATGTTACGATTTGCTAATGATTATATGTATGAATTACTCGATACACGTCAACCGCCACGAACGTTGTCCAGTTATTCATGGGTAATAGCAATAGCTTTACTGTTGTTTTCAATTTTTTGTTCACTATGGATATCCCAACGCCGATGAATTTACTGATATATTCAATTCATTATTTGCTATTGATAACCAACGCCTATAACTTTACTGATATTTTCAGTTAATTCTGTTTACCTATATTGTCAATATATTATTTACTAATATAAATGATAACTAATGCCTATAACTTTACTGATATTATAAATTTCTTAGATACTATAGATAATATTAATGGGTAATGACTTTATTGCTATTTTCAATTTATTCTGCATTGTAACTTATATTTCAATTTATTCTGCATTGTAATATACTGATGCTATATTGATATATCTTTACTGGTTTTGTTTTTCAATTGATTATTTACTGTGGGTACGTGGCGCTAACAAAATAAATGTTTTATACCTTCTTATACGCCCACAATTCCATGTGGACGTATATGTTGTCGTTACCCCTGTCCGTCCGACCACAATTTATTTGTGGACACTCTACAGTGTGATAGAATACATAACTTATTAAAAAGATATTTTAATACAGGACAACATATTTACAGCTACATAATAACATCATTTGGTTTTGTGAAGTTACGTCTAGCTATAGCTGCTTCCCCTCGGCCTCACAGGACCCCTCTGCCCGGTGTTAAGATTTGCTGATGATTATATGTATGAATTACTCGATGCTTAAAACGTCAGTGATGTTTTTCATTTACTAATTTTTTTGGCAACTTAACTTAGTTTGTCAAACTATCATTTACCATAGAAACTTGGCGCTAATAAGTTCTTTTAATTTATTCAGTATCAGCAGTATAGGTACCATACGTATATCTACACTATTTTTTCGATGTTTATGACTTTACCATTTTTGGACCAGGGACTGGTCGCTAACCGCTACACATTTTGTTAGACAACGAACTGGTCGCTTACATCTACTCACTTATTAGACCTGGAACTGGTTGCTAGTCGCCATCACTTGTAAGACCAGAAACTGGTCGCTAGTCGCTACTCATCTTGTAAGACCAGGAACTGGTCGCTAGTCGCTACTCAACTTGTTAGACCAGGAACTGGTTGCTAGTCGCTACTCATTTTGTTAGACCAGGAACTGGTTGCTAGTCGCTACTCATTTTGTTAGACCAGGAACTGGTTGCTAGACGCAACTCCTCTTGTTCTTGTTCTTGATGTGACGCGCTTCGAAAAAGCCTAAGGCTCCGTCAATTAAAGGCCGATCGACATGAAAATTGATATGTTGGTTCTTTGAACAATTCTGCATTGATTTGGTGAATTAGATTTTTGAATTTCATCCAACAACATGGTCAGTTCCTGGTCCATAGTACGATCGTACTTGTTTCAATTTTCTAAACTTCTCGATGTTTTTAACGTTACCATTTTTACGATGTTTTTAACTTTACTATTTTTTGTCGATGTTTTTAACTATACTATTTTTTGTCGATGTTTTTAACTTTACTATTTTTACCATGTTTTAACTTTACTGTTCTCTTTTTGCACCGCACCCCAAGAACTCGCGGTAACAGACTGTTTCATTGCCTAATCCCTCACATTAAACAGAATGAGAATGCGGGTTATGTAACAACCCTTCCAGATCTTAGTGTTGTGAAAACAAGTAAAACGAAATTTTGAACTATAAAAAACGAAACGAAATAGGATCTGTGTTTTAATCAGACTAGTCTTTATTTTGGCTTCAAATGTTAGGTAACTATATTAAGACATTTGTTAGTATGCCAAGCCCGTGCGATTTAGCAATAAAATGGATAATCTCGATTGCCCGAAACCATTGCTACCATAATAAACAATATATGTTACATCATCGCTCAGAAAAAAGTACATTTAATTTAAATAAAATTTTCAAAATATTCATATTTCATTATCTGTTTATGGACTATTATAGTAAAAACGGGCTGTTCTTTATCTAAATCTTACATTATTAGACCTTAATGTTTTCCAATTATTTTATACTAAAGGATCCAGAATAGTAAGTATCAGGATGGTTAATACGCCACTTAAATCACAAATTTTTCAAATTAAGCTAAATTCCAATTTAAAGATGGTTCCTTTGAATTTCATAGAAACTTTTTTAAAAAACCCGATAGTGAGTGTAACATAATGGTAGACTCGAATTTCTTAACAGTAGTAACATAATGGTAGACGCGATTGTCTTAATAGTAACGAGAAGCTTGAAACACATCCCGCTGACAAAAAGAAATCGTTCGTGGTATGAAAACATATATTATTTAGATTAACCAGACCTTTGTGATTTAGGTGTGAAATATAGTTCTGATTTTAATAGACCGGATGTTTGCCATACAATACGAATCTGTAATATAATTTCCTGATGTTAAGAGATGCCACTGCCGATCATGACATGCACTGGTATGTTACAATGTTTGAGAAGTGTCCCCATTTTATACGCCCACATTAAAATGTGGTCGTATATTGTCGTCGCCCCCGTCCGTCGGTCCACAATTGCCTGGGAACGCTCTAGAGGCTAAAGTTAATATCCGATTGACTTTAAATTTATACACGGTGTTTAAGGTCATCGGGTCATGATTTTATATTTCTACACCGTGTTTACCCCTATATATAATCGTTTCGGTTGACTTTAGAATGATACACATAGTTTATGGTCTTGATTTTCAATGATTTTTGATAACTTAAACAACTAAATCCATGATATTAAATGTTTTGTATACTAAACGTTAGCATGAGCCAAACGAATTCTAATGAATTTCTGACAATTGCGTAATGGGTTGTTGCTCTTAATCACATTTTAGTGTATTTTAATACCGACAAAAGTAAAAATATGCGACAACTCTTGTTGACTAACCGGACAATTGAGCTGCTTTGCACTGTAAAAATTTTTCCGTAAAATTTACGGACAAATGGCTGGCAGCTAGGTTGCCAACCAATGTACGTAAAAATTACGACACACCGTAAATATATTTTTACGAACATGTCGTAAAAATTACGTCCAAAGATTGGCAACCTAGCTGCCAGCCATTTGTTCGTAAATTTTACGGAAAATGTTTTACAGCTGTAAAAAACTTATGGTATGATAAGCATCAAAAAGACATTTACTTAAGATTTAAAACAGAATTTAATTATTCAAAACAATATAAGATACAATTAATTCCTCAAAAATGCTTTTACATGATAGTTTAAGATATAATAAAAGACCTGAAAATACTGGAAATTGGAGATTACTGTCGGTAAGTAAAGCTAACAACTGACTTAAAAAAAAACCTGTCAACCACAAATTCATATTTTTAACACATTGGATCAAGAGCAGATTTGATATTACAATATGGAGAATGTTTAGAGATCTAACATATTCTTTGGCTGTCAAGCAGTTTGGTGGTATATTTCAACAAAAACAAAGCTCCTTTCATAATTCTTCATTAATAATAATGAACATTTGTACATGGAATAGTGACGACTTTAAAAAAAAAAAGAGAATTTGTTGCCCTATTAACAAGGGAAATAACTCTCCAAAATATTTATCAAGTTCTCACAAGTCAAGCAAACAAAAATTCCCAGCAATTAAAAAATGTATGTGAAAATTTCCATGGATGTATCAAATAATGGGTAGCAACAAAATATAAATTTAAAAATAATGAAATTATCCATTCAAATACTTGTACATGTAACATTTACATTATAATATTCAAATGAATTTTTTTTATAGTAGAACAACAACATTCTGAATCTATTCTACAAATATATAATCAGTGTGTTACAATAGAATTATCCTCAAATCTTTTTCTAAAATCTTAACCAAGGTGTTGTAATATTTACCTCAAATCTATTATTTAAAACATCATCAACATGAAAGTAAATTATAACAGTAAAACATGATCTATTGAAATAATGAAATCATTCAAATTTTTGGAATTAATGAATTTGCATTCTAAATGTTTAAATGAACAATTTAAAATCTAACAATTATTGAACCCCAAAAGTATCATGACTTTAAAACAAGAACAGCATCAATGCAGAATTCCTATTATTCCACCTTAAATGTACAGCTTGTTTCAATGATTAGCTTAATCTCTGTTTGAAAATGTATATCATTAAATTTTGCACAATAACTCTGCCTAAGCATGTACATTCCTTAGCGAGAATGGCATAAATTGATTCAGTCTCGTAGATAAAAATTTAGATGGAACTCGAACTACTGACAAAGTTAATGAACCAGTCCCAAAATGAAATGTGTAGATGAGAGTTACACAATTTTAATGTTTATGCAACACGGCTGCATATTTAGAGACAAAATGAACTGAGGATAATTTTACAAATGTACCAAATTGTTGATGGACAAATTAAATGACCAAAAGATTTTTCCATTAAAGTAAACGGACATCTTATCAAAAGTACAATAAGAAGATCAAGTTTAATTAAGAAGATTCATTAAAAAGATTTCTTGCAGTGCGTTTAAAGTCTCATTTACAAAGTATCACTCATAAAAGGGTTGTGGCTCGGTCCCTTATCACCTATTTTATACACACTATGTGCTGGTGTATAAAAACTAACCATAAACTCAATAGGCCTATCCCTAAAGTTTGCATGCATGAACATTATTGCATCATAGGTTGCAACGATACATATCACAGTATTTCTTCTTGGACGTGTTTCCAGCTCTCTAGCCACTGCTTTTCCATCTGACGTTTTTGATTCAAAATGTTCCTATATCCGTGATTTGTGGTTCGCCGGAGGGGAATGTACTTTCAGCGGGACACATGTTTCATTGCCGAAAGCCATCTTTTCTCCTTCTTGTCACATGAACTACAGGGGAGTATTCTGCATCGGATGAAAATGGACATTTAAAATATCTGTACCATGTTAACCAAACCGTGGTCCAGAATTTAAAGCACCTTGAACCAAAATGTGGCATCTATACCGTCGTATACCTTCTCACAGTACCGGTATATTGTTGCTATTGTTGTAACTGTACTTCATCCATTTAAAGTTTGACAGTTTAGTGATTAGTTATATCACTTTTTGGCACACTCGAGTCTTCCTCTTTTTCATGATTTCTGTGCGTTATCTGGGTTAATTTCAAAAACGCACCTGCAAAACAAATATTCTCAATCAGGTTGTTTCTTATGACATCCATTTCAAAAGAACACATTTTAATTAAGGAAAAGGGAGCTAAATGTGCGAGAAAATGAAGTTTTATGTCCACAAACAGGAGACTAAACATATCACACATACTATCAGTGTAGACTGGACATATTTCGCCGAGCATAACTGATTACAAATTACACTAAAAACAGAAAAGACTGAATGTAAATCAGTTTATAGACATTCATAATAGATTATTATCGTTGCGACCCATTGTGTTCATTTCTCGGGGCCAAAGAATACAGATTTAGCTCCTTTAAGTTAGGTTGAACTTTTCTGATCATGATTCATATTGGTAGTAGCTGTAACTAACGTAACACCCATTGCTTTCCGGGTTAAAACCCATGCTTTTTTCTATCGTTACCGCATCTTGGGTTTCTGATCAGATTTTTGGACTAACCAGTGGCGACTCTGCACCTATGACAGGTAAAACTAAAAGCAGACTAAAATGGGATTCACCTGTTGCTAATAAGACCTACCCCAAGGTTCAAGCTGGGAGAGAGAAATGGGATTTAACATCCACACACAACACGAACTAGGTCATTTTTGGACTAATAAACATATAATTTTATTTCAATAATTCGCTTTAACCGTAGGTCTTTTATAAACAGTGAGAGGAAAACGAACGACCCAGAAAAAATGAACACGGTTAGTCAGGCAATCTTACTCCTTTCAACGCCACTTGACTCAAAGACATAGGCTTCATTCTGACCTAACTAAGGCCCATGTTAGACCATGGACCTTATACAAGCTCCATGGTTAGACCATTCGTCCAACCACTCCCTCAAATTTCAAGGTCCAAGCAGAGGGCAGGAAGTGTTGGTTTTCATTAACAATGCGCTCAACTCCCAAAATTATTATCTTCAGTAAGTTCAATCTTATAATTTTTCTTTACCGGTAGGGCCTACCTTTGAAAAAATTTTACTAACCCAGAGAAAGGCTGGGTAGCCCACTCTATAGATGACAGGAATGGCACCCAAGGATGCAATAAGCTGTGCCTAAAAAAATTAGTAAAATAAAAAATTAAAAATCATTATCCAGACAATGCATTGACAATTCAATAAATTCTTAATAATGGTTTTCAGTGGTAGGCCTAGCCTACAGACCTGAGACTATGAACTTAATGAAGCCCAGAAATGTTAGCCCTTCATAGTTCATATATTTTTTTTCTATATCAATGTTATTATTATGTCATCCGAGTAGCCTCAACTAGAACTGAAGCCTCCAAAAACAATGCGAAAAAATATTAGGCCTAGCACTAACACCAGAGTGTATTTTTACTCTGTGCTAACACTAACACTGTGACAGTGTATGTGAGTATCATGTATGTCCATTTGTCTAGAAGTAGAAGAGTCTATTCCTACTATTTCATATTAATTCAGTTACCGTACATTTTTACGAATGCTAAGAATCAATCTATGTCAAACAAAGATGTGTCCCTACTGTATACTTACCTAAAACTGCAATGTTTGGTATTGACTGTACTGTATAGTGTTCAACTATTGTGCTCGATGTTGAGGGATTCCTCTTTGCCGCTAACTAACGGTCTTCGCAGTAATGGCGCCCAGGAAGACCGATGACGTCACTTTAATTTAAACACCCGTATGTCATATTTACGGACGAAATTCTGTATTTCTCAAATATTAACAGACTCGTGTCTGTTATCAGGATAACAGACCTGCGCTGTAGGCGTTTTACAGAAACAAGTCTGTAAAAATTACAGAAAAGGCTTACAGTGTGGGGGTATGTTTAGTTGCCTGGCTCCCTCTCTTTTCATAGTGTGTGTTTTGTATTTTGGTAGTTAGTTCCCTTATGAGTTTGATATTATTTTGGATGCATTCAAATGCTTTCTTAGTGCAATATCCGGACGTGAGCTTTTCCTGTATGGTGCGACACTCCTGCATTTCAGATCAAAATGTATTGAATAGATATTCCTAATTATTCTAGATGTATTTGAATTCATGTAGTTTATTACAATAAAGTTAGTTCAATTCAGGTCTAACGTGTTATTTATGTGACATGGACCATCTCCAGACTAATGTGCGTATTAGCCAAGTGAGCTTTGTGGACCAGGTTGTTTAGCTTTATTAAATGAAATGAGAGAGAGAGAGAGAGAGAGAGGGGGGGGGGTTAACGTCCACTCGACACAAACTAGGTCATTTCGGGACTAACATATGGTTTAATTTTATTTCAATAATTCGCTTGCGCGTAGGGGTCTTTAGCAGTGGGAGGAAACCGGGGTACTCGGAGAAAACCCACGAGGTTGGACCGGCGACCCTACTCCTTGTCACGTACAACAGGGGATTCAATACCACAACAGTTGACTCAATGACAGGCCTTGTGATAGAAATGCTACGAAATGGGATTTAATGTCCTACTGTTCGGCGCCGACTGGGCAAATGAAGATAGGCATACACCATAGCGTGGTTTCTTCTTGGCGGAAGGCCTAGCAAGGAAAGTGTCTAGTCGTTCGTATGGGTCGAAAGATCAAAGAAACCTTGACAGTGGGAATTATAAATAAGGGTAGGCTACAGGGCCGCTTTTCGGGAAAAATGTCCCTAATGGCAGACTGTATGGCATATGGTCGTTTTCATCAACCGTCGGTACCTAAAATTAGAAAGTTTCCCCCCAAATCCATTTAATTTCAAAAGCTACACCAACTCTGGTAGTACAATGTTTTATTAATGGACACAGAACATATCAAGCAGATCAGATGATCATACGGGTCGGTAGAAGGTCCACAAGATTCTACAAGTGGACAGGGGTCTCTTCGTTGCACCAAATAGAACAATACATTCAGATCGGGTGATAACCTTTGTTGGTAGAGTGTTCACAATACTTAAAAGTGAATAACTCTAGAAGTACCTAAAGACAGTGGCTGACTATGGCGCACCAGGGCCTGGGTCCCCAAGGTATGTGGTCCTCTTAGAAAGTTAGAATATAAATAGAAAAGAAATTCAACTACAACGAGCTATATTATTAATTTATATTTTATTTAACTATTTATTTATATTTTAATTTAACTATAACGATCTTTTTTCTTTTATTATTTATTTATTTTATCATTTTAATTTGAATATTGTAATTGAAATTAATAATATTGTTAGCACCCCGTACCAATAGCAAATACTAATTTGACCATATTAGTAACGTTAAAGGCTCAATACCACTCTTGTTGTAACTGAATAATATGTCCCAATCTTTATTCAGGTCAACAAATTGTACTATTTTAGAATATTTCAATTAATTGATGATACAAATTTCATCTTAACACACCTTATTTAAAAATTTTGAAAAATTCAACATAATGGTTTGAAACGTCTAACGTAAACCTTTTCAAATGAAACTTCGATTTAAAAATATTTTCGAACCCTCTGGACAAGTAAAAGAGGATGTAATGGATAATTTACACAACAGGTAGGACACTTAATCATCTTGTACTTAGATAGAGATATTATTTATTTTCTGGAACTTTCAAGCCAGCAAGAGTGTTATTGTCCCTTTAATCACCAAGACAATAAAGAATGGAATATATCAGAAAAAGTTATTAGCGCCGCCCACGTACATTGGTAAATACAGTAGACTTCGCATATAACGGACACCTCGGGACCGGAAGATATCGTCAGTTATAAACGGTGTCCGTTATACAAAAAAATCTGCTATCGACCCTGAATTAGCCACCAGAATGTAACACCATCCCATGAAATAACAACATTTATCATATGCAGAATCTACAGAACATACATGTATTTACATAATGTATTCACATATCATGGATGTTCAAACTAAACGAGCTTATTTGAAAAAGTCTGTAATGCAGGTCTGCTTGAATCCGCCAGAAACACAAAGAAGGGTATAAAATAAGTATGGATATTTTCTGGGAAAAGTATTCTGGTCACCGATAATAAAATCAATAATATCATCATTTTGTTCTGCTTATTCGAGAGTCCGTTATAAAAATGGACAAAATGGACTTTTCCATTGATTTGTCGATTAGGGACCGATGAAAATCGTCCTTAATAAACGATTGTCCGTTATACAGTGTCCGCTATAAAAGACTTTGATAATAAGAAATTTCTATTTCAAAAATCGGGACCAAACTGTTGTGTCCATAAGCGATTGTCCGTTGTATGCGCGTCCGTTATATACGGAGTCTACTGTATTACATTGACAATATTACAAACATAATTAGCACAAAATTAGAAAGGCTGTTAGGAGCGCTCATCAATAGTACAGAATAAATGTAAACATTTGTAAAAGTTTTAAGCATCGAGTAATTCATACATATAATCATCAGCAAATCTTAACATTTGTTGTAATGACAACAAGGCAAATCTATCAACTGTTTCATTTAATTCTGTTTCTTTCTCGTAATTTTTAACAGGTAAAACATGACCTCTAGGTAAACCAATCAACTGGGCAACTTGATCCACGACATAAGCGACTCGAGATGAGTAAAGTAGTTGGGTCAGATCTTCTTCTACATCTAATTCGATTTGATCAACTTTAGTCAACACAATAACTTGTGGAATACCTGAAAGAATTTTTTAAAAGTTTTATTTCAGTCAAAATGACAAGAGAGAGAGAGAGAGAGAGAGAGAGAGAGAGAGAGAGAGAGAGAGAGATGGGGTTTAACGTCCACTCGACACAAACTAGGTCATTTTGGGACTAACATATGGTTTAATTTTATTTCAATAATTCGCTTGCGCGTAGGGGTCTTTAGCAGTGGGAGGAAACCGGAGGACCCGGAGAAAACCCACGAGGCTGGACAGGCGACCCTACTCCTTGTCACGTACAACCAGGGATCGAAACCACGCCAGTTGACTCAATGACAGACCGTATGATACAGCACGCACGTGCTAACCATTCGGCCATCCACCCCCCCCCCCCCCCCTGTGAAAATGACAAGCAGAAAATTAGGAAAACCCAACACAGATTGAACTGGATTACAGCTCGGTTATACAACACAGTAATATAAACCTCTGTTAGGGGGTTCGGGCAGGTTGACTGCAAGAAAACGTCTGAATTTCGACAAACCTTTGTACATATTTCGCATTTTGCTTAAAAGGCAGGGGGCACATATCCAACATGGACGGTCCCATGCGCATAATCATGGGGCAATAATATAGGCGGTTGCGGTCCGATACATGCAAAAATCATCCCATCCGAGATACATGTATGTGGAATATAAATTAATCAGGTGAACTCTTTGACCTCTAGAGGGCCTACAAGCTAAATACGCAATTTTTCATACAATTGGGGGCAATTAACCATGAAGTTGCGGCCCGATTAATGCCAAAATCGAATTAATCCGAGATTTTTGGGACATAAACCTAAGTTTCGTTAAATCTGAACGGACGTCCGGACGGACAGGGGCGACGGCATAATATGTAAACATAGAATTAAGCAGTCCCCACCACGTTGAAAGTGGTACGCATACAGCCATAGAAACTCCATACGATTGAACAACTATTTCGTTGTTAAACTTGGGCCAAATATAGAACCAATTTGATTAAGTAATTTACTAATTCATAATTGAAGGTCATAAAGACGGATCCAGTTTAAATTCTCACTCTTTGATTGGCTAGCTTACATATCAGTTTAAAATTCTTACCTATTGGATTGATCAAATTCTAGCTAGTTTAAATTCTTACCTCTTTGATTGGCTAGCTTACACATCAGTTTAAATTCTTACATCTTTTATTGGCTAACTTATATACCAGTTTACATTCTTACTTCTTTGATAGGCTAACGTACGTACCAGTTTAAATTCTTACCTCTTTGATTGGCTAGTTTTTGTATTAGTTTAAATTTAGAGAGAACTGATTCATTCATAACTTCAACCGAAGTACTGTCAATAACAAAAGCTACGCAGTGAATTTTATCTTTTACTGTTGGTGTTTTTATATATCCTGGACTATCTGGTGTGATAGGAGAAAACGGATTAAACTGTAAATGTAAAAACAAACTGCGTTAGCTGTGTTCCCCCAAAGTAGCTGGGTTAGCCTGGCAAGGGACAGGGTATAGTCGACGTTCGGATGGGTCGAAAATTCGAGGTCCCGTGTAAACATTGGCGTGTACAGTTGGAATCGATATAAGAATGGGCCGTAGCGCCCACTGCCGAGCAAAGTGTACCTCATGGCACATTGTTTAGCGTATGCCTATCGCTATTACCCCAGTTGGACCAGAACAGTAGAACGCTAAACTCCATTTCATTTCACTGTAGGAGGAAACTATAGGACCTGGCAACATTACCGCTTGCACAGTTGACAGAACTGGGGTCAGAATGTATATAAACTGATTTACATTCAATCGTTTCCGTTTTAACTCTAATTTCAAATCAGTTCTGTTCGAAGAAATACGTCAGAAGTCTCAATCGAATGGCAATCACTATCGGTTGGTTATTCCAGTCTACACAGATAGTATTTATTGTGCATGCTCTCCAGATAAGAATATGACGTCTCCGTTTGACATGATTGGTGGAATATCTCTAGCCTCGTTCTTCGAGTCCGTTGTTACAAACGCATTATGTTAAAAACATTATTTTGTCTTAAATATTTGATAGCAGAAACCCATCTTTTCCCATCAATGTTGATTTAAATTGACAAATAATTCGTTTTTATTTTCAATGTAGAAGACTTTGGAAGATATATAGACTTAGCTACTTTAAAGTGATCAAGACAATGCTGTTAGCCTACCGTATAACGATCAGGAACGTGACCATCCAACATGGCGGTCAAATCACCCGGATCTATTCCTTGAGTGTCTTCCAGTCCTCGAGTGTCACAGAGACGAAACTTCAAATACGATGAGTCGTTACGAAGTTGATGGCAGCGATACTATAAATTAAGCAAGATACATAAAACTTTTACCGACAAAAATAATCTTAAAGATACATTATAGTAAGTGCAGAAGGACCGCACTACACGCAAAACAAAATCTACAAGATAAACCTGCGGACATAGACATTGCAAACAATAAACAAAAATATTAAATCAAGGGAATGGATCTGAGGTCCAGCCGTAAGCGTCCATTGCGCTGTGCAGTCCCGGACCTGTAATAATACAGGCGTCACTCAAAAAAACCCCCAAAAAACGATAAATAAAAAAAATAACATTTCAAAAAAGACGAAACAGAAACAATGCTACCGATAATGGTAGTCTCCATAATAAGAGCTAAATCTATCTATTGGAGGCATTTTGTCTGGCTGCAAATGTTATATGAATTATTACTTATACAATTATTCATACGCCAAGCCCACAGCCATCTCTCAAGATCACCACGTGAAACGGATATTGAATAGATAAGAAAACGCCCGCCATATACGTTCAAGGTACCATGGTGGCGACGGCAGATTTAAGAACTCAAAATCGCGACTTTGTTTATCATCTTCGCAATGATATTTGACAATCGAGGGTATGAACTGTCAATCGACAAACGTTGGCCACAATTTAGACTAAATCTTGTGAAATCTTCAAACATCAATAACTTCGTCCAGAATAAAGTACTTTGATATTTTCAGTACACACATTTTTCATCATCTGTATTTTCGAACTATGATCGCAAGAATATTCAGCTCCCTATATAAATCTTACATAATGCAACTTTAATCATTGATCGTCGGTCTTTAATTACAATACATCAATCAAACATAATGTACCAGTGAAGTTGTCTAAATCATTGAGGGGTGTTGGATGGTCGAATGGTTAGCACGTGCGCGCTGTATCATAAGGCCTGTCATTGAGTCAACTGGCGTGGTTTCGAATCCCCGGTTGTACGTGACAAGTAGTAGGGTCACGTGTCCAACCTCGTGGGTTTTCTCCGGGTCCTCCGGTTTCCTCCCACTGCTAAAGACCCCTGCGCACAAGGGAAATGTTGAAATAAAATTAAAACCATGTTAGTCCCGAAATGACCTAGTTTGTGTCGAGTGGACGTTACACCCCATTTCTCTCTCTCTCTCTCTCTCTCTCTCTCTCTAAATCATTGATAGTATGAATATTTAATACAGAATAATGTACAATCCCATCAATTTGATATAAACTACACTTAGAAGAATTACGAAAGGGAATGCTGACCAGGATGATGACATTAAATTCCAACGTGAACTATTAAAATAGGACGGATGGACAGGGCACACTGATCAGCTGTGAATATTCGCTAGGTCGCTAAAATCACCGATAAGGATAACATCGATGCGACTTAATGAGCCAGAAATATTAACTTTTTTCCTCCGACAAATTAAATTCTAAGACATTTTTTGTATGTATTAGAAAAATAAATAAAGCCGTTTTAAGTATTTGTAGGTAAAAAATATTCCCTATTTAGTGTAAATGGGTATTAAAATGAGTAAAAGGCACCATTTTGACCGAACCAGTAACGTCTTATGTAAACAGTGCAAGCGCCATTGAGCCAATCATTGACGCCGCGTGCTGTGACGTCACGTGTTGAAGACAGTCATCTTTTACAGAGATATTAGAAGACTTTCATAATCCTCTATGAAACAGATTGCGGAAAGGGGTGAAGACAATTATATTTTCAAATAAAATGTGGGCATCTATACAACGTCCAATGTACTTGATGTATATGAGGTTTCATTCACTTAGATTATTTTGAAGGTTTCGGTTTCAAAGGACGTCTATTAACAAGGTTGGTAGTTCTGAACTCCCCTCTCCCCCACCAATTAAATGAAAGAGAGCATCAAGGCAAATGCGTATTTCTAATAATATTGTATCGTACACATTTAATTACATTTATTTTCATGACAAAAGTGAAATGCGCCGTTAAAATAATAAAAGAAAATAATAAATAAGCTTACTATAGTTGTCAAACTGTGTTCAGAACTTCCGGTACTAGCCTGACAAGTCACGTGACCTCTAAATATGGAATTAATGGTATTAAAATAGCTTGATTTTCCAGCTCCAACTGATCCAACCAATAGGATTCGAGATTGCTTCACACCAGTGTCTTCTACTGGACAATAATCCTCCACCATCTTCTTCAGTGTAGCCTACAAAATTTAAATCATATGTTTTATGTCTTGTTTGGCGATTCGGGAGGTCCATATTTTGACCGGGTTTTTCCGGCACGGCTCCACCACGTCAGTGGTGCAGAAGGGGGGGGGGGGGCTTTCAAGAGAAAACTCATAGTCGTTCAGATGGGACGAAAAATCGAGGTCTCATGTGCACATTGGTAGACCGTAGATCCGCTATCAGGTCAACATTTCCCTCACAGCACACTGTATGGCGTATGCCCGTCTTATACCAGTCCGAGCAGAACAGTAGGGCGTTAAACCCATTTCATTTCATTTCATTTGTTTTGCGATTCAAATATACACAGTTGCTTGGAAGTGGAAATTTGGGTTAACTGGAAACTGAATAACTACGACCAAAGAACAAATTCGAATTCTCTGTTCCCGACTGTATTTGCTATTTCAATAATCGTTGTTGGTCATTTTTGAAGTACAAATCCAAGGATGTATTTTGCCTTTGGTTTTGATGTTAGTTTGATAAAAGGTTTTTGATACACAACATATTTCATATACCTTCTTTTCTTTTTTATCATCTCGCCAGGGTTTGTCTAGACGTACTGGATCTTTAAAACAAAAAGGCAATGTTACATTACAAGACAATAAGCTATGGTACCAAATACGATGTTCATAGCCGCATTGTTACATTAAAAAAAACAATACCTATTAGTAAGTGCAGGGGGGCTGCACCACACAAAATTTACACAAAAACAAATACACGGACAGGACATCATACTCAGGAAAACACAAACATACAGACAATTAAAAAAAAGTGAATGGATCCGGGGGCTAGCCGTAAGCGTCCACTGCGCTGTACAGTCCCGGGTCTGTAGTGACACAGACTTCACTCAAATTTGAAAACAATTAGGAATGCAACCCAAAGAACCCATTGTGTAATTCCAGCATGAGTCATGATCTGCTATATGCTACAGGAAATACGAATGTAAGCATATGTAGTAAAATTCAACTATACAAGTAACCACATCGGTGAAATGTATAAAAAAGTAGTACCGTAAGCAATGTTCATAAGCTCATTGTTACATTGAAAAACAATACGCTATAGTACCAAATGCAATGACCATAACATCAGGATTCCGTGCTTCCCTTCTACCAGTAATTGTTAAAAATATTTTGTGAAAGAGGTAAATGTTTATATAGACCAAGTAAGTACAGATAGGCACTAAAATGTGTTTTGATGTTTTCCGGTTCAAGATCCTCATATCTAAATGACTCTCATTTCAAATAATTTATGTTTGTTTTAAATTCGTTAAATCATCATTAATCAGCATAATCCCGCTTTATATAAGCGCTGCCTCCAAAAGTTTTGTCCTCGCTACAGTCCGAAAACGAAACTCACATCTAGTCCTATGACATTATGTTGGGTAAGGTTGCCGAGTGGTTTAACAGGTGAACTTTATGGTCCATAGGATCTGTCAGTGAGTACAAATTGGCAGCTTGTACGTACAGGAAGTGGGTATGTCCAACCTCTCCAAGTCCCCTGGCCTCCATCTGCTAAAGACACCTAGGCACAAGCCAAGAATTTAAACATGCATTATGCATAAGCTAAATCTGCCTGGAATGTTTTCTAAATTAGACATTAATTAACTGACCCAGTCCATTATCAACTCTCGATGGCATCGGATTTCTCCCATATTTCAACAGATTAGAACGGTTCAGCCATATTTTAATTTAATTTAAAAATGGGGGAGCGAGACTTAGCTTCGAACAACAAGTACGGTGGTTGGAATTATTGCACACGTCTTGTCAAACCTTCAAAGGCTAATATCGTCGCTCGCAATAGAGTAATTGGAGTGAAATTTTCAAATTATTCATTTTACATTATCTATTTTCGAACTATTATAGCAAGAATGGCTAGCTCTTTATCTAAATCTTACATAATGTATCTTTAAGTAAAAACTGCACCACGTGAGTCTCGAAATGACCTAATTTGTATAGAGTACACACGGCTAGAGCAGACATACACATACATTGAGAAGACATACACATAGCTATAACAGGCGTACACATAGCTACAGCAGACATACACGTAGCTACAGCAGACGTACACATAGCTACAGCAGATGTACACATAGCTAGAGCAAACATACACACAGCTACAGCAGACATACACATAGCTACAGCAGACATACACATAGCAGACATACACATAGATACAGCAGACGTACACATAGCTACAGCAGATGTACACACAGCTACAACAGACATACACATAGCTACAGCAGACATACACACAGCTACAACAGACATACACATAGCTACAGCAGATGTACACACAGCTACAACAGACATACACATAGCTACAGCAGACATACACACAGCTATAGCAGACAAACACATAGCTACAACAGACGTACACATAGCTACAGCAGACGTACGCATAGCTACAGCAGACATACACATAGCTACAGCAGACATACACATAGCTACAGCCGACATACGCATAGCTAGAGCTGAGTAGAAGAGTGATTGTTTAGTTGCAACCCTATTGGGATTATCCAGTCTGTATTCTGCTTAGTGTATCAGATAGACTTAATAGTGTAATGGTTGGAGACAGCACCTTCACGTAAATGTGGGTTCCGTTTGGAGGGGTGATTTATACTAATTAGGTACCCCGCAAATGAATTTGGTCAATGGCGTCAAAATGTCTGGTGATCCTAAAGATACATTATGTAAGATTTAGATAAAGAACTAGCCATTCTTGCTATAATAGTTCGAAAGTAGATGATGTAATATAAATAATTTGAAAATTTCATTCAAATTACTCTATTGCAAGTGAAGATATTAGCCTTTGAAGGTTTGGCAGACGTGTGCAATAATTTCAACCACCGTACTGGTTGATCGAAGTTAAGTCTCGGTCCTCCATATTTGATTAAATCTTAAGTATCGCTGAACCATTCTAATCTATTTAATATCGGAGAAATCTGATGCCATCGAGGGTTGATTATGGTCTGGATAAGTTAATTAATGTCTAATTAATACTTTAGAAAACATTTCAGGCCTAAAGAAAGAGCTGCAATAGGCAGATTTAGCTCTTGCATAATGTATGTTTAATATGTCACCCATCGGTTGTCCCGTCCACCTCAGATTCTATATAAGGCTGGCATTCAAGAAAGTCAAGAAAGAAACGTGCCTCGCTAATTTAGAGAGCCAAGCTTACCAGACCACAACCCAGTTAGTAGATAACCATGAGGTGTTCTTGTGGAGAGATGTACCGTTAGCCGACTCGGCCGAAGAGACTGAGATCCCTGGGCGTCCACAGAACTTTATCAGACTGGATACTTAAAGATCCTCTTGAAGTGTAGATTTAGACATATAAGTGTTTTGAAACCATATATATAATTTGATATTTGAACGGTATTCCGGACTAAAAAGTACACAACGTGAGTGGAGTCAAGAATGCAAGGCAATGGATGGTATCCAACAGCAGTAACACACGATATTGTCACCACAAGATCGTGTTGCCCACACAGGTGACGAAGGATAGACTTTTGAAGGAGTATAGTGATATAAGTTTTCTGTGCATTTACATACCCATAACTTGGTAAATTTCCACGTCCTTGAATGTATAGTTGTCATTGGTAACTTCCTGCATTGTTACACCTCCATTATCGTATACTCTACCAAAAGTAAAATTCTGTGGGGTCAGGCCAGTAGGGAAATTTCCGTTGGCAGTTGGGAATACTGTTACATGCGGTAAAATCATCATATCTTGAACATTTACCTGTCCAAAAATTGGACCATAATTCGCTCCCTGACTTATGGCCAATTCCGGACGTTTTATAATAAATCTTTTTGGAGAGAATTTATTCATATATTCCAAACGAAATAAAAAAGCCTTTTGGTCAAATCGACTTGACGTGTTACCACAGGTGCATGATTTCCAATCAACTGACGTATATCCACCAAATACACAACCATCTGTATTGTAACTAATGATAACGGTCGGTCCCTTGTTGTCACATTTTTGATGAAATATCGTAGGACCCATTCCATCTGTTGAAGCTCTGTATAAAAGTTTAAAATCAAATGATCGACCCATCCATTTACAAAACTGGGCTAGGTAAGTATTGTTCAACTGTGCTTCTTTTACAGCCATCTCTTTATCTTCTATCTTTAAAATATTTAAAGATACATTATGAGAGATTCGACAACGAGTTGGCAGTTCTCACTATAATAGTTAAAAACTAGATATTGTAAAGGCAAATTGCTGAAAATTTCATTCAAACTGATCCACTATGAACCGAGAACAAAGCGGGGGACAGAGAGGGAGAGAGAGGGAGAGAGGGGAGAGAGAGAGAGAGAGAGAGAGAGGGGAGAGAGAGGGGGAGAGGGGAGAGAGGGGAGAGAGAGGGGGAGAGGGGAGAGAGAGGGAGAGAGAGAGAGAGAGAGAGAGAGGGGAGAGAGAGGGAGAGAGGGGAGAGAGAGGGGGAGAGAGAGGGGGAGAGGGGAGAGAGAGGGGGAGAGGGGAGAGAGAGAGCGAGGGGGAGAGAGCGAGAGAGATGGGGTTGTTTAACGCCAACTCGACACAAACTAAATCATTTCGAAACGAACATATGGTTTAATTTTATTTCAATAATTCACTTGCTTGTAGGTTTTTTTTAGCAGTGGTAGGAAACCGGAGGACCCGTAAAAACCCCACGAGGTTGGACAAGCGATCCTACTCCTTGTCACTTACAACGGGGAAACGAAACCACGCCAGTTGACTCAATGACATACCTTATGATACAGCGCGCACACGCTAATCATTCGGCCATCCAATCCCCGCTTTTTGAGGAGAGATATTAAACTGATTTATATATGTTTGCACAATACTTCATTACCCGTGCCTATTTTATTCACGCACATGTTGTTCCTGTTTTATGTGTATTTGTATTGTATGATCTTGAAAGTGTGAATGTGTACCCCTACGGCTACTCTTATCTTTCACCTTTACATATTTATTGTGCCCCAAAAGGTCGTTTCGAAGCAATAAAAATTCTATACTACTATAAAATGGTGGCTCATTTTGTCAGAGATATTTCCTCTAACCGTCAAGGTAATATTTGACCCGATTCGGAAAATCAGTCAGGAAGACAAAGGCTAAGATACCTCTTATCGCATGGGGGTTAAAACGGCCCCGTGACCATATGGACATCATGCATGCATCGTTAGGTGTGCCATATCACAAAATATAAACATAAACTGGTCCCATAAAGTGCCTTAAGAGTTAAACTAATAGGCTATTCTTTCAACTGTGTTAATTCGGCGGGTGTTCGATCCCTGCATTGGCCGAGAAAGTTCATCTGGATTTTCCGACGTGGTTTCCCCTTGTCAGTGGTGCAGAACTGAGGGCCTGACAAGGACAGCTGTCTAGTCCTTCGGATGAGACGAAAAACCGAGGTCCCGTGTATACATTGGAATGCACGTAAAAGATCCCTTGGCAGTTGGAATTCGATAAAAGAGTAGGCGATAGTGCCGCTGCCCGGGCAAAATTTCCCTCATAGCACACTGTATGGCGTATGCCCGTCTTCATTAGCCCAGTATAGGAGCAGAACAGTAGGACGTTAAACCCCATTTCATTTCATTTCATTTCATTTCGTGTTAATTCGGTTCAACTATTAAAATGAGCGCGTCTGTTAAATAAAACTATTTTTGACGACTCAAAAGGGATGCGTGGCATGACCCAGTGCCCTCCCCCTAATATGTCATTAGATTATGAAAGAAAAATGAAGATGGAACTTATATAATCAACAGACAATGGAAGAGAATACTCAACTCAACACGTTTTCTTCTGAAAAATAGATTCCAATCTCCTACTTCCACTTTCGTTTTCTTGGCAAATAGACTCGACTATCATGCAACATAAATATTTTCATTTTTAAGCTCGACCTTTGCGTGTGGGGCAGTGATTCTCAACCAGTGTGCCGCGACACACGGGTGTGACGCGACACACGGGTGTGACGCGAGATCTTCCTAAGTGTGCCGTGAAAATTTTGAACGGAACATTTATAAGAAAATGCGAAAAACCACGTGAACCCAATCGAGTATTCACTGGTGTCTACTAATAAGTCCATAGCTTTGTTTTTCTTATTTAATTTGGGTAACTATGTGTCTATGACTAGTTTACGGTTGTATGCTGTCTGACTTACCATGTTTTTATTTTGCAAAATTCAAATATTTTTCATGTATATTTTGTCAGGTGTGCCGCTATTTTTTCATGTGTTCCAAGGTATGCCGTTGGTGTAAGGCGTGGGGCGTGCGGGGCTCACGCGGAAACTGTGCCTTCGAAGTCTACCTGTGTACATGTTGCCGTTGGTGTGCATATATGACTCTTTCTAGTAAGGGAGCTAGGTTCGGGTTGTTGCGAGAATCGCGTACAACTACTACTACTACTTGTTAGTTGTGTTTTACGTCCGCTTCCACCGAGGTGATATCGCAGACAATTACATGTTATGTGTTCAAGGTGCATTAATTTACAATGTGGTTAGTGAGAAATATTAGGATGGTTAGGTTTTCATATATATGTACACAGGACAATAAACAACAGTAGGATAACATGTGCAAAGGACGAAACAGGTGTTAGTAGACATTTACAAGCATGCGATTTGACGCAACAGACATGGAGAAAGACGGACATTTTCACAGACAAAGACATAATATGTACATATATATATATTTTGGGTCGTTTGTGTTGGTCTGGTCGTTTTGTCCGGTAGAATGGCAGGGCGGTGCAACTCTACCTTGGGGCTTTGTTGGTGAGTATGAGTCCTGGTCCATTCTTCCTTCCATTTGGGTATGTTGTCCGGTATGGTGGCGTTGTTACATCTTTATTTCTGTTATTCATTCCTTTTATTGTTGGTTCTCTGAAGGAAGAATCCAGCACCTGAAAAAGAAAGCTAGAGAAGAGAGAGTATTTGATCTTACTTTGATTTTATGGTTATTTCGTCTAGTAAGGCTTCGTGGGGGGGGGGGGGGCGGGGAATCATTTTAAACTAATAATAAAAATAATAAGTGAGAGTAAAAGAAAATAGAGTGTTAACTGAATTGCAGATAAATAATAAAAAAAAAAATAAATAGATATTAATGGTAATAATGAGAATAATAAATTGCTCATGAATTATGTTAATGGTAGATTAGTGGTTTTATTATAAATGTAGGGAGGTTTACGCTTCCTTCTAGAGGACATTTTTGCGCTCCATCCTACTGTTGATTAATTGGTTTTATTAGTTGGTAGATTAATGGTTTTATTATAGATGTAGGGAGGTTTACGCTTCCTTCTAGAGGACATTTTTGCGCTCCACCCTACTGTTAATTGATTGGTTTTATTAGTTGGTAGATTAGTGGTTGTATTATGGATGTAGGGAGGTTTACGCTTCCTTCTAGAGGACATTTTTGCGCTCCACCCTACTGTTAATTGATTGGTTTTAGTTGGTTTATTAATTTTATCGGAGTTATATTAGTTCTGTAAGGCGGTTTACGCTTCCTTCTAGAGGACATTTTTGCGCTCCATCCTACTGTTAGTTGGTTTTATTAGTTGATTTATTAATTATATCGGAGTTATATTAGTTGTGTAGGGCGGTTTACGCTTCCTTCTAGAGGACATTTTTGCGCTCCACCCTACTGTTAAATGTTTAAATTCATTATTTTATATATATCGGAGTTATATTAGTTATGTAGGGCGGTTTACGCTTCCTTCTAGAGGACATTTTTGCGCTCCACCCTACTGTTAACTGATTAAATTCAGTATTTTATATATATCGGAGTTATATTAGTTGTGTGGGGCGGTTTACGCTTCCTTCTAGAGGACATTTTTGCGCTCCACCCTACTCTTTAATTGATTACATTCATTATTTTATATATTTGGTCATCCCTATGTTCTCAATAAAATCCCAGACAAGCTGTGATGTCCAGTGTCTATCGTCGGGTTGTGGAGAGAGGAGTGTTTTGAGACAGAGGATGTTTCCCCTCTCTGCTAGATTCTTAATTACAGATTGACGTTCTTTGTTCAATTGATTGCAGTCAATTAGCAGGTGAGACGTGGTCGCGATTTGTCCACATGGGCATTTAATTGGATTGAAGGTGAAGTCTTTTATTACGTTTATCGTTTTAAGCCTCGTGATGAGTTTGCATATTTTGATTGATGGATGATTGGTGTAAACCTTGTCTACAAGATTGCTATCAATTTGATAGCGATGAGTATTCTCTTGTTTTAGACGGGTTTTCCAAGCATTTTTAATTTTATCTTTGGCTATGCTTGTGAATTCTTGGCTGCTGTATTCTAAATTTTCTATATCCGTTAATGCCAACCCTTCCTTGGCTAGCTTGTCAGCCTGTTCATTGCCGAGGATATTGATGTGGGAGGGGATCCATGCCAGGACTACCTCTCTTCCGTTATTCTTTATTGTTTGAATAGTATACCTAATTTGGTGGATTATGTCCTGTCTGCTTTTGGAATAGTCTGATTCGATGGATTTAATGCTACTTAGTGAGTCTGATAGGATAACGGCTTTTTGGTGTTTTTGGGTGGCAAGCCATTCTATTGCAGTTTTAATGGCCATCAATTCTGCGGTGTACACAGAGCAATGTTCTGGTATCCTTTTCTTGATGTTTAGCTTTGCTTTGGGGATGAAAATGCCGTACCCTGTTAGTCCCTGTGTCTTATCTTTCGACCCATCTGTATAGATTTTAATATAGTCTGCCCATTTTGTGTCTATCAGCTCTAGTGTTAGTGCTCTAGCCTCTATGGGATTATCGTGTTTGTTTGTAACGTTGATTAGGTGCGTATTGATGATTGGATTGCTTAATTGCCAGGGTGGAGTGACGGGATAAGTTTTTGTTTTTATTATTGTCCCTTTTAAACCGTGTTTATTTAAGACATCGTTTGACATTTGCCCGAATGTCATCGGACGCGTATTTTTCCTATAGCCTATTCGTTTGAATTGTTGGAGGCACTTATATGTCGGACATTTTTCTTTTAGCATTTGCAGTTTGCCCCAATACTTGAGTGACAGTTCCTCTCGTCTAAGATCAAGCGGGAGTTCTCCCATCTCTTGTAAAAGGGCAACTGTTTTGGTTCCTATTGCGGCTCTTGTGGCTAGTCTTAATGCCTTTCCTTGTATTATGTTTAATTTATTGAGCTGTGCATCACTTGCATTTGCATAAGCTAAGCATCCGTAGTCGATTACCGAGCGGATGAGTGCTCTGTATATTAGCATAAGAGTACTTCTGCTTGCGCCCCATTCCATTCCTCTGATGTATTTCATTAAATTGAGTGTTTTTGATGTGCGACTTACTACGCTATCTATATGTGCTTTCCAGGAAAGTTTTGAATCAAATATCATTCCTAAAAATTTGGCTTCTGATTTAAATTCTATTTTTGAGCCGTTAAGACTTAAGTCGATTTTCCTGTTAGTGTCAGTCGGGTGAAACAGCATTGCCACTGTTTTCCCTTCTGAGATTTTAAAACCCCAATCGTTTGCCCATTTTGAGATTTGTTTTAGGGTATATTGAAGCGATTTTTTGATTATGCCTATGTTATTTGAGGCTTTCCAGAACGAGCTGTCGTCAGCAAATAGTGCGGATTCGGTGCCCTTCCCCCCGTAGCTAGGAAGGTCATTTATCATTATGTTAAATAATATTGGGCTGATAACGGATCCTTGCGGCGTTCCGTTTTCCATTTTGAATTTGTCGCTTAAGCAATTACCTACACGTACTCTAATGTGCCTATCGTTTAGAAAGTCTTCTATCCACTTGTACATTCTTCCTTTGATTTTCGCGTTATGGAGTTTGTGCAAGAGACCCTCCACCCAAACAAGGTCAAAGGCCTTTGTTAAATCAACGAAAATCGCGCATAGATATTGTTTAGCTGTGAAAGCTTTTGATATGTCATGTTGTAATCTAATGATATGGTCTGCTGTCGACCTGTCGGAGCGATAGCCACTTTGTTGTGTCGTGAAGATGTTGTTGCTTTCACAGTGGAATTTTAGTCTGTTTGTAATTATTGTTTCTAGTGTTTTACATAAAGTGGATGTTAGACTGACTGGGCGATACGACGTTGTTTCGTTTTTGTCTTTATTTGGCTTATGTAGAGGGATTACTGAGGCAGTTTTCCATTCTTGTGGAGTTTTTCCCTTCGTCCATGAGAGGTTAAAGATATCAAGGACTAACGCCAGTGCTTTCTCGGGTAGATTTTTCAGCATTGTGTATTTTACACAATATTTCTACCATGCTATGAGTGGACAGCGGTGCCCGATACTCTGTACCTTGATTCTTAAGTTGCGGGTCCCTTTCCCATGCGGGTGGGGGTCCGACAAAACGTCAAAATTTCGAGTTTATTTAGAATTTTGCGTACTTATCTCTCACGGGGTTAAAGGGGGTGTTCTTAAGGGAGGAATGAAGGGTCGGGGATCTTCTTAAGCAGTGCTTTGGTAAAATCTGAAATTTGTCGACTTATGCACAAAAGTTGATTATTGTGCGCTTAAGTCGAATTAAACTCGAAACTTCGACGTTTTGTCTGACCCCCCACCCCCATGGGAAGGGGACCCGCAACTTAAGGCTCATAGTATCGGGCACCGCTTTCCACTCATCAAGCATAGTAGAAATTTCGTATGGAAGGGTATCGCTGCCAATATTAAATACTCTGCTACAATGTCTTTTTTATTGATTATATGTAAAAAGTACAATGTACAAAGTCATACTATCGGTAATGATGAAGTCAAAATACCTCTAAGGCAAGTGTTAAATGTAAAACGTCGAATGTTAAGTGTTAAATGACAAATGTTTTGTGGGAAAATGCTTTTTTTGACGTGTCTACATTTTACATTTCTCTCATTACATTTTACATTAAAATTTGCTCTCTGCCTCATCCCATTTGTCCTTCACGCATTCTACATAGCATGTTTCGCGCAGCATCAACTTGCATATGCAAATGTAGGATATCACGTGACTTATTAACATATACGGAAACCTGGCACACTATAAGCCAGAACAAGGATATTCACGACACTATAACAGGAAATCAGCCTTTACTCACCTTGGATGGCACTTTATGATGATTACCGGGGGTGGGTGTGGGGGCTGTGCAATGTCCAAATACGAAATTTCAGGTATCATGTTACATATTAGTGAAAAGCACATTCATTTCTGTTTGTAAATATGTAAATAGTTTTCTGGTACAATCGTATTTTCATAATTTAAATCCAATAAATATCACAGTATTAAAGGGGTATTCAAGTAAAATACTGGTCTAAATACGAAATTCTAGATACCATGTTGTCGTATCACTGATTGCTCTTTTCAGATATGCAAAAAATTTTCTGGCACATTCATATTTGCTTAACTTTACAAAATATGATTAAAGTTGAAGTGAAGGAAGTGGGGGGGGGGGGCTAAACTAAACTAAAATAGAGATACAGGGCTTAATCAAAAATTCTCTATGTCTATATTAAAAGATGTATAGTCATTTCTCTCTTTAAATGTATTATTTATTTGGTGGGCACAATCTTATATATTGTTCTCTTTTTTAATGGATCAAAGTACTCAACTCTGTTTATATAGAGACCGGAAAGAGTGTGGTTGTTTAAAATATCAAAATACGGGTATTAATACGAAATTCCAGTTATTGTGTTATAAATTACTGGAAAGTATGTTTCTTTGGCTGTTTGAATCGATCAATTATTTCCTGGCACATTCATGATTACGCACGGTCGTCTAGATAGGTTATTATGGTGTGCCAGCTTGATTTCTGTTGTCGTGCGGTGAATATCCTTATATTGTGCTGGGTCCTGTTTCTCGAAATCTTAACTAAAGTTAAAATCCAAATTTTAGTAGATACTTCAATTTTGATTGGCTAAGCACTAAAATCAATCTAATATTATCCAATCAAATTACTAAAATTTAGATTTTATCTTAGTTAAAAATTCGTGAAACAGGCCCCTGGTTTATAGTGTGCCGGGTTTCCATATATGTTAATAAGTCACGTGATATACATTTGCATATGCAAGTTGATGCTGTGCGAAAGTTGCTATGTAGAAAGCGTGAAGGACAAATGGGGTGTGGCAGAGCGCAAATGTAAATGTAATGAGAGAAAAGTAAAATGTAGACACGTCAAAAAAAGCATTTTCCCACAAAACATTTGTCATTTAACACTTAACATTTGACGTTTTACATTTAACTCTTGCCTTAGAGGTATTTTGACTTTATCATTATCGGTATTAGGACTCTGTACATTGTACTTTTTACATATAATCAGTGGAAACGACATTGTCGCAGAGCATTAAATATTGGCAGCGATACCCTTCCATAATTTCGAACGCGATTTTCGAAGCAACTTAAACCTACAACTAGACTAAAACTGTCAACGACTCGCAACGCTTGGCAACACGTTGGTCTCCACCCACAGCACCCATAATAACAAACAGGGCATTAGCTCGATCTGGTTGGCATTTCATCAAAAGATTTTAATTAGAACCGAGCAGCTCAGTTGGAATGTTATCAAAAAAACCTTCATTAATATTTGCATGCACGAGATCAACATCACCTCACACATGAAATGGGGTTTCGCGGCCTACCTCTGCACCAACTAGCTGCAATATTTGTAGCCGTGATAATTCTTAATCACAGCAACAATTGATACACTATTCGAGGCTTTGAGCAAGTAAAATTAGGTTCAATTACAAAATTTTCAATACATATCATAACAGTTTGCATTGAAATAAGTAATTATGTTACAAATACTGAAGAGTAGAACACAGAAATCTTACCGAACAGTTTTTCTGTATTTTCGAGTGATATTTAATCACGTGATTCTGGTTCGGCGGTCATTTTAAAATGAGCTGAAATTTCACATAGCAGTTAGGTTTAATCAAATCAAATAATTATATGGTAAGGTTTCATATTTATTTCACTGGGAATTGGTTTATTATTATATGTTAAGCTATCTACAGTACAGTTTCTGGACAGTGTTATTAGAAATTAAGGGAGGTATAGACCAGTAACTTTTTTGTAGTCAAATGACTACACAGCTTGCTCAAAGGAAGGTCTTAGGACGATCCACTACTGTGGCCTGGAGCAAGACGGACGGAAGACATCAGTAGTGGAACCATTTCTATGCACCAACATGTACACCCGTAGCCAGCCCCCACGAACACCCCCCCCACCCCCTGCCGAAGAAAAATGATTGCCACACCCTTCCCCATACAAAAAAGTTGCCGACCATAGTTCTAAAATACCTGTATCGTTTGAGTTATACAACTTTGTAGGGGCGTTGTGAGAGTTGTTTTTTAAATAAAAAAAAAACATAATAAAGATGATGTAGGACTAGACGTTACATATTATTGGTTCTGATATCTATCTGCCCAATATTGCGTACTGCATGCTAAAGTGTCCATCGCGTAAAGCAGTTGACACATTGGCCGAATCGTTAGGCCGAATCAATCGGCGCCGAATTTTATTCGGCCGAATGGGTGGACACACTAGCCGAATGCTTCGCCCGATTCACCATTCGATTGCATCACCTTTCACGTCACATGACTTCTCGACATGAATGGTGATTGGCTAATGAATTCTACATTCGGCCGAATGCTTCGGCGAAGCGGGCGTACACCAGGCGAATATAATTCGGCCGAATATATCAAACCAGTTTGATCCGGGCGAATCATTCGGCCGAATGACAGTGGACACACTAGGCGAATTTCGACGCGGATTGATTCGGCCGAATCATTCGGCTAGTGTGTCCACCGCTTTAGGGAAAGTTTGCCTGTTCTGTTTATGAATTCTAGCTGCCAAGAGTTCTTTCACGTGCACCCCACGAGTAGACCTAACCGTGTGGTTTGGTTTGTTCATTAGTCCACCAATATCTATTATCAGGGTTAGTGTTCGGATTATGTTTTTTGATACCCATATTTTATAGTATTTCTTATAGCGGCGGTCTAGAACCCGCGGACTAGTGAACCCCTCCCGAAATATATAAGTCCTAAAAATGTTTTTTCTGACGACATTTCCAGAACTCGTGGAAACATTGTTAGCCGTATTATCTTGGAATATTTTATTTTTAGAGTCTCCAATACCTAAAGAGAAACATCTAGGTATTAAAGGCGCAACAAACAACTCTAAAAAGAAAAGTAAAAAAAAAAACACGTTTTATTTAAATAATGTAGGGGTGTCATCAATAAAGTAGGCCTATATCCGTGAATTAAAAAAAAAACTTCATTTAGAATGAGCTGGAAAAAAAATCCAGTAAAACGATTATTTATGCTGGATCATTTTCTATAGGAATCGACATAATATCTATATTGTATGTGGACTCTTACTAGGACACTCTCTCGCTCGCTCTCTCTCTCTCTCTCTCTGATTGCGTCATTATGGTGTTAGAAAAATAGACATGAATCCTGTGCAACAGCGAGTAACTAAGCCATTGTTGTTAATTGTGTGTTGGTTTTTATTTGTGGGGCGGGGTTACTGTGTAAGTCATTTGCTAAACACGTGCACACGTGAACAACCAGGATATTCTAAGAAGCACCTAATAATCAGGACTACGTAACTAGGTTAGTCCATATGCGTGGGTGAAATCGCTTTATTTGTATCCTTCCGCATCAAAATTATGAATATTCACCAAAATCTGGCAGAAAATGTATTTTCAAACCCCTTTCCTCGATTCTACACCAAAAAGTCAACAAAAATCGCCATGCAAAAGGGGGAAAAAGGAAAAGGGAGAGGAAGACTAAAAATAGCTTTGGCCCTTGTTTCGTGGTGACGGCGTAGGAATATTTGGTGATCTGCATCATTAACAGAGAAGCACGATTAGGAACCGAACTAAGTGTGAATTGCACATACGCGGTCAAATTTAGAGACATTTTAATTTTAATTGAAGAAAACGAAAGATGAGCGATGAAAATACTAATAACGATGAAAAACTTCAACTGAAGGAGAATCTCGAGAGCGCAGACAACGTCAATGCCGAAGTTGACCTCGATGATTCGAAAGCTAAATTCATCAATGGCGGAAAGGGTGTCGACACAGCGGATGGTGATGTCCGTGTTGAGATTGCCTCTTCAAGCGACACATCATTCACCGGACTGGGAAAAGATGATTTGATGAAGTATGCAACTGATCCATTTTGGGTGCGATTACGATGGATTTTGTTCATTCTTTTCTGGGTAGGTTGGGTGGCTATGTTGGCTGCCGCCATCGTCATCATTGTGTTGGCGCCACGTTGCCCACATCGTCCTGATCTAAAATGGTACAACAAAGAAGTTGGTTATCAAGTTTTGACGGAATCGTTCCAAGATTCAAATGGAGATGGTGTTGGCGACATCAAAGGTATTTTTTTTTACAGCTATTAGGTCAAATATTAGTTGGCAGAACATGTCTCGAAGAAATCCGTGATCACTGACCTTCACAACAAACGTGTTTTGTGTGGCGTGCCAATCCTAAGTCCGGCATGAAGATTATTGTACCCAATACCACCACATACACGTTATACCACCTGATTATGATTAAAACTTAAAAAGAACCAAAACGCCACAATATATAATTATTTCAATCAATGATTTCAATGAATAAGTTTTTATTCACGCCAGAATTCATTTAGCTATGGGCCCTATGTGGATAATGATAAACTAGAATTGACTGAGGTTAGGCCCCTGTAATCAAGTAATGTTTGTTAGATCATCAAGGAAGATAATAACCAAGTAACTGGAATGGCGAGACATTGACAATAGCCATCAGTCTCGCCACCTTATTAAAGTTAAATATTAATTGTTGGCATCAAATATAATGAATTATTTTAGTGAATGAGTGAATTCCTGGAATTAACCGTATAATTGTATGCCGCATATAATTTTATGCCGTAGGAATGTAGGTTACTGTTCAAGGGAGATAAACTACAGGTGGACTAAGTAAGTTAACTGTAAGGGCAAGACATTCACTATCCTGTCTAGCCCCATTATGAAATAAAAAATTAGATATTGGCAGTAAAGTTTTGTCATCGTCTATGGGTTTCTGTAGGGCACCAGTTTCTTTGACCATTTTGTTATTTTTCTCTGTACTTTCAGGTGTCAAGTCCCGTATTTTACGACTCAATAAGTTATGTTTCTCTATATTTTCAGGTATCGAGTCCCGTATGAAATATTTTGATGAACTGGGTGTAAAATCGCTGTGGTTGAACTCCATCTTTAAGTCGGACAATGTTGATGGCAACAATGGTGTTATTGATTATATGGAAATTGACCCCAAGTTGGGAACCATGGAAGAATTCCAATCACTCACAAAGATGATGTTCAAAAAAGGTATAAATTTTTAAAGAGTTTCTTATTGGGCTTTCATTCAGTACATGTATTATTAAAAAGACAATACTTTTTTTTAAAGATACATTATGGGAAATTAGGTAAAGAGCTGACAGTTCTCACTATAATAGTTAAAAACTAGATACTGTAAAGGGAATTTGCTGAAAATTTCACTCAAATTGATCCATTGTGATTTGAGATTTTAGCGATTGAATTTTCGGCCAAGCCTCGATCATCATTACTAAAGACAGTAGGATAAAAAAAAACCATAGGTCTTGATTATCCATTTCTTGATTAAATTATGAATGGAAGTTGAACAGCAAATCTGAAACCTAATCCAATAAACATCGCAGGCTAGCGATGCCATCAAGAGCTGGTTCATTTTAAATCTGCAAATAATTTTGACCAGTCAAATTTAATTTTAAAATGTCCACAAATGTTACTGTGTATTCTTGTCAAATAAATAAAAACATGTTAAAGGTCAGATTGTCAATGTCAAGGCTAATCCATTCTGGCAATTGGCCATTGGTGATCAACTGGTAAGTGATCTCTTGGCTTGAAGTATTAATAAAAGGTTAAACTTTTGTTGTTGATGACCTGATTAAGTTGTACTTTATCATGCTGGTTCATTGACCATGTACAGGAAATAGATTACAGGGAAAGTTCTTAATTTTATTTTGCTAGCTAAAGTTAAAAAATTCCCATTTAATGACCAATGTGTATATTTTTAGGCGTATTTAGGTATGATGGAAACTATATTTATTTCTGCAATTATTCTTGGTCTGCCAAACAGCCAATAAATTTCTATCTTTTAACTCGTGCAGTGCATGAATGGTGTCTCAAATTACTAAATAATTCAAACTTATGCAATGGTTATCTACCACTTTTGATTTATATTAAGCTACTGATATGTGTAACATATGGCAAAGATAGTATATGCTTATTTAAATTGGTCATACATCAAGTTATAATTAGATGGTCTGATCGTTAACGCCATGCATGAAAAATATTCTGATTCAGGGCTTGCCACAAGCAAATTGGAGGCGAGTAGATGACTACTCACGCAAATATAGACTTGCGCGAGTGAGGCGAGTACATGTATTTACTCACGCAGAATGCTGTGCGTGAGTAGCCATTTAAATTCCATGTGCCTAATGGCAATGCTCTTGTCACTTCGGTGGAATCGGACTTTGAATAAAGCTATTTCACACACAAAGGCAATGCATACTCTTTTATTTCCTTGGCAGTAATATTATCTGTAAATCGTCCACCCATGACAATAACGTTGCAAGGGAAACTGGGTTTCCCTTTGCCATCGTTGGCGTGCTGAGGGGATTCGGGTAAAGCTTAGAAAGGTAAAAGAACAGGCAAAACAATTTCAATCCCATCAATTTGTAGAAAAGATGCGGGATCGAAAGAATTGCTATTAATAGAAAAGATAACATCTGCTTAATGTTTGATTATCCAGACACGGCAAATGACATCCGCTTAAAAACCGCCTGGCAGTACGCGTCTCAAAGTATTTTTAGTAACAACAGTTGGAACTGGAAAGACACGCCGCGTGCGCAATAGTGCATCAATATGAAGGCATAAAAATTTTTTACGGCTTTTTATATTACGATATTCAATTATTTCTGATTAAATTATTTTTTATATTTGCGCGAGTACTTAATCACTCACGTAAATTTGGTTTAACGCGAGCGTAGCATGCGCGCGAGTAATTACTCGCGTCTCGTGGCAAGCCCTGTGATCAACTTGTCCATAAGGTCATGCATAAAATATATTCTGGTTTTCCGTTAATTTTGTCTCGCTTAAAAGGACCTACATAACTTATTTTATCTGAGAATCAGAATATGTTTTATGGATTTGAATCCGATCTGCTCAACGCTCATGGATGATTAAATCCAAAAAGGGATAATCGAGAGGTTTTTTTTTTTTTTATTGTACCAACTTTAGTAATGATCAAGGCTACCATAGGCCTAAAATTCAAAAAGTAATATCTTGGTTCAGAGTGGATCAATATGACTGAAATTTTCAGCAAATTCCCTTTACATTATCTAGTTAACTAGCATAGTGATAACTGCCAGCTCTTTATCTAATCTCACATAATGCCCCTTTTATCATATTTTATTGCATCAACTTTCCACTTACCCGGTTCACTCCCACTGCTAAAGAACCCTACGTGCAAGCAGTTTATTGAAATAAAATTGAACCATATGTTAGTCTCGAAATGACCTAGTTTGTGTTGAGCGGACATTAAACCCCATTTCTTTCCTCAAAACTTTTTTTTTTTTCAATGAACAAGGATAGTCTTTATTTACCAAGTCCTAAATTGTTGATTTACTACTGATAATCTGATATACATGTAACATACAAGTAGATTAATTTCCAATTTATTTTCAGAAATGCGGTTGATCCTGGATTTCATTCCCAACCATACAAGCAGAAATCATACATGGTTTCAGAAAAGTCAGACTGGAGAAGCCGGATTTGAAGATTTTTATATTTGGGCTGATACTGATAATGGATGGGTAGGTTTATCATTCTATTTCCATAGCTATGGTTGTGCTTTCGTGAAGACTTAACAAGTTGGGTCTTCTGAAGACCCTGCTGCATCTGAAGACTCTGCTGCACCTGAATACTCTGCTGCACAATTTAATATGAATGAATTAAAGCTGCTGGTTGTCATTTGATTTGAATCCCTTGCAAACAACAATATCGTGAAATTTAAATTTCAAAAATTAGTATTGACTGACAAGTTCTGTATACATTTTCAAAATTTGGGAATATAAATCAGCCAGTATCACAAGTGTTAGGTAAAATATTTTGATGATCTATTCTTAGTCAGATGAAATCCAGACCAGGAAATTATCTGTTGATATTTGTTGTTTTCTTAACTAAATGTTAATAATGCATCAGCTAAATCTGTCTACTGCTGGTCTTTCTTTAGGCCTTAAAAGTTATATAAATTCACAATTAGTGGTTAATGATTTAATTTAAAAATGAAAAATCGAGACATGGGTTACTATTGTAACAACGGTAGCAATGACAATCAAGACTAGCTATTCTCCAAATAACCCTTACGTCGCTCAGAATAAAGTAACTTTAAACTATTTTAGAGAGAACTTTCAGTTCTTTATCTAAATTTTAGTGTGTATTAAGCTGTGAAAAATTAAGTTAGTCACTTAAAATAACCAAACTGGAGAAATTTATGAATTTTGTTTACAGAAAGATTCTTATGGTAAATCTGCATGGGAGTTTGACACTGTGAGAAATAAATACTATCTTCATCAAACAGCGAAGGAATTCCCCGATTTAAATCTAAGAAATGAGAAGGTCCTCGATGAACTGGAGGTAAGATTTTTTTCTAGATCAGGGGCCTGTTTCACGAAATTTTAACTAAGATAAAATCCAAATTTTAGTAATTTGATTGGATAATATTAGATTGATTTTACTGCTTAGCCAATCAAAATTGAAGTATCTGCTAAAATTTGGATTTTATCTTTAGTTAGATTTCGAGAAACAGGGTCCAGGAAGGTAGGGATGATAAAACTTTTTCCATGTCGTAATATCTTTAGTTAAAATGTCGGGCACTATTTTGAAGATGTTGCTGACATATTTTCAAGTAACCTGGGTATTAAAGTTACAATTTCATATTTTTAAGTTATATTTTTAAAATGTATTAAAATAAAGCCCTAAAATAGATGGTATCTACATGTATGAACAGTCCGACCACTTTTCAAAAATTAATCATTATACATCAATAATCAGTTGGGTTTATTCTTTAACAGTGATCGAGAAATTAAACACTTGTAAATTAGTCACTCATTATCAAAATTAAATGATCAGCTTTAAATTGGACAAATTAGATAATTTTGGGTGATTTTAAATGATACCAGGATTACACCGCACAGGGACTCGTATTGTGACGCTGACTCACTAACCCATCCTAGTTTCGATCCTGTTGACCTTTGAGAAAATGCTTGGGGTTCTCACCGACCCTAATTGCTGTTTTTGGTTGGTGTAGATCAGGGGGCCTGACCAGGAAAAGGCATCTAGTTGTTCGAAGTAGATGAAAAACTGAGGTCTGCCTCTGTGCTCACTGGAAAGCATGAAATATCGGGCAAATGCACAATGTCAAGTCAATGTTTCCCTCCCGGGTTACTGCAAGTCATTTGCTTGTCTGCAGTTAGCCTAGATTTTTGAGATAAGTAATGTCTTTCCCCATTTCATTTTGCATTAATCCAAAATCATTTTACAAGCCATTGTTTCAATAGAATATAAGCTTATACATTTTAGTTCTTTAACTGTGAAACTGTTAATTTTTTTTTTTTTTTTTTTTTTTTTTTTTTTTTTTAGAAAATCATGCGTTTCTGGATCAGTAAAGGTGTATATGGTTTTAATATCCTTGATGCTCAATATTTGACTGAGAACGAAAATCTAACCGCACAGGTGAGTTATTTATTCCACGGCTGGGGATACAATGGATGACACTCGTATATCTGAAGTAATTGTGGTAAATGAGATATAATGAATTTTGGATGGCCCTTTTTATACACCAACATGAAAATGTGAGACAAGAAATTTCATCGGTTTTAATAACTTCTAGAATTATGGCCTGTATTCACTTCATAAAATCTTGTGAATGTGTAGCAACAAAAGTTATCGTACAGCGTTCTTGAAATATGTGGATTAGTGAAACACAGAAACCTATGAATTTCAACAATTTCTGTTGACTACTGCTAGATTTATGGACTTTGTTTCACTTCGTAGAATCTTGAAAAAGCTCTATGGACAAATGTTATCATCGGATCTGTTTGAAATTTATATGTATTGTTCAAAATTAGTGAAATGGAGAATCCCATTAATTTCAAGTCATGATATTGGTCATTAATTTCAAGTCATGATATTGGTCATTAATTTCAAGTCATGATATTGGTCAGTCTTTTAAAGATTTTGGTTTGTGACTAGTATATTTTTTTAAAAGATTTAAAAATAGTCAAATAATTTATAAGCTTATGTGATCATGAATGACGATGATGAATCAAACATTTTGTATGAAATATTTGATTATAATCAAGGGCTGCCTTCCTTGGACTGAGTCATTTAAGTAATTTTTATATAATCATATGTAGTGATAGCCCCCAATTGCCCAAGTTTCTTCCTACTGAATTAAAATTTATGCAGTGTTTATGTTCATAAAAAACAAGGCGATTGATTTTCGACTATTTCTAATAATCAGAGTTACGACCCTTGCAACTTACCTTATTTTGTTAGTTGTGATTTGTATCTCATTAAAGTGAACAATCCTACTTATTGTCAACATTTGCTTATCATCTCCCGAGTTATCCCCCTTGTTATGAAATCATGTTTGCACATCATGGGCCTCAAAATTGAATACAAGTTGTTTAGTTCATAATTGAGCCCCTGGCATAGTTCGCACACTCTTCGAAAATCCTGGCAAAACGAAAATGTGATTTCCAATACTGGAAAATCCTGGTAAAACAAGATTTCTCCTTGAAACTGTGGAAAATTAACATTTGTGGTTTCGCTATATATTTTAAGATCTAAAACTGAACATAGTCATCGAATGTTTCTTCGAAAGTTAATGAGTTAGTCGCCGTAAATTGGCTTGTTTTCAGTAGAATTCTATACAGGGACTCCTGGAATCTGGTAAATTACTCCTGGAAAACTCCTGAAATTTTAAGTTTTCTGAGTTGTGGTGGTGCATGTTTCATTGTCTTATAATCTACATTTTAAAAAGAAAATTTAAAAATTTTCATGGGTTAAATAATTTGTAAGCTGATGTAATATTATGAATGACGATGATGAAACAATCTTTGTATATGAAATCATTGATTATAATCAAGGGCTGCCTTCCTTGGACTGAGTCATTTCACAATTGTAGAATAATAATGTCCATTTGTAGAACTTTGGGGGGAGGGGAAAAGAAAGTAGGAGACTGATACATTGGGTTTGTCAAACTTTAGGGACAGATTAACTCCGAGTAAATTGAGATACATGTAGAAGGTTCAAAAATTTATGTAGCTGTTTTAACTTAGCTGGTCCAACACGGTAATGCAACAACCTTACTTAAAGTAGCTAAGTCCGTAACTCAATATCATCCAAAATCTTCGACATTGAAAACACAATTTTTTTTGCAATTTAAATCAGCATTGGTGTTGTGATCTTACCTGGAAAAGATGGGCTTCTGATATCCAATATTTAAGACAAAAAAACATTTTACCATTGGTACACGAATCATGTACCATAATGCATTTCAGCGCCATTTGTAACAAGGTGCTCAAAGAATGAGGCTAGACATATTCCACAAACTGACTTGCGGTTGAGACTTCTGGCGTATTTCGCCGAACATAACTGATGACAATTCACAGTAAAACGGACACGATTGAATGTAAAACAGTTTATATAAATTCATATTACATTATGTGTTGCGACCCATTTGTGCCAATTTGTAGGTCCAAAATATTAGCGATTTAGCTCCTTTAAGGTGAAGTTTTGCGTGTGACATCTAGTTATTTACTGACAATGTAGTTCGATACGCACAAAATGTTAAAAACAACTGAATAAAATCTAAAACATTCATAACTGATGTTCAGTGCAATTAAATTTTTAAACAAAGGCAAGCTGACTGTGACGTACGTGTATCCATAAATTAAGTGTAAAAATTGTAACATTTGAATTTGAGTTTGGGTTTGAATTCAGTTTGGATTTGAATGGATTTTAGATTGAATTTGAAATAGAGTACCGCAACATTTCAATCAAATGACAATGATGAAACAATCTTTGTATATGAAATCTTTGATTATAACCTAGGGCTGCCTTCCTTGGACTGAGTCATTCCTTTTATAGTGTATGTGATATTTATACACTGATATGAAAATGTGGTTGTATGTTGTGAACTCCCCAGTCAGCTTATATGTCGTCCACATTTGTTTATGAACTCACCAGATTTGCACAAATAGTATACTTCATTGATCTCAAAGGTTTTCATTAATTTCCAACAAAATGTTTTTTGAAATTGATAATAAAGTGAGTATAAGCTTTTTGAAGCCATTTCCTGAATTGGACATTGACTTATCCATCTTAGATTTGATTATCTATGAGGACTGTAAATTACACTGTAACCTGGGTATCATTTAATCTTGTGTATCTGGCACTAATTTCTTTCACATTTAGTTTTATATCAAATCTTTGTTTAAAAATTCGTAAAAATCATTCAAAGTCATCTAATTCATAAAGCTGACTGATTAATTCTGATAATGAGTGTCCAATTTACAGTAATTTCCTGACCACTGTTCAAAAATTAATCATTATACATCAATAATCAATTGGGTTGTTTATTCAGTGATCGAGAAATTAAATTGTCCATGTAAATTGGACACTTATTATCAGGATTGAATTGGATGAATTTTAGTGATTTTAAACAATTTTTACGAATTTTTTAACAAAGATTTGATATTGAATGAATGTGAAAGAAATTAGTGGTAACTACACAAGATTAAATAATACCCGGGTTACGATGTTATATTGCTAGATATTTCACTGAATCATTTGTAATCAGTTTAAATGTTGCCATAATATAAATTAGATTGGATATTGCTGTATTATTTGAAATCAGTTTAGATTTTGCCATAATTTAGATTGGATATTGATGTATCATTTGAAATAAGTTTGTATCATTTGAAATAAGTTTGAATATCACCGTAACATATTGGAATAAGTTTGCGTGTATCATGAATGATGATGATGAAACAATCTTTGTATATGAAATCATTGATTATAATCAAGGGCTGCCTTCCTTGGACTGAGTCATTTCTTTTACATGTGCGTTGTTTCATAACACATACTTATGGACGGACAACTACTAATCTCTACCTACTAATGTGGGGGTTGGGGGTTGTATGGCCGAATGGTTAGCATGTGCGCACTATCATAAGGTCTGTCATTGAGTCATGGTTTCAATTCCCCGGTTGTACATGACAAGGAGAAGGGTCGCCTGTCCAACCTCATGGGTTTGCTCCGGGTCCGCTGGTTTCCTCACAATGCTAAAACCCCTATGCACAAGCGAATTATTAAAATAAAATTGAACCATGTTAGTCCTGAAATGACCTAGTTTGTGTCGAGTGGATGTTAAACCCCATCTCTCCAATCTTCCCACTAAACAATATAAATCAGGCCTTGCCGTTTGTACAGGGGCAGGCGTGCGCGTAACACACACCTTATTTATCTTCAGGCGTGTGGATAACACACCTAAAACACACACCTAAAAAATTTTGGGGCGTGTGCTTTAACAATAATGTAAATTAAGGTGTGAATTCATTAAGCATTAATAAGTTTATGGTCAATCCTTGGTTGGTTCTTAGGAGGCACGAAGTCCAACTTTGGTCCATTTTCGCATTGACTTGCTATCGCATGTGCCGTGGATTTTAAATGGCGAACAACAGTATATTTGCTGACATAGTTTGTACCTACACAGTATCTATCGCGCTCTTCGAGGGTTTGACCTCAAATTCTCGAGTCTTTTTCGATTTGCCTTCGGTGTTTAGCGCAAACTGTGCACCAAACATTATTGACAAACACTGTCCAGTTTTCCTCCTCGAAAGTATCATAATTACCAACCTCGGAAAAATTCCATGATTTGAAGGTGGCCAATCTGACTCTGTTCCCACCGACCGCTGACATAATAAATGTCAACAAAGACAGCCAGAAAAAATAAAACATTCTCCGGTATCGACTTCACATGTCCGGAAATCAAGCATGACAAATAACGCGGTAATCGATTCAGCCATGCGCTCGAAACTAAGCTGTTTTCCGCATCCGGTAAAGGGAGATAATTTCGTACCGACAACTCTCACTAACAATATCGTCTGTACATTCGGTTCGCCAGTGATATGAGCCCCGCCGAATTTTTTTTTTTCATTCACAAAAATCTGGCGTGCGCGATCAAGACACACCTCGATGGCGGTTTGCGTGCGCCTAGGCGTGCGTGCGCGATCGCGCGCCTCAAAACGCAAGGCCTGATAAATGATTTGCATTATTCAAAGTTAAAGTTCCACAGTTATTTTTTCAATTTAAAAAAAAAATGTTCCCTAATACTAGTAATACTAATATTTCCTATTTACAGGCTGCTGATTCAACTGTTGAAACTATGAATTATAAAGATAATATGGAAGTTATTAGTAAATGGCGAGCAATTCTAAACTCCTTATCAGATAAACCAGGCCGTGAAAAGTAAGTAGGCTAGTCCGAACAGAAAACAAAACAAAGACTTATTGTCAAACATTTAATTCATGAAACCCAGTACATCCACCTAAAATTGAAAAAAACAGGCATATGCCATACTGTGTGCTGTGAGTGAAATTTGTCCGAAAGGCTTAATTACAGTCTACTCTTATTTCAAATTCCAATTGACATGGAACCTTTTACGTGTACGCGGGACTTTTAAAATATGATTCCCCGCCCGGGTTGTACGTGACAAGGAATAGGGTCGCCTGTCCAACCTTGTGGGTTTTCTCCGGGTCCTACAGTTTTCTCCCACTGCTAAAGACCCCTACGCGCAAGCGAATTATTAAAATAAAATTGAACCAAATATGTTAGTCCCGAAATAACATAGTTTGTATCAAGTTTCTCTGTCTCTCCTATAAAATATGGATAAAATTATTATTGTAACCTGTGGCCTGTTTAAACACACACATTAAGAAATAGAACCTTTTGCATTTAAAAATTTCCACAAATCAAGATAGATATGGACATAGGATACCCAGAACAGTTTTAAGTGGCGTAGAGATACATGTACACAGCATATTAATTGGGAGATTTTAAAAATGCAAAAAAAGTGTATTTGACTAATTTCCCCGAGATACACCTGTTTGACACTTCACCGACGATGCGTATATCGTATGTTGATTTTAATATGCTATTGTGTTTAAATGATTTATTTAACGTTTAATGTTATATTTGTTCAGGGTTCTAATAGCTACCTTCCCAGGTAAATTCAGTCAAAATGATACCATGGAATATTTTGGATCTGATGATGGTTTCAATGTCATACCTAGTCGTCTATTCTCAGAGTTAGACAGAACATGTGATGCGGGATGTCTGGAACGACAAATTAAAAATCAAGTTGGATCCAATGATAAATGGAGAGGATGGATTGTAAGTATATTTTTATTTCTCGGTAGATTTTTTTACATAATAAGATTTTCTTAGGCCCGTTTTACATGTAATTGTTTCCGTCTTTACATGGAAACGGTCCAATTACATTTTTCTATCGGCAAAAACCTGAGATGAAAACTTGTAAAACAGGCCTTACAGAATGTTCAGTAGAGTAACTTTTCCATTGACAAAAACATAGAAAACAGGCTTTACCGAATGTTCAGCAGAGTACTGGTATTCAGGAGGGTGTGGGGGGAGGAGGGTGTCCTTTGACCTTATAAACAGTAGTGGGGAGAGGAGGGGATGGGACTGGGGATCCTGTCACCATGTGACCACAATTGGTCTTGAGGAAAGAGACTAAATGACTGGTATCCAGCGACTATACATGTGTTCACTTAAGTTAAAGGGACCGTTGCATGAGTATAAATATCCCACGTTACCAACTGAATGTTTTGTTTTTTCCTGTAGCTGGGTAATCAGAATACAGCTCGAGCTGCTACAAGATTTGGCATGAAGTTGAGTAAATTGATGCAGACAGTACAGTTGTTATTGCCAGGAACTGGCTATGTTTATTATGGAGACGAGATCGGAATGAAAGATGGTGATTATGATGCTTCCCCACCAGTAGATAGTTACAGAAAGGAAAATGGTGGCACTGTAAGTATATACATGTAATAGGGGGGATTGAATGGTAAGCGTGTGCGTGCTGTATCGTTGGGTCTGTCATTGAATCAAGTTTGTGTATATCATGAATGACGATGATGAAACAATCTTTGTATATGAAATCATTGATTATAACCAAGGGCTGTCTTCCTTGGACTGAGTCATTTATTTTACATGTGTGCTGTATCATACGGTCTGCATTGAGTCATCTGGCATGGTTTAGATTCCCAGGTGGTACGTGACATGGAGTAGGGTCGCTTGTCCAACCTCGTGGGTTTTCTCCGGGTCCTCCGGTTTCCTCCCACTGCTAAAGCGAATTATTGAAATAAAGTGAACCATATGTTAATTCCGAAATGACATAGTTTGTGTCGAGTGGACGTTAAAACTCCATCCTCCCTATACATGTAATAATGATTTACATTAGAATGGTATTTACCTTTTCGTTGAAATGAAATGGGGTTTAATGTCCTACTGTTCTGCTCCTATACTGGGCTAATGAAGACGGGCATACGCCATACAGTGTGCTATGAGGGAAATTTTGCCCGGGCAGCGGCACTATCCCCTACTCTTATATCGAATTCCAACTGCCAAGGGATCTTTTACGTGCATTCCAATGTATACACGGGACCTCGGTTTTTCGTCTCATCCGAATGACTAGACAGCTGTCCTTGCCAGGCCCTCCATTCTGCACCACTTAAAAGGGGAAACCACGTCGGAAAATCCCGATGAACTTTCTCGGCCAATGCAGGGATCGAACACCTGACCTCCAGGGTAGCGAGCCAGCATCTAACCCACCTAGCCACCGTGGCTCCCACCTTTTCGTTGAATGTAGTGCTGTAAACGCATGACATTCTTGGCCAATCAAATTACCTGCTGTTGTTTGTGGTGAATTATGTAAATTTTAAAAACTCTTTTTGGGATTGAGTTTTTTTACAAATATATTTTTCCTTCTGTTATACTATATGAAATATTTTTGTTTTTTTTGAACAGATACGAGACCGATTCCGAACACCCATGCAATGGGATAATACAGAATTTGCAGGATTTAGTTCTGTGAAACCGTATATTCCACTCTCGGCTGATCATGCTGGTAAAAGTGTTGCTGTGAGTAATCTCTACTTAAATCTTTTTTAAGAGGCATTTAGCAATAAACTATAACACATACTTATGGAAGAACTACTAATCTCTACCTACTAATGTGGAGGGGTGGGGGTGGATGGCCGAATGGTTAGCACATTTGCTCTGTATCGTTAGGTCTGTATCATGAATGATGATGATGAAACAATCTTTGTATATGAAATCATTGATTATAATCAAGGGCTGCCTTCCTTGGACTGAGTCATTTCTTTTACATGTGTGCTGTATCATAAGGTCTGTCATTGAGTCAACTGGCATGGGTTAGATTCCCCGGTTGTACGTAACGAGGTGTAGGGTCACCTGTCAAACCGCATGGGTTTTTTAGCGGGTCCTCTTGTTTCCTCCTACTGCTAAGGACCCCTACGAGCTAGCGAATTATTGAAATAAAATTGAACCATCTGTTAGTAACAGTCCCGAAATGACCTAGTTTGTGTCGAGTGGACGTTAAACACCATTTCTGTTTCTCTCTACTAATGTAATCACATGTAAGAGTAGGCCGCAGTGCCGCTGCCCGGGAAATATTTCCCTCATAGCGCACTGTATGGCATATGCCCGTTTTAGGGGTGATGATTTTCCGTGATCGCGGAAAAAACGCGGAAATCGCGAAATTTGAAATCTCAAACGGAAAAAGACGGAAAAGCCGATATTTGCTGATACTAAACACAAACTCAAAATAATTTTGCAGTTATCCAAGTATTTCATCTTTTTATTCATAAAAATCGGAAATATTGAATGATATCACGTGGTTTTGTTACTGTCTATTTTAGTATTTCGCTACTTTCATTTCATCATTTATGAATCATAATTTTAATCGAAACGAATACCCGTCTTTCATGTATCCCATTATAAAATTACTCTGTAGTTTAACTTGAATTAAACATTGTAATGTATATATATGTCTTTAAAAAAACTTCTGTCACTTCATAAAAGTAAAAATCGTTTCATTTACTTCTTATTTTACTGCCGGGCTCGTGACTCGTGTTTATCCGCATTAACCATGTGACATCAGAAATATACCGTAGCCTTGTGAATCCAGCCCTTATTCTCGAAGAAACGGTAGTAACTACGAAGATGTCTGGATAAATCGCGACTACACCTAGCAGCTGAGAAAAATGGCTTCGTCTGCTAAAAAGATGAAACGAGCTCACAAGATGTAATTTTCTGTTATTTAATTCGGGAAACAGGTTTAAAGAATAACTAGTCATTGAACATTACAAGTCATTCACAATTCAACATTTGTTATCATTGGTTTGAAATGATCCGTTTTGTAATAAAAGGCATTTTAAGATGTTTTATTCATTTATTCATAAAATAACATCTTATCTTGAAAAAACGGAATATGGTCAGCTCTGAAACGGAAAATAACGGAATTAAAAATACTTAAAACGGAATTTGCTATTTTCTGAAACGGAAAATCATCACCCCTACCGTTTTCATTAGCCCAGTTCGGAGCAGAACAGTAGGATGTTAAACCCCATTTCATTTCATTTGAGAACTGCTCAATGTTACGTGCAATTATTTGAATATAAAATATTAGAAATATTTTAAATTTTGCCCTTTGTAAGTTGTTTTATGGTAGAAGCGTGAAATCAAATTACTGAACTAAACATGGTGGGGGTAATTTTACTTTTGGAAAAACAGAACACTTTAAAAAAAACAGGTTGTGAAGCACCATGCTATTTGACACGAGCTGGACATTGACTTATCAATCTTAGATTTGATTATTTATTAGGGCTGTAAATTATATTGCTAGATGTTTTACTGTATCATTTGTAATAAGTTTAAATGTTGCCATAAATTAGATTGGATATTGCTGTATCATTTGTAATTAGTTTGAATATCAGCGTAACATATTGGACTAAGTTTGCGTGTATCATGGATGACAATGATGAAACAATCTTTGTATATGAAATCATTGATTATAATCAAGGGCTGCCTTCCTTGGACTGAGCCATTTCTGTTACATGTGCGTTGTTTCATAACACATACTTATGGAAGAACGACTACTAATCTCTACCTACTAATGTGGGGGGCGTGGGTTGTATGGCCGAATGTACACTGTATCATAAGGTCTGTCATTGAGTCAACTGGTGTGGTTTAGATTCCCCAGTTGTACATAACAAGGAGTAGGGTTGCCTGTCCATCCTCATGGGTTTTCTCCGGGTCCTCCGTTTTCCTCCCATTGCTAAAGACCCCTACACACAAGTGAATTATTGAAATAAAATTGAATCGTACATGTTAGTCTCGAAATGACCCAGATTGTGTTGAGTGGACGTTAAACTCCATTTCTCTCCTTACATGTGATTTTTCTGTGCCCACCTTGAAATACATATATAGGCGTGAAGAGGATGCGAACACTATGCTATTTGACTTATTGAAACCAATGTTTTATTTAATTTTTTTTCTTTAATTTTCAGACCGAGAAAGCACATGATTTTGACGGTTCTTACAACAATTTGGACTTATTCAAAGCCCTGGTAAAACTGCGAGAGGAAGAATCTTTCTCATTTGGTGATCTCAAAGTCTCGGTCATCGACACCGTTTTATTGTTGAATCGCAAAGCTACTGGATTCCCCGGATACATGGTGGCTGTTAACCTGGGAGCCGATAAAAAGGCGATCGCAGTGACTGCAGGTCCCGACACAGAAGCTCCATCTGTTGTACAACTCGTCTTTCACTCTGGTAAAGAGGTGAAAGAGGACGAGCCAATCAATGTCAAAGATCAACTAGCTACCATTCCTCCTCAAACTGCAGTTGTCTTCAAATTTATATCATAAAATTAATTAGAATTATTGAAAAATAACACAACTAGTATTCATTTAGAAAAGTATAATTGATCCTGATGAGAATTCCTGTGTTAATGTCTTATCTTTGTTTTAAATTTTAACTTTTGAATAATGTTGAGATTGGTCTCGATCAATTGGTGAATTACATTTACATGTCCAGTAGGCCTGCTTGACATCGCTGAATTGGTCTCAAACTAAAGAGGTCCTCCCTAGTCGTTTAAACTACTGCCCCATTTGAGTGATTGTGTTTTTTGTAGCGCTAGGAGTGCAATTAGCGCGATATAAATGAACTTATTGTTTATTATTATTATATGACATGTTAAATATAAAATTTAATTATTTGAGGAAGAAAATGATTGCCACATCAATAATTTATAAATGGCACAAACACTGAGTAATTGCCTTAAATCTTAAATTCATGGGTCTGTTAACAGTGGATACCAGTATCAACACATAAACATTTTAAATAAAAAGTTGTTTCGTTAAGTAAGTTTTTATATTAAATAATTAAAATAAATAATTAAAATATAGTTTGTTATATGTACTTGTACAAAAATAAAGAAACTTGGGATTATTATTATTAGGGTTCTCATCAGGGTCAAGCTAGTAAAATTTTACCCTAACAAAAGAATTTGTGAATTGAATCTCGCTAACCTTGACAACATCTTTACTAGAAAAAACAACCCTTTAGCTTAAAATTGGAGAGAAATAAACTTATTTGGCTTCAATGTTTTGTTTTTTTGTTCTTCACTCAGGCTGTCAGGTATTTATATAATGTGAGATCATGCGGGGGGGAAAATATCTTAAATGTACCTTTCTTCATCGACTTGGGTAAAGAAGACAAGCAGGACAGTGTGTTATGAGAGAGAAATGGGGTTTAATGTCCACTCAACACAGACTAGGTCATTTCGGGACTAACATGGTTCTCCGTTTCTTTGTATTTGTGTCTAATTTAGATATATTGGTGAATCAAGTCCACCCCATTCCTCATAAAATTCGGCCTACTTATTTTTGACCTTGGCTTTGAAATACACGAAGTTGAAGGATCAGGCTTGCTGTGCATTTTTGTTCTATGTGATGGGATTTTGCCCGTATATTCCGGACATGTCCGACGCTATTTTCTGAACTTCCAAAATTGTCCGACCGGGAATATGCGCAATCGGACATCAAGATATGGTGAATAATATTCAAAATTCCAAAATTAATATAGTTTACTGAGTGTATAACTACCACTCAACCCGATTATCGTTAATAATAGGCTGTATTGATTAGGTAATTAAGTGATTCACGTATTTATCGTGTTTTACTGTCTTTTCACCCACCTTGATTAACTACTTAATCTGCCATGATTGACTGGCTTAATCTTTTATCGGACAATTCATCAATCTAATCTTAAACAGATGTCATTGCTTCTCCTTTGTCGGGCTATTCATCAATCCAATAAGAGCGATTAGAATTTTAATCACAGCATGTATAAACTAGTCTTAGATTTCACATATCATTAGAGTACATGTATATAACACCCCAAATCAATGGATAGTCATTTTGGCTACGATATCTTTTACGTCTTTTAAGGCTCCATATAGAAATTCTCATGTGGCACTTTCCAGCTATCTCGATTGCCGAACGAAAATCGCTTACAAGGCAGTTCCTACGATGAAGCTATGTGCTATGAGTCACGTACGCCATACGCTGAAGGAAGCTTAAGTAGTTACGGTTCGGCAAACTTTCCTTCTATCGTATTACGAAAACACCTAATTTTATAGGAATATTACTGACAAAAATTTGAACACCACACGGGAATTAAATATGAAAAATATCTGCTGTTATATTTACACACCATTTTCAACCAGCAAATTAAATAACAAATTCAAATGATTAATTCCAAGGCATTCCCAGTAATACGATGAGTTATTTCCCCTTAAGTTCTTTGTTCAGCTAAAATAATATATGAACACGGTTTGGAACCAAGATAATTTATAAGACTTTAGTATTTGGTCGGTAATTTAAATGTAGAAAATTATTCTGTGTCGTCAATCACCCTAACAACATACATTACAAGGAAGCCGAACAATAGTGTACCTGTATTCTCAGTTAATGCCATCAGGAGTTTCAGTCTACTTATACTAGACAGATCATTCCATCGCCTGTTCATTATTGACGTAGTGAATCCGAGACTTGGGTTTTGTCCAATTTTTTTTATGCAGGGTTATTTAATTTAAAGGTTGAACAGAAATTAGTGACATTTTATGAAATATCGCGATATACTGATTACATGTATTTCGTGATAATTTCTGAAAATATATAGCCACATTTGTTTGCAGGGATATCGTCCAGCTCTAGGGTGACGTTTTACAACTCAACTACTATACTATGGGGTGGGGCTTCACAACCTAATTCTTATACTGTACCCAACTATTATAGTGTGGGGTCGGACTTCACAACCTTACTGCTATACTGTCGTTGCGGGCTTCACAACCTTACTATTAACTGCTAGGGTACGGCTTTACAACTTACCTTTATTATACTTTTGGGGACGCGGCTTTACAACCGAACTAATACAGCGGGGATACCGCTACACATGCACATTAATGAACATTATGCAGAAATACCGTTGTCTCGGCATAAATTTCTCCATAACATCTTGCATTACCCCGATGGGTGTACGGCCTTTTTTTAAGACCCACTTCATTCCATAATTAGTTGACCAACAGAATAATACAAAACAGAAACGAATTAAAGATGACATTTTAATTAGATTCTCGAATTAATCCAAAGAATCATACATATAATCATCAGCAAATCTTAACATCTGTTGTAATGACAACAAGGCAAATCTGTCAACTGTTTCATTTAATTCTGTTTCTTTCTCGTAATTTTTAACAGGTAAAACATGACCTCTAGGTAAACCAATCAACTGGGCAACTTGATCCACGACATAAGCGACTCGAGATGAGTAAAGTACATTGGTTAGGTTGTTTTCAACTTCCACACCAATTTGGTCGACCTTGGAGAGTAATATCACCTGGGGTATACCTGTTGATAAAGACAGAAGTCATTGTTAGACTGCGTTCGACTACAGTGAATAATAACCTCCCTGGGGTTGAACAACTGAACTGGAATTCAAAATAAGAGTAGGCCGTAGCAGTGCTGTCAGGGCAAAATTCCCCCACAGTACATTGCGTGGTATAATCATTAGCTCGGTTAGTGAAGAAAAGTAAAATGGCACCACGTATCAGAGAGAGAGATTTATAACATTCACATAATGTGGACTGGCATGCACGTAAAAGAACCCTAGACAGTTGAAATGCGAAATAAGATTAGGCTACATACAGTATATTGGTATAAATACATATCATTATCAGAATTGGACCCAGTACAGAGCCGTAAGGAACTCCATCCAAGGTATTGGTATATGAACTTATTACAGACGAAGCAAAGTGTTTAATGCATTGTCAGCCATTGTAAATTTAGAAACATAGATAACAATAAAGTATAAATACCCCCACTCCTTTAGATACTCTTTAGTGCAAACTCTTGGGGAGAGAAAAAGAGGAAAAAACTCATTTGTTTCTTACTTCTTTGATTGGCTAATTTCTGTATCTGTTTAAATTTAGAGAGAACAGATTCATTCATTACATCCACTGATCCACTGTCAATAACAAAAGCTATGCAGTGAATTTTTTCGTTAATTGTTGGTGTCTTAATATATCCCAGGCTGCCTGAAGATATCGGGGACGAAGGCAGGAACTGAAAATAAAGAGATAATATTCGGTGTTTTAGTTTGAATTGAATACAAAAATATTGAGTAAAACTTAGCCAAGTAAATACAAAATAAAAATAACTGAACTAATTCCATGTAAAAATGACACAAAATAGTTTTTTTTCTAGAAAATGCTTTGATTACTGCCCGGAAATATGGTATTTTAGCTTGAAATAGTATCTAGGGACACCCAGTTATAATTATAGTCTGGATGATTTAGACATTGGGTGAGGTCAAATGTAGTTGTGAAGTAAATATGAGGTAATGTAACACTTATGTACCTATTTTCCTAACTTTTGAGTTGGGGGGGGGGGGTGTATGGACGAATGGTTAGCGCATAAGGTCTGTCATTGAGTCAACTGGCGTGGTTTCGATTCTCCAGTTGTACTTGACAAGGAGTAGGCCTAGGGTCGCCTGTCCGACCTCCAGCGTTTTATCCGGGTCCTCCGGTTTCCCCCCGTTGCTAAAGACCCCTACACGCAAGCGAATTATTGAAATGACCAAGGTTGTGTTGAGTGGGCATTAAATCCCATTTCTGTTTCTATCCCTATCTTCTGACCTCAAATAGAGTCAGAAAAGGGAGATCATTTTCATTCAACTGTGGATAAAATTACAAGATAGAGTCTCCAGAAAACACTAGTGTTAACCGAAACAAATTCAAATGATGGCTTCCGCTTCTCAGCTGCATTATATAATTCTTCACTAATAATGTACTCATAGGAAAATGACCACGAGTTTCAAATTTCAAATTTAATATATTTTCCAAAGTGTCACATTTTTTCTAACCTGAACATCAAATTAAGGGACTCGGGTGAACTCTTATACTGACACAAACTCTAACACTAGCACTAACGTTTTGTTTTGACCTCACCCGATGTCTATTCGACATTGGTCCTATAGTGATGAACTAGTATATATGCTACATAGTTTACGACACCTGTAAAAAACACGGAGCTAATTAATTGACTAGACTGATTATAATGTAACCTTACTGTATAACGATCTGGCATGTGACCATCCAACATGGCGGATAAATCACCCGGATCTATTCCTTCCGTGTCTTCCAGTCCTCGAGTGTCACAGAGACGGAGCTTGAGTGGGGTTGAGCAACTCCGTATTTGATAGATTCGAAACTAAAAAGAAATGAAAACAATATATCGATAAACTGAATGCCAGGAAGACTAGGAAGCGCCGTGGCTAAAACAGTATAGTAAAGTGGTATTCAAATTCAAATAATTATATAATAATTACGTGTCTAATTATTCAATTACAGTAAATGCATTTTATTATGATATCAACAGATCACAGCATATATTGAAAGTAGTCCATACACACCCTGTAGACATGCCAGTGATACACCATGTATTATAAGATAAGATTTTATTGTATCAAAAACTCCATTGAGGGCAGTATACAATATAAACATGTACATAAATTTATAACAATATGACAAATAATATATATATTTACAAATAAGACAATCTAGGTTACACATTTACTAACAGGACAGAGAGAGAAATTGGGTTTAACGTCCACTCGACACAAACTAGGTCATTTCGGGACTAACATATGGTTTAATTTTATTTCAATAATTCGCTTGCGCATAGGGGTCTTTTAGCAGTGGGAGGAAACCGGGGGACCCGGAGAAAACCCACGAGGTTGGATACTCACAGGACAAACAGTATGATAATCATCCCATAATACAAATGTTGGGTATATGTGAATTTTTTCCATGATGTTTAGTAAATAAGGAAATGATTATAATAAGATTTTTGTAAAAGGACAGTTCTTAGAATTGCATATCCTTATCATGTAAACATCTAAAGAAATTTCTACAGAAAGCTTATCCTGCATTATGCAATAGCCCAGCTGTGTAATCATCTTGACACGACACGATATAGGATCTGTGTATTAATCAGATTGTAGTTCATACTTTTGTAATAATATTAGCACCAAAGAGAATAGCTCACCATAGTCGTAAGACTGGCTTCAGCACTTCCGGTATTAGCTTGACCGGTCACATGACCTCTAAAGATGGAATTAATGGTATTAAAATAGCTTGATTTTCCCGCTCCAACGGAACCAATGAGAAGAATTCTTGCTTGTCTCACACCAACATCCTCCAATGGCACGTAATCTTCTATTAGCTTCTTTAATGTTGCCTGTGAAGACAGACGTAAGACACGATATGATTTACATTAACAAATTGTGGACCTATTATTGTCACGTGCTCTTAAAACTAAACATAGAAATAAAGTTCGATAAAAACAGTTTGATTTTAGTACTTTTATCTTATGATAATGGGAAACATGTTTACAAAATCCACCGAACTATTCCCTTTTTTTATTTACATCATAACAAAACATTCGGTATCGCAGTTACAAAATATACTATCGGCCATTTACTTCGACTTGTCTTGTAAACCACGGGTTTGTCTAAACACTAAATTTATTACCAGATTGACACTAAAGCATACCTGTCATTATATGGCTGTCCCTGGCTTGAGTCTATTTCAACGTGTAGTCCCTATGGTTGAGTCTCATTTCAGAATTTAGTCCCCAGGCTTAAGAATGTTTCACTATTTAGCACCAGTGACGGAGATTGTTTTGATGTTTAGTACCTATGATTGAGACTGTTTTAGTGTTTAGTACCTATGGTTTAGACTGTTTCAGAGTTCAGTGCCTATGGTTGAGACTGTTTTAGTGTTTATTGCCTATGGTTAAAACTGTTTCAGAGGTTAGTTTCTATAACCGAGACTGTTTCAGAATTTGGTTGAGATTGTTCCAGAGTTTTAATATGAATTTACTTATGAATTTACTTATCTTTTATACCAATTAACTGAACAAAATTGAAATCTTACCAAGTTTTCATTCCTGTCTGCTCTCCAGGGAACTGTTAAAAGCATCGATTCTAAAACAGAGAAAGCACTGTGTTTAACGTCCACTCAGCCCACCCAGGCGGTAGTAACATATTGATGTGGTTTAATCTTTATTTTAATGATATGAACGTGGGACTTTGCTGTGAGAACAGGATTTTTCGATTTTTTTTTAAAAACAAATCTTGATTGGCCTACATTTGTCACTAAGAAAATGCTTTTACTATCAGCTGTATGTTGAGACGTACTGTGATTATTCTGTTATATTTCTGACAGCAGTTTCTCTGTTCGTTGGGAGCCACTGTGGCTAAGTGGGTAAGACGCTGGCTCGCTAGCCTGGAGATCGGTTGTTCGATCCCTGCATTGGCCGAGAATGATTATCGGGCTTCTCCGACGTGGTTTCTCATTTCTCATTACGCCGTAATGTTCAGTAAAAGTGAAATCTACAGCAAATAATTATATTTATCTATTTGTGCATGTAAGAAGAGATTGGGTCATAAATAAAATCTCCTACTCGTCTTTTTTTATATAAAAAAATATCAATATTCGTCAATAAAGTAAAAAAAAAAAAATATCGGCAAAGCCTCGGTTTTGAATATATTTTGATATCAAAAAGACTCGGAGGAGATTCTCTATATCATAGACAGTTTTTTCCTCACTTGCCCAGCAATATCAAAATAAAACGAATCAAATTTCATGGCTTTGATATTTCGAGAAACAACTTATAAAACCCCTAACCACCCCTTGCCTTCCCCAACTCTCCGTGACAATGGACTGTTCCGGCTTCACTACCTACGTAATGAAAGTTTTCATTTTTACAGTAGGGTGGTTTTAATTTGACTCAAGGAAAATGGGAAAACCCATTTTTTAAAAGATATATTATGAAACCATTAATGACTGAATACACACATTCAATGGAGAATGTATAGTCATGTCCTCAATAGTTGACAGAATGGGCGATACCAAGTTAATTTATAGTCATGTCCTCAATAGCTGACAGAATGGGCGATACCAAGCTAATTGAAATACAGATCCTATTTCGTTTCGTTTTTTATGCATACAAGCCAACAACAACACATCCACGATAAAGACAGAGAGAAATGGGGTTTAACGTCCACTGGACACTAACTAAGTCATTCCGGGAATAAAATAGGGTTCAATTTTATTTCAATAAGTCACCTGTGCGTAGGGGTCTTTAGCAGAGAGGAAACGGAGAGGACCCTGAGAAAACCCACGAGGTTGGACAGACGGCTGTACTCATTGTCACGTACAGGCGAGACACCCCCCCCCCCCCATACCCCCTCCGGACTCAACGACAGACATTATGATCCGACATATATGTAAAATTTATGTGGCTTGTTTTGATTTTTTCTGGTCCTTAGTTACATAATAGATTATCGACAACGCCTCAGTGATGATATACAGTATAACGATTTTGCTATTTATTTACCTAACAAATGTCAATTCGACACCCTATATAGACTTCACGGGCGACTTTGCTGCTGCGGGCGGGGGAAGGGAGAGAGGGGGGGGGGGGGGTGCCTTGCAACTCATAGCACATTAAGAAACTGAAATACCTGGTACTTGATAAACTTCAACTTCTTCATAATTAAAGTTGTTGTTTGATATTTCTTTCATGGTAACACCACCACTTTGATAGGATTTCCCGAAATCAGGCGTCAAAGCGTTTTCAAAAACGCCATTTGCATTTTTGGTAACTTCAGAAGGCGCCACTGTGGGTGCTGCCGCCGGTGCTGCCGCTGCTGGAGCCGGTGCCGCGGGTTGTGCTGGCAAACGAAAAATCTCCAGGTCGGGTCCTGCTCCAAAACAGGGACTACAGCCGGCTTTAAATAGAATAGCATTTTGTGCATCGCTTACAGGAAATTTTCTAGCGGAATGTTCCTTATTATATTTCAGACGAAATATAAAAGCTTTTTGATCATACTGATGATCACCGGTAACGACCCAATTTACAGAAGTATATCCACCAAAAACACAGCCATCGGTATTCCAACAAGCTATTACAGTCGGCCCTTTGTTTACGATCCGCCGTTGAAAGATTGCTGGAGACATTCCATCTCGGGAAGCTTTGTATAAAAGTTTAAAATCCACTGATTGTCCGATCCATTTACACAGTTTGTCTCTCTCTATCTTAGACAATTTACCCTCACTCATATTGAACTTCTAGAATCGATAAAATATCTAAGTTATAGGCCTACAACTCTAAATAATATGTGCATTACACACAGCGAGCTCTTAAATATTGTGACCTAACAGCGCAACGTTTTGCAATAAATAAAGTTCAACCGATTATGCGCAGAGAGCTCGCCACTAACACCAGCTTAATTATACGTAATTGTTGCCTTTTCCTGGAAATCCCTTGAAATAACCGGAATTTTATAGGAATTTCCATTTAAATGGGAATTCCATTTCCGTACGCACGCGTAGTCTGATATATATTGATCTATTACCAGGGATTTCCTTTTCTCAGAGAACAATATTTTTGCACGCATGGTAGATTCAATATATACATACATATACGTTCTTGTCATATATCTAATCGGATAAATGAAAATGAGACTGATTCTATTTTAGACATCTCGCTCATCACTAATTCATCGCTTCTGATAATATTTAGTGAAAAACATTTGTTTTAATTTAAGGGATTTCAGTTTACCTGATTAATTTATTTCTTTGCAAAATGTCATTTGGGATATGTCACGCCCCATATTGAATCTCCCAACTGTATCTGACTTGTTGTTTTCCTGTATAGTTTCATGAGAGAGAGAGAGAGAGAGAGAGAGAGAGAGAGAAATGGGGTTTAACGTCCACTCGACACAAACTAGGTCATTTCAGGACTAACATATTGTTTAATTTTATTTCAATAATTCGCTTGCCCGTAGGGGTCTTTAGCAGTGGGAGGAAACCGGAGGACCCGGAGAAAACCCACGAGGTTGGACAGGCGACCTTACTCCTTGTCACGTACAACCGGGGATTCGAAACCACGACAGTTGACTCAATGACAGGCCTTATGATACAGCGCGCTCGTGCCTACCATTCGGCCATCCCCCCCCCCCATGGTTTCATGAATTGTTGTTATAGTTTTTCTGTATAAATTGATCTCATAATTCTTCAATTACTGTATTAGCTTGATAACGTTGAGAGAATACTCTTCGAAACGTCGCCCAAATAAATAAGTAGCTGTTTTTCCATAATTATGTGTTTTTGTGTATTGCTCTATCCAGTTACTAAATGCCTCTAAAAGATTATGTCTCTGACTTAGAAACAAATAAAATTATATCTAAAATACATTAGTCCTGGCGTTCACAAGTTTATATATACACAAAAAAATCCCTTTTTATAGAGATCCCCTTAAGCCATGCCTATGTTATACTGCTGAGTTATATCACTAAGCCATATTCAAATAAGTGTAATTGTTTAGCTTTATATATACGTATCGAGATATATATTGAGACCATGCATATAAACCATATATTATAATGGGGCCTATTTAGATTGGCAGGTCATGTGATCACTGGTATGATAAGTATTTTATACATTGCTAGACTGTTACTCGTATATTAAGGCGATCGACCTTATATTTCCGGAGAATACGCTAGACTGAGATAAAGAGATTGAGCAAATGTTTCTGGAGAATACAACATTATAGGGTAGATTTAAACATACATTCCCACGAAAGTATTTATAAAGTAGTTCTTTCGATTAACAATATGACATATTTTATATTATGGACAGTAGAAACACCCAATCATACTAAAAGACACCCCATCATAATAAAAACAATATTGGAATCCATGGGGGGGGGGGGGGAAATCCCATGGGATTGAGGCTGGGACTGGGACACACACACGACAAACATGTAAGAGTATCCCTAACTGGCAGCCTGTTTTCTCGAGTGACCCAATGAGCGATCTTCTTATAATATACTATTATGTTGTTCTAATGGCTAACAATTGAGAGAACATTAAAAAACGACGGAAAAGGTGTTTGTTACTTCAGCAAACGTATTGCATTGTGTGCAAGGCAAGTTAATTAGTTGTCTGAAACAGCATGTGTGGTCTGTATCCACAGTTTTAAGTTGTGGTCTCATTCCTGTTCTGACGGGAATGTAAACGTGCTTGTTGAAAAGTTAGAGCAGAAAATAATTATTAAAATCGCTCAAAACATCGCGAAGCTATAAGCTTAAATATAGCGAGAAATATTTCAGGGAAAAAATAATCTGAAAAATAAAAGGAAATAACTGAGGTTTGTATCAAGAAGTTTCAGAAAAATCGATCAAGCCGTTTAAAACGAGACGGATCAGACAATGAAATGAAAATATCGGGGGATAAAACTAAAAAAAATGGCGGGAAAATATTGAAAAATGAAATGAGATGATTTTGAATGGAACTTCTATTTTTGGAATCAGATTGTCCTCAACTGTTCGAATATTTAGGTCAAATTTGTAAATTTTGAAAATTAAGGAAATAATTGTCTTGTCCGGACATCCAATATAGTTGTAAGAAAGGAACAATAAATGGATAAAGATACAATGGACTTTGATTACAGCTGCTGTAATGTTGGTATAGGACAATCCAAGATTTTACTTAGGCTTCGGTATTTATGGTAAATGGACAGCGACTAACGACACCTACAAGCAGAAATGGCCTTTCCATCAGTCATGCCACGTGACAAACAAGGCTTCTTAAAATAAATTCGTGCCTCAGAATGTAGTTCGTTTAATTAAAATCTTTCTAAAGTGATTTGAATCAAAGATAAATTAGTTTGAATATGACTTAGTTCAAATATATCATTAACTCACATAGTTTGTACAGGTTAAGGCATCTTTAAACAGACGGGGGGGGGGGCTGAATGCTTAGCACGTGCGCGCTGTATCATAAGGTCTGTCATTGAATCAACTGGCGTGGTTTGATTCCCCGGTTGTACGTTACAAGGAGGAGGTTCGCCTGTCCCACTTCGTGCGTTTTCTCCGAAATGACCTAGTTTGTGTCGAATGGACGTTAAACCCCATGAGAGAGAGAGAGGGAGAGAGAGGGAGAGGGAACATGGTTAAAAGGAACATAAAATAATATGAATCTACTGTAATATCTTGATTTTTCAACCTTTTGTAACCGTCCCCACGTCTGTCGTACTTTCCAACTGTTCTCACCAATTGCAGCCCAGCATCACCAGGTTTCACAAATAACCCAAACGACCTGAATATCTTGATTACTATTTATTAAGGTGTTACATACTAGGCACCAAACGTCGACTGGTCAGAATTTTGGAAATGTCCTATTACTTTTCTCAATTCTTGGACGATCTAATTGGAAATGAAATGAAATGAAATGGGGTTTAAGGTCCTAGTGTTCTGCTCCTAACCTGGGCTAATGAAGACGGGCATACGCCATACAGTGTGCTATGAGGGGAATTTTGCCCGGGCAGCGGCGCTACGGCCTACTCTTAAATCGAATTCCAACTGCCAAGGGATCTTTTACGTACACGCCAATGTGTCAGGCCCTCCATCCTGCATCACTGACAAGGGGAAACCACGCCGGAAAATCTGGATGAACTTTCTCGGCAATTGCAGGGATCGAATACCCGACCTCCAGGCTAGCGAGCCAGTGTCTTACCCACTTAGCCACGTGATCCCCCCGATCTAATTGGAAAATAACCCATGAATCTTGAAATTCGAAGCAGAGTAGACTGAAATGCCACTATCTGGGCAAAACTCACAGGAAACAATTACCGTATGTTAGTCTCATAATCATTGAATTATCATGCTTAACACAAGCCCACAAGGATTGTGCGGCAACGCCGCTGCCCGGGTTAAATGTCCTTCATGGAACACTGCGTGGTATATTAACCCGATTGCTGAGAATATGTTTTATCACCCAATAATACATTCTACAGTAGATATCGCTTGTGTGATATATTTCATAATCTACTGCGATATCTCCTTATCGTTTTACATGAATTTGATTGGTCAGTTGAAAAGAAACTACTTTTTTTTTATTTTCAAAGAACAGTTCATTTCTTATTAAAAGTAACTTTTTTTTTTTATTAAAAATGAACTATTGTTATTCAATTGACCTTGATGGAAACACTGGGTCAATATAAAGGACTTTGCAATTGTTGAATTGCTGTCAAAAAATGATGTATCACTACGCCGTAATGTTCAGTAAAAGTGAAATCTACAGCAAAGAATTATATTTATCTATTTGTGCATGTAACAAGGGATTGGGTGATAAATAAAATCTCCTACTCGTCTTTTTTGATATAAAAAAATATCAACACTCGTTGATAAAGTAAAAAAAAAACTCGACAGAGCCTCGTTTTTTCTTACTTTATCAACTTGTGTTGATATTTTTTGATATCAAAAAAGACTGGTAGGAGATTCTCTATATATACAATTTGTGAGTTGTGCAACCTCTACAATATTGTCAACGTGATAACTAAAATGCGTGTTCAGTGGGTTAGTGCTAAATGACAAGGCCAGCTCAATTTTTCGTCATAGGTCACGAGATGTAAACAGGGCTAGCGCTAATCCCAACCCTATCCCTTACCCTGAACCTAGCCCCAAGCTTACCCTAATCCTAACCTACAATCTCGCCAACAATCAGGTGCCCTAACCTTATTTATATCCCAACGCCATTGACAAAAAAATGAGCTGGCCTTAACAAATAGATTTAGCCATGTTAAGTGTTGTGTTCATCAGATTTCATGTCAATTCAAGGGATTTCCAGTTTCAATTTGGAACAAAGCGTTTTAAAAGCCAACAGGGGAGACGGAATTGCTGGGTTTTCCCTAGAAATACCACCTGCTTATCTGAGCCTTCGACCTGATTTAACTTTGTTTGTTTGCTCCTTTAACAGCCTATAATTCATTCGCTGTGTCGTTTTAAATATCTGGGGTCATATTGACCTTTTGTTTCCTTTCATAACATGCAAGAGCTAAATCTACCTATTGCAGGTCTTTCTTTAGGCCTGAAATGTTATCTGAATTATTAATAAGACATTAATTAACTTATCCAGACCATAATCAACCCTCGATGTCATCGCTAGCCTGCGATATTTACTGGATTAGGACCCGATTTGCTGCTAAACTTTCATTCATAATTAAATCATGAAATGGATAAGCGAAACTATGTTTTGTATCGTACCGACTTTAGTAATGATGATCGAGGCTAGGCCGCAAATTTAACTGAAATTTTCAGCAAATACCCTTTACTTTATCTAGTTTTTAACTATTATAGTGAGAACTGCCAGATCTTTATCTAATCTCCCATAATGTATCTTGAAAGATACACCGTATTATATAGCTTCAAGGTGACAAGGACATCTGTCTAGTCGTTCGGATGGGACGAAAAATCGAGGATCCGTGTATACATTGGCGTGCACGTTAAAGATCTCTTAGCAATTGGAATTCGATATAAGCGTAGGCCATAGTGCCGCTGCCCGGGCAAAATGTCCCTCATAACACACTGGCTGGTACATGTCCGTCTTCATTAGCCAAGTCGGAGCAGAACAGTAGGACTTTAAACCCCATTCCATTTCATTTCATAGCTTCCGGGGGATTGTCGCCGAGACAACAAGCTAATAAAGGTGGAGGGGGGGAGGGAGGGCACCACCTCGAGGCCATAAACATATCAGAGCCACTGAAATTTGATGCTAGTTTTACAATTTTTAACGATATCTCTTAAATGTGGGAGGGGTAACCGCAGAGAATCAGTGAGTAGGGCGCTGTCATTATAGCCGGGAGGACCCGGGCTTAATCCAAGTTTTTGCTGAGAAAGTTCCCTGTCTATTTTCAGCAATTAGTTTATTGTCTGATAGCGATAGCGACACATTTCTTTGCTCACACGAAATAGTATTTTATGTCTTCTAAATCATGTTATAACGAATGCACCAAGGAAATGTTAATATATTGAAAGGGTGATAACAAAACATTTTCCGGTCGTGCATTACACAATAACCCGTATTTTAACTTTTAAATACGCCCCACCCCTACTCCGCACAAATTAATTTTATAGTATTTAACATCATCCGTCATTAATACCCTTTTCAAGGTATGTAAATTTAAATGTGCCAGAATATAATTTACATTTTTTAAAAAAAAGGTTAATGAATGTTCTTTTCAGTGGTATTCAGTGTGATATGTGGAATTTCGTAGTATGGTCCGTATTTTGACAATTAAGCCCCCCCCCCCCCCTCCCCGCCCCATCACTTAATAGAGTTTTTACTACTGTACAACCTTTCATGTTACTTTCTGGCACATTAATATTTACATACTTTGGAAAAAGATCAAATGTTTCGCATGATTTGTATTTGGAGATTTGTATTTGGAAATTTGTTTCTCGTTGTATGCCTCTGATGAAATGTAAATGTAGGCTAATTTTTTGATTTTCTAAAATAAATTTTAACATAACTCAAATAAAATTAAACTAAAATACAATTTACAAATTTTTGATGACAAAGGTCTGATTAAAAAACAAATATTGATTTTAAGATACAAATGATAATTTTAGTGTACAAATGCCGGAACACGACAACAAATGAAGAAATAAGAATTAAGGACTATGAATTAAGAACAAAGAATTAAGAACATTGAATAAAGAGCTGTTTGGTCTTCCATAAATATGGTGGTTCATGTCAGCTAGATCTGGGATTTCCGCTTTTAATTTAGAACAACGTTTAAAACCAAACAATGGAGATGGAATTAAATGGTTTTCACTCGAAATATAACCGGGGATCACGGTGGCTAAGTGGGTAAGGCGCTGGCTCGCTAGCCTGGAGGTCGGGTGTTCGATCCCTGCATTGGCCGAGAAAGTTCATCCAGATTTTCCGGCTTGGTTTCCCCTTGTCAGTGATGCAGGACGGAGGGCCTGACAAGGACAGCTGTCTAGTCATTCGGATGAGACGAAAAACCGAGGTCCCGTGTACACATTGGCGTGCACGTAAAAGATCCCTTGACAGTTGGAATTCGATATAAGAGTAGGCCGTAGTGCCGCTGTCCGGGCAAAATTTCCCTCATAGCACACTGTATGGCGTATGCCCGTCTTCATTAGCCCAGTTCAGAGCAAAACAGTAGGACGTTAAACCCCATTTCATTTCATTTCATTTCGAAATATAACCTGCTTGTTACATGTAAATATGGTGGTATTCAGAATATCAAATCAGGGATTCCCGTTTTCAATTTAAAACAAACGCAAAAAAACAACAATGGAGAGTGAATTATTGGGTTTTCCCTCGGAGTATCACCTGCTTTATATAGGTAAATTTTTCTTCAACATATTTTCCGCTCAGCGAAACGGTTACTGAGCATTTTTAAAGAGGCGTTATAACATTCGACAAGAAATACAAATACAATATAATATTCAAATAATCGTGTATTTATCTAATCATGCAATCCCTAAGAGCAAAACGTTTCATGGAACGTCTTGTAGACTGTCTTTCGGATTGTACGTGTAAAGTAATTGAAACAACAGATTTACTTATTTCAATATTTTATTATGAACTGATACCCTGCTTATTAAAGCCAAATATTTTCCAATTCAGTTTCTGTTCTTTAAATTCCGTATTGTATATATTACGAATTCTTATCTTGGTTTCGTGTTCTACTTGTGTACTGTAAATTGCCAATACAAACTGATCTATTAAACATATATAATGCAAGAGCTAAATCTGCCAATTGCAGGTCTTTTTTTAGGCCTGAAATGTTATCTAAATTATTAATTAGACATTAATTAACTTATCCAGACCATAATCAACTCTCGATGACATTGCTAGCCTGCGATATTTACTGGATTAGGATCCGATTTGCTGCTTCTGATTAAATAAAAATCGAATAATCGAGACTATGTTTTTTTTTATCGTACCGACATTAGTAATCATGATCGAGGCTAGGCCCAAATTTCAATCGCTAAATACTCGGTTCAGGGTTGATCAATTTGACTGAAATTTTCAGCAAATTCCTTTTACGTTATCTAGTTTTTAACTATTATAGTGGGAATTACCAGCTGTTTATCTAATCTCCCATAATGTATCTTTAATAAACTCACGGGAGTTTCGTGTATGACGTCAGCTGACGTCATCCATACATACGACAACTGCTCTGAATAGACCTATAAGTTAGACCTATGTAACTAGTGTAAAAAAACCAGGGCCATAAAACCGAAACGAAATAGACAGTTTTAAAAAGATTGTAATAAATAAGTCTACTGCACCCTTTAGATGCAAACAACAACCAATGAAGCACAAAATATCAAAATTAATCTGAATTATGCTGATATGTTCGCGACATACAGTGATTGAATGCAGTACGCTAGACGCGCTGAAGACGGGCAAACACCATGCACACATTTTGCCCTAACAGTGGAGTTTCTGTCTACATTTATTTGAATTTCAACTGGGAAAGGTTCTTTAAAGTGCACATGCATGTTTATGTGGGATCTCGGCGTTTTGTCCCATCTGTACGACTAGACACTCTTCCTTGCCAGACTCCCATCCCACACCACTGAAATGGGGACATCCACGCGGGAAAATCAAAAGGAACTTCTTCAGTCGACCAGAATTCGATCCCGCGACATCTTGGCACATCTTTCAAATCTGGGGGGTTGGATGGCTGAATGGTTAGCGTGCGCGCGCTGTATCATAAAGTCTGTCATTGAGTCGACTGGCGTGGTTTCGAATCCCCGGTTGTACGTGACAAGGAGTAGGGTCGCCTGTCCAACCTCGTGGGTTTTCTCCGGGTCCTCCGGTTTCCTCCCACTGCTAAAGACCCCTACGCGCAAGCGAATTATTGAAATAAAATTAAACCATATGTTAGTCCCGAAATGACCTAGTTTGTGTCGAGTGGACGTTAAACCCCATTTCTCGCTCTCTCTCTCTCTCTCTTTCAAATCTTTACACAACTAAAGAGGACAATGGTGGAAGGGGGTGGGGTTAAGTATCAAATATTCAGTTGTCAAAATGAATACAAAGGCGCTATCTACGTGAAGTTATCATGTAATACAATATTTCACACTGTTGAGCAAAGTGGTGGTGAAATATGAATAAATTTATGTGAAGATATAACAATGACATTATGGTATTGTTTATTTGGTTGGACGAGTCTATCTTAAAGGGGAAAGAAGTCTATGCAAGTATATCATTAATCATTTAATCACACTAACTGCAATTGCCAATAAGTCTCACTGAAAATGGCAGTCGATAAACCCAGTAGAAGGTTGATTAAAATTTTGGAATAGTTTGTAATTGATGTAATTTGAGTAAAAAACGCACTAATTCAAATATCGTTTGGGTTATGGCTAGGATTATACTTTGTAGTGGAAGGTCGCGTCCGGGGGTCATTTGTGCGGCGTTTGACTCTTTGACGTCAGAAATTTGATTAACCAATCAGCGTTGATGTTTCTAGTGGGATACACAGAGTTCCGTGCACCGCACGCCAAGAATTCGCGGCAACAGACCGTTTCATTGGCTAATCCCTTACATCAACCAGGACGCGGGTTATATAACAACTCTACCAGATCCTAGTGTAATAAAGACAAAACAAACGAAAGCTACAAGATACGAAACGAAAAAGGATTCATGCTTTAACCAGATTGGTATTTAAAAACTCTAACAGTTTAAGCTCCATTACTTGTAATATTGGTGAAGAATGCCCAATGTTCATCTATCTCTTTATGACGTCAGTTGTGTAGTCAACCAATTTAAAAATTAAGAGTTTTCAAACGTATAGGTTTGTGAGATTCACCAAGACAGTAGATGAAATGAAATGAAATGGGGTTTAACGTCCTACTTGCTCTCACTGGGCTAATGAAGACGGGCATACGCCATAAAGGAAATGCAGGAAATTTTGACCGGGCAGCGGCACTATGGCCTACTCTTATATCGAATTCCAACTGCCAAGGGATCTTTTACGTTCATTGCCAATGTATACAAGGGACCTCGGTTTTTCGTGCCATCCGAAAGACTAAACAGCTGCCCTGGTCAGGCCCTCCGTCTTGCATCACTGACAAGGCGAAACCACGTCGGAAAATCACGATGAACTTTCTCGGCCAATGCAGGGAGGGTCGAACACACGACCTCCGGGCTAGCGAGCCAGTGTCTTGCTCACTGAACCACCGTGGCTCCAGTATGTACATGACCATAATAAAGTATTTTTTTTTTAACTACACGCAAAGACTGGACGTAGTTTGTTTTATGAATTAATAACACATATATACTCTTCAAAAAAGGTAGGGGATATTCAGAAACAATACAAAACTGCGGAAATGCACTGCGGTTTTTATTACAGGTAACCAGTGTATGTTAATAACAGACTAATTGCCTACACATGAACATAAACAGTTCATATGGGCGGCTTATCTGACGGCCCCGTTTCACTCGCAAAGAGATACACTGTCAAAAGTTAAAATGTGCGTTTTTGATTTTTGTCTTATGAGTAATTGCTCCACCAATCCTCAGACATTCAGCAATTCGTCGTGGCATGCTCCTATTCACCCATCCAATCACGATTTGGGTCAATCTGACCCACTCCTCTTGCAGTGCCACAGCCAATTCTTGCAGTGTTGTCGGTTAACGTTGACGTCGACGAACACGTCTCCCGATCAAATTAAACGTAACACACTAAAGCAAAGATACGCTAAACAGTAAATCTTATGAAAGAACCGATAGGAAAGCAAACATGGATAGGATAAACCAGAAAGCGGCAGTTTTTATCAACCCTTCCCTGAAGTGTTAAATTTGACAATGAACCCCTCCCACGTGTATGGTGGCGCTATTGCAGCTCAGTGGTACTGTTGGGGCGATAAGTTCTTCATCTGTGAACATACTCTTAAAGCATGTTAAGTGTCCATGACTATTTATCATATCACAACCTGCATAGGTATTTGCATTTCAATATCCCCTACTTTTTTTGAAGAGTATACAATGTTTTAACTCCATGCATGGGGATAGATGATCTAGTGGTGTAACGCGTGAGCGTGAAATCACAAGGTATATCTTGAGTCAAGTTGGGTGGTTTCGATTCCCCGCTTGTACATGATACGGAGTAGAGTCGTCTGTCCAACCTCATGGGTTTCCCCCCGGGTCCTCCGTTTTCCTTCCACTGCACTAACGATCCCTACGCGCATGCGAATTATTGAAATAAAATTGAACCATATGTTAATCTTGAAATGACCTAGTTTATGTCTAGTGGACGTTAAACCAAATTTCCCTCTTGTTCTCTTTAAGGCCATGCAAAGACTGGATGTGTTTGGTTTTTATAAATCGATAACAATATCGCATCTTTAAACATTAATTATTAATTACAGCACTTCCAATTAGCAAATTTTCTTTTTATTCAAATGATAACGAGCCAAAGGCATAAATGGTCTATTAAATGTTTTACAGCTGGATACTCGCCATTTTGTTTTTTTCACAGACGTCCCAGCTTTATTCAAACCGGAAGTGACGGGATGTAAATCACGACTGATCTGTCCGATAGTATTACTGGTCGACTTTGTGACACCAGTTGGCGAAATATCCCAAGCCACGCCCACAGATGGTATACTGTCTTGTTCTGATTTATAAGTCCGTCTTTGTAAAGGTATTTTAGTAGATGTTCTATGATACCCGACGGTATCATCACCACGCTTGTCCGTGTCACATGACCCGACATCAGAGAGATTGGAATGTTTAAACGTGACTTTTAAACCACTTTTCTTCCGCTTACTCTTGGATTCCTCAGTGCTTATGCAGCCAGGTGGGGGCAGAATAATGGATTCGTAGTCAATGATTGGTTTTTTAAATGGTGATTCGGCTACTCTGTGTTGATATCGGGACGGGGTGTAAAACTCGATGGGTTGAAATATCCCTCCGCGTTTCACCACACCGATATGATCGTCCGATTCTCCATACGTAAACGATACCGGCACACTTTTTGTAGATAATTTAGAAACGACTGACTCGGAACGAACACTATTTGTATCTATATCCGGAAGATGCGCGTTGCTATGTAGATCTGGATGCGTTAAACGTTCCCAATCACGCTGACGATTTAAGCGTTCACGGATCAGATTCGCACGTTCCTCTCTGGCTCGTGAATCCAGCCTCGACACCCCTCGTAAACTTACAAACCTATTCCTCTCTTTATTTAAACTGGCTAAATGCAGTAAACTTTGTTCGGAGTCAACTAGTCCAAATCCAAGTGCCGATTTTTGTAAATCATCCTTTCTCAGCCGCGCTGCTAAAGTTTTATCCAACAGATTTGTCTTCACTTGACATGGTCCGATATCAGAAACGAGCGATGAAAGTCTTCTACACTTTGGTTCCATTGGGTTGAAACTTGGCCCCTGTCGTTGGTTGGATTTTATCATGACTTCAACGGGCATCGTCGTGAAACTATCGAAGATGACTTTCTTCTGTCTGTAAACACAAAAAGAGTTATCCATTATACAATCTTAAAATACAGATCCTATTTTGTTTCGTTTTTTAAAGTTCAAAATTTCGTTTTACCTGTCTTTACTACACTAGGATCTGAAAGAATTGTTATATAACCCGCGTTCTGGATGCTGTGAGGGATTAGCCGATGAAACGGTCTGTTACGGCAAGTTTTTGGCGTGAGGTGCACGAAACTGTGGGTAACCCACTAGAAATGAAATGAAATGAAATGGGGTTCAACGTCCTACTTTTCTGCTCCGAACTGGGCTAATGAAGACGGGCAACACACTAGAAACATCAACGCTGATTGGTTAATCAAATGCTGATGTCATATTGTCAAAAGTAGTTCGTATGACCTCTGACGCGACCTTCCACTACAACCGGTCAGATCTTCATGTAGTGTAGGCCATTGAAAGTATTTTAATCAGATAGTCGATCATACAGATCTCTTGATAAGTTTTGGGGTGATTTTGTTAAAGTTGAATTTTTTTTAAAGGAATAGGAGCCACGGTGGATCGGCGGCTAAGACGTTGGCTCGCTAACCCGAAGGTCGCGTTTTCGATCCCTGGATCTTCTGGCGGGGTTCCCCCTTGTCAGTGGCACAGGACAGACGCCTGGCATAGGACAACATATAGTCTTTCGAATGGTACGAAAAACCGAGATCCCAAGTACACATTGGCGTGCAAGTAAAATATCCCTGGGTATTTGGAATTCAACATAAGAGTGGGCCATAGTGCCGCTGTCCGGGCAAAATTGTCCCCATAGCACACTGTATGGCGTATGCCCGTCTTTATTACCCCTATCGGATAACCGAAATTCATCGAACCAGAACATTAACCTGGCGTACAATATTGTATGCTAGGTTTATTTCCGATCATGTTGTTATAATGTTCCAGTTCGATGAATTTCGAGAATTTTTTTTTTTTTTTTGAGAATTTTTTTTTGAAAAATGTCATTAATTATGTAGAACGAGACGTGCTACAAATTACCTTGACGGAGAAATGCCACTAATGCCACTAATCACACTAAAGGAGACACGTCACTAATTAAGTTGAAGGACACATGTCACATGTCACTAATTACCTTGAAGGAGACATGTCACTAATTCCCTTTAAGGAGACATGTCACTCATTACCTTGAAGGCGATATGCCACTAATTACCTTGAAGGACACATGTCACTAATTACTTTGAAGGAGATATGCCACTAATTACCTGGAAGGAGACGTGGCACTAATTACCTTGAAGGAGACGTGGCACTAACTACCTTGAAGGAGACATGCCACTAATTATCTTGAAGGATACGTGCCGTTTATTTTTTTGACGGAGTCATGCGATTAATTATTTTGAAGGAGACCTATATGTTTTTATATGTAATTAAAGGTTAGGTGAGTAGAGCGTTTGTCTTTTGTACTATACCGGCTTCTCTGCATGGCATGAAGTAAAATGAAATGGCATGGGTGTATTTGTGTATATGCTTGATAACGACTTGTAAAATCTTGCTTAAACGCCGCAGTGAAATAAACCACTATAATTATAACACATGACACAATTATATGGAATACAAGTTACTTAAAGAGTTTATTACAGCGACGTTTCGACGAGGGTTCTCCCGTCTTTGTCAAGCAAAGAATGACCATCATAGTGCAATGAATATATATATACAAAATATTAAACAAAAACAAACATCCATATACAATCAGAGATAATCATTGTCATCTATAAATAGTGTTTTATATGAAATGAAATGGGTTTAACGTCCTATTGTTCTGCCACGACTGGGCTAATGAAGACAGGCATCGCATTAAGAAAGCATTAATGTTACACATAAGAATATATTTACCCTCTATTTCTTGTCTCTCAGTAATAAACAGTAATTGTATTCCATAGAATTGTGACCTGTAATTGTTCTCGTTTCGAACGCATGCTTATCTAATCTTTTACTAATGTGATCAAAGATAATTATCCGCCATTATTAATATGTTTATGACGTCATTGTTTATTGTATAGTGGTAATAACAATATGTTTATGACGTCCCCGTTTATTGTGTGTAATATGATTATATTATGATGATGAATATATAACACTTATATTGTTATAATGCTGGATTAAGTTAAATAATGACCTAATTAATCGACGAGGCACGAAATATTATATCTATTATTACAAACTTGTAACAAATAATAGTACATACTATAACAGTACAGAATCAGCATACTTTGCCCCGCGGACGATGTGCGTATTGTCAAAAAACAATCTAGATCATTTCGAGACAGAATGGATCCTTCAAAATCCAGGAAATGGCATATAAGGGACTCATTTTTTTTCCAGGGAAGAATTGACGTGTGGCTGCGACAATCGTATCTATGCATCAGTGGGTTTCAGTTGACGTGCACGCTAATGTGTACACGGGGAACCTCGTCCAATCCGAATGAGTATACGCTGTCCCTTGCCACACCCTCTATCCTATACCACTGACACGAGGAACCACTCTAGAAAAACCCGGATGAACTTCCTCAACCAACACCAGGATCGAACACGGGACCTCTAGGTCAGCGAGCCCATGTCTACTGACTGAGCCACCGCGGCTCCCATGTCATTACAGAACGCCTTACTTAAAGCAATAAGGAGGGGGGGGGGTCGAATGGTTAGTGCCTGAGCGCTGTATCATAAGGTCGTTCATTGAGTCAATTGGCGTGGTTTCGATTCTCCGGTTGTACGTGACAAGGAGTAGGGTCACCTGTCCAACCTCGTGGGTTTTCTCCGAATTATTGAAATAAAATTGAAGCATATGTTAGTCCGGGAAAGACCTAGCTTGTGCCGAGTGGACGTTAAACCCCATTTCTCTCTCTCCCTCTAAAGCAATAAGGAAACATAAAACACTTAAAAATCGTGTGGTATATGATCTTGATTTATTAAGAGAACAAATATTGAATATGTGTCAAACGATAGGTCAAGCTATATATTGATATCTTTGATAGAATCATAAATAATTAGTCAATGATAACAATAGAATAACATTAAGGTGTTACTTGCTATAACAATTAATATTCACCGATGTCATGTGTACGAGGTGGAGGATGCAGCAGGGTAGCTTGGACGGGATTACATCTGCAGACGGGGTATGAAATGAAATGAATTAGGGTTTAACGTTCTACTGTTCTGCTCCGACTGGGCTAATGAAGACGGGCATACCCCATGCAGTGTGCTATGAGGGAAATGGCCTACTAGAGATCTTTTACGTGCACGCCAATGTATACACGGGACCTCGTTTTTTTTGTCCCATCCGAACGAGTAGACAGCTGTCCTTGTCAGACCCTCCATCCTGCACCACTGACAAGGGGAAACCACGTCGGAGGTATGGGGTATGTGTTTAGTATGAGTTAAATGTCTCATCAACAGACCACATGGTTTCTTTTTATTTTCTACCTGTGTTGTAAAAATTGATATCTACATGTGTTGTCTGCGAGGCAGTGTATACGTCTCTAACTAAAAAGGATAGGATCAGATAAATAACGTCTTATCAACACAACACTCTAGTTATATTGGAGCAAACATGCGGTTGGAAATAAAATTAAATGAAATGGGGTTTAATGTCCTTTGCTCTGACTCGGCTAATAAGTCGGGGGATCCTTTACGTGTTCGCCCCATTCGAACGGCTATACGTTGTCACTTACCCCCATCCCCGCTATTCTACTCCCGACCCAAATATACCAGTACATGTACGCAGTAATATATATTTTTACATAAATCAGTTATTTATATTGTGTCCTATACGTAGGATTGTCTTGTGTATTTGTTTGTGTGTGGTGCGGTCTCCCTGCATTTACTATTATAAAGTTATGTGGATTTTAACCCACAAAGTAAATCCAATAAAACATAAAATATGACAATATGTTAGTTTCAAATTTATATAAGTAACGGCCCGATCATCGACGTGAGGTTGAACGCCATTCAATTTCTATTGTAACCAGAATCCAAATATACATGTACATTTATGCAGTATACAGTTGAAAAGAAAATTAATTATTTATACAATTCAGTGGTGTAATTCCACAGAATAAAAAAAAAAGAAAAATAAATGATATTGTTACCTTTCTTAGAAGTAATCCATTTGAAAACTTCAAGTGATCGACTTGAATTAGGTTTAGTTAAACTAAAAATCTTACACACAAAGTTAAGCGCCTTTCATAGTCCAGTATGTCTAGTCCAAAACACCCATCCTATTCAAAGGACAGACTAACGTCTGGTTGTTACAGACTATTACCTACTTGACATGTAATGGCCCATTTGTAACAGAACACTTGGCAGCCATCTTTGTTTCACATGGCAACAATGGTGGTATTAGTTCGTCCAAATAATACAGGCTTATGTTGAGCGTATAAACAGTGACTTTGTCTGTAAGGGAGTTTGTATGGAAACAACTAGATACAAAGATTAGAGAGAGAGAAAGATAGAGAGAGAGAGAGAGAGAGAGAGGTTTAACGTCCACTCAAAACAAACTAGGTCATTTCGCGATTAACGCATTGTTCAATTTTATTTCAATAATTCGCTTGCGCGTAGGGGTCTTTAGCACTGGGAGGAAACCGGAGGACCCGGAGAAAACCCACCAGGTTGGACAGGCAACCCTACTCCTTGTCACGTACAACCAGGGAATCGAAACCAAGCCAAATTACTCAATGACAGACCTTATGATACAGCGCACACGTGCTAACCATTCGACCCCCCCCCACCTCAAGTCGAAATGAAATGGGGTTTAACGTCCTACTTTTCTGCACCGACTAGGCTAATGAAGGGAAATTTTTCCCGGACACCGGCACTACTGCCTACTGCTTTATCGAATTCCAACTGTCAAGGATTATTTTAAAGACACGCCAATTAATGTGTACACGGGACCTATGTTATAAGTCCCATTCGAACAACTACAGCTGACAAGCGGGGATTCGAAATCTCGGTACTTGACTCAATGACACACCATATGATTTGACCGGCACGCCTTAAAACACTAGGCCACCCTCCCCCTCCCAGAAAATAAATGAAATGAAATGGGGTTTAACGTCCTGCTGTTCTGCTCCGAACTGGGCTAATGAAGATGGGCATACGCCATGCAGTGTTGTATGAAGGAAATTTTGCAGACAGTGGCACTACGGCCTACTCTTATATCGAATTCCAGCTGTCGAGGGATCTTTTACGTGCACTCCAATGTGTACACGGGACCTCGGTTTTTCGTCCCATCCGAACGACTAGACAATTGTCCTTGTCAGGCCCTCCATCCTGCATCACTGACAAGGGGGAACCACGCCGGAAAATCTGGATGAACTTTCTTTTCCAATGCAGGGATCGAACACTCGACCTCCAGACTATCGAAATTTTCTTTGGATTTTCCAAACGGTTCTTACCCCTTCCTTTCAATTGGAAATCGGGGGGGGGGATGGTTAGCACGTGCGCGCTGCATCATTAGGCCTGCCATTGAGTCAATTGGCGTGGTTTCGAATCCCCGGTTGTACGTGACAAGGAGTAGGGTTGCTTGTCCAACCTCGTGGGTTTTCTCCGGGTCCCCCGGTTTCTTCCCACTGTTAAAGACCCCTACGCGCACGCGAATCATTGAAATAAAATTAAACCATATATTGGTCTCGAAATGACCTAGTCTGTGTCGAGAGGCCGTTAAACCACATCTCTCTCTCTCTCTCCCTCTCTCTCTCTCTCTCTCTCTCTCAATTGGAAATCAATATAAGAGTAGATCATAACATATTACTCTTGGCAAAATTTCTTCATAAAATATGCCTGTCTTCATTATCCCGGTTGGTGCAAAAATTCCCGACGTTAAACCCCATTTTATTTCCTTTATTCACAGATGATTATATATATTTTTGGCAAAAATATGTTTCCATACATTTGAGGTTTCAACATGTCCGTAGAGTAAATTCCATACTAATAACTGGCTTATTATTTACACGGTATTCAAACAGCTTCTCTTTGTGACTATATTTAGATATTTCTTTTTGAGCAGTGATTATACTCATATAATAACCCATTCACACATAACAATGGTTAATTTATACACGTATAGGACTTGCTTACTACGTCATTAACTATTGTGTATCAATGTTAATTTGTTAGGTTCATTGATCCGTTATTAATCTTATAACTAGTAGATTGTTAGGTCATTAATTGCACAGTGATCAAGTTTATGTACTTTAATTATAACAGTTGAAAGTGGAAGGGTGAGGGTATTAGTCCGGGAGCTAGGTGGGTTTTGTTCAACATGGAAGGTGCGGAAGATTTGGCATGCTAGTGGTGTATGGCAGGGTTAGGAGACCCCAGAAACCCAATTCTTAAGTTGCGCCAGTGGTGGGTGTGGTAGGAGGAGCCACCCATATTACCCCCCAAAATGGGTTTATTCAACATGGAAGGTGCAAGTTCCACTTCAGTGGCATTTGATAGAGGAATGTGCCCTGAATTAGGAAATATAACTTAAGAATGGGATTTTTGGTGGAATGGCCATTTAAGAAGAGATCAAAGGTCACTAATTAGCAATTTTTCGATTTTACTGAAAACGATTTTTCCATTATCTCATGATCTATTCCAAGTATATCGCACAAAACTACATGGACATTTTTGATAGTGCTAGGGGCAAAATATGAGACATAAAAAAATGAAGTTTTAGCTAAAAGTATGACATAATCTCAAAAATAACGAAAATATCACTCGAACCCCATCGGTAATTAAAATGTTAATCAACATGAAAGGTGCGAGTGAGAAACCAAGCCTAAATTGTACGGAATGATATCAGAAATCATTATCATCAACTTAAGAATGAAATTTATTGTGGTCAGTGTACTTAAGAAGAGAATAATGCTGGTCTGCACCAAATGACCCCTAATTAGAAATTAATTAACGTGAAAGGTGCGACATTGGAACAAGGTGTAAAATGTAGGGATTGATCATAGGATTCACAACCACTAACTTAAGAATGAATATTTAGGTGGTAAATGAACTTAAGGACAGCAGATGTGACCAATAACCTTAAAAAATCAGTGACAAGCAGTGCAATATGCCCACAATGCTATGTTTCCTCTTGATCTCTGATAGTAACACTGATACAATAATTACCGCCAAACATAGATCTATATGTCATGTTAAGACAACTGCCTTCATCAGATGATATATGATTCCTCCCTGCGAATCAAAAGTGTCACTACAGATGACAAGGGCATCTTTGTCGCAAAGATGTCGGAAAGCGCTGATAAATCAGGAATTACCCAGCACCCATCGCCAGAAGATAGTTGAGAGATGGACAGAATGAAATCATGTCTTTTAATGGTCCTGAACTCCGGGAGTCATTGGTTGAAGAGAACATTGAGCAATCTGATCAGGATACCTCTGATGATGACTTTGACACTGCTGCCTCTGATGAAGACAGTTGCCTTAACATGACATATAGATCTATGTTTTAAATGACTCTTGGTATGAAGGAAGTGGGCGGTAATTAATGTATCAGTGTTACTATCAGAGATGAAGAGGAAACATAGCATTGTGGGCATATTGCACTGCTTGTCACTGGTTTTTTAAGGTTATTGGTCACATCTGCTGTTCTTAAGTTCATTTACCACCTAAATATTCATTCTTAAGTTAGTGGTTGTGAATCCTATGATCAGTCCCTACATTTACACCTTGTTCCAATGTCGCACCTTTCATGTTAATTAAATTTCTAATTAGGGGTCATTCGGTGCAGACCAGCATTATTCTCTTCTTAAGTACACTGACCACCAGAAATTTCATTCTTAAGTTGATGATAATGATTTCTGATATCATTCCGTACAATTTAGGCTTGGTTTTTCACTCGCACCTTTCATGTTGATTAACATTTTAATTACCGATGGGGTTCGAGTGATATTTTCGTTATTTTTGAGATTATGTCATACTTTTAGCTAAAACTTCATTTATTTTATGTCTCATATTTTTGCTCCTAGCACTATCAAAAATGTCCATGTAGTTTTGTGCAATATACTTGGAATAGATCACGAGATAATGGAAAAATCATTTTCAGTAAAGTCGAAAAATTGCTAATTAGTGACCTTTGACCTCTTCTTAAGTGGCCTTTCCACCAAAAATCCCATTCTTAAGTTATATTTCCTAATTCAGGGTACATTCCTCTATCAAATGCCATTGAAGTGGAACTTGTACCTTCCATGTTGAATAAACCCATTTTGGGGGGTACTATTGGTGGCTCCTCCTGCCACACCCACCACTGGCGCAACTTAAGAATTGGGTTTCTGGGGTTTCCTTACAGTCATACACCACTAACATGCCGAACCTTCCGCACCTTCCATGTTGAACAAAACCCACCTAGCTCCCGGACTATATGGTGTCTAACACATGCGCTTCAGATCATAAGGCCTGGCATTAAGTCAAGTGGCGTGGTTTCGACGATCCCACACCACGATCCCATATAGAGAGAAGGGTCGCCTGTCTAACTGCGTGGAACTTCTTCGTGTCCTCTGCTCACGTTCATTAGGAGAGGACGATAAACCCCATTTATCTCTCTCTATAACCAGAGAGAGAGAGAGAGAGAGAGAGAGAGAGAGAGGTTTAACGTCCACTCGGCACAAACTGTCATTTCGGGACTAACATACGGTTCAGTTTTATTTAGATAATTTGCTTGCGCTGTGGGAGAAAACTGGAGGACCCGGAGAAAACCCACGTGGTTTTAAAAGCGAGTGAGGCGACCCTACTTCTTGCCACGTACAAGCGGAGTATCGAAACCACGTAACTTGACTCTCTCTATAACAGTTTAAGATAATAATAATGCAATTTATAACAGAACGTACATGCTAATTCAGGTGATGTAAACAAGGCTGCTTTTCTGCTATTCAAGGTGTGAGAGCCACGCAGCGCCGTAAGAAATGGGGATAAAAGTCCCCTCAATAAAACTAGGTCATTTCGGGACTAACATGTGGTGCATCATTATAACAATAATAATTTGTCTGGCGCGACTGTGCGCAGGTATCTTTAGCAGTGGCGAGGTGGGGAAACCTTGAGTACAAAGAGAAAACCCATAAACAAGTGTTTTGATTAGAACACCCGGTAACATATCTACAATATGATTAAAACACAGATCCTATTTCGTTTCGTTTTTATAGTTCAAAATTTCGTTTTACTTGTCTTTACTATACTATGATCTGGAAGAGTTGTTATCATTGACGTGCTCTGAATAGTGTGAGGTATTAGCCAATGAAAAGGTCTGCTACGGCGAGCTTGAGGCGTGTTTTACACGGATCTGTGGGTAATCCACTAGTAACATCAATGCTGATTGGTTAATCAAATGTCTGACGTCATAGGGTCAAAAGCTGTTCGCATGATCTCTGACGTGACCTATCGCAACAACCGGTCAGATCTTAATGTAGTGTGGGCCATCGAAAGTATAATAAACGAAACGAAATATAGATCTGTATTTTAATCAGATTGCATATCTAGGAAGTATTCGATCACCAATGCAAGCCTATCGCTAATAGAGAGGTTAAGATGCACCCCGAGATTGGGAACGAGGGGATTCCCTTTTTTGCATGCCACGTCATTATATAATAAGTTCTCGAGGGCTTCCCCCACGGCGGTAGACGAACGCGCTCGTGAAAACGTCTTGGACCCTTTGAAGTCGTTAGGGAATTCCGTCATGACTTAATTCTATTGTAGGCCATTTTTTTTATAATTATACCAAAAGACATCCCTTTCAAATATACCAACCTTTGTTAGGCACTGTCGACACTTTCAAACAGTCCAGGTTTTGCTCTGTTCACGATGAACTGACCATCGCGTTTTGTCAAGAATGCTGATTGTTCTGAACCATGAAAGTGCGCCACGTCTTCCGAGAACGACGATGACATTCACCTCGTTCTTGTAACGCATCTGAACCTCTCTAATAACACATTAGGGTCTTGGTGATGCGTATAGAATGTGCATACATGTATTTATAACCTATCATTCCCTTTCGGTCACTTTTTGTAATAGTTGTCAAAGAAACTCCTTTGCCGGAATTATTAGGAAAGTCTTATTCCTAATTACATGTAGATATGGGGACTTTCAATTCGTGTACTGGCTTCCACCGACAACCCAACAAACCGATGCGTCGTAGATAATGTGTCATATTCGTAAAGACATCGGCGTTAATTCCCAAAATGTGACATCCAACCCTAACCCTAGTCAAGGAGGGAGGACATCACCAAAGGGTTATTTTCCAACCTATTCATGTGCCACAGCTTGGTTGTAAACAAACTCCAAACAGTAACATTTGATTCGAAATTTCTGATCTTCCCACCCGGCCTGACCGAATCATCGATGTGTTGTGGGGAGTTAATTATTCACACAATTTGTTTTGCTTTAAATCTCCAGTAACGATCAAAGGAAATCCAAATGGGGTTCGATGTTTTACTTTCTTGCATCAACCGAGTTAATGCAATGAAATTTGAAAGAAATTTTGCCCAGGCAGTCGCACCAAGTGCTACTCTTATTCTGCCAGTTGTATACACAGGACCTCGGTTATTCTCCCTATCCGAAATACGCATTGCTACGTCCTCTGCCCTGCACCACTGACAAGAGAAAACTGGGACGGAAAACCCCGAGGTACCTTCTCCGCAAACAGCGGAATCGATGCCGAGATCTCCAATTTTGTCTGAACCACCTGTGGGGGAGGGTTAACACGTGGCGTGGTTTCGATTCAGCGTTTGTACGTGACAAGGAGAAGGATCGTCTGTCCAACGAACCAGAGTGGGATCATTTATTATTATTACTGCCAGGAATCTTTTAGATTTTCTACAAGCGGGGGACCCAGTGGGAGGGGGGTTGCTCAGCTACATGAAAGAAATTGTAAATCAACACTTTTTATGAGAAAAGTGTCATGGTCGTGTGCTTTATCCTTTATCCTCAGATTGTGGGATGGGATGGGCATTCAAAGCACAAGATAATTATATAGACATATGTGGCATCAATGCAAGTGAATCACAATGTGATCCAATTTATTCATAATGAAAAAAAATGACGTCAAACAGGGTGTTGGATTTCACTCTTTAAAAAGCTCAGTGTGTATGTATGCCTACGTAATTTGGAGACGACGATTACATCATGTGAAATTTCCTTAGCAGGAACCAGACAACCCCCATCCTGCAAAAATTCCTGGATCCGCCCCTGGATTAATAATTTCTGAAGTACCTTGTACATTATAATTGTAAATTCAAGGCCCCAACTCCATGGCAACCACAGATTCTAATCATAACACGACAACCCATGATCTATTATACAGTTATTTATTTATAATAATTTGTTATATATATCTGACTTATATCCACATACAACAAAAACCCGAGTTGTTTAAATGAGAAATGGTATCAAGTGTTCTATAAACATACTAGACTAGCCTACTGCATGGCAACAAACAGTCCATTTTCTCCATCTTGGTGGCAACGCTATTCGAAATATGAAGCTCCACCAATTCACGTAAAATCAACATAAAACTTGGCATGCTTGTTCCTTGAACAACTGCGCTTCGATTTGTCACATGCCACCACAATTCCGAGATGGTGGTGATGACGTCATGGTCGGTTCCTGTTCCGCAGTACGCTCGTAAAAAAACAAACAAAAGCCATGGAGAATATGCTGCTTATTATAATTCGAGCTGTAATTATTACTCGTGGTGAATACAGAAAATACCAGTTTACTAGTTGTAAATAACATTATCTTCTGGTTGTGGTCACATATGTGATATCGCGAAAAATAAGTAGTCGACTGATTGACTTGGACGGATATAAAACGATCAAACTCTAACATAATATTGTGCTTTAATTACTTGAGGTTAAATATGTTAGTAACAGTAAAATGTATCCACCATTTTTGGTACATAGCACTCATATGTTTCTGGGTATTGTATTTACGAAAAAAAAGGGGGGGGGGCGATCGTCGCAGTTTGGCAATCGATCGAAGGCTTACACAATCAACTGTGACCGGGCAGTTAAGTATATAAGGCCACAATTGGCTAGTCACAGGCATATTTAAAGGCGAAACAATCTTTGTGTTAGATTATTTATATTGTAAGCGAGCACGTGTTTTTGTAGTAACCGTTACTATGCACACGTTTCCATAGTAACTGTAATTAAGCACATTTTTCTCTATTAACTTTAACTAAGCACACGTTTCTATATGCTGTTGTCCTTGTTGTTGGTTTCGGTATTCCTGCTCGCGCTGTTTTCGTTGTTTTTCTTTAGCCTCGTATTCTTCCGGTGGCAGAAACACCAAGGTATCTCTGGGTCTAACACTGCCATTTTGTGTGGATCGATTATCTGAAAACATTAAAATATAGACATAAATATCTAAATAAACAAACCCACTAGATTTGTGACGTAGCCATGACTTTGCTTGGGGACGTTGGTCAGAAAAAAGCGAGCATCAAATGTTGAGGGATGGAGGTCTGATTAATTGTGACTACTACGGATGTTGTTTAAATTTGAGAGAGAGAGAGAGAGAGAGAGAGAGAGAGAGGGGGTTGAACCTCCACTTGACACAAACTAGGTCATTACGAGACTATCATATACTTCAATTTTATTTCAATAATTCACTTGCTTGTAGGGGTCTTTAGCAGTGGTAGGAAACCGGAGGACCCGGAGAAAATACACGAGGTTGGACAGGCAACCCTACTCCGTGTTATATACAACCCGGGGAATTGAAACCACACCAGTTGACTCAATGACAGACCTTATGGTACAACCTCCCCTACCCGTCAACCACACACACACACATTTGAATTAAAAAGAAGACATATCAGACTATTATAAGACACAATCTAGGTTCCGTTGCTTTTTTTGCGTGTTCGCCCTCTCTGACGATCGAGTCTGAGTTTGTTTATCAGATACACACTACCTTTAATTTTACTGCTATCTTAAGACTTTGTCCGGTCGCGGTATGTCCCTAAGTGAAATGGAGTTTAACGTCTTACTTCTATGCATCAACCGGGATAATAGAGATGGGCATACACTATGGGGACAATTTGGCATGGAGAGTGGCCGGATACTCTTCATCGAATATCATCTCTCAATGGTTCTCTTCTGTGTATGCCAACGAGTACATGGGAAGGGTGGGGTTTCGCCTTTTTGCCCCATCCGAACAACTACACACACTCTCCCTTCTCAGACCCCCCTCATCATGCACCACAGACAAGAGGAAACCAGGTTGGAAAATCCCGAGGAGGAGTCTCATCCAACACCGGGTTAGTGTGCAAGCACCCTTTTCGCTGCGCTACCATCGCTCCAGTATATGAATTCGTAAGAAAGTAAATCCTGTCCCACCCTACCTTTGTAACCGTTTTCTATCACTATTTTACGTGAACCGTATGCCGTCATAACGTTCGTCGTTTCCCTCTGTGATTTTTTCGAGAAGGTTGAGGTCGGGCGGGATCTCACGGAGTTATACGAGAAGGATGTAGTCGGGCGACTACATGTTGACTTGGTAATAATATCAAATGGCCCTGAAATTATAAATAAACAAATTTTTGTACAAAAAACCAATTCGTGTTAGATTGTCAATAGATCACTGGTGTATAATTTATACCTATCAATAATAGAATGGTTAAACCTTTACCCTTGTTGTGCAAATTTCAAAATGAAGAGAGTTCGTTAAAATCTTTATCTAAGTGGGATGGATATGTTGAAGGTAAGTTCATTCTTTATCATGGCTATAAAGTCAATCAATACTTAACGCCATAATTTGCCTTTTTCGGAGACAATGTCTAGGAAATGAAATGGGTTTAATGTACGTTCTAATGTTCTGCTCCGATACCATGCTAATGAAGACAGACATACGCCATACAGTGTGCTATGTGTGGAAATTCTGCCCTGGCAGCGGCATTATGGTCTACTTTTACATCGAATTCCAACTGCTAAGGTATCTTTTACGTGCATGCCAATGTATACACGGGACTTCGGTTTTTTGTTCCATCTGGGCGACTACACAAATTTAAATGGGTTGTATTGAGATGAAAAAACCCAACACCTTAGGGCTTACTGTTACTGGTGAAGCATCAATTTAGATACAGTATTTTGTGTCATACATAATTATGCGTTGATTGCTTGTTAGTCTACGGTTGTAACACGGATATGCTTGTTTTTGAACGGTTTGTAACGCGTGTATGGTTGTTTTTTTATATTTCGTTTAAGGTTTGTAACACGTATAAATGCCTGCTTTTTTTATATTTCGTGTTCTGTTGTAACAGTATAAATAAAGGGAGATAACTGCCATTAAAAGATTGAAGAATTGCATCAAGTGTCCTAGTCTGGTTTTTTTTTTTTTTTTTTTTTTTAAATTCGTTCACGGGATTTTGTAATGAAATGAAATGAGATGTGGTATAATTCTGCTCCGACCAGGCCAATGAAGACGGGCATACGCCATACAGTGTGCTATGGAGTAAATTTTGCCCGGACAGCGGCGTACGGCCTACTCTTATATGGAACTCCAACTTCCAAGGACTGGATTTTGACTTTAACATTTGGTTAGGATAGATTTTGCTCGACAGATATTATTATATCTTTAACAATATGATCGTACGAGAAAAGACCACGTGGTAAATAACGACCCAGAAACATCGCGTGGTAAATAAAGGCGATTTGCGTGTAAAGTAATAATATGACATCTTACGTTTATCATCTGAGAACAGATCATGGGGTAAATATGGACGATATGCATGTAAAAGTCTTTTGCGTAGATCTTCAGATCTTTTCTTCTGCCATTCTCGATAATTATGCCGCCTTTCTTTTTCTGCTTGTTCATACTCGGATAGCTGAACAATCTTTTCTCTAGAATAAAATAAAAAAATAAAAAAAATAAGGCCATTTATAGATGGGACTGATGATGTAAACATAACAAGTCTAGACTTAACATAAAAAAACATGGCTGATTATTGATGGGACTGATGATATAAACATAACAATGAACGGAAGTTAGCGTTCTACTGTTCTGCTCCGACGGGGTTAATGAAGACAGGCATACGCCAGATACTGTGCTATGAGGAAAATTTTGTCCGGGCAGCGGTACTATGGCCTACTCTTCTTCTTCTGCTTCTGCTTTTTAATGGCCACCATCAACTTGTTGATTTTTATATCGAATTTCAACTGCCAAGAGATCTTTTACGTGCATTCCAATGTGTACACGGGACCTCGGTTTTTCGTACCATCCGAACGACTAGACAGCTGTCTTTCTTCAGGCCCTCCGTCCTGCACCACTGACAAGGGGAAACCACGTCGGAAAATCTCGATGAACTTTCTCGGCCAATGAAGGGATCGAACAAGCGAGCAAACGTCTTAACCACTTAGCCACCGTGGCTCCCCTACAGATAGGGGAATGGTTTCAGGCGAGTTATTTGCCCACTGAATTTGATTACCTCGCTGTAAATATAAACGTAATAGACTTAATGCTATTTTGGATAGAAAGTTTTATTTTTATAAGCGCATATGGTGAAATGTCCCGTTAGTCTCTATCATCCAGAAAAAAAATTATACCGTACGTTGAAGACTAGGAGGTTCTGGGTAACCGAGACTAAAGGACTGTCTAACGTTGTAAGTGGGTCCCTTCATTGAGACGAGAGGGGAAACCCCTAGACAGTAAATAAAAATAAAGGCTACTTACTGTTTAGGTTCTGTTCTGGGTGATTTACTTGATTTGGGTTTTAGTTTTTGCTGCTCTTCTTTGATTCGTTCTCGTTCAGCTTTATTATAGTTTTGAGCTGTCTCCAGGATATTCGATGCTTGGTTATCAATATTGTTATACATATCCTCCGTTCTTTTAACAGCTAATTCAATTTCTCTTTCCTTTTTCTTCTTTTCAGCTTCCAACTTTTCCTATAGATATTAATTGATAAAAACAGTTTGAATTAAATCTAGAACTAAATGTTGGTATTTGGTATAATTATAATTGAAATGGTCGCAGGGGTATATAGGAGAGGGGTGATATAGACTATGCATGTTCCCCTTTCCTGTTACGTGGAAAATATTTCAAAAATAACATTACGCTATGAGTAAGTATATGTCCATGTTCGTAAGCGAGATTAATAAATAACCGGTCTGATTCCAATTTCTAACTCAGGGGCAAATAACTCGTGATTGAAATATGGTTTATACTATTTTGTTTTTAGATCTGACCGCGTTTAGATCGAGGTCTAATTAGAAAATGAAATGAAGACGCGCATACGCCATACAGTGTACTATGGGGGAACTTTTGCCCGGACAGCGGCACTACGGCCTACTCTTATTTCGAAATCCAACTGTCAAGGGTTCTTTTACGTGCACGCCAATGTGTACACGGGACCTCGGTTTTTGTCCCATCCGAACGACTATACGTTGTCCCTTGCCAGGCCCTCCGTCCTACAACAATGGACCTCCACCTCTAATTAGCAGCCATCGTGGAATAGGATGCTAAATTGCAGCTCTTTGGATCGTGTCCTGAAATAGGTAAACTAAGTAGCCTACCTATGATAAAGTGGCATTAGGAAAGATTAAATAAAGAGCTGACAATTCGCGCTATAAAACTTGAAAATTAGATAATGAAAAGAGAATATTTTGAAAATTTCAGTCAAATTATTTCACTCTGAGTCAACTTGAGCGACTTGAAGCATATGACGGCCACGAAACGTGTCGATCTAGCGCTGTCTAGTCGTTCGGATGGGACGAAAAACCGAGGTCCCGTGTACACATTGGCGTGCACGTAAAGGATCCCTTGACAGTTTGAATTCGATATAAGAGTAGGCCGTAGTGCCGCTGTCCGGGCAAAATGTCCCTCATAGCATACTGTATGGCGTATGCCCGTCTTCATTAGCCCAGTTCGGAGCAGAACAGTAGGAAGTTAAACCTCATTTCATTTCATTTCTGCTCTTATCGCGGACTTATAGAACTGATTTCTTTCTAGCTGTTGCTATTTGATGAGATTCTATTTTTCTAAAATTCCCGAAACACATCGAAAGCAGACACGATTATTGTTCGGTATTTTAGAATCGGACCAGAAAAAGATTATAATATAAAATGGCTTACTTCTTGTTTTTGAGCCTGTTTTCGCCTCTTTTCACACCGTTCATCTGTTTGTTTCTTGGCAGTGTTGATTTCTGATTGCAATTTTTTGTGTTGTCGCTGGAAAATAAAATCTTTATTGTTTAAAATTTAAGATGTAAATACAGTGGCGTGGCTTGAGGTTCTTTAACAAATTGGCCAATAACTGAGAAGTCATTGCAGCCATCTTGGAAATGTGATGTATATCAACTGACGAAGGAACAAGCATGTCGAGTTTCATGTCGCATGAATTGGGCTTCTTTGGAAGCGCTTCGTTCCCTAGAAGAACAGGACGAGCAGCGCCGGGTAACAGTTCCTGGTACACAAATTACATTGTGTCAGCCGTCTTGTAACCAATACCTCTTCTGTATTTGGGGGGAGGGGGGAGGTGGCCGGATGTTAACGCATGCGCTTTGTATCATAAGGTCTGTCATTGAGGCAAGTGGTGTGGTTTCGATTAACCGGTTGTACGTGACAAGGAGTAGGGTCGCATGTCCAACCTCGTGGGTTTTCTCCGGGTCCTCCGGTTTCCTCCCACTGCTAAAGACCCTTACGCGCAAGCGAATTATTGAAATAAAATTAAACCGGAATGACCTAGTTTGTGTCAAGGTGTGGTTGGTGTACAACCGTGTACACATTTGGAATAGGATGAAAATTCGTCGCCCTAGCAAACACAAAATAATCTGATAAACCTTACCTGAGCAGCGCTTTGAACTCTGCGATATGATGGTTTCTTGTCTTCGTGTATATGTGAAACAAACTTACATTGATCTGAAAACAAAGCAGAACACCAATTTAAGCAAAGCAAAGTAGAACATCCATTCAAACAAAGCAGAACACTCACTTAAACAAAGCGGAACACCCATTTAAACAAAGCAGAATATCCACAGCACGGTATGAAACCATTGGGGATACCGAGGATCCGACAAGGACCGATAAGAGAGTATTTTGATCAATATCGCCCAAAGTATTGCTAAAACATTCCAACAAGGAAAGATATTATGTCATTCCCCCAGAATAAAGTAAGTTAAATGAAATTTCCAATATACAAATGTTTCATTAACTATTGTTTAAATATTATAGCGAGAACTGTCTGCTCTTTTTTTAAATCTTAGCCTACATAATGCATCTTTAATTGATTTCATAAAAAATGGAAAAGTTATTGAAATTGTGACAAAAACGGCTTTAATGATTTCATAAAAAAAAAATGAAAACGTTATGGACAAGCAACGACAAATGTGTTTTGTTTGTGACAATTACACTTTGGGCAATATTTAACAAAAAAAACACCCTGTCGGTTGGACCGTAGATTGAATTTTCCGTTTTAACTTAGACATTGTCTTTTGGGGAGCCACCGTGGCTAAGTGAGTAAGACGCTGGCTCGCTAGCCTGGAGGTCACGTGTTCGATCCCTTCATTGGCCGAGAAAGTTCATCGGGATTTTCCAACGTGGTTTCCACTTGTCAGTGTTGCAGGATGTCTAGTCATTCGGATGGTATGAAAAACCGAGGTCCCGTGTATACATTCGCATGCACGTAAAAGACCCCTTGGCTGTTGGAATTCGATATAAGCGTAGACCATAGTGCCGCTGCCCGGGCAAACTTTCTCTTATAGCACATTGTGTGGCGTATACCCGTCTTCATTAGCCCAGTCGGAGCATAACAGTAGAACGTTAAACCCATTTCATTTCATAGACATTGTCTCCGAAAAAGGCAAATGGCGATCAATGGCGTTAAGAATGAGCTTACCTTCAACATATTCATCCCACTGAGATAAAGATTTTAACGAACTCTCCTCGCCTTCCTTATTACCAGCTGCCGTCGCCGATCTCTCCGTATCGCCCTGCATATGTTTATATAAACCTACGTCATACATCGGACTCATGTACAACTGCGCACGTCGCATCTGGTGCAGTTGACGTATATATTTCCGTTCTGCTTCATATCGACGAACACTAGCTTGTACCTCCTCGATTAACTTATTCTGACGTGACGTCTTCTTTGGTTTTGGTTCGGTCACAGAATCAATACTGTCGTTGCTAATTTTTCTAGAGTTGTCATCTTTGCTAGCACTTGAACCCATTTTATTGTCTTCCGGTCTTAAAGTATTTTTACGCATGGGTGACACATTCTCTCCACTTCCGGGTCGATGCGACGATCGACGTTCACCTTGGTACGGAGATCCAACACTAGACTTTCTCCGTCCGTCTAAACCAGGCGACCTAGAACGGGGCCTGGAACTCTTTGGGCGGCCATATTTATGGCGGAAGTTTCTCTGTATGACACGAGCAGAGTGATGTGTAATAGAAATGCCAGTTTTCCCGCCTTTTGTTCTGATGTATTCCGCCGCTTCCTTGTTATTTTTAGCAAGAGCGGCGTCATAAGGCGTATAATACTTTCCCTGAAAAGAATACAAAGCACTCGATGAATAAGAAATTCTGAAATTTAAAGCATTGTTATATATGGCGCTTAATGATTGGCTTACTAATCGGTCTTAGACGTTTTCGGTGTCTTATAGTCTTATATTATGAACAAGATTCTCTCTCTCTCTCTCTCTCTCAGAAGAGCGAACGAGAGAGAGAGAGAGAGAGAGAGAGAGAGAGAGAGAGAGAGAGAGTTTAACACGTCCACTCGACACAAACTAGGTCATTTCGGGATACTAACATATGGTTAACTTTTATGTCAATAATTACGAGATGGGGTCTTTAGCAATTGGGGCGAAAACTGGAGGACCCGGAGAAAACCCACAAGGTTGGACAGGCGACCCTACTCCTTGTCACGTACAAGCGGGGAATCGAAACCACACCACTTGACTTAATGACAGATTGTCTGATCCAACGCACACGCGTTAACCATTCGACCACCCAACCACCTAAAACCATAAAGAATTAGATATTAACCGAAAAATGTAAATAACGACCAGAATGAATGACAATACTGTCTTTGCAATATTCAATAATTTCCGATTCATTCAAAAAAGTATTTATTTATATGAATATATTGATATAATTTATACTCAACACAATAACCCTAATATTGAATTGTACCATAACTAACGATATAATAAATTACATACCTACGGACAAAAAAAAAATAATAATCAAAAAATCCGACACATGGACAGATTAAATCGAGCTTCGTATACATACAATATCATTTCTAATATGAAGGATATTATTAGCTTAGCAACGGTGTTAATTATCATTTGAATCTATGGGCGCCGCCATTTGTATGTCTTTCTTACAATAAATAGCGTGATTTTGTAGAGATATCATAGCTGATGATTACCTTTTAAACTGTTCATTACCTACTCTCCATACTGTATTCAACAGTTATTCATGGTTCTCGAGATCGGTAATAACAATACAGGCCCATGTCCACAAGCCATGATTGCCACTTGAGACTTGACTATCATAAAAACTGTGATAGAAGACACCGAAACCCTGTGACATATCATTTTTCTCCTGAATTGTGTTTAGTGTTGTTAAGTTTAGGCAATGAATTGAATAAAACGGTGTGATGTCGTCCACGGCTCTCCAAATTACTCAAACAATATTCATTTGTCATACTTAGTTTGACTATTTCCATACCAATTCAGTTCAAATCATTTAAAGGGACATTAGGTAAAATTAGATAAATAGCTGACGGCTCTCGCCATTATAGTTAAGAAATGGATACTGAAAAAGAGAATATGCTGAAAATTTTAGTCAAATTGCTTCACTCTGAACCCAGATATTAGCGATTTAATTTTGGGCTAGCTTCGATCGTCATAACCTTTGTTTCTATGATTATCTAGTTTTACCGTTATTTCATCAAAACAAAACGGATTCAAATCCACTAAACCACGATGGAATCCGATGGCATCGATATCGACAAGGGGAAACCACGCTGACTCGAGTCTGAGTTTCGGGACTCGAGTTACAACCATAGGCGTACGGGGAAATTTTTGACTGGGGTGGGGGGCGGTGGTGGATGGTGCCCAAAAAATGTAGTTAGGTTCTTAGTATGTTACATAATAATAATAAATTCGCTGTTAAATTGGACACATTCAAGAACGCAATATTTTTTTATACAACTTTTACAAAGTACAATTGTGTGCCCAAATTTTCCCAGCATTTGGTGCCCCCCAGCCCCCCCCCCCCCCCAGCTCGTACGCCTATGGTTACAACCTCTGATCATGTCTAAAACCTATCTTTACTCGTATAAACATCTTGTTTAAATCATGGCCTATTTTGCCAACATGATAACTACAGTGTATCTTGGAAAATGTTGGGTTTTTTTTTAAAGTTGTTTACCTTGGACTTCATGAGGAGATTTATAGTAGCACCAGCGTCATATAAATACTTGCATAACCAGACGTTATTAGTTAGAGCAGCTAAATGTAGACACGATCTACCAGCCTTATCCAATATATCCACAGATTTATCAGCTGGGCGGTTCTTTAATAAAAAGGCTACAACGTCTGAAATAGAAGATAACAACTAAACGTAATTATATAAAGTTACCACCGAAGGTACCCAGCAGCCCCGGCTTCTGAATTTAAAGAGAGAGAGAGAGAGAGAGAAACGGGGTTTAACGTCCACTCGACACAAACTAGGTCATTTCGGGACTAACATATGGTTTAATTTTATTTACATAATTCGCTTGCGCGTAGGGGTCTTAAGCAGTGGGAGGAAACCGGAGGACCCGGAGAAAACCCACGAGGTTGCACAGGCGACCCTCCTCTTTGCCACGTACAACCGGGGATTCGAAACCACGCCAGTCGACTCAATGACAGACTTTATGATACAGCGCGCGCACGCTAACCATTCAGCCATCCACCCCCCCCCCCCCCTGAATTTAAAGTCCATTGTATCTCTTTAATTAATTTTACTTAAGATGAGTATTTATTAAGCTTTCTAGATCATCTCAATTGATTGGTCAACAATCGTTTGTTGTGATTTGGTATATATATTCAATGATGATGATGATGAATATGAAGATGCTGTCGGAATTTCTACCAATCAAAGCAGATTTTTCAGGAGAGAGGTGGGGGGGGGGGGTAACGTCCACTCGGTTGTTTAGGGACCAACACATGGTTCAGTTTTATTTCTATAATTCGCTTGCGCGTAGGGGTCTTTAGCCGTGTGGGGGGGGGGGGGGCGGAGGATCCGGAGAAAACCCACAAGGTTGGACAGGTGACTATTAAGAATGGTGTATAACTTATATCCTTGTGGTTTTGAGGTTAATATATTGGAGGTCGCCCTAGTTAGGACCTCATTGTTAATACATCCCGAACTTTGTTGCCAAGAGCGCTCTTGTAGAAGACCCAGTTTCCATGACTACCACGATCCGGTAAAAGGGAGATCGAAATGAGGTTTAACGTCCACTAGAAACAAATTAGATCATTTCAAGGCTAACATGATGCAATTGTGCTTCAATAATTCGCTTATAAGGAATGGGAGGAAACCGGATGACCCTGACAAAAACCCACCAGGTAGAATAAAGAAAACCCTATCTTACCAACATGACCTGCTAGAGCTGCTTCATGTAAGGGGAGATCACCCTTTATACTCCGTTTCCATAGATCAACATTACGTGCATGCAACAAATCTAGAGCTTCTGTCGAACCTTTACCAGCTGCACAATGAGCTGGCCTGAAACAAAATCATTAGCAATTTGTTTATTAATTTTCTGTTTGTTTTTTGTTAATATGTTTGATAAGAATTATCAATGGTCCACCTAATTATGAGCATGAATATTGTCTCAAAGCTTCTGGTTTTCCCAAATTTGCGGGTAGTTCTCCACGACCGAACAATTTGGACCCCCTGCTGCTCAAATTAAAGACACGCCCCTGATAAGAACTGAGTTGGGTCAGTTAGTAATGAGCTGGTTCACAAACTAGGACGTCCATGTCAATCGATGCCTTTAAGATGTTTTATATTCACACAGGCCAGTGTTTGGTTAATAGGAAGGAATATTTCGTCAACACAAAATACTTCGGTATTTTTTATTTCTATGGCTACGTGTGCAAAGGGAGAAGTGGCTAAGATTTTTTAAGTGGCTAAGATTTGTTAATAATTCATATACAACATACTACGGCGATGCCCTTGTGTGCGATATCACTTCGGTGTACGCGGACGTTAAATGAAGCTATTTTACACACTGCAGGGGCAACTCTTGCAATTTTCCCAGGAATCACTTATCTGCGATATCAGCCTAACCTCTATAAAAAGAAGTTAAATATTTCGCCAATAGTATAATTCGGTCATTTTGAGAATAACATGTAGTTTGTAGTTCTACTGTTACGGGTATACAACGGGTAACATTCCCCCCCCCCCCACGTTTCCTTTACCTACGACTCTTCTTATTTTGGGATAACAAGTTGAGGGTTATTTTAAGATTAAATACATCGATTGTCTTGTTGAAAGAGATACTATCTGACTCTAATGCATTGGGGATATTGTATTTAGTCAATGGTTGAATTTTGACATACCATGAATAAACTGCTTCTTAAAGGAGCTAAATCGCTATTATTTGAGACCTAGAAATTGACACAAATGGGTCGCAACGCATATAATAATGTAATATGAATGTATATAAACTGATTTACATTCAATCGTTTCTGTTTCTGCTGTAATTTATAATCGGTAATGTTCGGCGACTTACGCGAAGAGTGCATATAGAATGGCAGTCTTTGGCGTCTGATTATTCAAGTCTACACCGGCAGTACTCTCCTGTGGGATATGTTTAACTTCGTTTATCGAGTCGCTTCATTACAAATGTTACTCGAAAGCATTCTGGCACGCGATTCGTGTGCCAATTTTAAAATGTTACATGTTGTCTTAAATATTGGATATCACGCAACATCAATGTTGATTTAAACTGACAAATAAGCTGTATTTGCAATATATTGTGCTGTAAGTGCTAAGCTGCCCGTACTGAGGCACTGCTGCCTACTCTTATTTCGAATTCAAACTGTCAGGGGTTCTTTTACGTGCATGTCCACGCGAACACAGGGGATCCGATAAGGGAAAACCACAATGTAAAATTCCGGGAAACGTTCTCTGTCAAAACCGGGATTGGAATCTCGGTCTACCTGGTTAGCGAGCCAGGAGCAAATCTTCAAAATGAAACTAGAACTATACTTACTATTTATAATAATGTATCCTGGTTTAAATGAAATGAATTTAAATATTGTTTGTATCCAATCACATTGATATGATATTGACCGGTCCGTTAAGTAAGACGATTATATATACTATATATATGTATACACATCTATCTATATCAAGTAATACCTACATATACATATTGTATATAATTAATTCTTTTCATATCAACAACAAAAAATATACTTCTTAGACAGAGCTATCGTCACACGACAGGAGTGATCTACATTCTTGAAACAGAGAACTATCTGCCTTGAGATTAGATCCTTGCCCTGTATTACCGCCATATTCACAAATTAGTATATCATTTATAATGAGATACTAATCGGTTTGGCGCATTTCATACACACAAAGACTGAATATAAACTTTAAATTCATAAAATGGAAACGACAGAAAGACATCTATAATTCTATTTCAGTAATTCGCTTGCGCGTAGGGGCCTTTACGTGCGGAGGAGGGGGCGGAGGCCCCGGAGAAATCCCACGAGGTTGGACAGGCGACCCAACTCCTTGTCACGCAAAAGAGGAGAATCGAAACCATTCAAATTGACTCAAAGACAGACTTAGGCTCTAAAGCGCAAGCGTTAGACTATTCGGCCACCCAACCACCACCCAAACACCCTTATTTGACCACCCAACCCTTATTTGGCCACTCAACCACCCTTATTGGGCACCCAACCACCCATGTCGAATTGTATGCACCATGATTACCATTCATATACATTGAGGGCGCCGGGATGGCTTAGTAAATAAGACGTTCGCTCTTTGGCTAGAAGATCTCGGTTCGATCCAGATGTCGCCCCCCCCCCCCCCTTGTCAGTCGTACAGGACGGAGGGGTTGGCAAAGAACATTGTCTAGTCGTTCGGAAGTAACACAATAGCGAGTATTAGGAATATTAGGAACCTGGCAGGTGAAAATGCTGGTATAAAAAATGAAAGCTATCTACTTAGATACGGCATGAATAGACACGACTATAAGATTTATATAGAAACATATTGTACCCTTTATAATGTTTTCACCTGGACTATTACCTGACTTTGTATTAGATATATAGATAAAGGTATTTGGGAGACATTCTACTATTGTATATTTAATATATTTCTATATATATATATATATATATATATATATATATATATATATATATATATATATATATATATATATATATATATTATGATTGTTATCAATCGACTCTAGCAACCGACACTTGTACATGTATTATTCATGTATACACTATGCACTGATATTAAAACCTGATAGTGCACCCCGGCCCCGAGTTCACAAAACATATTCTCAGACTTAAAGATACATTATGGTAGGTAAGATAAAGAGTTGGCAGTTCTCACTAAAATTGTTAAAAACTAGATAATGTAAACTTTAAGTGGCATTTAGTAATTGAACAGTAACACACTAGCACTATTTATGGAATAACAATTACTGGTTTATTAACATGCAACGTTTCAACGATGATACTCTCATCTTTATCAAACGTTGCATGTTAATAAACCAGTGATTGTTATTCCATAAATAGTGTTAGTGTGTTAGATAATGTAAAGGTAATTTTCTGAAAATTTCAATCAAATTGATCCACTATGGACCGAGAATTAAGCGATTGAAATTTCGGCCTAGCCTAGATCATCATTACTAAAGTCTGTACGATAAAAAACATAGTCTCGATCATCCATTTGATCATCAAATTATGAATGGAAGTCGAGCAGCAAATGGGATCATAATCCAGTAAATTTCGCAGGCTAGCGATGCCATCGATAGTTGACTATGGTCTGGATAAGTTAATTAATGTCTAATTAATAATTGAGATCACATTTCAGTCCTAAAGAAAGACCTGTAATTGGCAGATTTAGCTCTTGCATAATGTATGTTTAGGTATTTTCTGAACTTTCAATCACTGTTTATGAGAAATATCCTTGATCGAGAAACACAAATCTTTGCACATATTTGCTTATTGGTGTATTGGATACATTTAAACAACAAAAGTTTTATAAAAAGCTATATTTTAGTTAAAATAAGGCGAACAATTCTGAGTAAATGAGTCGCAACGCATACAATAATGTAATATGAATGTATATAAATTGATTTACATTCAAGGTTTCTTTTTTACTGTAATTTCTAATCAGTGAGGTTCGGCGACATACGCCAGTATTCTCAATCGAATTTCAATCTCTAGCTTCTGGTTATTCCAGTGTACGCCGATAGTATTTATTGGGCATGCTCTCCAGATAAGAATATAGCGTCACCGCTTGACATGACTTGTGGAATATGACTAGCCTCATTTTTCGAGTCCTTTATTAAAAATAGTGCTGAAACGCATTATGGTACACGATTCGTGTACCAATGGTAAAATGTTTATTTTGTCTTAAATATTGGATATCAGAAGGCCATCCTTTCCCGGTAAGATCACAATATCAATGTTGATTTAAACCGACAAATAAATCGTGTTTTCAATGTCGAAGAATTTGGATGATATTGAGTTAGAGACTTAGCTACTTTAAGTCTGAGAATGCTTTGATAACTCGGGGCCTGATAATATAATTAATATCATTTGAACAATGAGTATATAATCCGCTGATATATATTTTCTTTCAAAATTGAGTCAACTGGCGTAGTTTCGATTCCCCGGTTGTACGTGACAAGGCGTAAGGTCGCCTGTCTAACCTCGTGGGTTTTCTCCGGGTTCTACATGTGTGCTTTGATATCATAATATAAGTAATAATATATTAAAGAAAGGCTTACAGTCCGTGTATATACTACTGACTTATATTTTCTTTTAAAAATACATTAGTCAACACATTCTGTACATGGGACATTAGACCATTTAACAAAGAAATGAAATGAAATGGGGTATAACGTCCTACTGTTCTGCGCCGAACTGGGCTAATGAAGACGGGCATATGCCATACAGTGTGCTATGAGGGGAATTTTTGCCCGGACAGCGGCACTACGGCCTACTATTAATTCCAACTGTCAAGTGATCTTTTACGTGCACGCCAATTTGTACACGGGACATCGGTTTTCGTCTCATCCGAATGACTAGATAGCTGTCCCTGTCAGGCCCTCCATCCTGCATCACTGACAAGGGAGAACCACGCCGGGAAATCTGAATGAACTTTCTCGGCCAATGCAGGGGTCGGACACCCGACCTCCAGGCTAGCGAGCCAGATTTAACAAAGAACTAAAGGCAATTAAACACATTGTACATATGGGTTGTATTATAGCGGTATAACTTCGGGGTGTATTAAAGTGGTATTATCACTCTCACCAAGACAATAGATGTAAATAATTTCATATAGTCTCGATTAACTAATCAAAAATCCAAAGCATTTTTCAAGAGCGTTCACTTATTCATTTCAATATTTGTTCGATATCATTGTAGCGTCAATTCACAATCGATGTATATCCACTTTTTTTTATTCTATTTCATGTTACTCAACGTTTTGACTAATGCCCCATTTAATATTACCCATTTAATATTACCCAACGTTTTGACTAATGTCCCGTTTAATGTTACCCAACGTTTTGACTAATGCCCCGTTTCGTATTACCCAACGTTTTGACTAATGCCCTGTTTCATATTATCCAACGTTTTGACTAATTCCCTGTTTCATATTATCCATCGTTAAGACTAATGTTCCATTTAATATTACCCAACGCTTTAACGTGGTCCCATTTTATATTACCCAACGTTGTCACTAAGAAACCGGCATAACCAGCGGTTACTGAGCCGGCATCTTACTCACTGAGTCACGGCGGATCCGGATAAATAAGGAAATAGATACTCACGTTCTGCCTCTAGTATCAAGATGAGAGAGATTAGCACCAAGTTCTATTAATAGTTTCATACACTCCATATTTCCTAATGTTATAGCATAGAATAAAGCTGTACAATGGTTTCTATCTACGCTGTCTACTTTTACTTTGTGTTCTTTAATTAAACAATGTAGTATTGCTGTGTGACCCCTGCTCGCAGCACAATGCACAGCTGAAATTATCATATGAATTAAAAGTCTGAGATCAATGTACAGAATTATATAAACGGTCAATTCTCTGTTTTTACCAGGGCGATGACATGGGGTAGGTCCAGGGTTAGCCCTGTTTACATCTCCTGACCTATGGCGAATAATTGAGCTGACCTTATCATTTAGCACTAACCGGCATTTGCCATAGCGCCCACCGCAGCTCTTGACGACTCAGATTATCATTGTCTTGAGATATATTGTAGACTTTATTTATGATAAACAAACCTGTTAATCCGTGTTTATCTACTATATTAACATCAGCTCCAGCTTCTATCAATATTATACAGGCTTCTGTATTACCTGGAAAATACAGATAATAAAACATGTTTTTACGTTAGAAGTAAACGATTTCCCGACTTTCGTTACAGTGGCAAATAATTCTTACCTTCATTTTATCTTCCATATAAGTATATATTGGGTGGTTAGACCATTGGTTGATGGTCGATTAGCGTTACAGCAATTGAAGGACACTATTGTGATTCTATCTGATTAAAATGATATAATTCGAAGTTATGCTACGATTAACCTTCAATTAAAGGAGCTAAATCGCTAATAATTGGGATCTAGAATTTGATACCAATGAGTCGCAACGCATATAATATTATAATATGAATTTATATGAACTGATTTACATTCAATCGTTTCCGTTTTTACCCTAATTTCAAATCAAATATATTCGGCGAAATACGCCAGAAGTCTCGATCGAATGGCAATCTCTAGCATCTGGTGATTCCAGTCTACACCGATAGTATTTATTGCGAATGTTCTCCCGATAAGAATATGTTGTCACCGTTTGACATGACTTGTGGAATATGTCTAGCCTCGTTCTTCGAGTTCCTTGTTATAAATGTCGCTGAAACGCATTATGGTACACGATTCGTGTACCAATGGTAAAATGTTTATTTTGTCTTAAATATTGAATATCAGAATTTCATCTTTTCCCGGTAAGATCACAACATCATTATTGATTAAACTGATAAATAACCCGTGTTTTCAATGTCAAAGACTTGGGATGATATTGAGTTAGAGACTTAGCTACTTTAAGCACAAGTTGTTAGTATGATTTTAGCTGGTTGGGTAACAGGGGAAATCACTCTTGTAAATTTTCGATGTAATAAATCATATTTTGTCTATATTATATTAATACATAATATAAAATTTACCTGCACTGGCTGCCCATAGTACCGGTGTTCTCCCATCATCATCTTTAGCATTTACTGCTGAATCATGTTGTAGCAGCATCCGTAACACATCTGTTCCGTCTTCACACGTTTCTTGCGTTCCATCCGGTTCTACTACCTGAGCGGCGTAATGTAACGGAGATGCTTTATGCGCATCCGGAGTGTGGATATTAGCACCATATTTTATTAAGATTCTTAGCACTTCCGATAGACCCCTCACTGCAAATATGAACAAAAGATATTTAGATAAGAACAGAGGGAAATACAATCAGACAATTGAAATACATTCAGATAATTGATATACATTCTGGTAAATGAAATACATTCAGATAATGAAATACATTCAGATAATGAAATATATTCAGATATATGAAATACAACAGGGTTTACCCATCTAGCATACGTCATCTAGTGTGCTATGAGGGAAATTTGCCTGGACAGCAGCGTTTCCGCTTACTCCAGATCGAATTGCATCTATCCTTTGCGTGCACTGCAGCATCTACTCTTAACCTCGACTATTCGCCCTGTCCGAGCGACTAGAAACTGTTCCTTGACAGGTATTTCGTAATGCACCACCCGTAGAAGGCAGATAACACCGGATAATCAACTGGAACTTTCTCGGTCAAGAACGGTGTCGAACGCCGGACCAGCTGGCTATCTTCATCCACTAAGCCACCGTGGCTTCCTTATTCGAATAAATACCGAATTCGTCCCGTATTGATATTTAGCATGGGTATAGTATAATATAATTTATATTTAGCGGTAATGCCTGGACAACGAATTCTTGGTAGATCACGTGTTCTTGTTCGGCGCTTTCAAATGGCCAGATGTCATCAAGGCCCCCATTCCGCAACCCACAATGTAAAATGTCACCAACGCGAATACCAAGTCCCAAGGGTTCTTATATACGTGCATGCCATTACAGGAACGGTGATTGGGAATTCCTTAGATTCTTCGCAATTGTCTTTTCAATTTCAGCAATCAAAACAAGAGCGTCTGTCTTCAAAACAGTTTGATTGACAGACCATTAACGTCAATTGAAACGTGCCTTAAATCACAAGAACATGCACTTTGGAATTTCTACTTACCCGTTGCCCAATGAGCAACCGTGTGTTTAGCGTGATCCTGGCACGTGAGGTCAGCGCCTCGTTTTAACAACAGTCTTATAAGAGGTATGTTACCAGTTATAACGGCGAGGTGGAGCGGGTTCAACCCTTCATAATCCTCTATATTCAATAATGAGGGATCTTTACGGAGTACCAACTCGGCACATCGAGTATCTTCTAGATTATCAGCACAGTGATGAAGAGCTGTTCTTTTACATTTATCTCTGAGAGACACAGATGCCTAGTACAAATAAACAAACAGAATATAATTATAGTTTAAAACCGGGGTGGTCGACCAGTGGTACAAGGGACACACAGTAAAATGTAAAAAAAAGAACAAAGAGAGAGAGAAATGAGGTTTAGCTTCCACTCGACACAAACTAGGTCATTTTGGGACTAGCATATGGTACAATTTTATTTCAGAAATACTTCTTGCACATACATCCGGGGAATAGAAACCACGCCAGTTGATTCCATGACAGAGCTTATGATACCCCGCGCACGTGCTAACCATTCGACCATCCAAATAAGTCACAGGCATGGTAATTGATAAATACACCGAAGATACAGTAAGATAAAATATACATAAACATTGCACAACAATGATTATAAATTTATAATTATGTAAATAAGTATAGGTACAAAGGTCAGCCAGCAGAGAATGACAGCCGACAACAGAGATTCTCAATGAATTGTATATTTGGTCGTTGGGGTACCCCCCCCCTTCTCTCTCTCTGTCTCTCTCTCTCTCTCTCTCTCTCTCTCTCTCTCTCTCGTGACTTGTGTTGTTACCGAAAGGACTTTAATCCAAAGACGCTAGAATCAGACTCCTCAATGACCTTAAAATGTAAGGCATTATAGAAGTTCTAATTAAGAACTAGACATATGAAAGCAGTACTCACTCCTCGGTCCACCAGTATCTTTAAATGTTCGAAATTACCATTCTGACACGCCGTGATCACCGCTGAGGCGCCTTCTGCATCCGGCATGTTTACCACGGATAACGGAATATCCGGAAGTACTTTAAATATTGTTTTTAGATAATCCGGACTAGGAACAGCACAGCATCTATGGATTATTGTTGTTTTCCGGTGGTCCGAGATCCTGATATCAGCTTTCCTGTTAAATAGAGAGAATTAAATGGTTTTAAACGTCCACTTGATATAAACAAGCTCATTTCGAGACTAACACATGGTTCAATTTTTCTTCAATATTTAGCATGTGGATGGAAGTCTTTTGCTGTGGAATGAAACCGGGGGACCCGTGGAATATATCTGTGTAGTCAGAAACTACGCCACTTAACTCAATGACAGACCATTCGACGACCACCAAGACCACCCGTTCTATACAAGAATGAAAAATCGAAATCGATATTAAGGAATTATTTCGATTGTTAATATTATTTCGAATTGAACTTTAATATCAAGGACCCTATGTCACTGGCAGTTCCGCATTAAATTCCTATGTTGGCTGAGCTAGGCTAATTTTCACTTATGGTGCTGGAGAGAAAAGGGGACGAAAACGAAAAACCGAGTTCCATGTACAAATTGGCGTGCACGTAAAAGAACCCCTGACAGTTGAAATTCGAGTGGGCCACAGTGCCGCTGCCCCGGCAAAAGTTAACTCATAGCACATTCTATGGCGTATGTCCGTCTTCATTAGCCCAGTCAGAGCTGAACAGTAGGGTAGGACGAGGACGTTAAACCCATGACATTTTCCTTTTGATATACATCTAGTCAACCAAGAGAAAAAGAGAGAAATGGGGTTTAACGTCCACTCGACATGTCATTTCGGGACTAACATATGGTTTAATTTTATTTCAACAATTTGCTTACGCGTAGGGTTCTTTAGCATTGTTCCCCTTGTCAATGATGCAGGACGGAGGTCCTGACAAGGACAGCTGTCTAGTCGTTAGGATGGGACGAAAACCCGAGGTCCCGTGTACACATTGGTGTGCACGTAAAAGATCCCTTGGCAGTTGAAATTCGATGTAAGAGTAAGCCGTAGCGCCGCTGCCCGGACAAAATTTCCTTCATAGCACACTGTATAGCGTATGCCCGTCTTCATTAGCCCAGTTTAGGAGCAGAACAGTAGGACGTTAAACCCCATTTCATTTCATTTCATTTCTTTAGCAGTGGGGGGAAACCGGGGGACCCGAAGAAAACCCACGAGGTTGGACGGGCGACCCTACTCCTTGTCACATACAACCGGTGTATTGAAACCCCGCCAGTTGACTCAATGACAGACCTAATGATACAACGCGCACGTGCTAACCATTGGATGGCCGAATGATTAGCATGTGCGCGCTGTATCATTGAGTCAACTGGCGTGGTTTCGAATCCCCGGTTTTACATGACAAGGAGTAGGGTCGCCTGTCCAACCTCGTTTGTTTTCTCCGGGTCCTCCGGTTTCCTACCACTGCTAAAGACCCCTACGCGCAAGTGCATTATTGAAATAAAATAATTAAACCATATGTTAGTCCCGAAATGACCTGGTCTGTGTCGAGTGGACGTTAAACCCCATCTCTCTCTCTATAATGAAACGGTTACTCTTTCTAGAACACCTGATACCACGTAATTGGAAATATAAGTAGGTCGTAATGAAATGAATAAATAAACTGATAATCAATATAAATATGTCAAGGAAAGATAAATGACATTCCAGAATACAAAACAACCCACACACACAAAGGAAACATAACTTGCTTTCAACAATTAAACCAAAATCAAGAACAAAACCATTAATAAATAATCTATAAACTCTAGAACATAAAAACAGTTTATGGTAATCAATAAATAGTTTATGAAGTTTAATTCAGAACAAAATGAGATTGAATAAAAGACTTACTCAAGCATATCTTCAAAGAGATCGAGTTGGTTGAGAAACAAGGCATAATACAAGGCTGATCTCTGTGATCGTTTTTCTTGTGTGTTTATATTAGCCCCTCCTGACAATAACAATCTACACATCTCATATTCACCTTTCTGTAGTGACATGACTATAGGAGGGGTCCCAGAAACATCCGGTACATTCACGATCTGAAAAAAATAAACATCATAGGAATAGGCTTACTCATACCTCATACCATTTCTTATTTTGGAAGTGTCCTGGATACTCTCGGTATATTCGTACTAAAAATAATAATATAAAAATACGTCCAGTTACAAAAAAAAAATCATTGTCTGGGATATCATCCTCGGCGGAAGCGGACATTACGCCCCTTGAACGAGCGAATAAAAGAAAACCAACCACGTTTACTTCTTCCTTCTGATATATGGGAGCCACGGTGGCTAAGTGGGTAAGACGCTGGCTCGCTAGCCTGGAGATCGCGGGTTCGATCTCTGCATTGGCCGAAAAAGTTCATCGGGATTTTCCGGCGTGGTTTGCCTTTGTCATTGATGCCGGACGGAGGGCCTAACAGGGACAGCTGTCTAGTCATTTGGATGGGACCAAAAACCGAGGTCCCGTGTATATATTGGCTACACGTGAAAGATCTCTTGGCAGTTGGAATTCGATATAAGAGTAGGCTACAGTTCCACTGCCCGGGAAAGATTTCCCACATAGCAGACTGTATGGCGTGTGCCCATCTTCATTAGGTGAACAGTAGTACGATAAACCTCATTTCATTTTCCTTCTGATATTCATTCAGTAAGTCATACGCTTACTGTCTGCCCTTAATATGGGTCGTCAGACGTTATACTGCATATATAATGAAACCCTTACTCTTTCTAGAACACCCGATACCACGTTTTATTTAGGTAGTGCACATACCCATCCTAATTTAGTTTTACCGTTCAAGCTCTTTGACCGTTCGGGAATGACATTAGTAAACACTTAAACTATTGGCTTTTAAAAGTAAATACATATACCAGCTGGAGGTTAACGTGCGCTTCCACCTCGATCTTTATCGCAGACCAGAAAGTCAACTACTTCTTCAAAGATACGTCGAAAAATTACTGCTTCTACTACTGCTGCTACTGCTACTACTATTACTACTGGGGGTTAACGTCCGCTTCCACCTAATTTGATATAGCAGACTAGTAGGACATAAGGAGGTAAACACCAAATCGTATTTATATGGATGTTGAGTTTCTCTCCGCAATAACACAACTGTTTAAATTAGAAAATGTCCACCACATGTCCAAGGTGAGCGATAAAAAAGATGCATCCTCACTGTATATCACACCTGACTTCTAACAGATAGTCTATTCCCTTTACTGTAATCCTCAACACCCGTCCAGCAGAGTGAGTGATTAAACTGATTGATGAGTAAATTATATGGAAGTGCTGTTAATCTTTTAATCTCAGCTCCATTCATTTCCTAATTACTGAGGTTTGAAAGCTGGTTGGGCTTTGAGGATAGAGAGAGAGAGAGAGAGAGAGAGAGAGACATAAATACAGACAGACACGACGGACAGAGACAGAGACAGGGGGTAACGTTCACTCGACCCCCCCCCCCCACACACACACACACCAAACCAAACAACTTGCACGAGTGACAAGACGTAATTCAATTCTCATAACACACAGAATACCAAAGTTTGTTTACATATCTAATAATGGTTATAACCATGTTTTAAGTATGTTATGTCGCGTGCAGTGGTGTTAATCCCTATAATCCCCCTATCCCGTGTTAATCCTAACTCTTCATACTATATGGGATAAGCGGTTATAGACGGGTTTAGACATACCAGGTTACGTCATCACAGTATGCCATCATTACCGTGAAATAACCCGTCAATCATGAAGTGAAATGGGGTTTAACGTCCTACTGCTCTGCTCCTAATGAAGGCGGGCATACGCCATAGTGTGCTATGAGGGAAATTTTGCCCGGGCAGCGGCGCTACGGCCTACTCTTATATCGAATTACAACTGCCAAGGGATCTTTTACGTGCATTCCAATGTATACACGGGACCTCTGTTTCGTCTCATCCGAAGGATTAAACAGCTGTTCTTGTCAGGACCTCCATCCTGCACCACTGACAAGGGGAAACCACGCCGAAGAACCCGTCAATCATACAATAAACATGGTGTCTAATTGATAATCAGTTCCTATCTCCGATATCACTACTGAGCAAGCAGACGTTGAAGTGGGGTGTTGAGATGGTCTAGTGGTCTAGAGTGCCGCGCTTCGGGCTCTAGCTGGCCGGTCACCTATGGCATGCGGTAGTGGTTTCGATCTCTGATTTCAGCCTATGTGGCTTGATGATAGGGGCGCATTCTCAACCTCTTGGTTTTACTCCGGGTATTCCGGTTTCATCCCACAGGAAAGGCCACTGCGCGTGTGCTAAGCCTAATAAAATAAGACAGCTTGTTTGTGATATCACCCTCGGTGGAACGGACGTCAAACACCAATAAATATATATTTCCGAACATTTTACTACTGGTACACCCCCGGGAACATTCTAAAAATCTCCGAATATCAACAAAGCTATATTAAAGTTAACTTGAACGTGGAACCCAAAATGTTAGAAACACAAGCTGAAACGACCCATGGCCAATTTCGTCTCTAAGATCCTTTTGCTAATAAATTAACTGTTAGAGATAGTTTTGTATTAACCAATAACCAATATAAGCACATGCTTAGACTACTCGACACCCCAACCCTACGCACAAGCGAATTATTGAAATAAAATTGAACCATATTTAAGTTTTGATTCATTTCAAAATATATAAAAAAAATATTTTACGGTTTAGTATCGTTTAGATTTATAATTACCAGGGCGCCATAATCTCTTCAATTACACTCTAACAGAGGGCGACTCGTTAATGGGAAGAAGAAGAAGTTAGGGCCCCGAAAGGTTTGGTGCATAAGGCGTTGGCTGGTGTCCCCTTGTCAGTGGTGCGAGACGGAAGCCTTGCAAGGAAATGCACCCAGCTGTTCGGATGGGACGACAAACCGTGTTTCCGTTCATAACATCGACAGTACTTTAAAGAACCTCTGATAGGAGGAGGTGGTAGCGCTGCTGTCAGAGCAAAAATTCCTTCCACCACAGCACACTGCATGGCGTATGCCCGAGTTCATGAGTCATGTTGGTACGGCGATGCAGGACGCTAACCCCATTTCATCCCACCCCACGCTCCTCCTTCACGGGTAAAACAGACACAGGTAATACTTACATGTGGTTGTAGTTTAAGAATAACTCCAGCACACTCCATGTCTCCTGTTCTAACAGCCCAATGAAAGGGATTCAAACCATTTTGATCACGTAATTTACAATCAGCTCCTAATTCTACCAAGATGGACACCAAGGAATCATTCTTATTTTCCACAGCCCAATGTAAACACGTCCTTTCCGACTTATCGCGGAAGTTTAGATTAGCTCCGACAGCCGCAAAAGATTTCACGCACCACCCGAACCCTTCTCCTGGTTCGCAAACGATCGATCCAGCGGCTTTCACACATTCTATGATCGGAGTCGTACCCGTTGACTCATCAGGTTCGTTAATCCGTTGTTTGACCGCTTTCGTGTTCGTATCTGTAAGAAATTTCTTCAGTTGTTTGTGATTCCCTTTTCCGGCAAGTTGTCTTAATTTGTTTCTAGTTTCCATTGTTAGTCATTATCCTCAATTCCCAACACTTCGCAAAAAGGTAGAAAACAAATTTCGATCTGTTATACAGAAAAAATAAGAGGTTTTTTTCTTTGACAGTGTAACAAATTATATTAACTACGACACAGTTGTCTTCTAAAACTAGCGTTAATCAATATCCTAAATTACCACCACTTCGAAAACAAATTTCAATCTGTTATACAGAAAAAATACAGTTACCTTTTCTTTGACAGTGTAACAAATTATATTAACGTACGACACAGTTGTCTTCTAAAACTCGCGTGTCGTGTTGAACGCGGTATGTAACACATCGGTTGCAAAGTCAATTTTAAATATGGCCAATTACATGTTTTCTTTAAACTCTTGGTTCGTTAGTTTCTAAGAAACATTATAAGAATACTTTTATCAAATATTAAAATAGCTTCTATTGTGTCACATCGTTGCACATTATTGTCTTTTGTTTTCTATATATGGCGAGCAGTCAACCGAGAATGCTTGAATTCCATTAGTCGCGTATGAGATCACAACATTAAGGAAATATCATTGCCGAGAATGTAATGTATTGACAAGAAATGTTGAGGGTGAACCGTATACTTGAATCCAGATGAGCATCAGTCAGCCATGTCTACGTCACTTTCTTGTCGGTGATATCACTTCGGTGGAAGCGACTGTTAAATAAAGCATACACAGACACGGGTCACATTCTATGTGAATACTTATAGTAAACAGCTACTATTGCAGCATTAACACTAATGGATTTAATCATCTTTTTTCATTATAATTCGTTCTTTTGTTTTGATATTTTGTCTTCAGTTGTGATATTCTGTCCTTTGTTTTGTTATTCTGTCTTTTGTTGTGATATTCTGTCTTTTGTTGTGATATTCTGTTTTTTGTCTTTTGTTTTGATATTTTGTCTTTTGTTGTGATATTCTGTCTTCTATTGTGTTTTTCTGTCTTTTGTCTTTTGTTGTGTAATTCTGTCTTTTGATTGATATTCGTTTTTTGGGGTTTTTTATTCGTTGTTTTGTTGTAATATTCGTTCTTGTGGTTTTTTTTTCTTTTCTTTTTGTTTTGTCTTTCTTTTGTTGTGATATTGTCTTTTAGTTCTAGATATTATTCTCAGTTTTAATTCATGTAAGTGAAAGTGGGGCTACGCAAATTTTGCAATAACAACGGCAATAACAACAATGATTATAATAATAATAACAACGATAACAACGGTAATAAGCAAAATCCTTAAACAGACTGATTTGACTGCTTTTCGGATAAACATTTATAGGAAGCTTTAAGATCCAAAGATAGTGCTAAGTTTCAAAACCAATGAACTAGTTGAATTAATTCAACGAGTAATTTGAAATTGGAATGTTGATTAATTCAACGAGTAATTTGAGATTGGAATGATGATTAATTCAACGAGTAATTTGAAATTTGGATGTTCATGAATTCAACGAGTAATTTGAAATTTGGATGTTGATTAATTCAACGAGTAATTTGAAAACACACATTGACACAGACTCTATAAACTTGCCTCGATATATTACGTCATCATCCACACGAAACACAATTAGATTCTAATCAAATCGAACGAGCGAAGAGTTCCTTCAGCGACTTTCTTTTTCGAATTTCCCAGATGAAATATTGCCTAATCAACACAAAACACGTTTAGATCCTTAACTCTGCATTCACCACATCCAATATTTCATTTTTGTCGCATTTCTTCATTGAAATGTCTCCTAACCCACTGAAACGTTTCTTGGGGCATTATCTTTGTTTTATACACACCAAACGTTGATTCTATAAGCATTAAAATGGTTCTTAATCCATTCAACACACCTAAGAGTTCCTTCTACGAGGGTTATTGTCCAAATGCTTCACTGAAAATGTTTCAAATCCATTAAACGCTAAATATCCTTATATTCGCATTCAACACATCCAAGATTTCATTCTACGATCTTTTTTGTCAAATATCTTGATTTTAATGTTTGCTTATCCACTCAAAGGTACTTAGGTCGTTTTCTTTGCAATTGAAACCACCAAGAATTCTTTCTGCGAGCTGTTCTGTCAAATGTCTTACTTGAAATGTTTCTTAATTCACTGAACGACAGTTAGAGCGCTTTCCTTACATTCAACACACCCATTTCTGTCGCATTTCTACACTGAAATGTTTCCTAATTCATTGAACGTTCCTTCGATCGTTCTATTTGCATTCAACGTATTCAAGAGTTCATTTTTGTCGAATTTCTTCACTGGAATGTTTCCTAATTCACTGCACGATAGTTCGATCTTTTTCCATGCATTCAATACATCCTAGGGTTCATCTATGTCGAATATCTTCACTGGAATGTTTCCTAATCCCTTTAACGTTAGTTATATTTTTATCTTTAAATTAAATCCGCTGCCAGAATATCTGTTAATGTCCTGTTTAAATGTCGATCAGACTGAAGGAGAAGTACTGATCACATTCTTGTCGTTAAAATAGAATGTCAACATACAATGGAAGCATCTGAAATATAAATTATATATTAGACCTATGCGTATATAATCAATATTGTAATTATCTGTGTTAATTAACTATAAATATGTTGTTTTTATAAGAGAATGATGTAATAGGTATATATGGTAGACACTGGTATTACAACATACACCTTGTATATTAGTTGTATATATATATATATATATATATATATATATATATATATATATATATATATATATATATCAATGTATATATAATAATGTTGCTTATATTGGCAATAGTAATAATAATAATGAGAGAGAGAGAGAGAGATGCGCGTAGGGGCCTTTAGCAGTGGGGGGAAAATCGGAGGACCCAGAGGAAACCCACGAGGTAGGACAAAGTGAGAGTTTAAAGTCCACTCGACACCAACAAGGTCATTTCGGGACTAAGATATGGTATAATATTATATCAATAATTCGCTTGCGCGTAGGGGTCTTTAGCAATGGGAAGAAACCGGATGACCCGGAGAAAACACAGAGAGATGCGCCTAGGGGCCTTTAGCAGTGTGTGTGTGTGGGGGGGGGGGAATCGGAGGACCCAGAGAAAACCCACGAGGTAGGACAAAGTGAGAGTTTAACGTCCACTCGACACAGACTAGGCCATTTCGGGAATAACATCTGGTTCAATTTTATTTCAATAATTGACTTACACGTAGGGGTCTTAAGCAATGGGAGGAAACCGGATAACCCGGAGAAAACCCACGAGGTTGGACAGGCGACCCTACTCCTTGTCACTTATATTCGGGGAATCGAAACCACGCCATTTGACTCAATGACAGACATTATTATACAACGCGCATGAGCTAACCATTTGGCCATGCAACCCCCCCCCCCCCCTTCTGATAATGTATGAATGAAATGGTATTTAAGTAACGTCTTTTTTCCTGCACAAATCAGGCTATTGAATACAAGAATATCCCATGACGTGTGCTATAAGGGCAATGTTTTTCGGACAGCAACTGCATTCCAGCTGTAAAGGATTCTTTTACATGCACACCATGGTCCACGCCCTGCACCACTGACAAGGAGGAACCACGCTGGAAAATCCTGGGGAACCGTCTCGGCCAAACAAGGGCTCCTGGTTAGTAAGTCAGCTCCTCACTCAATGGGAGCCACGGTGACTCAGTGAGTAAAATTTTGGCTCGCTAGCCTGGAGGTCGCGTGTTCGATCCCTGCTTTGGCCGAGAAAGTTCATCGGGATTATTTGGGGTTGTTCCTCCTTGTCAGTGGTGCAGGACAGAGGGCCTGGCTTAAGGGACAACGTGTAGTCGTTCGGATGGGACGAAAAACCGAAGTCCCGTGTACACATTGGCGTGCACGTAAACAATCCCTTGGCAGTTGGAATTTGATATAAGAGTAGGCCATAGTGCCACTGTCCGAACAAAATGTCCCTCATAGTACACTGTATGGCGAAACCGGTCATCATTAGCCCAGTCGGAGCAGAACAGTAGGACGTTAAACCCCATTTCATTTTCATTTTCCTTACTCAGTGAGCCACAGCGGCTCCCATTTCTAGACGTATTTATTGTATAAATATATTAGCGACATTCGGTAAACAGATCGTTATTTGAATAATCATTGATTAATGGTACAATATTGTGTGTGTTGACATGTCTGGCAATTATCACCTGGTCGACACGTTCTTCATTTTATATTGCTTAAACATACATTATGCAAGAAGTAAATCTGCCTATTGCAGGTCTTTCTTTTGGCATGAAATGTTACATAAACTATTAATTAGACATTTATTAAAGATACATTATGGGAGATTCCATAAAGAGTTGGCAGTTCTCACTATAATAGTTAAAAACTAGATAATGTAAAGGCAATTTGCTGAAAATGTCATTCAAATTGATCCATAATGAACCGAGAACTAAGCGATTGAAATTTCCGCCTAGCCTCGATCATCATTCATAAAGTCAGTACGATAAACAGCATAGTCTCGATTATCCATTTAATCGTTAAATCGTGAAGGAAAGTTATGCAGTAAATTGGCTCATAATCCACTAAAGATCGTAGGCTAGAGATGCCATCTTGAGTTGATTATGGTCTGGATAAGTTAATTAATGTCTAATTAATAATTTAGATAACATTTCAGGCCTAAAGAAAGACCTGCAATAGACAGATTTAGCTCTTGCATAATGTATGTTTAACAAGAAAAAACCATAATCAACGTTCGATGCCATCTTATGTGTCCGATTTTCAACGGATAATCGAGACTTTGTTACTTTTCGCGATAGCGCTAACAATGACAATCGAGGCTACAAAGATTTTAAAATAATGTTTTGTCGGCTTAGAGTGAGGCAATTGACTGAAGTTTTCAGCATATTCCCTTTACATCGTCAAGTTCTTTATCTGATCTCCCATATTATAACAATAAATAATTCTGGCCCCGGTTTTCACGAAGCATTCTCAGAATTAAGTTAAGAATTTACTAAAAATTGTTCGCCTTAGTTTAACTAAAATATAGCATATAGCCCTTTATAAAATTTTTGTTGTTTTAATGTATCAAATACATCAATAAGAAACTATGTGCAAATTTCTGTGTTTCTGGATCAAAGATATTTCTCATAAAAAGTGATTGAAAGTTGAGTAAATTCTTAACGTAAGTCAAAGAATGCTTTGTCTTTGTCTTAGAGGCTGGAGTTTTTGAATTTTGAAATTATCGCTGTTACCATTTTTGTACAAGTTGGTCGACTTAATTTGAATAGAATAATTTAATTCGTATATTTCTAGATATTTCAAATTCTCTCCCTTTCTCACATTTCTGAATACCGTGCCCTATACTTGATTCTTAAGGGGGGGGGGGCTGAATGGTTAGCGTGTGCGCGCTGTATCATAAAGTCTGTCATTGAGTCAACTGGCGTGGTTTCGAATCCCCGATTGTACGTGATAGGGAGTAGGGTCCCCTGTCCAACCTCGTGGGTTTTCTCCGGGTCCTCCAGTTTCCTCCCACTGCTAAAGAACCCTACACGCAAGCGAATTATTGAAATAAAATTAAACCATATGTTAGTCCCGAAATGACCAAGTTTGTGTCGAGTGGACGTTAAACCCCATCTCTCTCTCTCGCTATCTCTCTCTCTCTTTCTCTCTTTCTCTCGATTCTTAGGGGAATCAACACATCTCTGTAGGTCATTGTGTTAGAATTAAACTAAAGCTAGAAACTATTTGACGGATTTTACGTCAGTGGGAAGCAAGTATCATTCCACTCAACCCATACGAAACTTACGCTATCTGTCACGAAGCTAGTTGACCGACATTCCTACTCTCTTTTTTACGATATGTTTTTCGAAAACGCTAAATTCATTTCGAGAATGTTGAGAAGTAGTAGCATTTATTCCGGTTCCATTTTAATGGGTAATGAAATTGGACATGTTTATTTGGTCTTAGTGGGTAAGAAACGGATTAGAACCTAAAAATTTACCAGTACACTAATTTTTCAATATGGCGACCATTAAGGACAGAGATCTATTCTCAAATTAGATAGTTCTCTGTGTGTAGAATGCACTTAACCTAATCTCTTCTTCACAATTGTATAACTTTACGTTACAAAGCCGCGTTAATATAATCACATAATTATACCATTATAAATTGTAATTTCCTTCTTAAATGAAGCCCACTCACGGTCAATATTATAATCAAACCTATATAATACTGTATAACATATTGTCACAAACGATGAATGTGGGGCCATTCCGTAGGGGTTATATATCAGACTACTAAATGTAGACAAGCGAGAGAGAGAGAGAGAGAGAGAGAGAGAGGGCTAACGTCCACTCGACACAAACTAGGTCATTTCGGGACTAACCTATGGTCCAATTCTATTTCAATAATTCGCTTGCGCGTAGGAGGAAACCGGAGGACCCGGAGAAAACCTACGAGGTTGGAAAGGCGACCCTACTCCTTGTCACGTACAACCGGGGATTCGAAACCACGCCAATTGACTCGATGACAGGCCTAATGATACAGCGCGCACGTGCTAACCATTGGACCGTCCAACTCCCCGATGTAGACAAGCAATCATAAGACCGGTAACTACAAACGTAATGTAGCGCGCCATCTACAGTTTGTCACTGTGAACCATCAGACGTTTTTTCCTTTGCCCACTATCAAAAGGAAATCTGGCTCGTAACCGGGGCCTGCTAGATAAGAAGCTAGCGCTATGCTTCAAAATGGCGCAGTGGGGCATCGGCTTTTCATCCCACCAAAACGGCAATACGTTCTTTCTTTGCACCACTAACAAGAGGAGATCTGACTCGAATCCGCGGCAACCAGACTCATTGAATCACCGCGGTACCTAAGCGAAATAAAGATTGTATATAAACATTAATCAAAGGGCTATTATAAAATCCAGTGTACCCTAGTGAAACTTTAACTACACTTTCAAATCGCAGCTTAACACTCACTCATTTCGGGAATGCTATGAGAATTAAACTTTCTGTTCACTGTGAATATAGCTTTTGTCTCACTGCGCTTTGAGCATGCCTTTAGATGGATGTGGCGCTCTACAAATGTATATTCATAGGCTAATCCCGAAATGGCCTAGTTTGTTGACGTTAGGGGGGTTGGATGGCCGAATGGTTAGCACGTGCGCGCTGAATCATAAGGCCTGTCATTGAGTCAACTAGCATGGTTACGAATCCTCGGTTGTACGTGACAAGGAGTAGGGTCAACTGTCTAACCTCGTGGGTTTTCTACGGGTCCTCCGGTTTCCTCCTACTGCTAAAGACCCCTACGCGCAAGCAAATTATTGAAATAAAATTAAACCATATGTTAGTCCCGAAATGACCTAGTTTGTGTCGAGTGGACGTTAAACCCCATTTCTCCCCCCCTCTCTCTCTCACACACACACATCTCGGGAAAGTAGGACGTTAAACCCGATTTTATTATCTCCCTTTATGTCTTTATACAAGTATAACCATATAAACCGGGATTATTCTTTGTGTTGTATATTGATATCTATTCAACATTTAACAATGGTTTTATTGGAAATTGATTTAAAAGTATTTATATTATGTTTATTTTACAATGAGACATTTCTTTATTTATTTTCATAGGTCTTAATGACACCAGGGAAAAAAATCTGATAAATTGCTGAACATTTCTCCGAACAATCGTTGACGTGTATTAAGGATTACGTTTATATGAGTATTTCAATAATGAATGTTTGTTAAAGAGCTGTTTTAATATTATGTTTGTAATCCACCATACCCCACCCACTTGATAATCGAATTATTAACGCCATGACTTGTTTCAGTCGGGATATTGTAAACTTAAATAGGGTCAATTTGTGAATTATATGTACTGGGTATTGTACCGAATAACATGCAAGATGCATTATTTGCTCATGTTAGATTTATATAAAGAGCGGTCCGTTCTTGCTATAAACATTAAAAAATAGATAATGCAAAATGAATATATTGAAATTTTCAATCAAATTACTTTATTCTGGTTTCCTCCCATCTAAAGACCCCTACGCGCAAGCGAATAATTGAAATATTGAACCATATGTTATTCCCGAAAATGATGTAGTTTGTGTCGACTGGACGTTAAACTCTCTCTCTCTCTCTCTCTCTCTCTCTCTTCTGAGTGTAGTTTTAAACACGTTAGTCCCGATTGCCAAGTAGCATCTCTACGATAATAAACACAGTCTTGACTATCCATTTTAACGTTAATCAATTATTAAATTGCGAGAGTGTTCTAATCCATTATATATTTCGACCATCCGATGGTCTAGATAGTTGATTATGGGCCTATCATGTGAATAAATATCTACATAATAATTTATATAACATTTGACACTAAAACAAAACCACAAAAAAATGGTAATGTTCGCAGAATTAGCTCTTACATAATACATCTTTAAGTATTAGTGGCTCAGGGATTAAGGCGATGGTTCACTAACCAGGGAGTTACGGGTTCGATTATATTTAAAGTTCTATAGATATTTATTGTAATTTGTTCTCCATCTTACGCACTTGAGTGAAGGGTGTGACCTCTAAGATCTGAGTATATGACGGCAACGGGGTCACAACGAAATTTAAAATGCACAGTACCATTTATTTTGGGGCCCTTTTCTCCTTTCTTCACCGTTCACTAGAACAATCAACACCGTTAACTAAAACAACCAACACCGTACACTAGAACAACACATATCGTTCACTAGAACAACCTATACCAATCAAAAAAACAATCGATACCGTTGACTTGAAATGTTATATATAATATACCATTCTTTTTGCTTTATCATTTTTATAATATAAATTCAATTGAATGAAATCTGAATATCTCTTTATTATATTGTAGGCGTACAATTATCGGTTAGAAACTATATAGTCTGTTATGATAGTGGACGCGTGCGGCTGGCCCCTAGGATACATTCACTTGATTTGATATTTGTTGTTTATTGCTTACAATGTCCGTGTACTTTGTGTCTTGTCCGCGGGTTTGTCTTTTCGGTTTGTTTGCGTGTAGTCCGATCTTCTTGTATGCACTTACTAATAGAATATCTTTTACACAGACACACATTAATCAATGACGTCACTCATTACGTAATATAACAGGGGGATTCCATGAGAAGATATGACCATCTTTACTACATAACGAACACAATTCCGCGTAAATCTCGCTTATTTTTTCATTTAAAAAAATCAATTTTATTAGTTCCGCTTTGTTAATAGGACATTGAATTACGAAATACCCAAGACGACAATTTTATAATAAAACTATGTTTCCGTTTATAATATAATATTATTATAATAACAAGCCTACCTTTACTGATGTGGTGCATCACGTTTATATCTCATGTATAATATTCCACAGTAAAATCAACATAACGGTAAACTCTGAATCGTGTCCATGAAACATAGAATCCGATCAAATACGTACACTAGAAAATAAAAGGACGACTCGAATATCCTTCAAACCAGTAAATTAAAACCTTAATTAAACTATATATAATTTATTACGATAGAGTCCACTCACACACAAACATATATATATAATATAATGCTTTAACCGGACGCCATTTTCAGTGAGCCGTATCAATCTACGAGTATCGGCGAGCTCGGATCTATATAATAGTTAACAACAAAACACAAGCGTTTGTGAATGGTTGGCAACAATTCATATTTATCTATGTGGTATTATTATAGATACTAGTGTAATATAGACGACTATTGTATGTCTTATGTATATTACCTTGTATATACCTACCTAGGTATATCGTATATATATATATATATATTACCTCGCATATACCTACCTAGGTATATCGTATATGTATTACCTCGCATATACCTACCTAGGTATATTTAATTATTATGAGTAACGTACGTACTGACATTCAATTTCAGTAAATTATTATATATTTATTTGTTTGGTTCATAATAACGCATATCGAGAGAGAGAGAGAGAGAAATGGGGTTTAACGTTCACTCGACACAAACTAGGTCATTTCGGGACTAACATATGGTTTAATTTTATTTCAATAATTCGCTTGCGTGTAGGGGTCTTTAGCAGTGGGAGGAAACTGGAGGACCCGGAGAAAACCCACGAGGTTGGACAGGCGACCCTACTCCTTGTCACGTACAACCGGGGATTCGAAACCACGCCAGTTGACTCAATGGCAGGCCTTGTGATACAGCACGCACGTGCTAACCATTCGGCCATCCAACCTCCCATAACGCATATCATGCCCTGTGTACGAAGAGTGTCATATAGTGTATACCTCGCATATTACCTAGTATATAACATTCACACATAACGTACGTACTGACATTCAATTTCACTTTCAATAAATGAGTATATATTTATTTATTCGGAACACAATAACGCATACGATGACATGTGTAATAGACTGTCGTTATTAAATTTTAACAATAGCTTATATTGGCCTCCATGAGAAGATTCAGTTGTCCGATTTTCTCTAGTTTTGTTGGAATATTGAAAGTTTTATCTCGGAGTGCTATGCATATTGATAATATCAGTGAGATTGTCGGTCATCACCTGGATGGTAACAACAGGTTAATTATATATTCAGCGGCACTACGGCCTACTCTTATATCGAATTCCAACTGTCAAGGGATCTTTTACGTGCACGCCAATGTGTACACGGGACCTCGGTTTTTCGTCTCATCCGAATGACTAGACAGCTGTCCTTGTCAGGCCCTCCGTCCTGCATCACTGACAAAGGGGAACCACGCCGGAAAATCTGGGTGAACTTTCTCGGCCAATGCAGGGATCGAACACCCGACCTCCAGGCTAGCGAGCCAGCGTCTTACCCACTTAGCCACCGTTACCCCGGATTATGAAATAGCCCACAATATAGACTGTACAATGTCCAAATTACAAAAAATTGGTAAAATTGATGATGAGTTGTGTTCTGGATGTAAGGTTGGGACTGAAGATTTGCAGCATTTATTTATTGAATGTTTCGATTTACGTAATTTTAAGTCAAAAATTAAAGAATTTATTAATGATTGATTACCATATGGTCCCAATTTTAACACTTGTTTATTACTGGGACTTCAATCTAACAACACGTCCCACTCTAATGAACAGGATGAGACGAAAAACCGAGGTCCAGTGTACAAATTGGCGTGTACGTAAAAGATCCCTTGGCAGTTGGAATTCGATATAAGAGTAGGCCGTTGCGCCGCTGCCCGGGCAAAATTTCCCTTATAGCACACTGTATGGTGTGTGCCCGTCTTCATTAGCCCAGTTTAGGAGCAAAACAATAAGACGTTAAACAACATTTCATTTCATTTCATTTCATTTCATTTCATTGTAATTAGAATTTTAATTGTGCTAGATTTTCTATCTATAAACGTAGAATGAGATCTATAGATAATAATAATATAGAGGTTGATAATGTTACAATATTCAAGAGTGGATTTAAACATACTTTAAATATAGTCAGTAAATAATGCAATAACAATCGGATAAATTTTACTCAAACTTTCATTTCACCATCCCTATGTATATGTCATGAATTGGACGGCACAATAACTGTTGACTTGTTTTATAAACTGTTAGAGAAGGGAGATAATCCCGAATACATACAGGAGGCAGACCACCATTAATTTCCCCATTGACTTCAATGTTAATTCTGGCCTGTTTGCCCACCTCCAACTTTTCCCAAAATTTTCGTTGGGCTGAACGCATTTTATTACAGACAGAGGAACAAATGGTCATGTCTTGTATAAGGTTGACCACCAAAATTTTGAGACACACAAACTTGAAGAAGCATACTAAAAACATGTAACTAGTTGCCGTACATATCACCGTAGCCAACCTGATAACCCCTCAAAATCATGAATATTTACCAAAACCTGGCAGAAAATGTTAATTCAATCCCTCTTCACCCATTCTAGACCAAAAAATCAACAAAACTGGGCATGCAAAAGGAGAGAAAAGAGACAGAGAGAGAATTGCTATAAATAGACGAACTACAATTTGTGGGTATCAAGATGGCGAGTTTTAATGGTGGTCTCCCTCCATATTATGCTAGTACTTTTGGGAACACCTTATTATCTCGGTACTTTCAAGCCTTTCGCCTTTCGAGAGCAGGTTTCCTCCGAAAGCTTATAGTCGATTGCACATTTTTAAAATTAGCTTTTAATTACTTTCCTTTTGGAAGTTTGAGTTTTAATTACAATGAAATTGTACCTTGCTTTTTATCACCTTGTTTTAATTCTTAAATATTTAAAAATTATGTACATAAACAAAAATATTGCTTTTAATATACCTTATTTATTGTATCATAAAAGCCTTAAAATGTTGATAATTGTAATGAATTATATTTCCTGAATAAACATTTTACAAGATAAAAAAAAATAAAGACGTTGGTTAGGTAACGCTGGGGCACCATGTTCAATTGATTCCGGTGTTGGTCGAGAAAGTTCATTTGTTTTTCCGACGTGGTTCTAACTTTTCAGTGGTACGTATAGTCTTTCTGTTGGGACGAAAATCCGTGGTCACGTGTACACATTGGCATGCACGTAAAAGAACCCTTGGTAGTAAGAATTTTATATAAGAGTAGGACGCAGCGCGGCTGTCTGGGCAAAATGTTCCTCATAGCACACTACATGGTGTATTCCCGTCTTCATTCGCCCAGTAGGTACAGAAAAGAGGGACGCTAAACCCCATTTCATTGATTGTCCAACCCACTAAGGATGATGCTCAATGCGAAAAATAACTACTACCCGTTCTCAATAATACAGTTAAAACACGATTACCTCCCTTTATCCCTCAGCTCTGAAATGAAATGAAATGGGGTTTGACGTCCTACTGTTCTGCTCCGAACTGGGCTAATGAAGACGGGCATACGCCATACAGTGTGCTATGAGGGAATTTTTGCCCGGACAGCGGCACTACGGCCTACTCTTATATCGAATTCCAACTGTCAAGGGATCTTTTACGTGCACGCCAATGTGTACACGGGACCTCGGTTCTCCGTCCCGTCCGAACGACTAGATAGACAGCTGTCCTTGTCAGGCCCTCCGTCCTGCATCACTGACAATGGGGAACCACGCCGGAAAATCTGGATGAACTTTCTCGGCCAATGCAGGGATCGAACACCCGACCTCTTCCGCTCTAATAACACAATAATCGATTTGATAGCATTTAAAGTAATGTTGTTCTAGGAGATGCGAATCGATAAAAATTCTACCTGGCTCACTGATCAAGGCGCCGACTCACTAACCAGTAGATCACCGAGTTCGATCTAGATGTTTTCCCATGTCAGTGGAGCGGGGAGAACTGTCTGTCATTGAGTCAACTGGCGTGGTTTCGAATCCCCGGTTGTACGTGACAAGGAGTAGGGTCGCCTGTCCAACCTCGTGGGTTTTCTCCGGGTCCTCCGGTTTCCTCCCACTGCTAAAGACCCCTACGTGCATGCGAATTATTGAAATAAAATTAAACCATATGTTAGTCCCGAAATGATCTAGTTTGTGTCGAGTGGACGTTGAACCCCATTTCTCTCTCTCTCTGGATAGATAAAACGCCTAGTTGTTTGGGTAGGACAGAATATTTACCATTGGCAGCACGTTAAAAATCCACGGTTAGTTAAAAATCGAAATGGTTGTCGTGCACGTGAAAGAATCATTGATGAAGCGTTGGCAGATACGCCAGCGTCCTGGTAAAATATCCCCAAACTACACTGCATGCGCATGTCTGTCTTCATTTGCCCGGTTTCTGCAGAAAAGAGAAATGAAAAACGCTATTAAACCCGTTTCATTTCATTTTACTTAAAAAACAAAGTGGTACGACGTATTTAGTTATTATTTATCTATGGTTGATTATAAGAGAGGGCCGGCTTTCAGATCATAGGCCGTAGCCAGCGGCGGGGCAAGAGGGGGCAGCCCAACCAATGTCACTCGGCTTTATGGGGCGCCCATACTGATATGGGCACGTTGATCGTTCGCTTCATATTGCGTTCAAAGGAGATGGCGCGATTCGGCGCCCGGAGGGGGGGGGGCGGTGAGATTAGCAGCTGTCCCCTTGCCCAGCCCCACGCCCGCCAGCTACGGGCCTGAATCAATACGTAATGCAATCTAGTTTATTAAATTATTTACAAACACGCACAGATATTGATTTGGATGACGTTTTCACTAACTTTGATCAAGTAAGTTCAAGAGTTCTACTGGATGGTCTAGACAGAGAGCTCTACTGGGTGTTGTAGACAGATACATAAAACACCTCAGTCACAACACGTGTGAGGACGGGTGGTATTCTTATGCATGCGCTTTATATCTTAAGATCTGTCAGGTGGTTTTGTTCCAAGCCCATGCATGTACATCACTAAGACTAGGGTCGCCTGTCCAACCTGATCAAGTAAGTTCAAGAGTTCTACTGGATGGTCTAGACAGAGAGCTCTACTGGGTGTTGTAGACAGATACATAAAACACCTCAGTCACAACACGTGTGGGGACGGGTGGTATTCTTATGCATGCGCTTTATATCTTAAGATCTGTCAGGTGGTTTTGTTCCAAGCCCATGCATGTACGTCACTAAGACTAGGGTCGCCTGTCCAA